TTCTGCACAGACGGTGTTGACAAATGGCGCTTCCGACGCTTTGGAGCGGCTGATTCGAGAAGTTTTTGACCTTTCGTCAGACACCAATTGTTGTTGTAGTCGAGCCAATAGTTTTTCTCTTCGAAACGGTAACTCGGAAGAGCTAGCACGGTGTGAGAGGCTTCGTACTCACGATGGACTTCTTCCCATTCGATTGAAAGTCCCCTGGAGTAAAGGTTGCTAAGTGTGCCGGACAATGTTCTCCATACATCTTCTTTCTGGCGGAGCGACGGCACAGTCAATGCCTTGCTTCCGAGACATGATTTGATGAAGGTAGAGCAGACAGGTGCGGGACCAATTTCAAGCCAGATTACATTGTTATCAATGACTCTTTTTGACTCGGCAGCTTTGAGGGCACCCATGAAGTTCACGGCTTCTCGAGCTTGGCGGCACACATACTCCGGTCCAAAGACATTGCCTTCAGTTACAACGTCCCCGAGTAGAGGAGAGATAACGGGAACATTTGGGGTTCCGAAATTGACTGAACTTGCTGCCTTTCTATATTGATCAACGATGACTTGAATCTGTGCCGAATGGAAGGCATAAGCTGTCGATAGCAAGGAGCACTTGATGTTGATGGCCTTGAGTGTTCTCGAGTAAGTCTCCATTTGCTCTGCGGAACCGCTGATGACAGTCTCATTGGGGCCATTGATGCAAGCGACTTCAATGTCCTTATCACCGAGAGTCTCTTTAACAGAGCTCGCAGATGCCGCAATGGCTAACATCTTATGACTGCCCGGGACGCAAAGTTCTTCGAGAAGTTGAGCTCTTCGTCCAACCAGATAAATTGTGTCACTGGCAGATAAGACACCAGCTACATTCAGTGCAGCGTACTCTCCAAGGCTGTGACCAAGAACACTTTTTGGAGTGATGCCCCAAGACTGCCAGAGCCGCGCAAGTGCCATCTGAACGCATGTTTGCCCAAGCTGGAGTGCAACTGGCGAGAGTGAACCGACTTCCTCAGAGCCGTCTATGAGAGGTAAGAAAGTAGGGAAGCCCTGCTTCTGACCAATTCTGTTGAATTCCATCACATCGTTTCGGAAAGTTTGCGAGTCCTCAAAAAGTTGTTTTCCGAGAGCTGCGTAATGCGAGCCTTGCCCTGTGAATGCAAAAGCGATTTTACCAGAGTTTATCGGATCAGGTTTAATCGCCTTAGGTTGGGTTGACCTCAACAATTTTAATGTTTCCGAGATGCTTCTCACTGCGTAAGAGACACGGTTTGGGTAGTGAATTCGTCTGGCAGTGGTTGTATATGACAGCGCTGGCAAAGATGTGTCCGGGTTTGCTTCGAGATAAGATGCGAGTCGGTTGATATTCTGGTCTAGAGAATATGCTGATTTGGCGCTTAGCGAGACAACAAAACTTGTTCTGGGATCTCTGCCCCTGTTGGAACAAGAGATGGACGATCCTCCAAAAGAAGACCAGTATTCCCCCCCGAAGCGCCGAAGTTGTTCAAGTAGGCGCGTCTCTTTGCTTCACCAGGGCGAACCCAGGGGGGTTTCTTTGAAAGCAATTCGAACACCTCGCTCGTTTAGGTCATGGGGGAATGTTTTGTTCATGGTAGTCTTGATGCCAACATGGGCAGGGATAGCATTCTTTTGCATCATAATGACAGTTTTGATCAGAGATGCCACGCCGGCAGAAGCTTCACCATGACCAATATTTGACTTGAGTGCACCGACATGCATCAGTTGATCTGGTTGACGGCGACCTTGGTCGCGTGGAGCAAAAACATTTGTGATGGACTTCATTTCAGTTCCATCACCGGCCTGCGTTCCTGTGCCATGCATCTCCACGTAACTGACATCAACAGGGTCCACACCTGTATGACTCAGGATCTTTCTGTAAAGGAATTCCTGGGCTGGTCCATGAGGCCGAGTGATTGAGACTGCCTCGGAGGAATGATTTGTTGCCGTGCCTAGAATGACAGCCAAAATTGGATCGCTATCAGCCTCTGCATCTTCTAGCCTCTTCAATACAACTGTGCCAACTCCGTCACCACGACAGAAGCCATCTGCGCCATCATCAAAAGTTTTGCAAGATCCGGTCTTGGACAAAAAGTGTGCGCGACTCAAACCTGCGAAGAGATCTGGCGTTGTCATGACATTGAGTCCTCCGGCCAGAGCAGTATCGCATTCCTTTGCCAATAATGACGTACACGCCAGTTGAATTGCTGCAAAGCTGGACGAACAGGCTGTGTCAACGTTGTAACTTGGTCCTGTGAATTTGAAATGATAGTTGATTCGACCAGTGGCAAAAGCTCGAATCGTTCCCGGGATATAGTACATGTCAATCTTCTCTGCGGCGTTGAGTGTCCGCCAATCGTCACTCGTTTGTCCATAAAAGGTACCAACCCGATTCAACATGGAAGATGGCGTTCTGTCAGGTACAAAACCTGACATTTCAAGAGCTTCATATGCTGTCACTAGTGCAAGTCGTCCCATAGGATCTGTTTGATAGGCTTCGCGTTGGGACATGTTGAAGAAACGTGGGTCGAATAGACCTGGCCTTTCAATAAAGCATCCATACGGAGTGTGACTAGAATTGAGACTTTTTCCAGTGGGATCATAGTGCGCATCAATGTCGAAACGGTCGGGAGGAACCCGTCGATGTAGGTCCAATCCCTGCTGTAGCGTACTCCAGAAGCTTTCGAGATCGTCAGAGTTGGGGAAGCGACCTGCCATTCCAACGATCGCAATCTTCTGAGCTCCGTTCAAAGGCTCATAATCGGGGGTTTCCGTGTGGAGTTGCCCTTCTGTTGTCACATTTAGAGAGGTCTCTGCTCTCAGAGTTGATGCAAGACTGTGTATCGCCTGAGAAGGCCCAACGGAGAAGATTTGGCAATCCTTTTGTGGTGATGCTGTCGCAGTTTCTGTGACCGTGCTCATGACATTCTCAAACGAGAGCGGTCGAATCAATATATCTCTCACGATATCTACCATAAGAGTATCAACATCCAAATCTGGAGAGTATCGAGTTCCGACGCCTGAGATGACGGGGATGAAGAACTTCCTCTTTGCATCCATGTCAGAGAATGGCCGCAACACTTCCGCAACATCGTCATCACTGTATAGATGTGGTGCATGGAAAGGTGCAAATATGTCAAGCGAGACTGTCCTGAATTTTTGAAGGTATTCTGAATGCTGAAGTAGAGAGGAGGTAGTGTCCGGGGGCCCACTAATCGAAACCACATCTTTACTGCTCGCGCTTATGTAGGCCTGATTAGCCCTTGGAATACCATTCGATTCGTTGAATTGTGTCAGGGCCACAATCGAGGCCTCTTTCTGGGCCCCTATTATGAGTGTTGTCCAGCTCTGGGCGACGGCAGCATCGCCATCCTTCGACAATCGTTGAGCAGCTCCATTGACCTTGGCGCCAATCCGGAAAGCTACTCTGACGGTTGTCAAAGCATTAGAGATCAACTGTAATGTGTCTTGACTGGTAGCGACTGATGAGGCCGACAGCAACCCAGTACAGAATCCAGCGAAAGCACTATCAGAAGGGGTAAAATATTGAGATGTTTGGTTGCCGAAAAAGCTAAATACTCAGTTAGTTGTGATCGTAGATACTTTATTAATGTGAATACCTGATGATAGTTGCCAATTGGCAAACGCAAGTCAGAGTAGTCTCAAGGATCTGATTGCGGGATCCTGAGCGACGGTATCGTCTGACAAGATCCAGCACATCTGTGAACTCTGGAATCTGCACGCGCACGTCGCGAGCCTGTCGGCGTACCTCATCTCTCAGAACCTTGTTAAGCTCTTCCAAGAAATGCAGGAGGAGAACGTCCTTCCTTCGCTCACAGAGTCTTTGTAGTGACTCTACGAAGTCACCAGTCTCATCGCCAAATATATACAGCTTCAATGATTCCGTCATGATGTTGTGATGGGAATTTTACCAGATGATTTAGACAAAAAGTGTGATCGATGTTAATTGTTTGGATTCCTTCAAGTTGAGAGTCTAGAATCGAAGCTCTGTTGCATCAGTCTGGTATAAATACATATCACTGTAGTTCACAAACACTTGTTCTTGCGGCTGTTGACCATAAGGGTCTATGGCCAAGTGCGCCTCCCAACATCATGCACGCTTGAACCGAAACGCCCTTGACGTAGTTCTTCGGATCGTAGATATCTCGTCATCTGCGGTGGACCCCATATGGAGCCTATAAGGCAATGAGCATAGTATATCAGCTCTCGGACCAGGCGCGGAAACAATATTTAGCCACATGTCGCTCGGGATTTATGGTATACTAGACCCCTTGAGGTTGGGCTCAGGTCGATGTAGACTCCACATTCTGTGACATCAATACGTAGAGAAGTCCTGATGGTCAACCTAATAGTGTTATCAGACCTGTTGTCCATGTTGATACGAATCTTGAAAATCCGATAGCCGGTAAAAACGACATGTAACATTCTGGAGTAACTACAGTGGCGTTGCAAAAGTTTGAAACCTCCTATTTCCGAACATTATCGACCGCCTTCTAATGGCAGACTAGTAGCTACCTGAGCTGGAATAGATTGGCCAATCTATTCCAGCTCAGGTAGCTACTTGTTCCCTTGGGAAGGCAGGGATCAGGGCGGTCAACAAAGGAACACCACTGTAGTCTAAATTCTTTAGGCCACCCGCCCTGTATCGGAATTACCGCGGATGCGATAAGGTCGTTCGCATCTCGGCTACTCTACTACCGAATAAAACATGCGAAAAGGTACTGCTAATCGAATTCCGAAATTCCGACAAGAGACGGAAACACACTTTGCGTAAAGAAATGTTGCTGAAGCTCTGTTAAGGATTGTGGCTTGCAGGGATGGATATGGCGCGATGCCGCTTCGGTTGATCTGCTGGAAAAGTTAACCGAGACGGAAAGGTTGAACAGAACCCGACAAGGCAACTAATTAGAAGCCGAAGCTAGCATACGTAAACAGGATCGTTGAGTAAGTCTTACGCTGCAGCTCAGCCTTCAAATGAGCGCACATAACAGACACAGCATCCAGAATGGTATCGACGATATTTGAGAGGAGAGAGGATCTTGAAACTGAACATGCATCAAGCACAGAAACGGCCGAGCCAGAGGCTTCTTGGATCAAGAGCCCCTCAAAGCAGTGGCAATGAGCTATCATGGACGAGCTTTCTCAAGTTGGAAGATGATACATGGCTCTATGACCAATTACTATTCGGCAGCAAGACCTTTCCAGTTGCTGGATACGTGGTAATGGCCGGTGAATGTATGCGGCAGCTGTCAGAATCAAACTTGGAGTTCTTCTCTGTGAAAGATCTCTCCATTAGCTCTGCTCTAGTTTTCGACTCAGACGACAAACTTGAACTGCACACGAAGCTTCGACCACAGGGCCTGAATGAGGAAAACAAACAGTGGTATGACATCGAGATTTATTCCCACAATGGAGGCCGATCGATCGGGCTGTGTACCGGTCTGGTAGCACGGGAGGCTGCTCTCGACACAGAAATGCCGCAAAATCTTACTTTGAATGGAGATTCCCACAGGCCGGTCAGTTCGGACTATTGGTATGATATGATGGCAGATCGTGGCATCGAGTATGGCGCCTCACAGCGAGGCCTCAGCGATATCTCGGTAGACTTCACAGAGAAGAAAGCTAGTGCCACGATTATGCCAATGCTCGATACAACGAACTCTGTCGTTCATCCAGTCTTCATCGACCACTGTTTGCAAGTCTCGATGATCGCAGCTTGCAAAGGCCAAGGTCGGCTCTTGGCCGATCTGTCTGTTATAACATCAATCCAGCACCTTGTTGTTTCCAACGACACGTGGGGCAAGCTTAGGGTCAACGGAGTGGTGAACCCGGGTCACTCTCAGGTTTCGACGTGCAAAATTTCCGCTTTGAATGAAAGTGGTCTTCCAATCCTGAGTGGACAGTGCAAAATCACCCCAATCCACGACTTGGAACGGCAATCAGGCAGAGAACTGTATTCTTTCATCAATTGGGACACTGATTCAACTTACCACAACTTGAACCAATTTTTGGCACCCTTTCAGTCTGATCTAGACCCAGCTGTCGCCCTCGAGCGCTTAGCTCTGCTCTATGCTCTGAGGTCAGAGGATATTGGCGCACAAAGCCAAACATACCCGAAGAGAATTCTGAAGATGGTTGGCACCAGGAGAAAAGGGGAAATTCGGTCTAGTACCCGATGTCTCTCCTTTTGTCGAGTGCGAGCCCAGCAGTCGTGCAAAGCTTATCAGATTGCTCAAGGCTCAAATATGTGAAACGGAACTCTCTACCCTCGGTCTTGCGTTGGAAAGGTGTCTCACAGACAATACACCATTCTCGAGAAGCGACAGCGAGAGACAGCTACTACTTGATCAATTGCATCCACTCATCCGGAACAGTGGGACGCTATGCGAATCAATTCGGCTCCTAGCTCATAAGAACCCCAAGCTGAAAGTTCTCGAATTCGGAAGTGGCACGAAAGATACCACAAACCGAGTGCTGAAGGCTCTTCGAACTCAATTTGATGAGCCATTGTATTTCTCCTACCTGTCCGCTTCGACGTCACTTCCAAAGGAGAGCCTCAGGGGAAACGGCAATGCTCAGCCGCTCTTTTTCGACGCCGAGAAAAGCATTGAAGAGCAAGGATTGAAGGCGGGGACTTATGATCTCATAATTATTACTGATGTAAGAGTGGCGAAAATTGGAAAGGGCTTTCGCTAACAAATATCCAGTTTGAGGCATTGGCGAGCAATGCAACAATTGGTGTAAAAAGCCTCAAACAGCTGATTCATCCTCAAGGACATGTAGTACTTCTTGAGGGAGTTCCAGAACCGGAATGGTTGTTGGTACTGAAGGTGTGTGGGACATCTATGGATGAAACGACAAGAAATATAATGCTGATTATAATCTCTAGGATTACTTGGCCGAAGAGTCACCAAATGCGTCAACTGGGTCTAAGACCAAGTCTTCCTTTGAAGATGTGTATGCGGCACTGACGGAGAATGATTTTGTATTTGGCAATCATGATAACACATCGACCTCAGCGCCGAAAGTTTTTGCGCAGCTGAAACAATGTGTGCCTGAAAGTTCATCGGAAATTACGGTCATCGGTCCGGCGTATCATCTTCCTCTCATTCGCGAAGTTGAAAAGACCTTCGGGGACCATAACATAAAGTGCTTGAAAAGCACGATAGATGAAGACATACCACCTAGCCGAGACATAATGGTATTTGTCGACTTCGACGAGCCATATTTGTACAACATCACAGAAGCTGAACTGTCTCAATTTGTTAAGCTTGTCTCAGTCATGAAAGGCAAAATGATCTGGGTTACCCCAAGTGCCCAGATTCATTGCAAGAATCCTAACTCATCTATGATACTCGGACTGATGAGAACAATCAGATCTGAATTCAACAAGGACATTACCACGGTGGAGCTGGATACGAAGCGCACGATGAATGTCAGCTTGAGCAAGTCGCTCCTCAAAATATACAAAGGCCTCAGTCGTCGCACCAAGTCGAAAGACCTCGACTATGACTACGAATACGCGATTGTTGATGGAGAAATCAAAATACCGAGGCTCCAATGGACAACAGCTGAAGCAGAGTATGCTAATCTAGCCACGCACTCTGCTGCACACGATGTTGGCTCTCAAAACCCCAGTCCTATCACCGCTATGGTCCCTGGAACTGTCCGGTTTCGCTCAAACTGCTGCTACCTACTAGTCGGGGGACTGGGGGGGACTCGGCCGGATGATCTCGACATGGATGGTAGAGAATGGGGCTCGGAACATCATTTTCCTTTCTCGCTCTGCCAAGGAAGGGCCTCAGACTACGCCTTTTTTTGATGAGCTTCGAGCTCAAGGATGTACGGTCACACCATTTGTGGGCAGTGTCACAAATATGTCAGATGTAGAAGAAGCCATTAAGCAAGCGACGACTCCAATCGCTGGCGTCATTCAGATGTCGGCTGTTATGCGGGTACATTTATCTACCTTTGATGTTAAGCTTTGCTAACTGGTGTCACAGGACAACTTAATGTCACAGATGACATTCGATGAGTGGCAAACAAGTGTACAGCCGAAGGTTCAAGGCACTTGGAACCTCCATCATGCTACCCCTTCCGCTGATTTAGACTTTTTCTTGCTTTTTTCCTCAATCTGCGGCATTACAGGTCAATGGGGACAGGGAAACTACAACGCGGCAAACTCGTTCTTAGACGCATTTGTCAACTATCGTCATGGCCAGAATCTTCCGGCCTCAGTAATCGACATTGGTTTCATGGGAAGCATTGGTATGGCAGTGAAAAGCGAAGGTCTCATGAAGAATTTGAAGAGAAGTGGTTATTACTTCCTCAATGAGCGGCACCTCATCAATGCTTTGACTATATCTCTCGCGCATTCACGTCCTGGAGGCGATCGATTTATGCACCGAAGTCAGCTCGGTCTTGGTATAAGATCGACGAAGTCCATGGCCACCCCTACATGTCGGGTTGCTTGGAAGAAAGATTCTCGGATGGCTATATCACATCACTTTGAACCTATTGGTGGAATCGGAGATCACCAAGTGAAGAATCTCCTGAATTGTGCTTATAGCACCGGGAAAGACTGAGATTGGAAAGTTTCTTGCGAAATAAATTTACTCTTTCAAAAAATAATATTAAAAATTTATTAAAAGTTGAAGGGAAATTCCATGACTCCACTTACCGGGGTATTAATGTAATATGTTTGGCTAAGTAGTATTGTAAAGAGCAAGGGTTGTTACTAGTGTTTTGATGTCTTACGTGAAGAAAGTCGACTTAAGGAGTCGCCTATATCTAGCTTTCGTCTTTTCTTCTTCTCCTCCTCTTCTCCTCCTCCTCATGCTATTACTTTTGTCGAATCGTTCCTACTACACTTTCGGATCCGATTCTTCGTATCTTATCTGCGAGTATCTGAGCATCCTCATAATAATGATGAATATTCCTTTAAGAGGTACTTTAACTCTCAAGGCTCTATTCATGGGCACTACATTAAGACGCCGAAAATATTTGGCACAGTATCATAGATAGATAATCGCATCGCTATACACGTCAGGATTTCGCAAATTAAATTCACTCCTCTATTAGTGAAGTCTTTGTCCCACAGAAATGCTCTATCATCTACGGTTGTCAGTCCCAGAAAGAGAGCCAGGCCAGAAACAATCTTTAGTTCCAGATACATAACTGCCAAGCCACCGAATATCGTATAACTTCATTACTTCAGAGAGATGCTTTCCCCTTGCCAGCAGTGTAATATTGAGTAAAATCATGAAAAATCCCGTAAATGTGCTGCGATAAATGAGACCAAGTCGACAGATGTTTTTGAATGTAAACATACCCTGTCAAAATCGTCTCTGATCTTAGAATCACCCTGCATACGAGCAAAGGTGGCAAGAACTGGGTCCTTGTCAAGGATCGTCTCCGGATCCGAAGTTGAGACTCGCATGAAGTTGCTCGTTGAGACCGGGTCCGTGAAATTCGTGTAAATGGACCTACGCACCTCGTCGTACTTGTCCAAAATGCTCTGATCCGCCCGACCCATATGAATCCCTATGAGGCACTCGGATAATCCTATCGCATCTGCAAAGCCTCCTGTCAGACCTAAGCCGCCCCACGGATTGCAGAGATGCGCAGCATCGGCTGCCAAACAGATACGGCCCACTCGATATTTCTCTGCGGATCGTTGATGTAGTCGATATGGACTTATGTTGAGAACAGTGTAATCCTCAGGCTTGGGGTGGCCGGGAAGCAATTGCTCGAAACGGGCTGGGTGATCATCAAGAACTTCACGCAAGGTTTTGCTGCCGTCTTCTCGGTATGAGACGCGCCAAAGTCCATCCTTCGTCAAGCGAGCAATAATATGCCAGTCATTGAGATCAATGAAGGTGTTGAGATCATCGTAACCCCAATCGTCGAATGGATAGTAGATCTGGATGCGTTTAGTAAGAAATTCGAGTTCTCGAGTCTCCACCTACGTTCGTTGCGACCATCTGGTCGTTCCAGGTCCTCCCGGGAAAGTCTCCGCCAAACAGCGACTTGCGTACTTGGCTAGTGGCTCCATCACAGCCACATACAAAGTCTGCTTTGATAATCTTCTCAGTTCCACCATTCTCGCGGACTAACACCCATGCAGAGTCTTCGTCTTGCCCGACATCCAGAACCTGACAACCCCATCTCACGGAAATGTTGTCATTTTTCTGTGCATGAGACCATAAAATCTTTCCCAGAGTGTCTATGGGCAGTACAGTCGTAGCATCTGGACTCTTCGACGGTGCAAAGTCTTCAATTGTCACGATCGGTGTGCCATCAGCCTTGCGAAACGTCGCATTATTGGGGACAAAGCCGGCACGCCGAACGTCTCCCAAGGCTCCAGCACGCCTGAGTATTTGTATGCCAGGAGCAAAGATATGTGCAGCCCGTGGCTGAGAACCTACCCCGTCTGCTTTGTCAAGCAGTGTCACGTGTATACCAGCCCGGGCCAGGACCAAGCTCAAGGAAAAGCCACAAGGGCCGGCTCCAACGACGATGACCTTGATACAAAAGGTCATTGCTGCCTGTATTTGGAAGGGGGCAAGTGACTTACATGCATGGCAAGTGGCAGGTTGATATGAGATTCTTGGTTTGGAAAGCGTCTAACTGATTGCTCTACTTGATGTACTTGATTATTCGGAGGGGGGAGATCACCATGGTCTGCAGCTTCGATTTATGCGCTTTGTGAACCCAGCTCCCCGCTCTAAACGCGGAAACTCAGACAATCCCCAAGCGTCATACTCTGCCGTTATGCACTGCCAGCTTGCGTCACGGGCAGCAAACATTTCATGTACTCCTTAGTATTCGCATATGCAATTCTCCCGACAAAAACCTCGTGTTCATTGGTTCGCTGATCGGCGAGTACGCCGGGTTTCCGTTGACCTCTTCGGCAATACGGACTCGGGAATGCACGTCATCCTCAAATTGTCTTGAGTTGTGTCAACGAGAGGGGCTAAAAGTAACGAAGTTCAAGTTCTTACAAACAAACGTTTGGGGTAGACGCCACTCCACCTGATGTGCCTGTACGAGTACTCGTAGCCGGTCGGCTCTGCCCGACCCACTACCGACTTACCCCGGATCCATCGAATCTCGGCTAACCGAGATTGCTGACTTAATCACCGTGGAACCGGAACTCCGAGTCTAGGTACAGAGGTCGCCGGAAATCAAAAGTTTGACCTTTTATTTATTGATTTTGCTAGTCTAGGCGCTTACTACCTTATTTAGATTAGTTTAAATTGTATACTCGATACAGATACCCCCCACCTGGGCACTATCATACTAGTAGTATCAGGTACTAGTTAGTATATCCCCTACCGCGGGAATATATATCCAACTTGAACTTGAATCACACGCCCGGGGACACCTGTAGTTTGCGAAAAGTCCCTCCTGCTCAACATGCTACTAATAGTTATCCATGGTATATGTTATTAATAATCAGGCAGAAATGTTACTACAAAAAATCGAAATCTGACGCATTATTGATAAAGTATGCCCAGGTGCTTGGGAACCAAGGTGGTTCAAGTTATCTGTTAGTTTACAATGAATACTGGTGCCAGTGACAAGTAATGTACTCTCTTCCTCGTCCCGTGTCAGAAATTGGTATCACCATAATTCTGTAGATCTGTTCCCGTCACAACCCATGTCAGGTGTATCTAGTAGGTTTTAAGAGTATTTTCAAGCTTCGATAGGCCTCGAGTAATAGAGATTGTGGATGTCGATACTGCCGACAACTCCGGGAGGAAACACCCTCATATTTATGACAAGGTGGAAGAACTTCATTGCCAATTACTAGTAGCGGTGCCTTCGATGTTACTTAGGGAGTCAAGACCTTGGTGTATAACGCCATTTTCTAACACACGACGAGAGGAGGGGTACATTCAGTGTCAACATCCTGCCTCATCCTTCGACGTAACCATTCACATGTCCTTTTACGCGGCCATTCCTATATCCGTTGACTTATCCGCTCGTGTAATCTTCCACATGCTGACTCAAAGATCCATTTATCTGTTCCTTTTCCTGCACAAATCTCCCGAAGAAAGTCTCAATCCCTTCATGGTTTTTCATATCGAGGACCTTTGAAACATCTGTCACAGATCAATATTGAGTCTGAAAGGAATTAAGGCAAGTTTACTTACATTGATCTGGACGGACAATGGCAACCGCTCCCTGTCCAGGGTCGATTCCATAAAACTCGTATGCATGACCGTGGCCGTTGTGATAACTTTCGTCATCAATGTAGATTTTGTGCAAGTCTAGCTGTGACATTAGCAAGCTAGACCATTGGTAAGATAAAAGCCATCCTTGCCTCTAATTCTGTATTCGCCAGTTACAGGCCAAAAAGCATCTGGTATCTGTTCTTGTAGTATCTTCAGTCTCTCGCCAGAGAGAATTACAATGACCTCGATGACGCTGTCGATGTCCGCACCGGGTGGTAGGTATTTCTGGATCGGCCCATGATTTGAGAACAGGTATGTTCCAAGCTGAGCGACGTATTAGGATACATGTGCTTCTAGTCGAAGCGTGACTCACCTGATTTAGCTTTGTAGAGGCTAGCTGCTGTCGAATGTCTCCTGGAAAGACTATGATTCTCCACCGCCCATCAGAGGGTAGAGCATTCACAGACTTCATTACTTTTGCATCGCAGAACCGAACCACCTGGACACCCTGAAGTCGCATTCCAACTTTGAGATTCGTGGCCACTTGCTGATTACTGCCTCCGGCCTGAGTTATTATAGAATCGTCATAGGTGACCGTCAGTCCGGCTGTAAAGGCCTCTGCTTTCACAAAGACTTCGCTGAAGTCAATCTTGCCGTTAGAATCAACGACACCGCCGTCTTCTTTGGCTATCGAGGACATCTGTTGCGCCCAGACTTTATCCCAGTTAATCAGCACATCTGCTACCTTCTGCCGTTCCAGGACATAGGTCTCAAGAAGTTCGGGCCCAGCATAGCCTTTGAGGACGGAGGCTAATTTCCAGCCGATATTGTACCCATCCTGCAAGCTGACGTTCATACCTTGACCTGCCTTCGGAGAATGCGTATGACAAGCATCCCCCGTTAGAAAGACGCGATTGGCTTTTGAGAAATGGTCCGCGATACGCTGGCCAATAGGATAGGCTGACCACCAGTATACATCTGCAACGTCGAGTGTATACGGTTGAAAGACTTGACGCGAAGCATGTTGTATATGTTCAAGTGTTACCTCTTTCGCTTTGGCCCCTGTCGTGAGCTCCACATAGACTCGAACCATAGAACCACCTTCTCGAGGTATGGTAATAATGCTGCCGGCGTCGGATTGTATTATACATTGTTTCCGGATGTCGGGGAAGTCCGTTCGTGGAAAGACATCCATCACGCCCCAAATAGAGTCGGAAGATTCTCCAGTCATGTTGAAGCCCAAAGACTTCCGGACAGCACTATGGGCGCCATCGCTTCCCTGTAGATTGTTACCTTTAGTGTTGCTAATAGCAGGACACATCGTAATGTACCAAGCAATACTTAGCTTCAAGCACTTCCTCTTCACCACCGTTTTCAGTTACAATGGTCACCGGATGAGCTTCTGGATCCTTGGCTTTCTCTTCATCAACCGTGACTTTCACCACCTTGTGTCCGTAGTCAACCTCCTGTTGATTCAGCCTCATCATAGCTTCTAACCACATACCATTGAACCGTGCTTGGTTCAAGATAACACGTGGCATATGTGACAGGCCCGGTGTCGTGGCGTGCGCACTTCGTTTGCGCACAATTCCCATGCCATGTCTTATAGGGTCGGAGCCCCAAAATGCCACTTCAATATTGTGATAGGCTTCTCTGAGCAGTTCCTCGGCCATGCCGAAACTTTCGAAGATTTCCACAGATCGGACTTGAACTCCATCTGCTTGCCCAACATTCAGTGGCCCAGATCGAGACTCAAGTATTTTGCAGCGAATTCCGTATCGTGCTAACCATGTCGCTGCTGCAAGCCCAGCGGTGCCGCTACCACAGATGACAACGTCAAATTTGGAACTCATTGTGTTGTGGTTTAATTGATACTAAGGAGAGAATGCTGCGATAGCATCTGGTATACTTATGGGAAGATTTGAGAAGAAGAGTTCGTGCTGACGATTAAGTTCACATTGTTGCGGAGACAACTTCGTACTTGCCTGACGACTGATCTTTGCATTGTTTGCCCTACCCGATACCAAATCTAAATGGCGGGCACAGATATCAGTGAGTAACAGGTCTACGCCTACCGATCGTTCCGCTGGACATCATCTTTTCCGAACTTAGCCGGTAGATATGGTGTTGTAAGAGAGATTGTCGAAGAGCCTCTGGATGCAGAGATGGCTTCAGCGTGACTGGATGAAGCGGCTCCTCGGTAAAGTACTCCATCGCTCTGACATCATCCATATGGGAGTAACGCCGGATATTCTCGTCGAAGTGGTGAGTTCGCCGCGAACTAGTGGACCGAATCAGCCCGTTATCCATACTGAATGTCGTTTGGTTCTCTATGTGCTGGCTGGGAGACGTGGCCGACAAAGACTCCTGCATGGTTGATTCCGAAGTATGTATCAGCTTTGATATTGGTACCCTTGCGTAGTCGGAGGTCAAAATTTCTGCATGCCCGACACATTTCTGATTTTCCGAGTTTCCGAGACGCAATGAGGGCGATCTCTAACAGAGTAAATATGTCGGGATTTTGTGGTAATGTAACTTCCACACTTGCGAGACTGATACTTCCATCGCATGACTGAACCCGCCTATCGGGTGAATGTCAGAGTTATGGGGTGGCCTCTGTGATCTCTTGCTTTCATTCTAAGACGCCACAGATGTCATCCACCTGGGGTACCTTGCGAATTTAGGCCACCAAGGCTAAGCGAAGCCACCTATTTCATTGCTTATTCCCGATCTCCTAGGCTAGCTTATAGGGACACGCAAGCCAAACTCTGCTAAGAATAGAAGTAAGCTAAGACCAGATCTGCATGAAGAATCGGCAAGCCCAAATACCCAGTGCAATTTCCAGGGCAGGGACAGACTAGAAGCAGACCTCGGCCTGAAATTGGACACAGTAACACCACTCCTATAGAGCCTGAAACTTGAGGGCCCCTACTATACAATTATTCCGTCTCTGTTAAGACCTCGCTAGCGAGCACTACGAAGCCAGAGCTTTGAGCCTTTTGAATGATTCATGCTGGACACCGGAAGCTTCTCCCCTCCACAGTGCTGTATGGCGCGATTGACTGATACCTTCATGTGTGGAATTATATCTCCTTTTGCGACCCTTCTTATTTGAAAATACTGGCATCGTCTTTTTTCGGTCCGGGTCGGGAGCCGAATTCCGACTTTTATAAGAGTACCTTGCGAGCCGATGAATGAAGCCAATCAAGAATCGATGATAAAAAAATTCACTGAGATTCATTATCAAGACACTCTACAACTTACAGAAGATTTAATAGATTCAGGTTCAATCGGCCACTCTCGATCCGAGTCTCAGACATACTACATTAATTATAATTATCTTCTCACTAGGGTGACAGCCCTCAGATAATACCTTGCGTTTTTTTCCAATTCTGTTGACATCTTCTCCCTTTATCGGATGATCTGTTGCAACCTGTCTTCGAAATGATGTTGCACGTAGGGATCGTAGCTAGCATTGCCATATGCATCACCTCCGTAATTTAGATAGCCTTCCACAGAGCCCGGCGATACTCCACGTGTGATCTCTGATGCGTTCCCCATCATCCACACAGTCTGCATTCCCATGATCATATGCTGAAGTGTGTGGCAGTGTACCATCCACACCCTGGAGCGAAAAGAACACGGTGTCAGCACACAATGTCTTTCCCCAAACGTGAGCGAAAGAGTCTTACCCAGGATCCTGAACATGTAATCGCCAAGCCCGCCATCCTTGGTCAGTAAAATTCTTATTCTCGCCCAAATACTGACCCGGGGTGTATTTGTAAAGCATGGTCGTATCTCTTATCACCGGGTTGTAACCCTTCAACTTCTCCTCGTTAGCTGTCGCATTGTACGTCCCAGGCCCGCTGCCAAGATCATAGATGTGGCCGCCATGAATATGCCATGGATGAAGGTCGAAGCCGATGACCAGACCATTTGGCTGGTTGACCATGACAATATCGATGACTTCACCAACCTTGGCTACGTACACGTTGAGGTTGGGATCCCAACCCCCATTCTTCTGCACCGTGGTCTCGTAATCTGGTATTGCTTTGTCCCCGCGCCTGAAGATGTCAACCAGATATGGGGTCCCTCCCTGGTGCTCCTGTTTCCAGAATGGAGTGTTTCCCCTGTGTTGATTGGTCTCGGTCCAAGTGTGGTTTGATACAGCCGCATACACGCCCTCCTTCGCGATCAGCTGGAGCGATGTCAGGGTCACCGTCCGGTCTACCTTATCAGCGGTTGGGAACCCGTTGGGTTCCAAAGGCTCAAGAACATACTCTAGCCAGTCGTAGACCTTGTTCGGGAGGGTCAGGGGCTGTTTCTCGGGAGGCACCAAATCTGTAGTCTGGTTGAAGGCAATATCACTGGTGGTGTTGTACGCGAGCAGCGCGTAAGAAGAGACGTTCATAGGTCGATAGCGTGACTCCATCTGGATCCAAAATGCACTTTTTCCAAGATGTCGTAGCTCATCCTCTGTCTTCGTGCGGAGAAGGAAATCGAAACGTTGGCCGGAAGCAATCTGGATGTGTTCCGTTTTCGCCAGCTTGGTGTATTTCCCATCTGCAGCCATGACAGAAAGCTCTTGGTGGTCTTCGAACCCCAAAGTCACGAGGTTCAGAGCTGGTCCACCAATGATTCGCATCCGATATGTTTTGTCGGGATCAACCTGAATCGCTTCAGGGCCACAGCTTGACACGAGGGATGGATCTGGCATGACCCACGGCTCAGGTGTATCTGTCTCATTCGCACTCATACCAGGGAAACTATTCCCATTCATAAGTATTGTCGAGGGGTCGCCAGTCCTGGAAAAAGTGAGCAAATCATTCGGAGATCAGTTTTCACGGTGCTCGACCATGGGCTGACGAATTAAATTGCGACTAACCATCGGACCACATCATAGGGCCTGAGCAGCTCAGTCTCCGTCATCGAGTCGGTCTTGTTGTAAAGCTCGGAAATAAACATGATGCGTTCTTCATCGTACGTAAAAGGTGGCAATTTGCCGTGCTTTTCTTCGACAATTAGAGGTCCTGTTGCAGATACTGCTTGGAATCCGACATGGGAATGGTAGAAATGAGTGCCAGCCTCGCCGATTTTCGGCCAGATTTCATAGTCGAAATATTCTCCCGGCTTTGTGGTTGATCAGTACATCTTTTCTTTCATTCCGACCTCTCAACGGACTCACCTTGATGGGCCATTGGCTTGCCTGAGGCGAACCATCGGAGAATGGAGCAATGGACTGACTTAGACCATGCCAGTGCTGTTGAAATATTGTCAGGGGATACTTGTTTCATAGTTTAAAGAGATCTTTTAATACCATGGTAGTATTCTTCGATTCCAGATCATTGCATACTCTCACCCAAGTGGGTTGGTCTTCTCTCAAGTAGATGGCTGGGCCTGGTGAGGTTCCTGTTGATAATTCATAAGCATGCCTCGCGGCGACTATGATGGAAATGGGAGCTAGACTAACCATTGACTAACGTGCTGGGCCGGGTCACACAAGCTACAGGGAAAACTTGCTCAGACACTCGGAGTATGTGATCAGGTTGGAAATCAGAACCATGAGTTGTATACCGCGAGGCGGCTGTCGACCAAAGAGCTGTCAACGCTATGCAGACTTCAAGAGTTGAAGGCATGACTCGATCTGGAATCTCCAGATTGAATAGAGCCCCTGTAGGTGGCAGATCAGAGAATAATCCGATGATAGATGACACTCAGTGTCTGGTATGCCTTTTCTGGTAATGCAATTCTACGGAGCACGAATTAAATCGGTCGAGGAGCCACTAACCCGCGTCGAAGTTGCTTTGGCCACCGATTAATGAATTCTGACAGGCCTGAGAGATGACATCAGTCGACGGTCGTATCGAGTTTGCATTCTTCGGAAGGTTTCAATGCTCGGCCGGTGGTTTCCAGCCTTGGCGCGACCGCGATCAGGACGGATATGCTCCCACATGCTGCGAAGCGAATCACATCTTATGCTCTGTCCAAAACCGATCGCGGTAAGATGGGCCATCAACGGAACCTCGAAAGCCTGGGGTGCTTTTGGCAGGCCTAGTGGTTTCGGATCGAACATTCTTCCAACACTGAATCACTTCGGCTATCCGGTTATCAGAAATTTTGGACCCTCTCCCGTCCGGCAATGTGCTTATCTCATAGCTGGATCGGCACGTCGAGTGGAGCTGTAAGATTATCGATGTGGAGGTTCATGTATGACGATATCATGCAATAACCTGTCGGTGATCCCTAGGACTTCTGGCACTTGGCCGAAACACTACCATCCCCAAACGACAATCAATGATGCTACTGTCTGGTATTTCATGTGTTTTCAACCTCGTGGACTAGTAGAATGCGAGCAGATTATTCACCATATGCTTCTCCAATTCCTCAACCACCTCTACACTTCAAAGGTATTGCTGGTCCGGCCTCTCAAACTAGCGCCAATCACGCCGCTGGCTCCGTGCGCTCATAGTTGACAATCAAACACGAGAAATTTATGCACTGCTCAATTGGTGCTTCTTGAATTCCTGTCATATTACAAAGATGCTTTCGACAGTGATTACATCTCTCCTGCTTCTCCTTTCTGCCTGTGAGGGTCTGCCAACCCACGGGACGCCTCTTTCTGGTAGTTGGTCAACACTGCCTAACATCACGCGTGATGGCTTGGAATACCCTCGCCAAGAGCACGCAGCGGTCCGGGTTGGCGACGAGATCTACGTACTTGGAGGTATTCTGCCGTGGAATGGCAAGGAATACGCTACCACCGATATCGTCCAAAAATACAACATGATAACCAGCACTTGGACAGAGACGGCTTCCATGCCTGTGGCTCTGAATCATGCCAATGTCGCCGTCGTCGATGACAAGATCTACTGTCTTGGCGGCTTGGAAGCACTCGATGAAACGTATTGGAATGCGACAGGCAGGTCGGCGGTCTATGATCCTGCCAATGACGAGTGGAACGTACTGCCTAGCATGCCCGAAGGACGAGAAATCGGCAGTGCGGCAACTTTGGTTGTTGACGACACCATCTATCTCCCCGGAGGACTTGCATACACAAACATTACCTATGATCAGGAAGGAACAGTGTCCCGATTCACATCGTACAATGTGAGAACCAAAGAGTGGTCGATCCTGCCGGACCTGCCTGCTCCGCGTGATCACGCTGGTAAAGGCATCTATCAGGATGTGCTTTATATATTGGGGGGACGAGCATTTGGGAACAAAAACGTAGTCTCCACGGTGTTTGGATTCAACCTCACCTCTCACCAATGGTCGACAGCGTATGAGCCCATGCCTATTGCGCGTGGAGGAGTCGCTTCTGCTTCTATCGGTTCTCAGATGTTCACGGCAGGCGGAGAAGGGGACCGCAATACTCCCACTGCCGTTTTCCCTGAGATGCAGGCTTATGATGCCGCCAAAAATACGTGGATCAAATATACAGACATGCCTCTACCAATCCACGGGTCTGATGCTGTGGTATATAAGGGTGAGATTGTGATTCCGGGTGGAGGCATTGTGACGGGGGCGACTTTGACGGCAGTTGTTCAGACATTCAAACCCCCCATCCAGGATTTGGGAGAGGAGAGCATGACTCTGATGGTTATGGTATATCAAGTTATTATTGACTTACCTTGGATGCTGTTCACGAGATGATGGCCCGTTTGAATGCCTTGAGTGAATTTCCTCAACGGCGATCTGGCTGTGCTTTTCATAGTCACCAATTAAATGTCACCAAAAAGTCCTGGCAAGACGTTTCTGTCGTCATTGACAGATTTGATTTGGCCCTTCTCCTCGCGGAGATAAATCGTAGTTAAGAATGTAAGAGGATATTACCGTACATTGGCCTTCGTTAACCAATTTGTGAGTTCCATCCCTCCTGGTAGAATAATTGAAGCCGAAACAAGACGACAACTTCAACGCGAAGGATTTTCTGCATCAGATACTCTATTATCCATCCATGACAATCAATGACTCGGACTTTCCCGATTTGCTGGAAATACTGAAGCCTATGATACTCACGGGTCCTTTTACATTTTTCCGATAAGCATTGCAGAACCACGACAACTACCCTTGCAAGATACCATGTCATCACGAGCTCCAATCCACACTTCTTTTACCGATGCTCGAGCACAAGCAGTGCATTTAGCATCATTTGATTAAGGACTAAACTTAACCTGGCTCGAAGGCCATATTACGGATACATTAGAACAGTGAATCACAACGTACGATATATGGCAAGGTTGAGTGGAGATCCCTCTGAGTCAGTTAGATTAATCGGTAACATTTACATACAGCCAAAGGTTAATCCTTAGAGAAAAGGGAGTGGCAAGGAAAGAGCGCCCGAGCGACCATTTCTTTATCCACTCGAAAAACCCTTCCGGGGACCCATTGTCGATCAGTGACAAAGGTACCTTAAAAGATACGAACAAAGCAATCATCGACGATTACGAACAACTAGTCGCACGCACCCGCGAGGGCCTAGACCCAAACAAAGGCTCCCAGAAGATTTACGACCACCAAAAAGCAGTGAGGCTACGCCCACGTGCATAAGTTCAATACTACGCCGTTACATTGAAAAACCTTGCGCCAACACCTGGTTGGACTGACGATCATATTGAGGCGCAATGTTAGACAGACTAAAACTACGGTTACGATAAGCACGCATTTACACATGAGGATATGACGCCACCTTGCCAGAGCATATTGAGGAAGCCACATGCATCAACGACAGTTTTTACGCTGTATAAGTAAAATATCGCCCCGGACGAGAGATCTCCGGCAGTACGTGATATGTACAACTGCGAGAAACTCTGGAAAGAGGACACGAGGCTGCAAATTGTCGATCGCATCAAGGATCTCGTGAATGACGTTAAACTCCCAAAGATACAATCAAGAGTGAATCCCTGTGGCTTAACCGAAATAGGTAAGTGCCCCCACTCTCACCGGCGCGGCCCGCTGGCTGAGAGTGACTGTGGGGCCCTGCCTCTGTATTTAGGCATTACCACGGGTGCTAGAAAGCTCCGTGTAGCCGGCCCGGCCCCACCAGGTAAGCACTAGCACTAGCAAGGGAAGTATCTTCAGCTGCAGGGAAATCATGCATGTTGCGACAGCAGGATTCAGACCAGCATATCTCGTCAGCGTGGCAAAGCTGATGGCGGGAAATATTGTTGAAAAAAACCCCCGCCGGTGGCCGGGGCTTTATTCGATGACTCCAATAACGTGGGCCAGTCCCAACGCAAAGGACAACCACGGTATATTCAACTGCTCATTTGCCCACCACAACTTGTACAACGATGCAAGCAGACCGTGACCGAGCTGAAGTCTCTCCTTCTTTGAGGAAAAAGAAATGGATGTCACGGCGCAGAGGTGCATGTGAGATGTGCAAGTCGAAAAAAGTCCGCTGTGCGTAGCTCCACCCCTGTAGTCGATCTGATTTTGTTGACTTTGGGTATGACACAGGCGATGGTGCGACGCCATGTAGATATTGTAACGTGAGGAAAATTTCCTTCAGACACGTTAGCATCGGCTAATACGTCTCATCAGTTGCATGATTTGGAGTGCGAGTACCAGCTCTCGAAGAAGCAGCAGATCTCCAACAAGCCTCCGATAGCGTCAGCAACCGAGGAAATTTCAGTAGAGCCGTGGCACGCAGAGAACGACAACTCTGGACTTGCTACACTCGCTCCCTCGCCGAACGACATACAGATACTGCCAGAATCAACAGCCACACACCTTGGAGGAGCCAACCTTGTTTCCGGAAATGCAGGCAGTGGGCTCCAAGACATGATGTTTGATAGGTATGCTCAAAATGATTTCTCGGCTGCATCTATGGAGTGGATTGGCAGTGACAATCTAGGAGCACCGTTTTCTGTCGACATGAGCAATATGAACGGGCTGGGAATGCTACCTTGGTCACCCCCGAAAAACACCTATCCGGAGGCCAATTTTGATATCCCGTATCCAATCGAACATACTACCGATGCATCAGCAAACCTTCCCTCAACCTCACAATTCGAGCTGAATTTACCACTGTCTCCGACCGGACCAACGAGGGCCAGATATGATGAGAAAATGTGGGAAGAAGTTAGTTCAAAGGTAAGCTTTGATCAAGAGGCGATTCGTTGCAACTGTTCAGCAAGTGGGTGTATGCAAACCAGTTGAGCTAACACAGTGTTTGTAGATTGCAATTGGGAATCTTCCAGGGACGGTACATGTGACTCTGATACAAAGACAATTGCTAATGATGTGGGAGTTAAGACCATAGCCCGAGAATCGACTTCTCTCTGACGGCAATTTTCTCGATACAGCGTCAGCGAATCGGAAATCTAAGCCGGACTGAACAAGACGAAGTAGATGGAATTTTCAGACGTTTCTCTGACACTCAGTCTCAGATGTCATTCGGGGTCGGCGGTGAGCAATATGAGAGCACCCATTCACGCTGGTACTGGAGCGACACTGCATTGATTGAAAAGTGCAAGTCTGGTATGTGCCTTGTTCACGCTATGTGGTTCAGCTTGTCGTCAAAATCTAACTTGCGTAGCTTGTTTCGAAGAACCACTTGGGTACGTCGCACCTTCCGTATCATCTATCGCAATAATACTGAATGATGCTAGCATTTCCACCTTTTTGACGAGATCGCATTTCGACAATTATGTCCAACAAGCAAGGGAGTCGCCATCTATTGAGGGCGTAGCAGTGAGACCACTGATCGATTCTGTTATGGCTTTCGGGTTTCAAGCCCTGGCCACAAGGTCACAACCCTCTGCAGGTTCTGATGTGAGCAGGAAGGCGATCTCTCGAATAAGAATGGCATTAAGCTCTCGCGACGCCGTGCAGCGATCGCCCGACACACTCCTGAAGATGCAGGTAAGTGAGCAATTCCTAACGTTAATTTGGCCACATGTTGACTGATCAGACAATTTTAGCAATGGTACGATAAAGGAAATGGTTTTTTTCCTTTCAACAGCTAACCAACCTCCAGACGACAATTTCTGAGCAAATCGATCGCAAAATTTACACTGAACTGTTATCATACGCAGTCAGCTGTGCCAGAACCCGAAGATTCATGAATCGGGACTCGGTATACATGGCCATGACAAAAGAGAAAGAATACCTTGCAAGAAGGAGTCTGTGGTACCTCTACTCGATCGAAGTCGTCCATTCCATACGCGATGGAATGCCACCTGTAAGTTCAGGTATGCAACAATTTTTGTTCGGATTCCTCTGACAATCTGAAACAGATCCTCAGCCGCGACTGGACTGACTATGCGCTTCCCGAAGTCAGCAAGGACACAGATTGGCTGCGCATCCAATGTCAATATGCCAACGCTCTCAGCTCAGCAGTCAATACGCTCTACAGTCAAAGGGCTCTTCGCCAAACTGTGGACGAGCGAGAACGAACTCTGATGCAGGCACACAAGGTCCTCGAAAGCTGGAGAACAGGTCTTCCAACACATCTGCAGAATATCCATCGGCATGAAACAGGGTATCTCACCCTTGACGACCAGAAGACGCGCCATTTGACCTTGACCATGGTTCACACGTATCATGAAGCCATATTTATCATTTTCTTTCCATGGACCGGAAGCCAGTCCAAAGGACTAGTCTCGGAACACTATCGCAAGACGATCATGGAGCTTTGCGTAAAGTCAGCCCAAGCCGTGTTAGCCATCGCGTCCCGAATCTCAAGCTGTGACATACTCGACGGGTGAGAAAAGGACATATACCCCAAGGATAATTAGTTGGCTAATACTAGATCTCTAGCAAGCTTATCAATCTGATTGCCGTGTCGATCTGTGTGACTTTCTTGGATATTGTGAGTACCGGTTCCAAGAAAAGCTTGCCATACTTAAGTATGTGCTGTGGAATTTTCGGGAGTTTGAGCTTGGACAACGAATTGCCATTAGCCGATGCTCTCAAGCTTACGCAGCTCGCTCAAAAGTCTGGGAAACCCTGATGGGCTAGGATTGGAATGATTAGACTGTATGGCGGAGTTCAGGTGACCGATGATAGACGACAAACAAGATATGATAAGACGTCACACCATAAACGATAGACAACGGGTTGCAGGCGTCTGATGACGGATGACAGACCAAAAGCCACAGTTCAGGATATTCTTGACAGTATACCTTGCAATTACGTTGCACTGAACATTCCACGGAGGGGCAGGGGTCGGGAATTTTTGCACAATCTGACTACCATGTTTTCACAAGTACTGCCTGTCTAAATACTCGTTGTATGAGCCTATTTGCAACCAAACTTCTCTAACTATGCCTGATCGTTTTGGAGTCTTCAACTCTCATCTGTTCAGAACTCCACCTCTGCTTTCGAAGCTTCTTCCCAAGAACTCGCAAGTTCCATTCGCAAAATAAAACTCATGGTTGCCGAAATGATCTACCATAATTGTGCATTGCAACTAAGTTTCAAAGCATGATCGATGAGTGATCAACCCTTCAACCATTCAAGCCTCCGTTGAATCAGTCTGGTCCTCTTCCTTTTCATTCTTGGCCAACTTCCGTCTTCGCTGATCTTTGAGTAGAAAGATAAGGGCGAGAATAGTGCCGAATGCTGTCAACCCGACAGAAAACCAGAGAGTACCTCGGTAACCACGAAGTAAGTCTGCCTCGGTTTGTCCGCCATTGTTGATCTGAAGTTCAATGGTACCAGCGAAACCAAGACCTAGCGATATACTGTAGACAACAATCGTCATGATCACACTGGACCCCATACCCTGGTACTGTCGAGGCACTGCATTCGAGAAGATGATTGTGGCAGCAGGCAACGATGAGTCCATTGCAAAGGTGGCAATGATGGTGGCGAAAAAGAAGTAGGTCCAGTACGTCGAGTGTACGGGTCGCAAGGCCATGAGCAGGGAGGTAATGAAGTAGCAAAGCATTGCAAACAACATGATAAACGAGGCTGGAACCTTGTTGATTATTTTCCCAACAACCAATGCTGTTCCTATGCCGGTGACGAGGATAGGAGAAAGCCATGCAGCCAGCTGAATGGGAGTTTGGCCACCGATATTCAGGGATATTCGGATGACGTAGAAAAGCTAGACACACCGTTAGTTTGACATGATCTCGAGACAAATACCAGTACTTACCCAGATGCCAAATGTTGACCAGCCCGCTGCTGTACAGCCAAAGACGAAGGCGATGTCGGAAGTGAGGACTGCGACAGGTAGGACTGGATAGCGAGCTAGGCGAAGCTCGATGTAAAAGAAGGCCGCCAGGAACAATAAACTGAGGATTAGGCATACGTAGACGTAAGGTTCGTCCCACGTAGTGACCAGGCTCTGATTCCAGGCGAAGTTGAACAGAACCAGAGCTATCACACCGCTTGCACCTCCCGGGAGATCAAGGCGGTCCAAGGTTTCGCGAATAGTTCGTTGCTGCTTTTGTTCACCCTCGACAGGCATGTTTGGAATTGCAATGATAGCGAGGACAAAAAGAAAGGCAACCCCCAACGCCTGACTCCAGTAGATCCATGGCCACCAAGCCATGGCAAAGAGGGGCCCAAAAAGAAGACCTGCCATCGCACCGACTGGGGCTGATGCTGCAAACCATGCGAACCCCATGTTACGATTGCCCTGGGAGAAGCATTTTCCCATAATGGCGAGTGCATTAGGCACAGTTAAGGCGGGACCAAGGCCCTGCAGGACACGAGCAAGGATGTAGACGGGGTAGCTGGAGTAGACAGAGGCTCCTGCCATCATGCTAGTCAAAGCAAGCCAGCCCATACCGATGATGAAAATTGCCTTGTTTCCAAACTCGTCACCCAGACGTCCTCCGATCAAGACGAATGTGCCTAGAGTCAAGCCATAGCCAGAGATTGTCCATGAGAGTTTACCAGGATCGGTGACACCAAAGGACTCTCCGATTATTTCGAGCGTCGTGAGGCTGTTGCATAGACCCAACTGATTGGTGAACATAGATGAACACACCGTCATAATGAATATGATCCGTCGAATCAAGTTGTAACCATCGGCAATGTAAACGTATTCATCTTTCGCAGTCTCTGTAGTGCCTATACCCGATTCTGTATGAGTTAGTCAACGCGTTCAAAGAGCCTACAGCTTTTGCAGAATATCTTTGAGAGATACTTACCATCACCATGCCTCGATGGTGGAATTTTGGGATGATGTGATGTATTTTCCTGCAGTTCTAGAGATGAGGTGGACATTGTGAATAGGACTGAATGTTACTTGACTGTAGAGACGGGCGAAGAGGTTTGCGGAGAAAAGAAAGATAATTAAATTTATGGAAGATAAAGAGAGGGAACCAAAAGGGGGGAGCCGCCAAGCCATCCTGTCTACTCGCTAAAGCGCAATGCGGTCTCTTTGATGCTGTCGGCATGTATATTTGTCAGAGTCCATTTCCGGAGCGATAACAAGATCTACAGTACAAAGTCAAAAGTCTCCGTTGACCCGCCCCCGACTTCCTTACGTAACCCGCCCACCCACCCATTCAGGGTCATCCCGAACTACCAAAAACCTGATTGCTCGGCCAATTTTTGAATTGTGGGTCTAATTCATTCAAAAATGCAATAAAAATCAATTGGACTCTATTTTCTATTTTGGATTAGCGTTAATATATAATATACGAGCCTTTCGCCTCTAAAACTGCATTTACTCGCGAATCTATCTTGCGGGCCGTTTCATGACTTTAATCTCATGATTTTCCAGCCCACACCCTAACCATACGAGCTGAATGAGCAGGAGCATTATCCTGCATAAATGCCAAGCCTGGTTCCCAAAAAATCAAGATATTATCCTCCAGAGTCCCAAGATATGGCTTCACTATAACCTCCCTGCTTACTCCGTAGTCTCCTCATCTCTCGACATAATGTTCATATCTGAATGATAACCACCCAGATCGCAGCCCAAATCATATAAGAGAACCCCTTTCCTTTTTTATATGAAACCACATAACCCCTCTTCCATTTTTCACCATGATTACTGGAGAAGACCCAAAGATATTGATTCCGGTTCGTAGGCAAAAATCCAATAAATAAGAAGTCGTGTGTGGAATGTTTTGGGGGGGTTGGGGGTCGAAAGAGTCAAAACCGTGTCGCGTCGCCTTGCAGGAAATACTAACTGAAACATATTTGTTGGTACTGTACGGAGTAATATTGAAACTGCTTTGTTTAGTTGGCACTTGGAGACACATTAACAATACACTTGGATGATAAAATCTTGATTACGAAAACCGCAGACGAGCATCGACCAAAATGTGTCTCAATGAAGAATGCGATTGAATATTGTGATCATCGCTACGAAAACGGATGGATCAGCCGCTAAGAATTGATAACACGATCCCCGACCGGCCCGAGCCTTGGAACAAAACGGAACTGCGCACGTTTTTAGGACACGTCAACTAGATGTTTCCGAGATTACATACCATCCCTCGCGCATGTCGCAGTAAAATGGTGGCGAAATTTGTCCAAAATCACGATAATTGGCTTGCGTTCTTCACTGTCATTGGATTTTAGGTTTCTGCCTTACTGGTTCTGCCTTATGCTTACCCTCACGTGCAAGATCGGGCCGGATCGCACAACCACGGCGGATTCACTTAGGTCTGCCCAGCGGGGATCAACACCGGACACCACGAGAAGGTATGAATCCATAGTCCCAATAGCCTGACGAGGATTGCTTCCAAATGCGAGCTCACGAGGGACTTTAAATACTACCGTACCAAGGACACATCGTTGGGGGCTGTAGTGCCCTGAATTGCGGCTGAGCCTGGCGCTATCCAGGGGTCGTTGGCGGATATGGACGGAGACGTGAGTGCGCAATTAATTCGCCCGCCGTAACCAAAAAAGTTTGAGTATTTAAAATAACCTGATACAGGTCGCGCACAATAACCGGCTACTCTATGCTGCCGGCGAAAACGACGTCGACAGAGCCATCGCTCTCTTGTCTCAGGGAGCGAGAATCGACTACGTCGACAGCAAAGACGGCCAAACGCCGCTTCACAAGGCGTGTTCTAGCGGAAATTCAGAGATTGTCAAGTTCATTATCCGACGCGGTGCGGATGTCGATGTTCGGGATTTTCTCGGAAACACGCCATTGCATGTTGCCTGCTCTACAAGGAATGAGGGTGCTGTTAAGTTGCTGATTGAAGGTGGGGCGGATGTTAACCAGATAATGAATACCGGTGAGACGGCGCTGCATGTGGCGAGTAATTTCGGGGAGGTCGGGATCGTGCGCTTGCTGCTTGAGACTGATGCGGAGATTGATATTAAGGGTAATGATGGGCGCACACCTTTGCATAAAGCGGCGTTGGGGGGGGTCACAGGATGCTGCTGAGATGTTGCTTCAGTTCCGGGCGGCGGCTGATGTTGCTGATCATTGGGGACAGACGGCGTTACATTTATGTTTGAGTGGGAAAAGTGTTGAGGTTATGGAGGTTCTGCTTCGATATGGGGCGGATGTGAATCTGGTCGATGACGATGGGAATACGGTGCTGCATAAGGTCTGTCGGTTTGGGTGGAAGGATGTCGTGAAGCTTTTGCTCAAGTATGGGGCGGATGTTGACATGAAAGGGTATGAAGGCATGTCAGCGCTGCAACTGGCCAAGCAGTGGGGCTTAAAAGAGATAGTGGACTTGCTTGCTCAATATTCGAAGCTTTCTGATGAACTCGAGGAACAGCCTTTGGCATATACCAAACCTATGAGTGATGATCCAGTCGGCCGGCCTATCCGTGATTTGTTTGAAAAGGCAAGCGAAGATCCTGAGGAAGAAAGTATAGGGATGCACCTGACGCCCGAATCCAACCCCAATCTCTGGAGCGGAGTACGTCGCGATAACGGCGACGGTTTCGTCCTAGCCAGCTACGACAACCACGATATCAGCTTCGATGCGAAATTAGAGTCTATCCGGCCATGTGTGCACGAAGGGAGAGAGATGCATGAGATCCAGCTAAAGCTCAACTTCATGCGACCATATTCTATGAGCCATCGCATCCGGTATGCCCAGGTCGACGCTATTGTCAGCTCCGATAATGCCGAAAATGGTCCTCACATCCGGGGGGTAATGCCCCAGGCAGATCGAATGGAGGTCTCCGAACAGGAGATCACCTCCGGCCAAAAGTTTACAGTTGGGGCTGCTGGCAGCGGCGGGCCATCGAATGTAAATATCAGCATGGAAGGTTCAAAGACTCGGAAGTCGACGTTCAAAGGTGTCCGAATCATCCACGGAGCTATAAGAGACAGACTACATGCTTCCTGGCGACTATACGAGGAACCGGGGAGTAAGAGCGGGTTACCTGAAATTGTTCGCTTGCTGTTGTTGGTGAACTGTGAGGCCGAGTTTGACATACGGCTGAGTCTCTCCGTCAAGGCCTGTCATCTTCTCTCCTTTGGAATCCCACGCACATTAACGGCTCCCGAAGGCCCTATTTATTCGATACCCAAGCTCGATGCCATCTCTGCATACGACCAGGAGTCAAGACTGCGGCAAATGCTGGACGTCGCAGATCGCGCGGCCGTGATGGTAGAAGAAGCAGATAAACTTCAGAAGAGCTTCTCACAGGCACTCCGTGCTCACAAGAAGAAACATCTGATCATGCAAGCGGGAGCGAAAGAAAGCCATTCCCAAGAATGGGCGGATATCGTTGATGCGTCTAAGTCCGGCGATTTCACGAATTTACGTGAGATGATGCTAGCAATGGAGGAGCCAGAGCCTGAGCTTGACCGAAGGAGACGCCAGGAGGATAGGCTCGACTCATCTGCTCCGCCGCGAAGGTGGCTGCCACCAGGAGAGGCGCGATGGGATCCTCCACCAAGGGCCGAGCCACCGCGAATGCTCTCAGGGTATCTGGAACGAAGAGGCTATGATCCAGCGCCACGAAATGCCCTAGAGTCCTTCTCTGCTGTAGGACCAGGATACAATGTCTCTAGGTTGGCATAAGGTGGTCGAAGTATAAGTACATCTAGCATGTCTTCAAGTCCTATAAACATGGTAGAATATTCTCCATAGCTTACTACAGTATATCCTTTAAATCGCTGCACTTGGGATTGACGCTGGTTAGTCCTATATCCGAAATTGAAGATAAATAAATGGTACGGTTATCAGTTTCGAGATATGAAGGGCCAAGCAGCTACAGATACAACTAATAGAGACACACTAGACAAAGCTCAGCGAGGATCATCCCGACACGCTATCAAGTATAACCAATCTTGCTATCACCTAGAGATCTTTAGGTCACCATGCTCAAGCAATCGACTTACTACAAAACTACTTAGCCAAGCAGAGACAAAAATTTACTTTGAATCATCAAGGCTAAGCGGGATACAGGTTAGCGTGTTTTGGAGGAGGGTTCGAGAAAGAATTTATGTGTGCGAGTGGTAAAACTGATTTTGATCCATCCTGTACCACTTTATGACCTCGGGAGGCTGCATCGAAAAATTCTCAGGAAAAGGGGGCCACGTCAGCGACTTGCTTTTGAATCGGTGCGAAGTCTTGAAAACGACATGATCTGCAATGCACCCTTAGATGTGACCCACGCACCCTTCGGACAGATTCCAGCAGATATGCTATTGGAGCAAAATGATGCAACACAACCGTATCCTGCTTTCCGGTATTCATATAAAGTACTAGTCCGTACCGACCTTGGCATCGCTGAACTGAAAGCGTCACAATGCTCGGAACTATGCAAGGGTCCGGTAGCGCGTCATCCGTAGATCTGGTTGTCGCCACTTACGCATATTGATTTAATGGTGCCGTGAGGTTCCCGTGGTCAAATATTTCGCCGAATCGGCTATCTCCGTCGTGCTCAGAGCCGAGCGTCCGAGTCGGGAATAGTGATTCCACGTGAGACTTAACAGATTGGTGATCAGCGACCAGCCTGACTTGATAAACGGAAGATATCATTTACCAGCTTTGGCGAAGCGTAAAATACTTTTACGAGTTCCTTAATTATTCATCCAATCAACCACTTCCAACCACAAAAATGCCTGAAAAGCATGAATTTCTGTTCATCTTACCAGATGGCCCAGATGGCCTCAAGAACCGAGAGTCCTGGACCGAGTAAGTCCTGGTCAAATTCATGACTATGACACGGTTCTAAAGCTCTCTAGCCCTCACGAACGTTTCGTTGAACGAGAATCAGAATACTGGCTTGCCGGAGGTAATACAGAATGCGGCAGTCTGGAAGGTAATGATTGCTAACGCGTTGCGAACAAGGCCCTATGTACGACGATCATGAAGAGAATATAGAGCGTGGTAGTTGGGTTCTGCTACAAGCTTATGACAAGAAGGAAGCTTTGAATCTTATTCAACGTGATCCATTCACCGTTGGCAAAGTTTGGGATTGGGAGAAGGCTCAGGTCTTGAGTGTCAAGAGTGGACTGCGTGTACCGTTTGTCAAGAACTCAATCAACTTTCCACAAGCCAAGATGAACGGCGGTAGTTAGATGATCGGGCAGGAAATTTCTTAATCATCTCTTAGAAGGGATAATAACGTGTTTCATAAACGAGCCGCCACCCCCAAACACCATAGTTAAGACATAAATTATCTCCACAACATGTTCATTCATTTTAATATTGGTATAGCGGTTATTTTCGAGCGATATGATAGCCTTGGAAGAAGTATTTTGTCGGCGGCGATTTAGTTTATTATTTACATACTATACTCCGAGCTATTACTGGTAGTACTAATACTAAAGTTTTCGGAGTATTTTTACCCCATAAATTATAAATATGTATTCCAGGGTTTTAAGCCCTGGAGACTAGAATTAATTTTAGAAATATCATGATCCAATAATAAAAGGAATTTTATAAATAAAACTACCTTATCCGGCTCTGGAGGATCCTATTAAGAAGCAAGGGTTGTTGAGATATATCGCTTTAATTATGGTGTCTGGGGAGCAGCTCGCTAGGAGTGGCGGCTCATTTATGAAAAACGTTAGTAGTAGCTCCGAAGCACAAGATAGCTGGTCAAGGAGGTTTCATGAGCCGTTATCCGCATTGTCACCAATAACCACTACAATCTTGATGTTTCTGAGACAAAGACAATGTTTTAGAAGCGTCAAACACAACTCAATTTCTAACTAAATCTGCACAAGGCATAGCTCACACCCCAAATGTATTGATGTTCAATATATCAAGGACTTGCCAATACCTTCAAGACGCTGTCCTCAAAGCTTGTCCAACCATCCTTCCCAAATCGCCTGAGTATATCCAATTCCGTTTCATCATTAACTCGTCTTGTATCCAGACCTTGGGTAGGATCATCTCCAGGCCAGGGCTTGCCGGGGTCTTGCTTGCGGAAAACATCGAGCCAACTATTGAAATTGAAACGGCCCGCAAATGCCAACAAGCGCTTGTTTTTTACCTCCTCTTGAGTCAGCGCACCAATGTGCAAGAGCGCCACATCTTCGACATAACCATAATACGAGGCTCCGAAACCTCTCATGAAGCCATCCTGTGATGGATCTTTGTAGAAGTCTAGCAGCCATTTCGCCGTGCTACCTGTCTGTTGTTCGTCGAAGATGGCCCCAATTGTGTAAGTTGGTAAAACAGAGTTCACCACGAAGCTTGAGTTCTCCTCCTGGCTGAATTTCCACATCTCCTTCTCGACTTGGGCTTTGAGAGCAGAATAAACGTCCCACCCACGTTCCGCCTCATAAGGGGGTGGTTTCCATGCAGCTTCGATGGCGTCTTCATTCCAAGTGTCCCCATTGATTGGGATCTCTTGAGTAGTCGAACGATTGCTTGCTGCTTGATCACTGCTGGTGAATACGAAGCGCTTGACTGAACACTCTTTGCTGGCAGCCTCAAGAAGTCTTCGAAGAGCTTCTACACTTGGCGTAATGACTTTGGTCGGGTCGGATCCGAAGCTCACATCTCCTGCGACATGGGCGATGCCATCGACATCCTTGAGAACTGCGTCCCAGACGCCGGGGGCATTCTGATCTGGTACAATGAAAGCCTCAAAATCTGCAGAGGGGTTGCGTTTGGTCAGGGCTTGCGTCACCCAGGCTGCCTTTTCACTTGAGCGGACGGTTCCGCGCACTCTGTAGCCAAGCTCAAGCAGACCGTTTGCAATGTAGGAGCCAATGAAACCTGTGACGCCTGTGACGAGTACCAGGCCTCCAAGAGGCACTATGCTGGAAGATGCAATCATATTTCCGACGAAATGATTCGAAATGGAGCTATGAGATCGAGAGATAGTAGTGTCGTATCTGCAAAATATGAAAGTACCGAAGGAAATACTCCAGCTTAAAAATGCAGGTGCATTGCAATCTCGAAGTACGATTTATAATCCGCTACGGCTAAGTACATCTGCGCTGTTTTGTGTTCCGGGGAGATGCTGCCACGTCAGTGGGACCTGGCCAGCGAATAGGATCCATCGATTCAGACACCTATTGGCCTGCGACTCACACAGTTCATGTTCAATGTTCTTGTGGTCAGTCTGAACGCTTATTCCGGGGCTGCCTTCCAAAAGTGGGTTTCATTTATCCGAGGCATAAACGACAACCGATAACTCTCTGCATTACATCATTTTTCGCCGGCGATTGGCTGATTTGAACAAGTACGGGCGATACACATATATTTTGGTCCTCGTCTCTCTGGTAATTCCCTGTTGGCGAATTTGGCGACATGCGGATCAAATTTGCTACGTTCAACATGGCTCGATTCGCGGTTTTACACCTTCTCCTGCTTCTGTCAGCAGGATTAACTCGTGCTTCACCTCCGGCGCAAACAACTATCTCTCAAGAAGCGGATACCCCTCATGTGAGTCTCGACCGGGAAATCTAGTCCAATACCTGTCTTGAGATGATCTAATTGTGTCACAGTATGCAGTTCACCATACTGTAGTTTCGGCCAGTTCCTTGTCGAAAAGTCTGAACTTCTATGTGGATGGACTCGGGCTCAACATCATAAAAAACTACACATTTCAAGGGGATCTGACAACTCTTTTTGGAACTAAAACCTCTGTTCTACCCGGTTACTTTCTCGGCGATACGACGTCTATTTACAACGGAACTGACGGCGTTATCTACCTCGTCGAGTTTCCAGATTCCAAGAAAATTCCTACGGTCGATTCAGATCCTCCAAACACGGGTTTGTTCCTGACATCTTTCTGGATGGGCGACAAGATCAATGCCACCTTGGAACGTTTAGAAAGGTTGGGTATGGGAGGGAAACCTCACATCGCAACATTCAGTTTTGGCTCGGAACCTCTGGCGACCTATGCCACGGTGAGAGATCCTGATGGGGCACGAGTGTTACTTGTCAGCCGACCGTACATCAATTCCGTCGGTAAACAGCTTCCTTGACCCAGGAGTGCTTGACGGGTAATGGAAGCCCAAGAGTGTTGAACCACATGTTAGGGGTAGGGCGGCTTTAGGAACGCAAAGGGATTTTGGGGTCAGTCTATTCGATAAATATGGCATTCTACATAGTAGAAATTATGATCCGATGCGGACTTTAAGGATAAATAAATTTCTTCACGAGGTAACCGCGAATCGGCGGCAGTGACCAGATCTATGGATCGGTGTGTAACTGGTAGCATTTCTAGATGCACAAGCATAATGAGATGGACCCAAACGGTAAGAGACCAAGCCTCAGGCACCCGTAGTTGAAATCAGGCACCTTACATTAACCCCCAAAGTTTTATTTTCTTCCACTTTGCCCATCTTTCCCGACAGAAGGATGAGATCAATCGGTCGCCTTGCCATTCGGGATGCCGGACCGGTGAGCTAAAGAGACCCTACCTATGAAATCAGCCAGTGGCTTAGGATGACGATACAATCTGCCGGTTGCGCCTTATCAGGCAACTGCTTCGGATATGATAACAACCCCGCCTCGGAATTGGCACGATAAGATGACCGAATTACCGAAGCCTTAACGGACTTTTGACATGGGACCCTGTAGATCTTCGATAGCCGAAATCCGAAATCACCTGGACAGGTGTGTGTAGAATTTTCCCAACACTTTGGGTGTTATTTACGAAAGGACTCAAGTTGAGTACGATCTGGTGTGTCTCCAAGGCCACTGACGTGTTCAAGTGGGCTGGCTTTGCTCCGTCTTCGGATCGAGACGATAAAGGGCAGAAAAGGTCAGAATAAAGTGGAATGACGACTGTTCAGTCAGCCGGGGGTAAAATCGTTTGCACAGTGCATTGAAATGTAGCGTCGCATTTTCCATCAATCGAGTCAGATATCACAATCACAATACACTATTGTATCTCGAGATATCATTGTATCTTCAAGTTGTTGTGTAAACAATCACCACAACTCGAGAACCCAGGCAAAAGAGACCATAACAACAATCTCTAGAAAACGCAAACATAAGCGCCAACACCATCATGCCACGCAACGATGCGATTGATGATGAGTTATACGGGGTTGATGGAGAGCATAACGATCCATCCACACTAACTGAATCCCATGAGGACCTGGACGTCAAACGTCCTCAGTCACTATCTGGCGAGATTGCGTTCATCGTCGTGGTCTGCATGGCCCAACTTCTGAGCCAAGCTGGTCTTGGCCAGGTGGTATCAATTCTCCCTGTACTTGGAGAATCATTTGGTATCGGCAACAACATGAGCCAGCTTTCGTGGTTTCTAGCAGCCTACTCTCTGACAGCGGGAACATTCATCCTAGGTGCCGGTCGTTTGGGCGATTTGTACGGCCACAAACTCCTCTTCACTGCAGGATTTTTCTGGCTTGCAATCTGGACACTGATTTCCGCGTTCGCGGAATCTAGTGGGCCTGTCTTCTTTTGTTGCTGTCGCATTCTTCAGGGCATTGGCCCTGCCTTTCTACTTCCCAATGGAATGGCTATTCTGGCGAGATCATATGAGCCAGGGATGCGCAAGGGAATGGTATTCAGTGCCTTTGGGTCTACGGCACCTAGCGGGTTCATCTTTGGAGGTCTGGTTTCCGCTCTCGCCGCCAAATATCAATCGTGGCCTTGGGGATTCTGGTTTCTGGCTATTTTGGAAGCGATCTGTGGTGTTGTTGCCATATACTTGGTTCCAAAAACCCCAACGCCGCCAAAGGACACAACGCACAGTTTATGGGCGAGATTAGATATCGCGGGATGCGTCACAGGGATTTTCGGCCTCATCCTTTTCAACTTTGCCTTGAATTTGGCCCCCGGAGCGCAATGGCAGGGCCCATACATCTATATCCTCCTGTTCGCTTCTTTGGTATTCTTCGGTCTATTTGGATACATTGAGCGAAAGGCGACTTTCCCTTTGATTCCATTTTCAGCCATCACACCAGACATTTGTTTCGTCCTGGCCACATTGGCATGTGGATGGGCTGCCTTTGGAGTCTGGGTATTTTATGGCTGGGAGTTTGTTCAAAACTTTCGAGGCATCTCACCTCTATTTGGCTGTCTGCAGTTTTCGCCTGCAGCCATCAGCGGGTTTATTGCTGCCTTCACAACAGGGTTAATCCTTCAAAAAATGCCTGCAAGTGTGGTCATGATGATCTCTGCAGCGGCTTTTTGCACAGCCGACATTCTCTATGCCACCATGCCTATCAAACAGAGCTACTGGGCGCAGCTGTTTGTGTCGATAGTAGTGATGCCTTGGGGCATGTGAGTTACTCCATGAGTATACTTCCTATTGGTGTCCGTACTGACTGACTGTGACCAGGGAAATGTCTTTTCCAGCTTCCAATATTTTACTTTCAAACGCGATGCCTCAAGAAAATCAAGGAGTAGGTCCATCCCCTACTCAAACCCTTCCAAAAGGCCTCGGAGCTAAGTCTCTTGATGCTGTTTGATAATTCAGCTTTGAGAAGGCGAAAATAAGTAACATTATGATTGCAGGTCTCAGCTAGCTTGGTTGCAACCATTATGAATTATGCGATCTCTTTGGGTCTCGGATTTGGTGCAATAGTCGAGACTAATCTCAACAAGAACGGAACAGATCTCTTGAGGGGCTATCGAGGAGCCTGGTACTTAGGCGTCGGACTTGCTGCATCTGGCGTCATCCTCACGGTGCTTTTTGCTCTTCACGAGCACAGAAAGTCTATTCAAACGAAGAAAAAGGTCGCTTTGGGAGAGGAGTAGTATGGACTGACGTACTTATCGAAATATTCGATGCCTTTCCCAATGGAAAATAGAGTTCGATACAACCAGATCTGCATTACGTGATCTCCAGTACCCTGCTGATAATCGACGCAACGCAGCGGTATCCTCCTGGGTTGACATAGACTGGACGGTGGTATTTGATGGCCAATTTAGCATTCGAGGTGGGATACTTGAAAGTCGTGACCAGGTTCTGACTTCGGTACGATCGTTCCACGGTTGCCACGTAGCTCATTTCGGTACAACCCTCGTGGTTATCATGTTTTCGTTGGAAGCTGTCAAGTATAGAGCCCGTTTTCCTTGCGGTCAATTGGGTCAGTATGTCACTTCTAGCATAGTTCCTAGATCCAAGACAACACATTATTCAACCCATCCAAAATAAGAACAAGTCGGGCACAACCTCGGAAATACAAGCGAAGAGGAAAATAAGATAGAAAGGGACAGGGTAAATCCATAAATCAATAACAATGTCTGCCGATTAACAAATAAAAAACACAGAAAGTAAAGGAACTTAGATAGAGACATAGCATTCCCCACCACTCCCAAAAAGGGCCTCTCCTCTCCTCTCCTCTTCTCGTCGCGCTCTATTTTATCTCTCCAACTTCAGTTTCACACTCAAGGGTATACCCCCATCCACCCGTCCATCTCTACTTTTTCAAGGACAGTAAGGACACTCAAGCCCACACATGCGCCGCATCCCACACCCACCAGCTTCGCATACTAGGTCTGGTCTGGTCTGGCTTGTCGTAGCTTAGCTTACTTAGTTCATAGCAAACCAAGTAACACTAACAACTACATCGAGCCCCCGCTCCTCAGCACCGGGGTACTTGAACGTCCACATGCCGTCGCGATTGACATCCCAGAAGGCACCGGAGGCAGAGTGCATCCCGCGCTTACCGGCGTTGGTCTGTGTTCCGTCCGCGGCGGCGGTCTTGTCGATGAGTCCCTGCTGCACGATCGTGCTGTTCACAGTGAAGCGATAGGGGGCCGGGGTCTTGGGCTCGGAGTCGGAGGGGGCGGTGGCGGTGATTAGGGCTTTCAGGATGGTGTTCTGCATTGAATTGCATTGGTTAGTTTCTTGTTGGTTTGTGGTGCGACCTTTGTGTATGGATAGGATAGGATGGTTGGATTGGATTGGGTTTGGGGGGGGCTCACAATGATGGAGGAGTTCCACTCGCTGACTTTCTCGTGCTGGTATTCGGTTGTCTCCTTAAGGGCGGAATCGCAGGCCTAGAGGGCGGACGAAGAACTTGCTGTGAGCTTGGGATGTTTCGGATATCTTTCGCTCGAGAGCGAAGGTGATGCGACATGACATACCTCGGTGGTGATCTTTGTCAATTCCGGGATTGGGAGGGGCTGGGGTGTATCGATGTTAGCGGGGTTTTTGCCATTGCTTTTCGCAGACTTCTGCTGCTGCTGCTTTGCTTCGTCTTCAACCGCCTCGGGGTATACTAGTCGGGGAATGCGGTGTAACGGCGAGAACATACCGACGAAGGAGTAGTGCCGTCGACAGCCATTGTGTATGTAGAGCTGGTGAAGAGGTTTTTAAAATACTATGCAAGCACCTTCTATTAGCACATGTTTTCTTTGGGCGCGGTTTCAGACACGATGTAGCCTCTGCAGTCCCCGCCGCACCTCCGCGAGGTCGCGTTTGTTCATGACGAATGTGGAGGTGGTCGGTGGGGCTGGAGGCTGGTCGAAGCTCGATTTGCATTGTCTGAACCTGGCTGGTTGGGGTGTGATCTCACCGGAGAGTGTCTTCGAGGAGAATTGGTCGTCTTCAAGATCGAAAGTGAATTGGCAGAGTCGCAGTGGTCGGGATTGTTTTGGTGGCATCATCGCGTGGGTGTTGTGGATTCTGATTGGCTGCTTGTTAGCGCGGGCTGAGGTAAGCATTGAGCTACTATAACGGTTCATACTGGGGAAAGATAAGAGATGTACCCTTACAAATTACTGAAGATAAAGAACTTGAAGGGATTTGGTGGATGCTCCTTCTAACTTGAAGGTTGTGAGATCCATCAGAATGGATCCAGATTAGTAGTAGTAGTAGAGATGCCCCCGGTGAACTGGAATGCGGCTGAAGAAAAATATATATTCAAGTTCTCACCTGGGCAACCTTGGAACTATGGAAAATGCTCGCATATCATGCTAGTAGTAGTAGTAGTACTAGTGGTATTGTTTCTAGTAGTCTATATAGTGGTACCCTTCAAGTTATCTAGTCGGATTCAGGTTCCTTGCTTTTTCAGGGTAGGTTAGACGATTCGTTTCAACCGAGACAGACAAAGAAACCGCCGATCTTTCGGATCATAGAGCTCAATATCGTTCGATGGGTAGTTATTTTGCCCAGGTGGTAACTTCCTTGTTTGTTACTAGTAAGAACTGGGGCTTTGTTATGGCCCGAGAATTCAATGGCAGTAGCGGAAAACTTTAGAAAAAGAAAGGTATAATAGTAGATACTAGTATGGTTAGTAAACAGTGTACTAATACCACTGGTAGTAATTCGGGAAAACCCTTGGAACATATTGCAATAGAAGACATTGGACTTCCGAGTTGAAGATCTACTTCTATCTAGTATCTCTCGGAACAAATGGGAAACAAGGATAGGAAGCATCAATTAAACAGCCGAAGGCTCCTTCAAAGTCAAACGCCTAGGTTGCTCTAAAATAATCAATGGCCCAGCGACAACACTCTCCTCGGTTGGGGCATCGAGCTGATCAGCAATAGAGACAATAATAATTCCCGAGTCTGGATCAAACTGAGAAGGAATTTTGACGACGTTCTTCTTAGCATCATACGACACGCTAACTGTATTGAGCCCGTGATAAAAGACCGCGTAGTACTCCTTCTCATGATTAAACTTGGGAGTAGTCTTATCAGAATCAAAGACGAAACGGAGCTCTGACCCAGGTCTCGCAGTAGTTCCGTTCTTGCTAAAGGCCAACTGTGGCAAATTCTGACGAGGACTGGGGTAGATTGGATTGTCGCCGGGACAGCTTCCAGGTATAATGAATGCGTTTGTAGAATCGAGGATCTGGTTTGGATAGGGATATACCGTATCAGAAGGTCCGGAGAATGGACTGGTATTCCAAACATCAATTAATGACCAGACATTATGACGCGTTTCCACTTGTCCGATTGCCATGAGTGCAGATTTTGAGGCATTGAGATTCGCTTGACGTGCGAGCCCGGTTAAGAAGGCCATGCTGGATACTTCGAGATAAACTTGTAACGCGAGCCATGTCCCAGGATTATTGTCAAAGTCATATTGGTATTTGCATGGACCGGGCTTGATAGAGTTGTTGGATATTTGGTCTTGGAAGATGCGGAGGTGGCCGGCTTCATTGTCGCGGATTTCAAGAATCCGCTGATAAGTGGAGTTTGGCAGGCCAAGCTTTGTGAAAGATGAGAAGGAGAAGGCCTCGGCGGCTTGTTGGTAGAAGGTATATATGGCCCATTCTGCACTCAGTAGGTTTTGGAAGAGAAGGTCGTCGGGACCGGTGGGACCTGACCTCGTCGCTGCAATGACCCTGAAATATTTCGCTGCAATAGGAGTGTCTTTGCCTGAATAGGTGTTAAAAAGGGGTGATTCGCCGGGAATTGCATCGTCCGGAGATTGGAGGCTGATTGGAGGCGATGCTGTGGGCAAAGCGAGGGTTGGGAAGGCAATCGCCAAAAATGCAACCAAGGTAGAGACGATCATTCTGAACATGGTATAACAATTATGATCTAAATGAAAAATTCAGCATGTTCTGCGGTTTGTCATGATTTATAGGCGAGAGTCTTGGAAAGGAAGGGCTCATAATTCAACACGCATGAATAGCAAATGCTGGATGAGGCGGTGCAAAATGATACAAAAAAGAATCGCTTTAACTCGATGAGGCTGAATAGGCGAGCTGCAAGAGCCGTTGGGCTGATGCAACGCGTGGAGAGTGGAGACTGCAACAGGAATGATAACCTTGGAAACACCAATCTTTGACTACAATCCCTTGAGGATATACGGCCAGTCAAGCTTCAGGGTAGAATTGACGCGCTTAACCATATTTGGCGCATTCTGCGAGAAGTGGAGACTTGGCTCGGCCAGTTGGAGGTGCGCAAATGTGGGGATGTGCAGTGATTATCCATGTCGATCGCTCGCAGAATGCGCTCAAAGGGGCAATTGGTGAGAATCTCGAAATCGGGTTTGCAAAAGCTCGAGAAGCATTTAAGAATCGAGATCTCCGCCGGTTTGTTTAGGGAAGAAAAGCGATTGAATTATCGGTTTTTTTTTTTCTTTTTTTTAATTATAAGATACCAACCCTCTTCCTTGCCATGGCACTCTGTGAAAGCACCGAGAAGCATCACCCTGCGATGATGCAAGCTAGGGCCTACTCCTCCCCTCCACCACCTTACGAGGCAACTATGCAGAGCACAGTCCAAAATCAGCACGAGACGTTGGTACCCGGTCGTCAAATCAGAGGTATTCAAAGCCAACAATATCACACACCTCACCAACAACATTATATCCAACCAGCAAATCAACATGATCAACAATGGAATTCCCCAGTATCTTACGGCCCGCCACTGTATGAAATACAAAATTATACCTCGAATATCGAGCCTGGCCCCTCAAACGGCCAGGCATATTCCTCAGACACACAGCTTGCGGTCCAACAGCAAATATCGCCACGGCCCAAGCCATGCGTAATTCCCCGTGAGTCCAACCCATAGGCCTTTCGTTTTGAACAATTATTAACATTATGTGGCATGTTAGAAGTGACAAAAGTCTTCGGAGGTTCCCACATGAGTCCATTTGTTCGGACCCGCGCCCCAGAGCTAGAACAACAACATGGCCTCTCCCCAAACGAGCTCCTCACCTTTATCGACGCACTCAATGAATCATTCCTCGCCAACCCAGCGCTTCAAGCAGTAGGAGCTGTAGGGAATATTGTCGGTTTTGTTCCTCTCGCAAGCACACAAATAGCTAGTGGCGCGATGAGTCTTGCAGCCGGACTGGGTGCCGCGGGAGTTTCATTTGTCCGCACAAAGCGATTTATGAAGAGGGCGAATGAAACTATTTTCAAGCCAAAGGGTCTTCATGTCCAGCTTTGCAAGACAGATAAGATGCTCAACCATATCGGAATGGCGAATCATGGCGCCGTGTTTGCGGGACAGCAGAGTCAAGCCACTTTGGAAAATGCCCAGACCGAGGCTGGCCAGAATCCTATTTCGAGGAGGATGGAAGTTCTCGGTGACCGGGTCACAAGATTGTCATTTGATGATGTGGATGCTCCCATCGCACCGGAAAACTGGATGCAAAAGGTTGGGGCATATTCGGCGCAGCGGGCTGAGTCGAAGCAGTTGGAGAAGTTGAACAAGAAACAAGTCAAGTCGGAGAGAAAGTCTGGCAAGCACGAGAGGAAAGCTTCCAAGGCAGAAAAGAAACAAAGTAGGGCCGATGAAAAGGTCGAATCTATCATGGAGGAGATGGAGGAGATTCGTGTGCGCATGCAGAGTCTTGATTCCACTTCGCGACGATATGAGAAGGCGCACAAGGAGCTTCGGAAGGAGTGGAAGGAGCTGGAGAAGGATTTGCGTGAAGCCGAGAGGGATCAGTGTCGAGGTGGTAGGAAGAGTCGCAAGGTAGATGAGAAGAGCCAGAAGCGACTGCATAAAGATGGGAGGAAGGTGAACAAAATCCTCTGGATTGTTATTATGCCTGTTTCAGAATGTGCTTCTAGTGATGATGATGAGTGGGACTCTGACGAGTCGATGGAGAAGAATCATGATTCGTGATTTGTAGGAACTGGTATAGAAGCAGACTGTATTAAATAATTCAATAGTTAGCACATGTTAACCGATGAAGCGCATCTGACTTTGATCTCCTTGAATTCACAATAGTTTCAATACCTTATCTAGCTGGCGTGGCATGTTTTCGCGTCGCCCAATCTCGAATCCATGAATATCTGCAACCAGGGCCATGACCATTTCGAGCCATGACTTTGCCCTCCCGTCCCGATTGCCGTCAAGGTGTAGATATGCAACATTTATCGGAAAGATGATCAAAAATGCCCCTGAACTGCGGCGGAAACAGTGGAGGTGATAGTCTACCATTCGACACATTTCGACTGCAACATCATGTCTCGTTCCCTCCATGGGAAGAAGTGGGTCGCTGAAATGGGCAGAGTTCGGATTATCGGTATTTACACCGATCAATTCAAGTAATCGCGTCAAAATCACCCGGATAGCGTTGTAAGTCATCAGCTCATTGGCTCGGTACGGGTTAACAAACCAGAGAACGGACTCAAATGGACTTGGTGGAAGGGGTAAGGATGTTTCTGGATCAAGGCCATTTGGCGAAACCGAATAGGTTGAAGCCGGGAAGTCTTTCTCCCATTCCCAGCGCCAAGAGTATAATGCTTGGAGGGAGGCTAAGAGCCTCTCCCGGAGATTTGTTAGGAATTCTTCTTTGTGAGGAAGATCCCGCGACCATTTGCCGAGAAGATCGATATCTTCGAGATAGCCTGGAACATCGGACAGAATGTCATGTAATTTATCTATGGGAAGTTTGGCATCGAGTCCGACTTTTGCCCAAGGAACGGTCTTCCACTCGGTATTTTCTAGAAAGCAGTGTTTCCTTTCGACAAGGTAGCCGATTAACTAGAGATATTTGAAAAATGAGATTAGAGAAATAAAGAAAATCGGGGGATGGAGCCTCTTACTATGCATGATCTCAATGTTGGAAGCAAGGAAAATCCCATCCCAGATTGGTGGCGCTGGGGTCCTCTGACGACCGCCTACATCAAGGTTAGTGGTAAACCAATAAAAGGACAACGAAAGATAAATACCAAGTGAGCTAGTCCTCTATAATGATGGAGCCAGCCGGTTGGCTGATGAAATGTGACCAGTTCATAAATAGCCATACAGATAATCGCGACTAGGACATCATCTTTCAAGACCAAGGTGGCATCCTGTAGCCGTGATTGCAATGCACTTAAGGCACGAGAGTAAAAGCCAGCGCCTTTCCGCATCAGACCGGATTGGCGATGTGTCTTTGCAAAATAGCCTGTGGCCAATGCGCGGGTCGATGCAAAAGCCAACACCCCGTCATCCTCTGTGGACTGCAAAAGCCCAAAGACCCAGCCCGCAGACTCGGGTGATGATGGGTTCTCATGCCACGTGAATAATCGGTCCACCAAGTGTGAGATGAAGATTGTCTGCTCATCCCATACTGGATTTGGGAGCAGTGGGAGCAGCGGGAGCAGCGGGAGTTCGGTGATGGAGCCCGGGGAGACAGCGCTGTCTGTGCTGCTGCTTGCTGGACTGGGTGCATTGTGTTTTGGCGCACTTTTCTTGGTCAGTTGTGTTGTGAGATCCTTGAACTCCCCATATTGAACATAGCCATCGCATTGAAATCCGCCTTTGATGCAGCGTTCACAGGAGGGCTTAGCTTCATCTGGAGTGGGTTAGTGATGATTAACACTTGTGGGATTGAGTGGATATATTCTCGCACCGCATTTTACTCTTCGCCTGCGACAGGTCTTACAGCCTTTACTGCGACCACCGACACCGACCATTGTTTCTGGAGAAGGACAAAAAGGTGAGATGGGGTACTGTAATGAGTTGGCCCCGCCTTAATTGCCAGAACACCGTGGATGCCTCAGGCGATGCCTCAGGCGCCTGCGGCTCAGTCAGCTCACACGGCTTTGTGGCCTTTGTTGCACATTTGTCCCTTGATAGTAGTGTTAGTACTTAATGTTAGATATTGCTCTGATGACTTTCTCCTCTGGATCTATCTCATATCCTTCATCCGTAACATCTTCAATCCAGTTCCTCCCGTCACTACCACCCAAAAATCATTCATGAAGTGAAAAGGGGGTTTGCGCTGATTGTAGAGAAGGGGCGGTGGCAGCCAATCAGAGCGTTCCCTCACCTACCACTCCATAGTTACTTCTTGATCCGGATGTGTCGATATAAGCAACAGGCTCCCCTACGAGATGAAAATTGCAGACAACAACAGAATTATTATTAGGAAAAATATATATAGTAAAATGAAGGTAGCTAAGGTGAGTTCATTATCCTGCACATAACCCACAAAGACTAAGAGAAGATCTTCAAATTCGCCAGAACAGAACTTGGCCGCGCGCCAGTTTCATCTCGGTGTTGCGGAAATCTCGCGCCCACGCAAATTCACGCACTCCACGGAGTCACGAGATCTTGCAATGACCGCCTTGCCATTTTGTTGGTTTCCAGCTCTGTTTTCATCTCTGCTTTTACTTTTGCTTCATCCTCTCTTGTTTATCATCCTTTCTTCCCTCGAGGGTCTCAAGGAAGACGTACCTGCTTGGGTGAACACAATGAATTGGAAGACTGTCCAGGAAGACATACTCGGCTTTAAACCGCAAACATTCTCCTTCGAGAAGTTTTACCTTGCCCGGACCCAGGAGCCGGGCAAGGTGGAGATTCTCGAGGGTAGAATGGTGGCGTTCCCAAGCCTGATGCAGCATCGTTCAACTATATTCACAACCGCAGACAAATGTATGCCAGGCCATTGCACGGTCCTGTCTTTGTTCCTGGTGGATCCGCATGTAAGGAATATCTCCACTGCCAATGTCCCTCCCCAGCGAAATGAGTGGAGGATGGAGAGGGAATGGATGATAAATTTCATCCTCCGTCAACATCTTCCTCAAGAGCTGGTCAACATGATTCTCAGGGAACTGGAGCATTGTCCCATTGGAGATAAAATCGAGTGTTCGCTCAGGCACAGACTAAAGCGAAAACGAAACGGGATGAGCTATCAAAATCTTCAACATTTTGAGGCTCCTTTCCCCGATGTGGACAAGGTAAGACCTTGGGATGATCCTTGGTGGCACTACGCCTTTTTCAATGATTCCTGGTGACGTTTTCCTGGCGTGGTTTGAATTAAATGTCTGATTGAAAATCATTCATCTGAACTTGTTGAATCTGTTGACGGCTTGTGGTATGGCCTATGAAAGGACCTATGGCATTTGTCTATCATCCGTAGAAAAGACAAAAAATGGAACGAAAGGGAATGAAAGCCGTAAGGAGTGAAAATCAAAAGTCCCTTGCGTAACTAAATAATGAGTGTCATAGTCTCTTAAATCATAGGCTTAGTTTCGCGTTGTATCAAGTTTTAAAGCTGGGCTTTCTTCGTATCTGTTGGAATGGCGTGTTCCATCAAAGACAGAAGCCGGGGAACCAACGACCAGTCGCCCTCACGCACCGCTTGCTTTTTATCTTCCCCATTCAGAACCCCGAGAAGCTCAATCTTTTTGAGTTCCAGAGTGAGATCCGATTTTCCTCTAAATTCTGCGCCATCTGAAGCCACTCTGTGAGTCAAAGCCCCGTTGCTAATGTTGACTCTATGCCATTTCCCCTCATCCACCACGTGGATATCAACAGCAAAGACCGAGTCCCCAGCCTTGAGGCCATCCAACTGAATCGCAAGCAAAGTCAACCATTGATCGACAGTCTGTGTTGGTCGCATTTGATTGCCCATATTCTGTTGAGGCTGGGGCGCCTTTTCAGCAACCAACTCTTGAGCCCCGGTCAAATAGAAATTGCGCCAAGTTCCATTCTCCGTTCCATAACCAAGTTTTTTGAAGACACCAGCCAGAGCCAATTTGGAGTTGATGTGGGTCGGATTAAGGGAGACAGCATGGCCCAGCAAAGTTGCGGCAAATCGCAAGTCGCCTCGCTCTGCGAATTCTTCTGCCTTCCGAACAACCTCGTCGACTCCTCCCATGCACTCAATGTATCTTGCTGCATTCTCCTTTGGAGGGTGCTCCCAAAGATGAGCAGGATTTCCATCAAACCAGCCAATGTATCTTTGATAGATACCCTTGACATTGTGACTGACAGATCCATAGAATCCCTGACAGTACCATTTCCTCTGCAGTGACGGCGGCAGGGTGAGTACCTCGGCTATCTCGATCCCTGACAGCCCCTTGTTCATCATGCGCACAGTTTGGTCGTGAAGAAATGCGTACATATCTCGTTGATCCGATAAAAGGTCCGAGATCTCCTCTTCGCCCCAGGTCGGCCACGCGTGACCCGCGCAAAGAACGTCCGATGAATGACCATAAAGTGAGAGCGATTCGTCCAGATACTGCGCCCATGCCTTTGCATCTCGCACCTGGGCACCGCGAAGCGTGATAATATTATGGAGATTGTGCGTCGCACACTCGGCGATATACAATGCTCGGTGATCTGGGAAGAAGAAATTCATCTCGGAGGGTGCCTCGGATCCAGGGACCATTTGGAACACGATCCGCACGCCGTCCACAACATAATCCTCACCCGTTTTATAGATAGTCATATTTGGTGGAACAAGCGAGTTGACTCCAGTCGGCACTCCCATGCCCAAACCGCAACCAATTTGACCCTCCGGGCCCTTGGGTAGAGCAGTCCCGTACATGAAGACAGCACGACGTCGCATAGCATTACCGGCATAGAGATTTTCACTGAGAGCTTCTTCCATGAACCCATCCGGTGCGATGATCGGGATATCGTGGCTTTTAGCAAGCGGAAGAATTCCTTGTGCGCCACCGAAATGATCTATATGCGAATGCGAATAGATCACGCCCGTGATCTTCCGGTCCCCGCGGTGCTGGCGGTACAAGGATAAGGCAGTGGCAGCGCATTCCACCACCGTCAGAGGGTCAATAACAATAACACCTTCATTTCCCTCGACGATGGTCATATTTGAGAGATCCAGTCCGCGGACTTGGTAGACTCCCTTCGTGACTTCGAAGAGTCCTTGCATGGAAGCCAACTGGCCTTGTCGCCATAGTTTTCGGTTGGCCGTTGCAGGACACTCGGATTTGAGGAAATTGTATTCTTCGTTGTTCCATACGACACGTCCGTCCTGTGCAGTGATGATACAGGGGTCGAGTGCACTGATGAAGCCACGCTGGGCGTTTTCAAAGTCGGTTCTGTCGGCGAAAGATGGCTCGACGTGCTGATGTGTCATTTTGTGAGGGTTGAAAAAGTATTTTTGGATAATTGTACGAGTAAACTATTTAATTTGAGGGGGGGGGGCTTCAACTTGAATTTATATTCTAGAGTCTGATTGTCATTGCACAGAAATTCGAGTCGCCTCTCATACTCCAATTTGCCTAGTCTGTTGACCCACTTGGGACTGCGTCACCGCGAAACCGATGCCTTTTTGGGTAAAAACCGATTGCCGATAGATGGAGAGCTGTGCATGGGACCATCAGAAGAGTTTAGGAAGGCTTTGACGAGGAAGGCTTTGACGAGGAAGGCTTTGACGAGGAAGGCTTTGACGGGGCTTTTTTGGGGGGGGAAACTTTTATATTCCATTCATTCTTATTATTGACTAGGATATCTTTGCAGGGAACCATTCACTGTGAATGAAACTGAAGGGGCAGAATAAATTCGGCCGTCTTCATATTCTCCAGGGCTAGTATTTTGCTTCTAGTAAGTACTAGTGCTTCTAGCAAAACTCAAATATAGCGAGCTTCTCTGTGAAGCCCAAAATCAATACAGGTTCTCATTGCGAGTCTGATCATATACCACACTGGACTTTGAGCATGATCACAGGCAGTAAACAACGAGGAGCATCATGGCCTCTATAGACACACCGATAGAGACTCGCGCAGAGCGCGATCGAAATTCAAAACTGTCATCAAAAATCCATTCGGTGGTGTTGAATAATAAGCGCCGTCATTTGTAGAATCGTAGCTCCGATTGCATAGACCATAAAAAGCTTGAACCTTTCGAATTAAGTTTGCGATGTCGCATCAAACGTGGTATCCTTTTGCATGTAGTTTTGTAATTTTCGCGCGATCGAGCAATGAGAGGCGGTTATGCATATGAGTAAAATATGCATCGAGGATCTTAGAGCCATTTGCATCACTAGGAGGGGGCACTTTGAGACGTAACTGCCAGCTGTTGGTTGTAGTTGGGAAACTAGTGACTTCGTAGCGATAGCACCAGCAATCTAAAATCCCGAAGATGGGCCTAGATATGCGGTCTTGTTATTTCCTTCAGTACTAAGTGTCAGAAAGCGTAAAAGCCCTTCAAAGTGACCGTGTGCGCGCTTTGACTTGTGCGGTGCGGTGGAAGCCGACGGCTGCTCAACGCGCTCAGCGAAGCAGAACATCCCCCGCTAAAGTTGCAGCTAAGCGAGCCTCAAGAATTTCAATTTGATGAGCTAGTGCTCCCTTGGACATGCCATGGTGCCACGAGGGAGCGCTCTCTGCACGAGAACAGGGCTGGATGGCGGTTTCGCAATTCAAGTATGTGGAGACTTTCTGGTCGCATTTTTTGCTTTCGCCTATGGCAGCGTCAACAAGCCTTAGGAATGCATTTTCGGACTCCGAATTCCGGGTCCATGAGTGAAGTGTAGGAAGCAAAGTGGCCTTCTTCAAGGCCTGATAAAACATTTCCCCGCAATACGGTTCCGATTTGACCGAGGTAGCGCGTTTCAAGTTGATTCTTCGTCTGATTAGAGTCATTGGTCATTGCTCAGTCAAAGCAATCCATGCTCAGCCGGCCGTCGACCACTAACAACGATAGAAGCCGCGTGCTTGTGCGATTCGTATCTCCAACAGTGGAATACGGATTAGCGGCGTGTCAATCCTTTCCACTAAACTTTCTCGGTAGATCTGGACCCGCTCGTTTCTTTGCTTTTCTTTGTATTTTGTTTTTGCTTATTCATAATGGAATAACTCCCCTTTTCTGTTGATGGTGCGTTCACTGCTTCTATTATTTTCGATGATATGCTTTTCATGGCAACTACTAGTAGAGAACTTGAACACAATTGAATGCATTATCGGACCAGTGGAAATTCAATATCACCCAGCAGACAGAACAAGAGCCACTGGTACGGAAAAAGCTCCTTGGATTGAACTGATCTGAAGGCCGACTTGATTCTATCATTCAGACTAAGCCCTCATACATTTCCACAAAGATTTCCCACGTGATGTCTCAAAGAATTTGACAAATAATTCCATTTGCTGCAGAACACTGCGCAAGGTTACAATTATAAAATGGGCAAAAGTATCCGAGTCAAATAAGGGCACTGGATGACTACTAGTGGCAATTAGATGAAACCTCAAGTTGCTAGAGTATCCTCGTGGAAACTTGGAAAATCGACATGTCAATGTGGAATTCTTCTACCCGAGTATCGGCCCAAGAATCTCGACTCAAAACTACTATCTCAATTTCAAGCAGCAGGCAGTGGCTGTCATACGATGTTCCGGGGCGGCGTCTGAGACCGCCGTGGAGCGCAGAAACCGGTTGAGATTCCCGAGCGCGCCCACGGTTAATCTGTCGAATGTCGCTGGAGAAGAGGCTAGTCGGCGGGGCGCGGCAAAGCCAGTTTTAAATCTCGCTTGGAACCGTTTTTTTCTGTTTAATTCCCATTTATTCCCCAGAAGTCTCACCCCGTGTTTTTTTCGTGATTATTCCGTCAAAGGAAGCAAATTAGGAATGTGCGGCAAGCAGAATGGCTCTCGCAGGCTCATTAGCTTTCCATTCGCGCCCATCTGACCCCGAGAAAGAACGAATACGCGAATTGTCGAGGTTCGTTATGCCGCGGAACCTCCCCCGCCGGGCGCAGATCATTTCCATGTGTTGACCAAACCAGATATTATTGCTGTACAAACCAGCAGTCCCTGTCGCCAACAGCTACCATCGTCGACGGAAATGATTCATCTAGCAACGCCCCTACTGGAGATGAACTGTTCAGCCCTGGTGTCCTGTCAGCTGACATCACGTTGACAGCGCTGGCCCAACTTGGTGTTCATCGTTTGGGATGCAATCGTTCCTTTGTATCTCTCATCGATGGGGATAATCAGCATATCATCGCTGAGGCCACCGCCTCCATCTCGATACGAGATGTCGATAAACACCTTCCAAATGATGGGATATACCTTGGGGTTCGAGCTTTGGACCTGGTCTGGGGGGGTTTGCCCGCATACGATCCGCTTGTTCACTGCCCAAGACGAGGCGTACGAAGTCGACACGGAGAATGTAACTGCCAACCGCACGCGTTACATAGTTCGAGACTTTACCCGAGAGGATTGCTTCAAAGATAGACCTTACATACTCGAGTGGCCTTATATGCGCTTCTATGCGGAGGTACCTCTGACCAGTCCAGCTGGCTATGTCCTTGGGTCATATTGCGTCGTCGATGATAAGCCACGCGACGACTTCAGCGAGGAAGATGTCCAGACCCTTCAAGAAATATCAGACGCAATCGGCAATCATCTCGAGAACAAGCGCATAGCTCATTACCATTCCAGATTTGAGCGTCTTGTGACTGGACTGACCGACTTTTCCAAAGATCAACCTGATTTTGATCCACGAAGCCCAAGTGGAAGCCTGACTGAATCGGCAAATTCCACAGTTCATGAATTCATATCACCAACAGCTACTGCTGATCAAAATTTCTCTATCGATGGTTCTCATATCGATGGAAGTGAGAGTAGAACTGGGCTCGACTCGCAGTCATCGTCCGCTTTCCAAGCTGATTCCAAATCGCCGTTTTTCTTTGCTGATAAACCTCGTGGCTCCACAGAGCCATCCTCGCTGGAATCCAATTTATCGTTGGGCCAACCAAGTCCAGGGGAAGAAAGATCTCTTGATTCGCTCAATGAAGCGTTAATGCTAACGACTAAGATCGCGCCCAATAACGAATCTCTGGTATCATTGTCTGGCGTCAGCACATTAGATCGCATTCGAGCAATATTCTCCCGTGCCAGTGTATTATTACGAGATGCGATGAATCTGGATGGTGTGATGTTTTTGGACGGAGCCAGAAGCAGTTCTTCTCTGTCAGTAATCTTGAATCTCTATCAAGGCTAGCTCTAACATACAATAGTGTACCGAAGAAAGACCACACATGGGAACCTCTGCCAAAATTAGCCAGCCAACTCGATTATCTTAACTCATGTCCAACCCCGTTAATTTCAGATAAAGAGCCTAGACCTAAAAACCAGTGTGAGGTTTTAGGGCAGGCTTTCAAGCGGCAGGATTCGGAGGTTGCAGCGGCAGAGAGTCAAGTGATTCTAGACGAGGAACTGCTCGACACACTGCTCAAAATTTCCCCTCAAGGGCAAGTTGTGAATCTCGACATCGGGTCTGAGAGCGATGACGAATCTTCCCTCGGGCCTGCGATCGATGAGTCGCAGTCCAGACATAGAAGCAATTTCAATGTCGCCAGAATACTTAAGCCTCTTTTTCCTACCGCTCAATCTGTGGTATGGCTTCCACTGTGGGATCACCAAAAGTCCCGATGGATGGCAGGTATGCTTTCATGGAGCTCCAATACCCATCGAGGCCTTGGTGTCGAAGAGTTGCATTACTTCAAGGTCTTTGCCCATTCGATCATCTCGGAGGTATCACGAGTCAACTGGACCTCAACGGAAAAGTCTAAATTTGATTTACTGTCCTCTTTGAGTCATGAGCTTCGCTCCCCGCTCCATGGTATCCTGGCAAGCGCCGAGTTGCTCTATGGAACGTCAATCGATTCTGCACAGCAGGAAATGATCAAAATGGTAGAAACCTCGGGTTTGACGCTACTTGAAACAACAGATCACCTCCTGACCTACTGCAAGATCAACAATAGTCGCCAGGCCAAGAGGGTGAAAGGGAACAATCAGGATAATCAATTACTCGTCTTGGAAACCGATTTCGATCTGGCAACTCTCGTGGAGGAAGTTACCAATATACTCTATACTGGTCAAAAGGACCCTAGCCTTTTTGCTCGCCTTGCAATCGTGTCACCTTCGACAGACACTCACAGCAACGCAGAATCAGCCTGCAGCCCAGTGAAGCCCTCGGTCGTTGTACGAATTAATCAATCGCATTCTTGGAAAATTCGATCTCTCCCGGGCGCTTGGAGGAGGATAGTGATGAATATCCTCGGAAATTCTTTGAAGTGGACGGCTCAAGGAATGATCGAAGTTTCATTGTCCATGCTCAGAAATCCCGAGGTTCCCGGCAATCCCATTGCGCATATCTCAGTCATTGACACTGGCCGGGGTATTGCGCCTGAATTTCTCAAACACGATCTTTTTACTCCCTTCTCTCAGGAAGACCGCTTGGTCGAAGGTGTTGGACTGGGGCTTAGCATCGTTCGCCAACTTGTCACCTCGCTGAATGGGCATATCAACGTCAGAAGCGAACTTGGATTAGGAACGCAGGTCGATATTTACATTCCTGTTCACCACCTCGCCGATGATGACCTGGTCCAGAGTTCCTCAAATCTGGCCGAAAGCTCTCCGCCGCTTCAGGTCTGCTTGGTCGCTTTCAATGGGTATCCAGACATCAAGGAGACACCGACTGGATTGCTGACTGCTGAGTCGAAGCGCAAGCTGTCAATTCAGGGGATGCTTGCTGATGTTGTCATGTCAAAGACTGGTTGGACAGTTTCTTTAGCTGAATCAATCGAGAAGGGACAAGGTGATATCGCTGTCCTTGAGAGCTCGACCCTTGAAGAGATCGCCACCCCAGATTCTCTGCCAAGCATTATCTCAGCGAATAGGTTCCAGTTGTTGTTAATCCTAGAGACCAAGCCTTCTCGTTTCGAGAAGAATCTGCCGAATGTCATCTGGGTTGCACCACCCTTTGGCCCGCTGAAAATACAAAGTGCAATTGAAAAAGCTTCAGCTCTTCGTCGATCGCAAGCTGACCTCAACATCAACCCAAACACCAATCAACCAACACCCCTCGATCCGCCACATTTGCATTCAATGGAGCAGCTTTCCATACATTCTGAAGAAGCACCGCCAGGGGAATTCGAAATCAAGATGCCCCATTTTATCGATCTTCCTCGGATTTCGACAGCGCAAAAGCAATGCCATATTTTGATTGTGGACGATAATGAAATCAATCTCAAGGTGCGTAATCAATATGCAGTAAGCCCAGTTCATTTTGCTAAGTTCAATAGATTATGGCCACATTCATGCGCAAGGTGGGATGCACCTATGACACTGCTTCTAATGGGTTGATTGCACTGGAAAAATACAAAGAATGTGATCGCCAATATAATTATGTCTTGATGGACATATCGATGCCCGTCATGGATGGTTTGGTCTCGACACGCAAGATACGACAGTTTGAGAAAGCAAACAATTATAAGCCATCTTGCATCATGGCAGTGACCGGAGTTGCCTCCGATGCTATGCATCAGCAGGCCCTGGCTGCCGGGGTTGATCGTTACCTCGTCAAACCGTTGTCCCTCCGTGAACTCAAAAAGATCATTACATGATACCCTTCTCTATCTAGCGTTCAGCGATATTTGCGGCTATTGGCCCGCCCTTTCGCATTGCTATCTGCCATGGGATTGACTCTGGTTACTTTTCGATATATGATCTTTTACGCATACGCTTTTTAATCTGACCTTTAACTCATAGCCTGTGATACACATCCGATTTGGCATTTGCACTACTATCTCCACTGGAAATAATTCAAGAAAAAAATCGCCAAGATCATCTCTTTCCCTGTTTGATCCGATCCTGAATCGTTCATATATTCGTAGTAGCTAAATATTTTGTATGCCTCTATTAAAATAGTTTTGATGCATATTTGAGCAGATCAATTTGTGCGTCTGCAGAAACAGCTCTTATGGCCGCGCTGAAATATGGAATATCCTGCCCGTTATACTCACAGCTGTGCCCATGAATTCCAATTGTGACTGTAGCGCCATCGCCATCGCCCAATAAAGCTTCCTCAACAAGTTTCGACTTATCGACCTGTCCGCGCACGACAGTATCGGTGATATCATTTCCAAGTTTCAAGTTTGGCAAGTCCACGTATCCAAGTTTGTCCCCTCCCATGGTCAGATTAAAGGTGACATGGCCCTATTAATGTTAGCGGCGGTGTATGTTTTGGCTTGATGAATCTAGTACATACCATTTCAACGCTAAAGGGAGTCGGATTGCGCACGGAGATGGTTGCATTGAAGTTATAACCATCTTCTGGGGGGGTCAAGAAGCTCCAAGCTAGTCACATTAAAGGACCCCTGCTGGTTCACGAATTCTAGTAAGGTCAGCGACAGTACCGCGAAAGTCGAAATGATATTCAACACATACCGGTTACATTATAACCGTCCATATTCATCGTCTTATGAATATCCAAATGGGCAGTTGGGAGTCCACTGAGCTTCAGATCTGGATGTGCCGTTGCCAATATCGCGAAGTTCTCGTCGGTAGCTGCTTGAACAGCAATCTTCGACAAGCATTCAATACAGGTCAAGTCCAGATCTGTGTCAAACTCAATGGTTGCGCCGTCACTGAAATCGATTTTTGGCACGGGGAAAATAGCAAACTCCTCGTTGGTATCCGATGTGCGGATGCTTGCGTTGAAAGCCGTCAGATATCCACTGCCACTGAAGCCACCGCCCATGGATAAAGATTTCTTCTGCTTGACATGGAATGCATTCGGTCGAGGGTTGGTTATTTCAAGTCCCTCGCTGTCGTACTGGTAGTCGTTGATGTATTTGCTGGCAAAATGAGGGATTCCCACGTAGATGCTGTCGTATTTAGTATGAACCATTTTAGCGAGTAGAGTGAACGCCTTACATGGGTAGTACTGTCACCAATACTATGACACCGAACGCAATCAAATACACCCACCACCATTTTTTCATATGCGCCTTGAATCGTTGCCACAGAGTCGGCCTTGGCGCAGTGGCAGCCGTCACACCATTCGCCTCGGAGTCTGAGCTGTGCTCAATATCGGATTTCGACATGGTGAAGACTGTGAAGACTCGCGGATCTAATTTGGCTTTCCTAGCCTCCTGTCAAACGCCGTTAAGCGTCGAGTAAAGGCCGAGGTCAACGGTGAGTGTTGTCGTGGTAAGGGGGTGGAGTACAGCTGCTTCCCATTTTATTGCGGTCGGCGCTCGGTCTGGATGCTGATTTCACAGATGCTGCAAGGAAGGGAAATTATTGTTGGGACATTTGCAAGGATTTATTCGGAGTCACTGTCGCACTGCACCCCCATGGGGCTCGCCGTGCCACTGTCGATCGCTCTCCACATCACATGAAGGCAGCGTATTCGGTGCTCGGAATACGTTCTCACTGTGATCCGATCGGCGTTGAAGGAGAACATCAAAAAGGGGCCAGCCGATCATTAACTACAATAGTAAAATCCGCCGATGTCACTCCAGTGGTGTCAGGGTCTTCGCTTAGCACCGAGGGTTTAATTCTGTATCCGCAATGAACGCCATGATCCAATAAGTTGTCCTGTTTGGATGGTCGCTGACCGGAATCGAGCAACTCGAAGCGTGCACGACCACTTCTAACGACATGTGGCACCGATCGTTTTTCTTTAATACCCCCGGCTCACGGCCATCATCTTTTGATCAAGATCCGCCCGCAAGCTCATGTCATCTGTGATCAGTCGCAGAGATTCGAAGATCTTAGGTTTTGCATGTCGCCGGCGGTGGAAATCATCACGATTAGACTCGGACAGCTTACAGCGCCATTTAACAACTAACTTTGGAAGGTTGGCGGTTGAGATATCCTAGATAATTCTGCTAAAACTTCCATGGTGATACCGAAGGACCGGAATCCGAAGTCAATGTTCCTCAAGACGTTTCCTCTGTTCTTCATTTCCAGGGGTTTCCAGAAAGCCGGGCCTTTCTCCGCCTATTTTTGCGTCTTTTTCTCGAATTCGTCGAGATATGACAGAATGCCGTGACTGACAGTTGGAGCCGGCAGAAAATTCCTGAATTGAGTCGAGGCTTCTAGAGCAAGCTATTTTTACTTATCAATTAGCCCCGCATCTCAATCTCAGCATCTTCTAAGCTGGCGTTCGTGCGGCGTTTGTCGATAGCATCTGGAAGGTGTTCGTCATGTTAGCGCTCCGTGGCCAATAGGGAGCCGCACGTAATCAAGAGTCAGCAATCGCTCAGCAAAATAGTCGAGCGCTAAACTGTTTTAGGACTAGCGCGCTGATTGACGCTCGATAATGCTTGGATAATACGAAGAAACGGTTTTCTACGTCCACTAGCTGGGAATTAATGACTATATAAGACCCATTCTACTCCCACTTTGATCGTAAATCACAATTTTTGAACACATCAATCTACTACTACCATAACAATATAAATCGCACACAGACATTCAAGTTCGACACCGTTCAATCCACAATGTCAAAGCCTCTTTCTCACGCCAAGGTCGTCCTTCGACGCTCTGCTGACCGCGGACACGCGGATCACGGCTGGTTGAACTCCTACCATACATTCAGTTTCGCCAACTATTTCGACCGCCGCTTTCAGAACTTTGGAAGTCTCCGCGTTTTGAATGAAGACCGTGTCGCCTCCCGAAACGGCTTCCCGACGCATCCGCATCGCGACGCCGAGATCTTCAGCTACATTCTAAGTGGCGAGCTCACGCACCGCGATAGCATGATCAAAAAGGGCGCCGAAGGTGAACAAGGAAAACAATTCTACCGCATGAAGCGAGGCGATGTGCAATTCACAACTGGAGGAACTGGTGAGTTTTCTTTTTCTTCCCTTTTCCCACCCCCATTTTCTTCTCTATGTGAACGAAGCTAATCAATACAAAACAGGAATCGCCCATTCCGAACAGAACGAATCCAACAAACCTGTTCATTTCTTGCAAATTTGGGCTCTGCCATGGGCCAGCTCCCTGAAGCCTCAGTATCACACCAGGAGTTTCAGTGAGGAGGCTAAGCGCAAAGCTTTCGTCCATATCTTGTCACCTCTCGCCGCGGGTCCAGAAGCTACACCGGCAGAAGAAGAAGCTGCCACGCCCAAGATCCCTGATACAATTCCCATTCATGCTGATTTTGTCATGGGGGCTGGTATCATTGAACCAGGATCGACATTCAACTGGACCGTCGGAGCCGGTGATGCTGTTAGCTTCAAGAAGAAGAGAAATGTTTATGTTCATTTGCCGATGACCAAGCAAGGCAAGGCCAAGGTTAAGCTCAATGGCCTCGAGGACTCTGTACTTGAGGAGGGTGATGGTGCCTTCATCACCCTTGTTAATGCGGGTGATGCTTTTAGCGTCGAGAGCGTTGGCGATGCCGATGCCGAAGTCATTGTTTTGGACAGCAATTAGTTAGGGCCAGAATTTAGAGTATAATGATTTTAAAAATATAGTTAATTCATGAATTGTTATTCAAGCAAGACCGTGCCGATAGTCCTGTTTTTAGGTTATTTCAAACTGTTTGTTTGCTTTCTAGCTAGATGCACAGCTCGAATCTTACCCTCGGTTTAGCCGCTTTTAGATGTACCAAATAGTAGACGAGCCGAATCAAAGTATTAATTATCTGACAGCAAGATGTGGTATGCTAGTACTCTTCCATCTCCTCTTTTAGTCATGTATCTCCAGATCATCATCTGTTAATGTATACGGAAACCAAAAACTCTGTTTACCATTAGCTTTATAAATCCTCTGACAAGATTCAAGATCACGTACCGCATCAGGATCATTCATCAATTTCCGCACGATGCACAGGAGTGGCTGATCGAAGCGTGAAATATCGGATGCAACATCATAGAACTGTACATCTTCTGTCTCGCCGAGCCAGAGAAGTGTCTCGGGATCTACATCCAGCAGTTTTTCTTTGGATGTGGGCTTCCATGTACAAACGACAACTGGTAGGCCCGATGGATTGGCCAATAATAGCTCCTCTATGTGAGGAGGTGTTAGAGAGATAGAAACTATAATTATCGCGATCAATCATGGAAGAGGTCATTTGAAACCTACCGTGCCAGCGAAGAGCGTTTTCGAAAGTAATTGGCTGTGCTAGATCGACCATGATAATCGCAGCGTCGCTATTCTGGAGCCATGACTGACGGTCTCGGAGTTTGCTTTGGCTGCCAGATACATCCCAAAGCTCTAGGTTCACACGGCCAGCGGACTAAAAAGAGAAAGAGAGCAGGATCCTTTTTAGCTTGCTGCTTATTTCTTGCAACTTAAGTGGAGCTAAGCAGATAGATCCATGTATACATACCATATTCCTAGACCAGCGGAAGACTTCATAGCCAGCTGTTTGGAGGTAGTCTCGATTGAAATCCGGTGAGAACTGCTTTTTGATGTAGCTGCTCTACAAGAATAGTTAATATCTGGTCCGAGCTAGTTACCACATATGCTTATGCTTTGTCGCGTTCTACCTTGCCAACCCCTCCATCGCCGACAATGGTTACTTTAAAAGGCTTTTCGAGGTTTCCAGGCTCCATATTCGTGATAAATTTGATTTGTTTTGCGCCGGAGGAATTCGACAAGCTGGCTAGATGGATCCGTCTGGCTTTATAGTATCAATGCCTGACTTATTTAAAGAAAGCCTAATTCTTGGGAGAGCTTTGACACATCAGCGGGGTCAACGCTAAGCTAGGCCTGACGATCTCTTTCATGAATTCGGGGGCTGCTAGAGAGTCCAGCCTCAAACTTCCTTCAAGGAAGGGAAGGGGCAAAACTTACCAGGTGGAATTTTCATGACTCGGTCAACTTCCCAAGCGGACTTCGGACCCTTCTTAAACAAGCCTGAAAACCCTCCGTCTCCGAGTCCTTCACGGGATCCCAATACCCAAAAGAAACCCAACATTCCGTCCCTGGAACTGACTGCAGCTACTTTTACGTAATTTCCAGACGCACGCAATACCAGGGGGTCTCTTTTTCTCTCGTAGAATCAGCTGACCAACCCCCAGGGTCAGCAGGTTCTCAAAATTGCCAAATTCTATCTTGGCTATCCCGTTGGAAGGGCCGGAGCTAGCGCCATTTTGCGCCATTAATTCGATAAGTTCCTCGCGCGTGGAGATGAAAGGATTGGCGGGTGGTTAGTTAGCCTTTTTTTTCTTCCCCGCCCCCGCATTGCATTGCGCCGGGCCTGGATACAGTTCCAGAAATCTGTTGAGACAAAGATAACTGGCGGGTGCTCATGCGGAACTGGAAGCGAAATTATCGAGTGTTCCTGTGTTATGACGTGGATGGAGATCGTCCAGCTGAGCAATTCAGGTAACCAGATCCCCTCACTCTCACCGTCTTAAATGAAATCTTGTAACGCCCTTTTTTTCTCAGCATTATAGCAATCCCGTATTCAGGGCTATTTTTACTCATTGGTCAGGCTTTGCTTCTTGGATTCGAAGAGCCAGGATATGTATGGCATAGTAGTAATTAAATTCAATCCGATATTTTATGTTGTTACAGTCGGTAGCGAAAACGGCTTCTACCCTGATGGCAGCTTTTCTTTTCTCACTGCCAAGGAACTAGCGTGAACCCCTTATTACACGCCGACTAGTAATGGAATGACAATGTGTGGTACTGTGTTATATTAAATACTATATTTACGATATTAAATTACTCGATGACTGCGTCAGGCGCATCTACATACGCTAAACACAATGTTGCCCAATTTGCAGTATTTTATTCGTCGGTATATGCTCGGGTATCGAATGTATCGCGTGACAAAGCGTAGTGTAGCACAATTAGCTCGTAAAGACCCCTCGCACGGCCCTCAACTTATTGACTGCAGGACGGTTGAAAGACTCTTCCATACAGCATTCATTTGTAAATAGCATCAATACAGAGACCAACGATATGATGTTTAGCACCTGCATAATTGCGTCCTTATTGCTTCGATCTCAATAGGAATACATTTACTCTTCGATCAAGATATTCTGTATAGGGAAAAAGACCCAGATTTATGAGGGCCTCCAATATGAGATGCTTACTTTTTATTTTTTAAAAAAGCGCCCTTTGCATCCCGGCCCTTCATTTCGACTGTCACTTAAGCGTCTAAGGGCTGGCTTCGAAATTCAGGGGCGGACTCCAAAATCACCGATATCTTCCATATACATTTTCTCCCTTTTTGGGTCACATAAATGCGCAGGCACATTATTAGTCACGTCGACGCCAAATAGAGACTCTGTCATGGATCACCCCATTCTCACCCTTGCCTACAGCGTGCGTGCGCTCTGGTTGCCAGTATGCCACTCTCTCCAAGCCCGCCTTGCTAGGCTCTCGCAACGGGTCCGCATTGACAAGACCCTTATCGTTGTAGGAGATCTTCTCACCGGGGTAGCTCAGATGCTCCATGTAGGCCTCGGAGGGGGAGGCAAATGGAGGGCTGGGGCCAAGGGGTCCTTATGACGAGGAGATTCCAGACATATCAGATTGCCTGCAGGTGAGGGAGCAAGAAGCTCAGTGTGTCGGAGAGCCCATTTAGGACGGAGCTCTGGGTTCAGAGCACAGAAAAACTATATAGTTGTTAGATGGGATGACCAGAAAGACCAGAAAGATCCAGGGTAGGTCAGAAATGGCACATCAGCAGTCCAAAGACAGAAAGCGAAGCATCTTGCAGTTCCCCCGGTAGAACGTAGAGTACAGGTGGAGAGAAAATAATAGCAATGACGGAATGGAGCCTGAGTATACATACCGTGTAATCATAAATAATATCAAATCCATTTCGAGGTACTCCAATTTCCTTCAACCAGGTATCATCAAAGAAATCTCCCTGGACGAAAGTGACCTTCCCCTTCCCGGCTTTCTCGTCTCGCACGCGGTACCAGCTAGGGTTCTCCTTCTCTTCCTTCTTGCATGCATCGACAGCCGTGGCGCTAACTTCCAGGCCATAGGCATCATACCCAAAGCTTGCCAGTAAGAGTACATCTACTCCACGCCCACAGCCCGGCACCAGGGCCTTCCGCCTCTGGCCGTCCTGGGTGATCGGCTTGCCAATGGTGCCAGCTCGCTGGACCAGGGTGTCTTCTAGCGCGGGGTTGGGGAAGCCACGATCCCAGGGCAGATTATCATATTTGTCCCAGAGAGAGGCCCAGCCATCAACATACTTGTCGCCCTGATATTCGGCCCAGTGTGCTCGAATATCCTTGGGATCAATGTTGTTAGGAGTCGCCATGGCTGTGTGGTGGTGATGGAGTGCCGGGGAAGTTGGAGGTGGTCGCTCTGGCGTGACAGTGATAAACAGGGTAGAAAATAGGAATGGTAGAGAGTGGTCAGAAAACTATTGAATACACAGGGAAGTAAATGATATTGGGTGCACGACGTCTATTCTACTTATACCTCTCCACACTCGTAATTAACTAAGTGTCTTCACGCTGTTGTTGGAAATCATTGTCGATCAAATTACCTCAAAAATTTGACCGCGAGCCAATAGTCAGTTAGGTGTTGGGTCGAAAGTTAATCAGTCTTTACCTGTTTATTCATCAAAAAGTGGAGGTTTCTATTACAGTGACATGGGATTGGCCCAGGCGGAAATCTTGGGCCCACCGTCCTCCAAGTATTACCCATTTCTAGTCACCATTCTTTCCTGACATTCCCCGAGGGCTTAACTGTCATTCAGGCCAAGTACAGCAATTTACACTCGCTCAAATCTGCTATGTATGTATGTAACAGGACGTTATGATTGGTGGTGATGCAGCTGGGGACCAAAAAGATAATGTTTTGACTGATGACATAAACTAAATGCTGCGCCACACGGAAATATGAATAAACATCCTGACGTAATGATCTAATGTTTGATTGACGGGGGCAGTAGTGGCGGTGCCAAAATTATAATCAAGCCGACAGGTTAGTTAATTAACTTAACTTGGGATCAGACAAAGAAAACCCTTAGAAGAAAGATGAGCATGATCATTGAGGATAACTGGGTTTAGTCGGTCTTCATTGACGTATTGAATTGATTCTATCTAGTTGTTTGATTATTGTAGCGGGGCAGACAGTAATCAAGCCCCGTTTCTTGTCGCATCTGGAATGAGTTAGTGAGTTGTTTACTGTAACAATAACCTTTGCCGGTTCGGAAATGTCAGAGCACCCCCAACTTACGTTGGTCGACGACGAAGTGTGACTCCTCTGATGGTACAGGCCTTGTGTGATCATCTACTGGAAAAGCCAGGGCTATATGCACTAATATAGACAGGACAATGTCTGGCAAGTGAGGCCTTCCTACTTGGGCTGCCGCCGTTTTTATGAGGCTCAGGCACAATGAGTAAAAGTCAGCATGTGATCAGGTTTGTTAACGGTTCACTTAGTTGTTGACAATAACTTTAGGCTTCTCCAGTGCGTGTATTTATCTAAACTGCCAACCTGGATAGTGGTGTTGGAGATTACTTCACTGTGGTCATGACTAATCATTCTTCAAACTCCTTACGATTTAGTAAAATAAGTGAAACTCTTGGGACCCTGGAAGGGCAAGACATAAGGAAATACACGTGAATAAAGTATTCGGATAATTGGAGGAGTATGGTGACCCATTTCTAATCAACGGTCCTCAAAATGTGCTTGCTAGCGTGGAAAGTCATGCGTTCATGTAGGCAAACCAGTCAACCAATAAACCTTGTAAGTAAGGTGCGTTGTTCATGCCATGCAACCGAGACACAGATAGTGACAAGGCCGACGAAAGGTGACTGATTGTATGAGATGGTGCGGGGAAGCTCGGTGATTCCCAACGAACCGAACCATTTTAAGAAGGCAACCAATTCTATTGCTGAACTGGCTGAAAACATGATGCCGCTGCATCGAGTGCACGGACTTGCTTTACGGCACCTCCGATGTCGTGGTCCTGGCTGATTGGATGCCTTAGTAAAGCCGGAACTTGGCCAAGGTCTGGCACGTATGCAGAGCCTCACTCTCCTTGACGCACGTTGTTTAAATGCTGGTAAAAAGAGTGCTTAATCGACTTACTGCACGGAAAAAACCATGGATCTCTTCAGCGGAGTTGCTTCAGTAGTTACGGTTTGCGGTCAACTGGAAACATGCGTCAATGGCCTTCGTCGATTATACATTACCCTGAAGTTCGCGAAACGGGACGTACGACAGCTGCTGGATGAGGTTTATATTTGCCAAAGTCTTTTTGGTATCTTCAATGATGTCACACGCCCTCTGGGCAGCGAGGTGATGAAACTAGCCCACAAAGAAAAACTTGATGAAGCATTGCAGACCCAGTCCACTTCGGCTCTTGAGCAAATCAATCACATTATGACCAAGTTCAAGCCGCTAGTAGAGGAAAGCAGGACCAGCTCATTTGAAGAACTCTTAGCAAAGGTTCGGTGGCATTTTACGAAGCAGGAGATCCAAGCTTTGATGATCACACTTAATACTGTGAAGTACAGTCTTAGCTTGCTTTCTTCTCTTTTGGCAATGGAAAGCTCTATCGCGAGTTTCTTACAACAGTCAACAGCGAATGATAACCAGGACTCACTTGTTAGTCAGATGTGAGACTCGCTAGCCGATCGTTATATTATTTTTTATTATGACTAAAGCGCTTCTTCTATTTGCAGAGCCACGTTGGAAAAGACGGTTAATCGCCAGAGCAAGACTCTGAAGAGACTGGCCAAGACAATGAATGACACACTTCAGAAAGTCCACGAGTCGCCGTTGAAATCCAACACAGAAGCGATCATCGACATCATTAAACAGATCAAGAAAGAGCCTGTCGCTAAGGCACGAGCAGTTATCGCTCGGGACGAGCGAAATAATCCTTCACGTGTTATAACCCCACCACCAAGTGCTCGTGATTCCATAAGCATGCAAAACCCAAGGAACATAAGACTAGGCAATACGCGATTACGTTCCGGTAGTCGTTTCCCTAGCGTGATAGCATCGCCACACAGCCAAGGAACACCATATCAGGAGGGTGTGACTGCGTCTCGCCAGCGTCGAAGAACGCGCGATTACGGAGATGGTAATAGAGAACACTATGAAGGGGGCTCATCTTCATCTTCCATCCGCAATGTCAGGCATAAAAACCACATGTTATTCGCTCCCAATCCACCTTTCATTCAAGAAGATTGGGATTTGAGGAATCGAAACAAGAGTGATTCTAGAGAGAATCTTTAAGGCTACGCAGCGGGTATGTGGGCAGGTGAATATTATCGATATGAAGCTTGACTCTAACTGAGCGAAGTACAGGGTCACCACAATTATTGGTGTCACTTTTGGGTCCTAGGCTTCTTTATCAAGCCTCACCAATCTTCCTATTGCCTCGAAGATCGTAACTGAAGACTTTCAATTCTTAATAAAAAAGAAGCATGGTCGATCAATTCAGGGCCAAGGGGCAAACAATATGCATAGAAGTCAGGAAAGAACGATATAGACTGAAGAAGAGCACGCGAGACTCTCTCCGTAATCGTGGTGGCAATTGTTTTAGAAGAAAACCTGGGCAGGCACTCTGGCTCAAGTTCAGCGTAGGAGGGGTCACCGAGCGAAGCACACAAGACCTGACTTAATCCTTACATCCGAGGAAAAGGACCAAAAGACTATACCGAATTGAAGAGCGGTTTGGTAAGTGTAACCAAATTGAGAATCCCGTAATAATGTATTCTCTTGCAATATCGGCCTACATCGCATGATGAAGAAGGACAACGCATCAGGTTGTAAACACTCCGCCAGACAGACTCTTCCCCAGAGGCATTTTCTTCAGCATCCAGTTGGGCATCTCGCTCGTTGAGCATCCTTTTAGTTATTTTAGTTACAGATGACCGTCCTCTTTTCTCAACTCTACCCGAGGCAGTTCTGGGGAGGCGGTCATCCTCAATGTATTTAAAGGTAATACTTAGCCTCAGTTTCTTGCCTCGACAAAATAGTTCCCCCTATCTAAGAAGCTGTTTTTCTACAGTGATCCAATCTATATTGAGATTCTCAAATCGCTTCGTCAGGTTGCGTTGGGAACGATCGTTTACCGATACAATGATCGAAGTATCATCAGACCTTACCCTCCTGGCACAGGAGGTTTTCCCTTCTAGCAACTTCTCTAACTTGGAACTTCAATCCCCTGGGCGGGATGCTATGCTGTTTTGTTTGTGGGTAGGTCAAGTTCAAGTTACATGATGGAAGGAACTAGTAACTACGTGTAGAGTAACTTAACCTCAACAAAGTACTAGTACGACTTACCCTAGGAAACTTAATTGGAAACAAAGTACCAGTACCATTACGAGAAGACACTCAGGACCAAAGACCCGCCAAGACGAGAATATAATTCGTGCTCACGATGTTACAGAGAGACAGAGGAAGGGGAAGGAAGAAAGAAGAAACCTATATACAAAAGCGCCCGCCAGAAAAGCGAGACCAGAGAAAAAGAACAGACAGGCATCACGTTTGACCATACTTGATAAGAATCGGAATTGGAATCGGGACGGAATTCGGTTAAACTGCGGTAATGAGATTGGCATGCGCAGGTTGGACGATCCACCATACAAAACCCCCAGCCCCCTGCCGTCTCCTCGGTGATTGTCGATATCAAGATCTCGTACCTTACACCCGATCCCAATCTAATCCCCCGATCCGATTGAATAAACCAAGTGGCGCGTGGAAAATAAAGCAACGATTGGCAAGAACAAGGAATTACCCTCATATGCACCTCACAGATTCGCAACCAAGGCTGCAGAATCGGCAAGAAGTATACGAAGTCATTTGTTCCGGGGGTATGAGATAAAACGAGAGGTGTTGGTATGTAGGCGTGTTTGTGAGTGAGGAAGATGAGATGCGCAGATAGACAGGCGGTATCGTAGGTCGAGAGCAAGAAGAGAGAAGAAGAGAAAAAAAGATGATGGATTTGAAAAAGGAAAACAACGGGTGGGGGGTATGGAGCTGGAGCTGGAGCTGGAGCTGGAGGGAGATAATCTGATCTGATCTGGTTGGGGCGGCGTTTATAGCAGGTGTAGCTAAGCTTTCTCTATTCCTGTCCAAATCCAAGGGTCTCCTCCACTGCAATAGACATCTTGTGCTCCAGGGCGTCGTGGGTCTTATAGGGCGGTAGGTCAAGACGGTTGAAACAGGTGTGCGACTTGGGCAAAGCGGCAGGATCTCCTGACTTCTCAATAGTGAATCGTCTGGGACCGTCCGAACCTTGCAAGTCCTTGAAACCGTTGACGGGGATACGCGAAGTACCAGTGGTGAACTGCAACAGACGCGACTTCTGCTCCGCATCCCAAGTGCGGACGATCTTCCAGAAGTTCTGAATAACCTCGTCCTGCTCCTGGTAACCGCGGTAATCGGTGTGCTTCTTCCAGTCATCCACGTCGATATCAGCGATACCGCCGATTAGCAGTTCCAGTTCACGCTCGTCGAAGACGTTGACCAGATCCGCGGGGATCAGTTCGTTGAAACCGGACATGAATGCGTTGAATTGCTCCTCCACGCGCTTGACAATCTTCCATTCCGTAACCAATCTGGAAATTTGTTAGTCAACACTCCAACTATCCAGGGATTCTGAACAACTCACTCAATGTACTCCGGCTTGTTCTCGTTGGTGACGTTAATCTCCTCTCCACCGGGTTTCAAATCAATAGTGCGACGCTCGCCAAACTTCTCATCGTCGACAGAGAAGGTAAGCTCAACGATTCCTTCGATGTCATTGTCCCTGTCGGGGATTAGTATTGGGTATCATGGCTCCTCAGGAAAGGAAAACCTACAAGGTCCACGCAAGGTTTCGATGTAAATCTTCGTCCACACCCTCCATGTCTTGAAGAGTCACTTTCTTCCTCAGCATCATCTTATAGAAAGCACCGATGAAGAAGGAATCCAAGAAGCGACGATGGAAGATCGCCAGGCCGACAACACGGCCGATGAATTTGAAGTAATTGAGATGCTCAGGGTTGACGCCAGAGTGAGGATTAATCTGCAGGGTATAATTATCGTGGGCGGAGTATTCGAAAAGGCAGTAGAAGGGGTTGAACATTTCGTGAGAGAGAAGGAAAAAGAATTCACTAAAAACGTTAGCGAGGTCGAGCGAAAGAAAAACTTCGGGGTGAGGGTAAGAGGAGGGCATACCGAGAAAGACCACCATAATCCAGACCGTCTTCCCCATCGAATTTGATCATCAAACGCTTCTTCAGATCGGAAGCACTCTGGCGCATGATCTCGGCGTAAGAGTCTTCGAAGATATTATTACGGCGAACCTTAACATGGCATTGACCAGACATGATTCGCAAAGCAGGCTGGGATCGGAAGTAGATCAGCTTGCGGCGGAAGTCACGCTTGTACTGAGGAACACCCTGGTCCAAGGAGGAGGGCAATCTGGGATCGTCCCAAGTAGTAGTCTTGGTGTTGTGGTCGACAAAGTACACTCGAGCCGTATTCGTGAGACGCATTTCCCAGCCACTTGGTAGAGGTCCCAGTTGAGACACGGGCTGCTGTTGGATGGTGGTGTTGTTTCCTCCCTGGTTCTGGTTCTGACCGTACATGCGGATGTACTGCTGCCGACGAGGATCGACCCAGGTTGTAGTGCGGGTATTGTGGTCCACGAAGTATGCGCGGCCCTCGGGCGTGGATCGTTGCTCCCATCCTGGCGGGAGCTCTCCAGTGCCTGCAGTGGTGGCTCCCGTTGCCATCATGGAAACGGCATTGGCGTGAGATCCAGGGGCTGAACCCCCGGCGGCCGGTGCAGCAGGAGGAGGAGCACCTGGCGGCGGCGTGCTTTGGCCTTCCGGCAAATTGGGCGAACTGGCGCCGGTGCGATCTTCCGGTAGCATTCGGCTCTGGTGGGCGCGACGCTCGAGTTGCATGTTGGCGGCGCGCTCATTGCGGGAGCTCTGCTCATTATAGTTGGCGGATGGTCGTGACCAGGTGGTAGTTCGCGTGTTGTGATCGACGTAGTAAGTCCGTCCCAAATTATCCTCTCTTCGCTCCCAGCCCGCGGGGAGTCGACCCTGACTATCCTCGAATGAACTCAGATTTGCACGCGATGCGGCACCGACACCGGGCGGAGCGGCTCCATTGGGGGGTGGAGGGGGCCCACTGGTCGACGCGCGGTTGTTGAGCGAAGAACTTGATGCGGCGGGGGCGGGAGAATTGTCGAGATGGTTAGGACCAGCCTGGGATTGCGATAAGGGTGCTGCAATTTGTGGGACAAGACCACTGGATGTGGAAGATTGAGCCTGTTGAGGCCGAAGTCCATTCTGCTGGTTGGGGTGGGGTGCGTCGAGATTAGTTGACAGGTTAATGATCAGCTTGCCGTGGACGACGAGGTTATCATTGGACTTTTTCAGGTCGCGAGTGAGCATTTCTAGAAGGGGAACGAAAGTTAGCACAGAATGTTCCTTGACGAGTTTTCGTCACGACTCGATCGCGTCATACCATCACCACCCATCTGTAGATCGATCACATCGCCGATCCGTACGTTGATGACGCCGAGGAAACCCTGATCCTTCTTCTTGAACTTCTTTTGGTCGAAAATTTGAATCGCGAGAATACTGTCTTCGTTGACTTTCCTGTTTCGATAAAAGACCACCGGTTAACACCACACATGTCCCATCCGGAATCACCACCACACCGAGACCAAAGCTCGCGGTAAAAAGTGGGGGTAGCGACGTACAGATCGAAGGGTTCATTCCAGTATGGATTCAAGGTCTTTTTGATCACCGAGGTGGTGTGAGTTTGCTCGCCTCCGACAGTGGCCACAGCGAATGGGTCGGGAAATCCTAATGGTGAAAGTTGCTGGTCAGCCCCCCCCGCCGCTGATGATCATCCACGCTCGACCGAGCATCGTCTCGAATGGATGATCGAAAGATCGCCATAGGGTAATCGACATGGAAAGAACATACGAAAGACATCACGTTTGTAGAGACCGTCGGCCGCGATAACTATTATCATTTAGTCAGTCTGATATCGAAGGCGGACCCCGCAGCGTCCCGCCTGATGCAGGGCCCCGGGCTCCCAAGAGGAAAAAGGCAGTCTTACTCGTGACCCGAAGGTTGGGCTGGCTAGAAGTTGCGAAAGGATATCAGCTAGAGAAAAAGAAATGCGAAGGGGAGGAAAGGGGCGAAGCGATGTGGAAGACGTACGCTGGCAGGTTGGATGCCATGATGCCCTGAATGAGTTGACAAGCACGTTAAAAGCGAAAGGACCGATCAATCAAGCCCGATACGAGACAGGAAGGCGCATGCACAAGAAAAGAGGAATGGCAACCAATCTCAGAAATGACGTGGTGGGCGTGATGAGTGGAGGAGGGGAGGATTGGATTGGGAGGTTGAAGGTTGAAGGTTGAAGGAGGAGAAGGAGAAGGAGAATGGAAGGGCCGGGCTAGGCTGGGCTGGGCGTGGTGGTGGTGGAGAACTGCGCTCAACTACACAAGACACTCAATACTAAAGACTAAAGACATTGCCAAGATGAATTCAATCCGGTCTTGTTAGTCTTGACTTCTAATACAATAACTACCTCAGCCACACTGCGCCCGGTTGGAAACCTCTGTTCGCTGATCTGGCGTACGTAATACTGGGCAGGTCAAGTCTGAGTGCGGGTGCGGGCGGGATGGCCAGTGGCGAGCCTTGATAATAATAGGACTAGATACTTACAGACTAGTTTACCGGTTACTAAGTACTAGGTATTAGGCAGCGAAATAGATACTGCAACTACGCTGCTTACTTTCAATGGTTTTGCCCTCCTTGTACGGAGCAGTCATTCCATGATTACACATCGAGCCCAGCAAAGACTCGTTATTGTACATTTCCTATAGCCTAGCCTAGCCTAGTCTCTTAACTCCATAGCCAGAACCCCCACGAGAGAGAGAGAGAGAGAGAGAGAGAGAAAGGACACAAATTGATGGCCAACACCGGATTCATCGGATACCGGCGAACTCTGATCTCCTTTAGTATGGAGCATAGCCACGACCGCGTCCCCGAATGCCACCACCGCGGTAGGTGCCACGGCCTCGCCCACGTCCTCCACGGAATGCACCTCGTCCACGACCGCGAGTCATACCGGGCAGGTTGGTACGCTTAGGGGTGACCTATAAGGAGGGGGAAGTAGACTGCGATTAGTCCAGTCCAGAGCACAAATAGAATGGTGAAGGGACAAGAGAAACAAACCTTCAAGTTGCGACCACGGAAGACACTCTCGTTCAGAACCAGCGCATTGGCCACGAGACTCGGCTCGGAGAATTCCACGTAGGCGTATCTAATAATCAGACAGATAGAATCGATCAGCATTGTTCCACCTATTCCATCCATCTTCCGCGCTGTGCAGGTGCAGGTGCAATGCTTAAACTCACCCCTTCGGCTGACCACTGAACTTATCCAGCAGAATAGTGACTCGATTGATGGAGCCACAGCTCTGGAAATGCGACTGGATCTCCTCCGGCGACGCGCCATAGTCCACATTACCGACAAAGACGCTTCGGGCATCGATATCTTCCTTGTTCTCTTGGAGACCTTCAGCCTCCGCATCGAGGGATTGTTGCATCTCTTTCAGCTTAGCGGCTTCGGACTCCATCTCGGCGACCCGGCGCTTCATCGCGGCGATTTCTTCCTGAGGCATTGGATATCCGCATTAGCCGGTGTTCATCCTGTTTTGTTTTGCTTTGCTTTGCGTTGTATTGGTCGTGGTGGTCGCTTGCTTGGCTTGGCTTGGGGCTCCAGCCAAAGCTCGACTACTTCAAAGCTACCTCTTGCGGGATCGCTTTGTCGCACGGAGTCGAGTCGCGATTGCTGGAGCGGAAATATCTTTGATCACACGAACCTCATCATCAACCCCCTCTTCCTGGGTGGGAATCTGCTCCTCCTTGATCTCTGCTCCTTCGGCGGACATTATGTGGGATGTTGTGAAGAAAAGGAAAACGGGATCGATTGATAATTCGGGTTGTCGGGCAGCGGCAAGAGTAGGGCGGCTGGGGGGGGGAGGTATATGGCGACGGGAGGAGGGAGAGAGGGTAGGGGAATGTCGTGCTAGAATTTAATTAAGAAGTGCTGGAACAATATGGGCGATTGAAAGGCCCTGAAAGAACGGTCGTCAAAGAATTGTGGACGTGAAGGTCCATGGGAGATCTTTCCATGCGGGGCGGATGAGGCGCGCTGGCTTTGGCTCAAGACGCTAGTCCCGATCCGGTAATGGACCAGGCTGCGATGGGAGGATCAATTGTGTCTTTGTATCGGGGTTGGGGAGGACAAGTGCTCAGTTATTGCAAAAGTTAATAATTGATTGAGGAAAGCTTCAAATTATCTTGGACAGAGCATCTTCCGATCGAGTAGTTTGGCTACACTGGTTCTAAGAATAGGTATCATTCCATTGCAAGCAGATATCAAAAAGGCCAGACAGTACGGCGTACAGTATGCGGGAACAGAGAGACTATGTACAGGGTGAATCATATAGGGTAGATAGGTCAAACGAATAATCATGGTGGTCCCGGCTCACGAGTCCGCAGTTGCTGCTGCTGCTGCTGCTGCCGGTGCCGGTGCCGGTGCCGCCGCCGTTGTTGCCGTCGCAGCATCTGGCGCGCGGTTCTTACGGAAGGAGACCTTCTCCACAGCCACATTTTCGATACCATTGGCGTCGGTCTTGAGCTGGTAGACGTAGAGAACGAGGACATCGCCTTGGATCTGTCACCGTGTTAGCATTCACGTATATCTTATCCCACTTGTATTGCGCCGACTCACATCCATCAAGCAGAAGCTCGGCGTCGGCTCTTCGCCCTCTGGCCAGAATCCGGAGCTCAGGGCACCAGTGGCACTTCCCGGGTTGATAAAGAAGTGACCCTCCATCTCGAATGCCTCGAAGCGATGGGTGCCGCCCCAGAGCAAGATGTCGACATCCATTTGGCGGGCAGCGATCAAGAGGGCGTCGGCGTCGCCATTCGGGACGATGGTGTGTCCATGGGTAAATCCGATGCGCAGGTTCCCATGTTCAACGATCTTGGAGACGGGGAGGTTGGGCGAGTCAACGTCAAAGTCGCCCTTGACCATTTGCAGGTCCGGGGCGACCCCGCGGAGGTACTCATAGGTCTCGCGGTCGGTGCAGTTGCCCAGACATAGGATCTGGCCGATCTTTCCGGGGGAGAGGAGTTTCCGAAACTATCAGAAGGTGGTGAGGGGTCAATTGCAAGGTCTAGATATAGGTTTCGGTGAGGGCGGGTGTCGATGATCGGTTGAGGCATACCTTGGGTGGGAGGTCCTGGGCGGTGGTTAGCGGGACAACACAGTGAGGGAAGGGCCTGAGAAGACCTGGAGGAGTAGATCCAAACTCACAGGAGCACGGTCGGGGATGAATAGGTCACCGATGACCAGGACAAGACGGGCGGTCATGGCTGGAATTGGTGGGAGGAGCTCTAGGACAAGCTAGAAGCAGCTAGGAGGGGATGGAGAATGGAGAATGGGGGTTTGCGGAGTCGGGATTAGCGCGGAGGCCATCTGGTTGGTTCATCGCCCCGAACACGCTTCTCGTCCGACTGGTGTGAATTCGGGTCGGGTTAGCCAATCGAGATCTGGGGGAATTGAGTGCTTTGCGGAGCTCTCCGAGTGCTAGGATCTCTAGAATGGCGAGTACAGCGGATAGTGTAGACTGGTGTGGTGGTAGAAGCATACCTAGGTAGTCTAGTATGGACCACAGAGTATGAGTGCGGATGGTATACCTTACCATTGTGGTCTATATTGATACATTGCATGTTCAAGTTGTATATTAAATTAACAATATCATATAGTTCTTGTGGTATACTCTAATTTCTAATATTTTTCTATGAATATATGGCTATCTGTAGTATCTTAACTATCTCCACTCTATGGTATAGCCTCTGCATACGATATCGGATGGCCTCCCGTAGTCGCCGCACATACTGCGTCGCATACTAGCATACATCTTACATAGATTCTAGGTAGTATACAATCTTCACATAGAATATAGAATAGATTCCGAGTTCCTACTCTTCCCGCCCCAAAATGGTAGTTGAATCCTCTCCCCCTTCTCTGCTCCTCATCGGCCCCGGCCGTCATTCACCGACGGGTGGGAAATTTCCTCAGATATTCAGCTCCTCCCTTCTGCAATAAATAGCCTCCTTCTCCTCTGCCATTGCACTCCACTCCACTGTCCTTCGCAAGCCCTTCCGAGTGGTATACTTCGGCTGTCCTCCGACGCAACCAATCCCCTCTCATCTCTCGCCAGACTCCCCGGGTGACTCGGCGGCGATCCCCGATACTCCAGCAGTCCAGGTGTACCAGCGACACCAGTTTCCCTCGGGAATTCACAAGCAAATCACCCAAGGTACTACGCAATCCAACCAATCCAACCAATTACCCCGCCGCACACCCCGCCGCAATCGGATGTCGAACAAGTCCACCCAGCAACGACTGAGCCTGATCTCCAGACACCTGGACCAGCGTCTCCCGTTGCCTGAACTGAACACTCCCTTCTCGACCGAAAGAAACTCTCTCGCTCCTGACGACGTTGAATATAAACCTGTCGACCGTTCCATTCCTCCTTCTCCCTCCCCCGAGCCCCAACCCACCCAATCCAACATGTCTACTCAAGCCCCTCACAACACTTTGCTCATCCCGGGCCCCATTGAGTTCGATGATGCTGTCCTCCAGTCCATGTCCCACTATGCGTGAGTTCTTACCCCTCCATCATAATCATCATCATAATCATCCCCCACTAACATCAATTGACCCCTCCAGTGAGAGCCACGTCGCTCCCGGCTTCGTCAAGGTCTTCGGCGAGACCATCTCCCTCACCCGCAAGCTCTTCCAGTCCACCAACCCCGCCGCACAGCCTTTCATCATCGCCGGCAGCGGCACCCTCGGCTGGGACCTCGTTTCCGCCAACCTAGTCGAGCGCGGCGAGAACGCCCTCGTCCTGAACACCGGCTACTTCGGCGACGCCTTCGGTGCCTGCCTCACCACCTACGGCGCCAACGTCGACCACCTCCGCTGCCCGATCGGCGAGCGCCCCGCCTTCGAAGATGTCGAGAAAGCCCTCCAGTCCAAGCCCTACAAGGTCATCACAATCACCCACGTCGACACCTCCACCGGCGTGCTGAACGACATCAAGCGTGTCGCCGAAATCACCCGCCGCGTCAGCCCAAACACTCTCGTCGTCGTCGACGGCGTCTGCAGTGTTGGATCCGAGGAAATCGCCTTCGATCAGTGGGACCTCGATGCCGTCGTCACCGCGTCCCAGAAGGCAATTGGATGCCCACCCGGTCTGAGCATTGTAATGGTCTCCGGCCGCGCGATCCAGGCTGCTCAATCCCGCAAGACCCCCGCGGCTACTTACTACGCCAGTATCGAGAAGTGGCTGCCAATTATGCAGAACTATGAGAACAACAAGCCGAGCTACTTTGCCACTCCGCCCACACAGCTCGTGCACGCTCTGCACACTTCCCTCAGCCAGATCACTGCTCGTGGTATGGCGGAGACTTTTGCTATTCACACCAGGGCTTCAGATAAGGTCAAGGCTGCTGCTGCTGAGCTCGGTCTTAAGCAGCTCGCTCCTAACCCGGATGCTCAGGCTCACGGTATGACGGCCATGTACCTCCCTGACGGCCTGGCTCCCCCGGATGTCCTGCCCGGTCTGCTGAAGCGTGGCGTTATCTTCGCAGCTGGTCTGCACAAGGAGATTGCTACTAAGTATATCCGTTTCGGTCATATGGGTGTTAGTATCTCTGATCCTAACCGTAAGGATATTGATAATGCTCTGGGTGCGCTGAAGGAGGCGCTTGTTGAGGCTAAGCAGGCGAAGGGTCTGTAGATTTTGCCATGTTCTATAAATCTATAAATTGAATGATTATTATAGACTATCTTTTTCAAGGCGTAGCATACAGTAGTGCCAGGGTGCGCAATGCATGGAATGTGTTCATGGGTAGCAAAGTTGAACCTCGACCATAGGTATAAGTGTGCCCTCGTGTAATTTGTAATTGGTATATACTTATGTAGATTTACTAGTACCAACCTAGAACGCGGGCAAGTCTCCAGATACGGCACTCCATGCCGGCAACGGATCTAATAGACCTCGCCACAATGTTCCTCCTTTGTTGAAGCTATCCCGTCTATATACTTGGAATTAATTGATCTTAAAACTCAGCGTGCATGGCTAGAGAGTTTGTGAGGGGCAGAGAGAGGGAGGGCGTTCAAAGCAAAAGTGAACAGAGAAGAGGACGCAGGTGTGTCCAAATCTGTAGAGGAATACTACCAATTAGTGGGCAAAGCATCGGTTAAGAATGTCAAACAAGTCTCTCTGGGCAATAAGCCTCCGAATGGTCTAATGGTATTGGCCTTGATGATTTGGGGGGAAAGAGCGAGGAGGCTTTGAAGACGCGCACAGGGACCAATGCGTGCCTACCTTGTCTTTTTGTCTTTTTTTTTCAAGCTGAAGGGTCGAAGACGGGAGTCACGGGACAAGGCATTTACTTAGTTCATTTTGGTTCCTTCCCCTTTTATTACGTTTGTTGTTGTGCTTCTACCTAGTCCATCGTGCCTTCCTTCCAATGTGTATACATATTTGTTTGCTATCCCCACACCGCCCCTTTTCTGCCGACTGAGGTGGGCCACTGGTCTGTTGTCGTGGATCGCGGGACTCCCGGGAAATCCAAATCCAAATCTAATCTATGCACCTTCCAAGGTTTACCGACAGAAATGACCCTACAAGTATGCGATGGCTATTAGTAGTAGTAGTATAGATCAAGCAACCAGCGGTCAAAATTGAGCACTGCCAGCCGTACAAACTTCATCCGGATACAACTCGCTTAGAATGCGAGCAACATTACCAGCTCTCTCCCCACCACAGCAGCAGTAATATCATCAGCTTCGGATAACAAACATTGGGTGTATAATTATGGCCTTGTGACTTTTGTTAACGTCGAAGAACTTACAATTTGAATATAAATTCTGAGTGAGAATTTGGCTAAAGCTTTTCTGTTTTTGGATATCGACATGGCTGGAGTACTCTGGTTAGATTGGACGTGTTATTTTCTCAGTTCATTCATTGAAAATTATAGATTAACCTTTGGCGAGCCTTTCTCAACCTAGTTACATATTCCGGACTAGCATATACCTAGGCTCAACAGTGATCATTGAGGGGATGTGCGGGTGCCTGATGCTGCGCCGCATCACCAGGGCGCAACAAGAATCACTTAGGGTTAAATTATGGCTCAGTAGGCCCGTCGCGATCGTACTTCTAAAATATATTGAAACTTGATTGCCGAGCCAGTAAAGTGCAGTTATTGATCATTGGCTCCTTGACCTCGTTCAGAAGCCAGATGCATAAGGTGGCGTCGATGAATCTGCCTTGGCTTGCAAAACGAAAGCCTTTACATACATGCTAAGAGCGCAATGTAAGGAAGGAGGGCAAAATCTTAGGAGCTCAATCGTGCAATCTAGAATATACCCTGGGTATCTTTTGGGGCAAACTAGTAGATCTATTGCGTATGTTGAAGAGCGATGCCTAAGTGTTGTGGAGTCGTACAACGACGGAAGCGAAAGTAGTTGGAAGAGATATATTTAATGCTGGCTTTTACATCAGCCTTTCACGCCTACATCCTGTATATTCAACAATAAAATCAAGTTGAGCTTTTGGGGAAGGGTATAGAAGGGCGACTATGCTACGGAGTATAGGCGATATACATGAGAGGCAGCATGTATTCCAAAGAGTCGGGAAGCTTGTGTCGTAGTATTTCGAGTTGTGAATGAATTCCATGCTGCCACATGCGAACTGGCGTTGGGTACTTCTTGGCGAGCTCTTGTCGATACACTTTTATGGCTCAGCAGCAGGAGCACCTCGCTCAACGAATGAAACTGAATCAACAGGCCCGCACAGTGAAATTGTCAATCATTGGCTACTTGAACTTGATCGGGGGTCAGAGGCATAAGGTGGCGTCAATAATCTGCCTTGGCTTGCAAGGATCGAGCCTTCGCATTGGAGAGAGCAATGATGACATGCAGGAGTACGCCCAACGCCCCACTTCGCCTGGGTGAATCGGGCACAGGTAGTGTCGTATGCTCCGCTGCCTTTCAGGAAAATTATGGCTCAGCGGTCTTCTATATAATCTGATTGCCCCCGAAAATGAAATCGGGTTTCTGGGCTACTACCATGCAGCCAGTTCTGATTGGCTCGCAGTAAGTCGCGCCCACGGCCACGCAGAACCTTTACCTTCGCTGGTGCTCTGGGAGCATCTTCTAGGTAGCGATGACATGAATACTTGAAATCATTCAAATCCTCCCCATCAAAGGTAGCTAAGATATATGGTGGCTTTCTTTTTAAACCCCTGACTTCCGTTACAGCTCATAAATTGAGGCCATTTCTAAAGGCTCTTATTGTACAATGGCCAGTCGTGATCAATTGACCAGAAAATTCATGCATTAACTACGACAACTGTTTCCGTCTGCAATATCTTCGCGAAAGAAGTTCTCAATAGCAATGTCATTTCGGTAGCTACTAGTATGCAAAGTGGGTAGCTACACTGTCTATGCAGGTCCCAATGCAAAATTGTTGTTCACTTCCGTCCAAAGTCTCGACGGCTGAACTTGGAGACGTCAAAGCTTGCTCGAGCCATTTATGGGCCCCCTGTACCAGAGATCTCGCTTGAAGGGCAAATTGGAGAGAACCTTGAGACCGGGGATGCACTTCATATATACACGAGAGACCGAATGCAAGACATTAGCTATTTGGATTTTTTGGCGCACCGTAGTGACATACCTGAGAATTCTGCTGAGGTTTCATTCAAGTGTTAGAGCCTTATGGTAGATATTGCAAAGTCTGTATCTTTTGAAGTGTGATTTTGAAATCTAATAACCAATAGCCCCGTTTTGTTAGATTCGCACTGCAACATAGCCGTTAACAGTACAATCGCCAAGGCAGGCTTTTTATTCCAAATTCATAATATTGTCGAAACATGCCGATATGGCTTAATTACTAAAACCTTGAATCATGGATCTTCCGGTACTGTTAAGAGACAGCAATTCTGCAAAGTAAGAATGAGAGGTTCCACCGGCGGCATGTTATGGTGCCGGTGGAAATAGAAACTCTCAACACAAACGCCTCCGATTGGCCAATTCCTAGCCATTTCCCACCGGCATCTCGGACATCTCCACGACATACCAATCCAGGCCCACCTTTCTTGCGGGGGATGTTTACCTCGTTACATTTGCGGGGAAGCTTGATGGGGAATTATTTATTCGCCGTGGCTTCTCCTTCTGAGAAACCCCCGACTCAAATTGTCTCCGAGTCCTCACTCGACCCATCTCACAATTCACTCCCGCATCGACACTACTAACATCAAAACAATGGCGACGGTGGCAACAAACAAGACTTCCACCGACTTACCTCAACATGACGATTTGGAGAAACCAAATGTCCACCATGACGAGATCATAACTTCCATGAGCGCAAGTGAGCAGAAACGACTCATCAGACGCATCGATATCCGTCTCGTTATCACACTGGGCTTCCTCTACTGCATCAGCCTACTGGACAGGACCAATATGGGCGCAACATCAGTTGCAGGGTAATCTTTTCTAAAGCCTAAGCCTGAGCAAGACTCGCAAATATCGCAAATAGGCTAACCTCACTGCTGGCAGCATGCAGAAAGATCTGAACATGAATGCAGCCAACAATGGCTACAGCATAACGTCGCTGGTATTCTTCATCACTTATACAATCTTTCAAATCCCGGCCACGGCAATCATCCGTAAAATCGGACCTAGAATCTTCATCTCGACCATTGTCCTGTTATGGGGAGCTGTCATGATCGTGCGTACTCTTGTTTTCTGAGATCATTGATGGGACACCTGCAGCACCGGGCTAATGCTAACACTACCTTATCACAGGCATTCGGATTCGCTCCAACATGGCCGGTAATGGCTGGCCTGCGCATTATTCTTGGGGCCCTCGAAGCTGGGTTTTACCCGGGCTGTATTTTCCTGCTTAGTACTTGGTACCCGCGCTACGAGCTCCAAAAGCGCAACGCTGTCTTTTACCTGATTGGTAGCATGGCTTCAGGTCTCGGTGGTATATTAGCATATGGACTGATGCAGATGGATGGAATTTCCGGACGAAGAGGCTGGGAATGGATTTTCATCGTAAGTCTCCTTCTCCTCTTGGAAAATGACTCTCATTTACTCCTTTCCCCTCTCCGTCACGAGGGAGAAGAGAGATATACGTGATGAAGGAAAATCCCAAATACAGCACCGCTAACATAACCTAATCCCAAAGATCGAAGGAATCCTCACCTGCGCACTAGCATGCGCATCCTGCATTCTACTAGTAGACTTCCCCGAAAAGTCCCCCCCAATCGTGGAACTTCCTCAACGAATCCGAAGCCGCCTTCATTGTCGCACGTCTAGAAGCAGATCGATCAGACGTCTACTCAGAACCATTCTCACTAAAATCCTACCTCGCAAACGCAGCCGATAGCAAAGTATGGGCGTATAGCCTGCTTTATCTCCTCACCACAACGAATACTTACTCCATCGCCTTTTTCCTGCCGATTATTCTTCAGGATAGTATGGGGTTCTCGGTCGCGAAGGCACAGTGTCTTGTTGCGCCTCCGTATGTGGCTGCTGCGCTGGTTATGTTTGTTCAGGCGGTGTTTGCGGATAAATGGCGGATTCGTGGGCCTGTTGTTGCTTTTAATGCGGCTATTGGGTTGGTTGGGCTTGCTCTTACGGGGTATTTGGAAAGTCCTGCGCCGAGGTATTTTGGGATCTTTTTGGCTACTATTGCTGGTAAGTTCTCAAATTATTCTCTCTTCCTTTCTATGCTATCTGCAAGTTTGGTTTCGTTATCAAGACTGACCATTCCTACTCACTAGGAAACGCAAATTGCCCGGCATTGGTGTCTTGGCAAAGGTAATTACTTCTCATTACTCCAAGCTTTATCTCCGGAGCTGGTAGCCCCAAAACCAAACTTCCTTTCTGGACTCCATACTGACATTCTTGCAGCAACAACATCCGCGGCCAATGGAAACGAGCATTCACATCAGCAACCCTCATCGGCGGCGGAAGTATTGGCGGAATCTTCGGGACGACGGTATTCCGCGCAAAGGACGCACCGAACTATCGCCCCGGGCTTTTGGCAACTATGTTGGCCAATGCAGCGATCATCCTCATTGTCGCTGCGATGAGTTTCAAGTTCTCTCGAGCGAATAAGCGAGCCGAAGGTGGCGGAAAGATTATCGAGGGGCTATCCGGGTTTAGATACACACTCTAACTCAAGTGTATGCCAGTGCGAATGGAAATGAATATTTCGCTGCAAATTGAATTCAAGGGAATGTGCGACCCCAATTCCAACTACTATTCTGATCTTCGGGCATCATATTGAAAATTGCTGTGGCTGGTTAGATCTCGAATTTTCGTAGTCATGGCCAAAGCCCTGGAGGGATATTGGGTAAACTCACTTTCTCCAAATGCGCCGAACGTGCTGTCCAATTGCTCAAAAATGTATTCCGACGGATATTCCAAGGACATTGCGGTATTGGATGACAATTCACATCCCGAATTCTCTCCCCAGGATCCATTCCCATTTTCAGATAACTCTTGTGAGGTAGAGATAGGCGCTGTAGAAGAGGATCTCCCACCATATGCCTCGACTACGGGTGGGCATGCTTGTTGAATGGCATTGCTCGGCCCGTTGAACATGGTTTCTTTGGATACCCTACCGCTCACGTTATCGCCCAGGGCACAAGCCATCTCACGCTGGTTTGTGACTTTCAGCAATTCAGTGAGAAGCTGCTCTGTGTGCCTCGCGATCCGATTCTGATGGCTCTCCGTCCGACTTGCCCTTATTATCTTCAGAACTCCAGCCTTGGCTTCCAACGCAGCTGGCGAGAACGGGAGACATGTGGGTTGAATGCAAAGAATGACTCCAGCTGTAAACTGTTGCATCGAAACAAATGATATAGCGAAGTGTTTTCGAAATTTGTGGACTGGGATTTGTGAGATTCGAAGAGCTGCTGCTGTAGCTGCAACGAGGGATCTGTTTATTGCGTCCACGACGGGTTTATATGCAGTTCTTAGTTTCCTTTCTAGGAGAGAGCGGTGGATCTGGATTAGGGCAGAGTCATATGTTAGTTGTAAAAGAGCTGCTTGGAGAAACATGGTTTCTGCCTGCTCTTTCATGGCTTCGGTAGACTCCTGGACCTCCTGGCCGAGTCTGTGCCACCCTTCACCCCGCCAAAATTCAAAGTCCAAAATTTGAGGAACATTCCTTCTCCACGACTGTAATGCGTTATCCGAATCTTGGACTATTGACGCGATGGCCTCCAGGTCTTTGTCTTCCATTATCGGTCCTAGGCGAAGTCGGTGGAATCGAAGAAGCGTTTGACGCACGATCTCGTATATTTCGGTTTTCATGACGTGGAATAACCCCTTTCCAATATTGCCATTGTCTGTTGCCCCGGGAAGAGAGGTAAATAGGTCAGGTGGCAAGGTGAGGTCGTCCAAAACTCTGAGTTGATGAACTTCAGCGTAGTCGATCGAAACGGGTCGGCCATAAACCATGGAAGTAAAAGTATCCGAAACGACGAGGTGATTCCAGCACCTTGATTTTGTCTCTGCCATAATTAGATCCGTACCCGAAGTATCTTGATTCTGCATGTCTAGAGCATATGCTGCCCTGAGCGACATTCCCAGAACGGTCCAGGCAAGACGAGGAGAATTGTGGAAGACATAGTAAGAAGACAGAAGCAGAGGTATTTGCACGGCTTCAACTTGGCAGTCTTCTAAGACATCTAGCAAGTGGAGACGTATCTCCGCAACAAATCCTTGGAGCAAAGTTTCCGGATCGATATTGTGGACACGCATCTGATCATACCCGTCCCAATCCTTGTCGGAGAGAACAGATTGTAGTCCGATCGCCGCGACAGCTAGGAGTAGCATGCATGAACCAAGCTCTCGGCGAGGCCACTGGTCTCGAGAAATGATGTCCTGGGCGGTCTTCCGAAAATGGGGCTCAACGAGCAACATGATGAACCATTGCACGCGGTGGAAGTAAGCGTCGAGCAGAGAGATCATAACCGGAGTCGGGGGCATCTTGATTTGTTGCAGACTCCATAGGTGTTCGCCAGGATTCGCTGTGCCCACATCTCCGGGGAGCGAGGCACCGGTTAAGATGCGCCCTGTTTCCTGCTCATTAAATACCTGTCGTGCGAAATCAATCGTGGAGGTGGTCGTGTTCGTGTTCAGCTGTTGCTTATCCGATGTTGTCGCAGTCGACGCTGGCGAGAGGAGCTCAGGCGAGGATCCGGTCACGGCTGGTTTTGGTCGCAAAGCTGTATAAGAAGCATTATTTTGTCGCAGCCCTTTCCGGCGAGGGGATCTTCTCGTAGTGGTTTCACATTTGCGACAGGCTCGGACACAGAGAATGCAAGGACGGGCGGTATCGCACTTGGGATCTGGTTAGCGTTTGGAATAGATGGGGTCAGTTTGGAGGATCTCCCACTTTCAACTTCTGCCGGTGGCACCGATCGCATGCCTTGGGTGTGCGCTGCTTTGGGTGACACGAATATCCATCTTGCATCTTGCCGGGGGTGCCAGGCGAGCGAGAAGTGGAGGTTGCGGGGGGGAAAGCATGGCTAGTGGGGATTTCCCCGGATTACAACCGACGACACCGATCTGCCTCGGTACGGTGGAAGTAGATGACCATCAACACATTTGATGGGAGAAGAAGAGGTGATTGACTTGGGAATGTTGTATATTCCTTGTGGTGTTCTGTTGGCTGTCAATAGCCGGTGGCAGGTACGAGAGAGACAGAGAGACTCCTCAAGCAGCCACCGGCAACGCCCGAAGTAGTGTGAAATACAATCTCCAGCATGATCTCTATACAATAACAAACATAGCAAAGATGACGTCAAAAAGATCCTATATGTTTTCAAAATCAGCAGGACTGTCAACGTCCTCACCTCAGGTGGTGCAGTGGCAAAGCCACTCACCACCGAAGCTCCCCTATCTTGGGGAGCCGCCCTCAGTGTTGCGGCCTGGCACTGACTGGCGGGGGAGGATCCAGGTGGGCGGGTGGTCAAAAGGCATTCCCAAAGGGCTGTCGAGGTACAATGGTCTTTCTTTTCTTTTTCTATCCAACATCTTTGTCTTCTTTGTTGAAGAATTGCATGAGGCTGTTCCCAAATCTTGGGAATGCACTTCCTAATCGGGAAGGAACCGAAGTTATCCCAAAGTTTTGGCCGCGACGGCGACGGCGAGGATGTGCGTTCGAATCCCTCACCAACCGGTCTTTTCTTTTTCGAAAACACCTCGAATTTTGTTTTCTATGTTGAATTAAGGTGGAAAAATCGGGCGATTCTATTTTTCTGGTTGGTTTCTTTTTCCCATCACTTGGTGATTTTATAGAAATTGTTTTCGTACTGCGTCAAAGTGCGGTGTTGGAGTTGGATATGAGGGGAAAGTCGTACTATGCATAGCCAAATGGTACTACTAGTAGTTTGTCTCACCTCATATTGTTCAATCACATCAGTATATTGCTCTACCTCATTGGATAGACAGATACTAGTAGGTGCAACCATACCTACTAGCTTGAATGAAATAAAAAGATCTTCGAATTCGGGTATCAAATAACAAATCTAACGAACAGTATACTAGTACAAATCTCGCTCCCACAGATATACCACAGCCTTTAAAAAAAGGGGACTGCCATGGCCATGGCCATGGGCAAATACAAGAAAGAGGAAAATGGGCAAGAAAAACAACCGACTAAGCATTCCTGGTCTTCTTGCTACTCCTCGGACCCTTCTCATCCTGAGTCTCGCTCTCATTCTTCTGTTCCGGCGAATCATCACCATCACCGCCCTCACATTCTCCCAGACGAGCCAAAAGAGCATCCACCTGCTCAGCACTCATATGGAGAATCTCCTGCGCATCAATATCGGGGTAATAACCCGACAGAGCGATATTCCTCAAAACGTAAGCGACTTTCTCGATATCGGCCATTGATATCATAGCACCAGCACCACTCAACCTCTCCCGTAATTCAAAACAAGCCTGCCAAAGCTGCCGATACTCCGCAATATTATACTTTAGATTCAACTCGCCATTCGGCTTTATAAACTTCGAGCCTGGGCCCTTCCCGCTCCCAGTCCCGCTCCCACCATTCCGAATAGCCCGGACCGTCTCCGGAGACGCAGATGATTCGGGATAGACCTCAACACAAAGCCATAGATACGTATCGTCGCTGAAGAAGGGGACTTGAACACGTTCAGATTCTTCGTCCTTTGCATTCGTGGTCGCGATTGAGAGGATCAGGGATGCAGTTGCTGGTCCGACGCCGCGGAGAGGACTTAGGTCGTCCATGCTTTGCTTTGGGAAGACTTCTTCCGTAATGGTCGTGGGGTTGGAATTGTCCTTGTCCTTGACGGTTGGTAGGGATTTTAGGGCTGTTGATGTACATTTAAAGACCAATTTCTCTTGGTTGGATCTTATCATTCCCAGGAGTGCAGGACGGGGACGACCGTGTTTGCTGGATAGACAGGATAGGGTTGTTAGAATGATACCTTTAATCTCAATTGAGGAGTCGAATAAACTCACGTCTTCCACTCCATAACCCGACAAAGTTCCTCATGGGTAAAACACGCAACCTCATCCTCCTCCGCATCTTCAAGACCCCCAGTGTCCAACCGCTGCCACACAAGAGCCGGCATCCTCTCATACCGCCACCGATCAAGCTCAAGGTACTTCTCCGCCTCACCCTCAATAATGCGCTCCTCGGAGGAATCAAACTCCGTTTTCGTAATCAGGGCCGCATCCGAGCCCGAGCCCGAGCCGGTCTTGCGCTTCTTTGAACCACCCTTAGGCTGCAGTTTCAACATCGCTTTGCGCCGTTGGACTTGCTGGGCTGTGGTGTTGTAGCAGGTAAGGAGTCTTTGGAAGGTTTGTGCGGTTATGCGTGTGGGGTGGAAATCGGCTTTGAAGGTATCGTCGCGTTCGCGCGTGGTGCTGGTGCTGGCGTCCTCCTTCAAGGAGGTCGTGTCGACTGCCATGGTCGAGAGAATAGCTGATTCGGACTCTTAAGGATGTGAGTCAATTGCTGTGGTAGAAGTCCGGGGCGAGTAACTGGCTTTGCAGCGGACTTGTGCGGTGTAATTCCAGCAAGAACAGCCAGAGGTTCAAGTTCTTGGACGCGGAGCTCCCCCCCGGGAGACGGGAATTCCTGGGGAAATGCAACTTATCGATAAGTGTAAAATACCTGTCATGTCAGCGTTCTGCAAGCTCGGGCCCACATAAAGGTGAAAGTTACAATACGCATATATCAAATGGGATATCGAGATCCCATGCCTCGGTATTCCATGGGGGAGCGATGGCTCCATGCTTGTCTACAGAACATAGCTGATATGTTACTCAACCAGCCTATCAAACAGCATACACTTAGCTCTACAAGAAACCAAAACCAATGTCTATGCCTCAAGCCAGTCGCATTTTTGGGTCAATCTTAAACCTATGTACAGTCCGGCCGTGATAGCTCATTAACCAAATATCAGATACAGGCGCATCGTAAGAAGAGAGTCATCAACCATCTCACCATCGCCACAGGCACTGCCATGTCACGTCATCATCAAGACAACAACAACACAACAGACCTTGCACGCTCGTCACGAAGACGTAAAAATTAAAACAACAATAGAACGCCGCTGGGAAGAGGCAGTAAGGGTTTGGAAACAGACGCTGAGAGGAATAGATCTTTCGACCAATAGATCTCAGAAAGAAGAGAGGAGTAGCGAATACAGGGTGTTGAAAGCCGATAGCTGCAGGATGATAGCAGCGTCGACGTAAATTTCAAGTAAGAGGGTGTGTGGGCGTCTTTTTATTCTTTTATTATTTCTTGGGATCCGCGCGTTTCGCCTTGGATGCGTCCTGGTTGGGGTGGACAAAGCTCATGCGTTGATCGTCCTCGTCGCGATCGAAGGGCAACACGGATCGCTTGGACCGGCTCCGCTTCAGAGGATGCGCGATGGGGGCAGCCTGAGGTGTAGGGTTCAGCGACGGCCCGGGCTTGGGCTCGGAAGTAGTAGTAGACTGAGCAGTGTTGCGCTCGTCATCTGCCACCTCGATGTGGCGAAATTCCTGCTCCTGATCATCGGCCTCAGATGAACTAGGGCTGTCCGAGTCGGAGGCGGCCTCATAGTCATCCTCATCGTCACTGACCAAGCTGGGTGCCTGGTTGGACTCTATCGTGTGCGGGCTGAGATTGGCAGGGTGGTCCAGGCCATCCCCTTCACGTGTCTCGGTCGGGAGGTGACCGTGGAACGGAAAGTTGAGGAAAGATGGAGGCTGGGGCCGTGAAGGAGTCATCTCGTGTTGCAGTTGAGGCTCATGGGGCGCTCTATCAAGACCCTTGCGGCTCTCGGTTCGCTCAGAGGCAGCCTGGGCTGTAGGCATCCGCATAGGCTGACGGGCTGCCGCAGGACCCTGCCTAGACTCCTCTGACGGGTGGGCCGAATCTTCACCATCCGAATCCGCATCTGACAGGCTGCTCAGATCAACTGGGGTCTTGGCCTCTTCCACCAACTTGTCCAGGTTCAGGCCCAATCCGCGCTGACGCATAAGAGCAGACAGGTGAGGGGTCGCAGGGGAAGCGAGGAACGAAGGGTTGGTCTTCGCCTTCACCGGCTCTGATTGGCGGTGCCGTTCGGAGGCTGGCTTCACCGTCGCAGGAGGAGTGGCAACAGTCGCAGTGGAGTTGACTGCCGTAGGTTTGCGTGGCGTGGCCAAATCCTTGGGCGGAGTGGGAATGGCGCTCGGGGGCGGAAGTTGAGCTGATTGAATCAGAGGGTGAACAGTGCCTGGGGTGGCAACAGCACTCTGAGGCTCAGAACGACCACCAACAATCACGCCGGCATCATCCAAATCGACCGCGACACCGCAGGCAATGGCCGCAGCCTCGTGGCTTGTAAAGTTCCGGTTGTGCGCAATACGGCAATGATTAATAAACCCTTGGGTGCTGGAAAAGTTCTCCCGTTTGCAATCGAGACAGACCAGCTTGACCATCAGGCCGTCCGACTTGCGTCGAATAACCATGGGACCAGCCTTCTCTCTCGGCGGTGGATATATTTGCGGCAGGGATTGCATCTTCGCACCTGTAGACGTACGCGACGGTCGGCTCTTTCCAGCCAACTGACTGAAGTCGATCGGATTCCCACGTGTTGACCGGCCACCTTCCAGCGGGATGCCGGACACACCCGAGACAGAAGACGCTTCCACCAGGCCACCGTCGAACCGAGGATCGGGGATGAGCCACTGCATATAGTGACGCGAGTAGGGACCCTCGGCGACACCCCAGGGCGCGGGCGACATGGGTGCTGGGCCATTTCCAGGCTGCAGCACCGAGGCGCCCACACCAGAGCTGACATCGGCGGAGACTCCGGCGACCGCAGACCCCGGGTAGGGGATTTCCGCGCAGCGACGAAGCTGTTCCAGCGCGACCTGACACTTGGCGATCTCCTGGTCGATCAGTCGTAGCTCGTTGTGCTTGAGGAGAACCTCCAGACTGAGCTGGGCGGTGATCGTATCCCGGATGTGGTTGACACTTGGCTTCCCACTGGCGGCCTGCGCCGGCGGACGCTCGATCTCCATGGTGGCAGTCGGGGACGGCGCAACCGAAATCGCAGCGACATCGACAGAGGGTGCGACGGACGGAGAGGGCGTTGGGGGCATCGAAGGGACAGATTGTACCGGTCGCGTAGACTCCTCAGTGCGCACCTTTGTAGCAGCGGGAGCGTCAGTCGCAGATGAGGACGAACGCTTGCGCTTTAACATGGGCGGCAGGGAGAGGCCGTTGACATTGACTGGGGCACAAGAGGGAGCCAGCATTTTGACTTCCTCGGCCATTACCTTGTCCCCTCCGATCGCAGAGGGCCAGGGTAGCAGGCGAAACATGCCATGCGAGATGGGCGGGAATCGGGTCGGGTCAGGCAGAGACGATAAGGTGTTTATATGAGAAAGTGATAGGTCGATTCCATGCGCTCGGATGTCGAAATGTGGAGGATGAGAATTGGGAAGGGGGGAAGTAGGGGGAAGAATTGTGGTGGTGGTAGAGGTATAATTTTTTTTTTTGGAGAGTGGGTGTGGTTGATGGCGGTGGAGTGTGAATGTGGTGGTGTGGTGGATGAATTGATTGTTTAGAGCGAAAGGGGGAAGGAATGGACGACTGTCGCGCGACCGTGTCAAGATGTGGGATTTGGGGGGGGGGAAGCAGAGAGCGGCGTGGCAAAATCTATTAATAATTGGAGAGTGTGGGTGGAAGTTGATAGAAACAGGAAAAGAAAAGAAAAGGAGAAAGGAGAAAAGAGGAAAAGGGGGGAGAGAATAGGTATAGGTAAAGTGTGAAGTAAGAAGGAAGAGAAGTAAGAGTGGAAGAAGTGGAAGGGGAAGAGGAAGGAGGGAAAGAGGGAAACAACAGAATCAGAAACACAGAATGTTTAGGGGGGAAGGGGCGATCGGGCGCACGCAGGGTAGGCAGGGTAGGGAGAGTAGGCAGAGTACAGGGGGAAGGAACGGGAGTGGACAGCAGTGGGCAGCAGTGGACAGCAGTGGACACAGGGAAGGAGCAGTGGAGCCAGGATGATGTGATGGTTCTGCCTCTTTCTGACGTGGAGATGCGACACGTCATGTAGTTACCTAGTGTACGGAGTAGTATACCTACGGAGTAGAGGTATACTTGATACATCAAGTAGATCCATCGTACTAGTACAGAGTAGTATACTATCTACTATCTACTATCTACTATTTACTATTTACTATTTACTACCCTCTCTAAATACCATCATATCATACCATTCATACCACTCGGATGCCTGCGGCTCCCTCCTCTGGTTCGATGGCTCTCCTACCCGCCAAGGATAAGGTGTGGTCTGGGCCTCTCCCAACGATCCTCTAGCTGATTGGGTTACTAGCCTCCGAACAAGCACCTATCTCACTTCACGAAGTACATCCTAGACACCACACTTCCCCGGCTAATCACAGCCACCCAACACTCACAACCCTGCACCACGACGGAGTCTTCCTGCACTGACCCTCCATAACCCGGAGCCATGGCCAGCGTCAGCTCCCACCGCCCAGATCCCAGATCCCAGCTCTGACTGGAGCTACTAGCTGCCACTAGTGCTCACAGCCAGGCTGAACCAGGGTACGCGGCGAGACCTGGCCGAAAGCCATCGAATCCTATCGAAGGCCATCCCATGTTGTGGCCTTGTAATTCAGGCGGTAAGGCTACAATATCAACAGCCGAGGCTCCCACGGGTCCATGGAATCGAGTTATAGAGTAGATCTATGCCTACAACGAGAATTAGTAACGACTAGGCATACCTAGTAGTAACTTAAAGTTTATTTTATGCCGGTTAATATTTGTATCCATGGGTCTACCTGTCCTTTTTTGGGTCAGAACTTGAACTAAACAACTCAAGAGTTCTTCCAGATGAACTTGAAGTGTGATGGAATATATTTCTCCCTCCAGGGTTCTCAACCACCCACAACAACTTGAACTTGAACTTGAAGTCGACGAGCTGAGACTAGGTGAGGTAAGTCAGAACCCAGCGAATACTACTAGTATGTTAAGGCTGCCACCTGGGCACTGCCATGTGAATGTAAGTTTCACGCTTCTCTGAATGCGGAGGCCAGCATTAGTGCTTCCGAACCTGAAGTTTAGGGTTTAGAGGCTTTCACCGGGGTCAAGGTATGTACTTATTGGACTACCCAAATTTGTCTGTTTGATAGGCCCGAGAACAAGCAGATAAGATGGGTTTCCTCTCGATGATTGGATACAATTCCAGGGTATCTAGGAGATAGAAGGGGTCCGTGATCCGTGATCCAAGTTCGAGAATAGACTCCTACTAGTACTAGTACGGAGAATTGGTGCATTACATTGCTCTCCTACGCTACCAAGAAATAGGAAATAATGAAACCCCTCGTAAATGGCATTGCATTGCTTGAGCGTGGAGATATAGACCTGGGTTGACCCCTTTGAACAGAAAGGGTAGGGTACTGAAGGCGCCCGAAAAAATCATATCATGTCATATCGTGATCATGATAAGAGATCAGTTCACTCGAGTCGCAGGGAGTCGAGTCGACTTGATCATAACCGAAACTACCGTAAGGTGGTCCATACGCTGGATCTAATCCCAACCGCTGCATTTAATATACAGTTGACCGAATAAAGTAACACGAGACCGTCCGCACCAAAAGCGCCAAACAAGTAATGAGATGGACAAGAAACCGAAAGCCAAATGTATGATCCGAAACGCTGGACAGATGAGCACAGACTGGTGTGAAAATGTGCGGGACTGAGATGGAGAAGATGGAATGGATCGTGATGGGTGTGGGAGTGTGTGTGGAAGAGGTGAGGTGAGGCGGAGCAAGCGGGCGAGCGAGCTTAGCTTGGAAACTTTTGTTCCTGCACCGCGCTGCAGAACAGGGTTTAGCGACCGGGCGACCGAGCAAGTAAAGAAATTGAAGCACTCAGTTCAGATCGGAGTCCTGGATTCGCAGTATAAAGTTTACGACGACGGCGGAGAGAAGCGCAATGGCGAGGATGGTCGGACCAAAGCGGTCGTCAAAGCCGCTCTGTCCGCGGCGCCGGATACTCTGTGCTCGCCAGTGGAATGTGACGACGGCGTAGATCATGGCACCCATGGCGATGATGGTGAAGAGGGCTGCGGAGATGCGACCGATACGGTCGCCGAAGTTCAGCAGGCCGACGGCGAGACCGCCGAGGATGACGGTGAAGTTCAGCCACGAGAGAAAGGTGCGCTCGTTGGCGAAGAAGACCTTTGGCTCGACGCGGGTGGGGAGGGCGATGCGCTTGCCTGAGGATGTGTTGTTAGTTAATGTCGGGGGTTGGGTGCGTATATATGCGTATGGGAATTGTTTGCAGGGTCTGTTCTGCGTGTTCTGCGTGGTATTGGGGAGGTCGCTGTTGGTTCACTTACCCGGGGCAGTCTGGAGGAGAGGCTGGCTAGACATGACGGAGGCGACACGGGGGATGCGCGGGGCGATGGAGGGGTGGAAGAAGGGGTAAAGTGTAAGAGGCTTGATTGGGTGGAATGTGCGATCTTGAGAATGAAGAGAGAAGGGAGAGGGAAGAAAAAGAATGAAGCCGAAGTGAAGGAGAAGCGACGCAACGCAGCTCTGCCAATCCCCGCCGATGACGAGAGATAAGAAGCTAACCGGATTGGGACTAGTGTTGTGTAGCTCTGCCGTTCGGACTGCACGTGCGTCGCCCATTGGCTTTGCTTGGGCCAGTTCATTCAATTTAGCTTAGTTGAGATGAGACAAGCAAGACTGAGTTTACTACGGAGTACTCGTACCGCCTCTTTTCTCTTTTCTCATCTGTCTCATCGTGTTTCCAATTGACCGTTGATTGCCGTTTCTTTTACATGGCTATACCATTCCTATCAGAGTCAAGGACGACTCCCTCTACCAATAACCTGGCAGACCCATTATCCCTGTCCATTGCTGTAACGGTACCCCGAACAAACCTTCTTATGGCCTCTGCTGCGCCACTAATGGATCAACTAAGAATTAGACTCGTACCTAGTTCACCAATGGGAGAAACCACGGTTAAACGTCGTGCCTCGATACGGTCACTAGCCAGTAGCCTCGTCTCAACCATGCACCCGACTCGCTCTCTCCTGCGATCTCCTAGCTCTATTCTGGCCCTATTCTGGCCTTACTCTAACCCTATTGACCTAGATAACCATTGGAATCACCATCATGCCATTTTAAAGTTACTCTTGGACCTCCGTCCCTGCATTAATTGGCATTGCTTATTGTCCATGCCGGGCCAAGCTGGGGGAATGGCCAGACCCTCACCGGAACCGACCTGACTCATCCCGAACTGTAGACCCGCTAGGCCCCGATTAAATTAGTCGGCCCCATCTGCGTGGGCTCGGCTGGATTTCCTTTGTGTCAGGCAGTTGACCTTGGGTGAATACGAGTACGCTTGCTAGCGAAGTATTCTCAGACAAGTGACAATTTTATTCCATGGATTGCCAATGCCTTGGGGATTGACTACCTATACCACCGATTAGTATGCTTTGCTTATATTCAGCCAACGCTATATAACCCGGGATAACCCCCAATTGCCGATGTCGATATCAGTCTCAAACCGCTGTGGAGAGCCCCGGAATCCACCTACTTATCATCCTAACCCACTAATCCACCTGGTCACCACCATGTGAAATTCGCGATTGGTATTTTCAATTGCCGAGGGAAAGTCACCCCAAGGACCTTGGGCGATAGGGTAGTATTCGACATGATCATTAGTAGACCATAGTCTTATCATTACCAAAAAAAAGAATAGGGCATACCGGGCATTCAATCAACTTATAACTTGCCCAGGTGAACTGTAGAATAGACTAACTACTAGTATCCACAAGTATACAATTTAATACTAAGAAACACTCGTAACTACATAAACCTGGGCAACTTGAACTCATGCACTAGTAGTACTAACTATGCCATAGCTTCTTTCAACGGCGCAAAGTCCCAATCCTCCTTAATCAAATCCGCACACTTCTCCGCAATACTATAAACAGAGCTAACAATATTCCCACTAACATTATTCGGAAACACCGACGCATCCGCAACTCTCAACCCTTCCACCCCCTTCACCCGCAACCGTGAGTCCAGCGCATCGCCCAGCGCAACAGAGCCGCAGATATGATACTCGCCCAGTACCGCTTCGTGCACTTGTTCCTTGCACTGCGATAGATCGGACAGGTCGACCTCCGGCGCGGGGAAAGTACGTGCTGCGAGCGAGTTTGCAACGTGCGATGATTGACGTACCTTGTCGACCCAGCGGAAGGCGGCGCCCAGGATGGCGACGTCGGCTTCGTGGCCGCCGTAGTTGGGGTTGATTTTGGGGGGTTTGGTTGGATCTGGTGTGGGTGTAAGTGAGGTTAGTGGGATTGGATTGGGATATGCAAGTAGGTGAGGGAGGAAAGATCCACAATAAATCAAGAAAAAAGAGAAAAAAAGAACATACCGGCACTTTCAATGTGTACATAGCCACGAGCTACGGGATATTGAAGACAAAGCGCGAACGTTAACCCGGCTGGTCTATTCGGATCAGCAGGCGGGAAAAGATTACGCTGGTGCTCAATTCCATCGATCTGCGCCGTAATGGGGACGAGAACCATTTGCAAATTTGCAGAGACATCACTCTGGAGATGAGCGATGATCTGCTCCAGTTGTTTTTGATGAAATGCACTGGTAGGCTTCACGTCGCGAATACTCTGCACCACTTCTTCAAGCTCAGCCTCGGACAAGATGCTCTTTGCCGAGAAAAAGCCCTGCATAGTCGAAGTACAGCTGAGGACTCCGCTCTGGGTTTCCGCGTACTGCTTCTGCGCGGCGGCCATCAGTTCGGGGTTCTGGTACAGCGAGTCCAGCGTCATGATTCCGGGTTGGGTTTCGTACCCCGCGAAGGTGAGGGGGTGGTCTTGGACGTTATTTCCGATAGCGGGGTTGGCGACCTTGCACTCGACGCCTGCGGCTTTGAGAATGGCTGGATCGCCGATTCCTGAGAGCTCGAGGATTTGTGGCGATTTGAGAGTGCCGCCGGAGACGATGATCTCGCGGTTCGTGGTGATGGTGTGCTCTTGGCCGTTGTGGGTGAAGTTGACACCGACTGCTTTGTTGCCTTCGAGAACGACCTTGTTGACGAGTGCTGAGCAGAGGACTTTCAAGTTGGGACGGGTGGTTCGGTTGTTTTCGTAGTATCCTCGTGCTGCGTAGCTGCGCTTGCCCTTATTTGGGCCGGTGCGTGCAATCAAGCCGAGCGTGTTGTAGAATCCGATGTGATCTCCGCTCCAGGGGTCGAGGGGCTTTTTGCTGTATCCAGTTACCTCGTCGCAGGCTTTGATGATGTCGGTTTCCACTGGTATGAGGCTGTCGTTGAAACTTGTTCGAACAGGCCCACTAGTTCCGTGAAATTCTCCGACAAAAGGCATCGTGGATGTGTCTTTGATTGAAGGGTCAACGGGCTCAAGGGTCTAGAAATAGGGTCAGACGAGTTTCTTTATACTTGGGGGATTGTAGCTCAGTATCAGGAAACAAACCTGGTGCTTGCGCATGTATAGCTGCATGATATCCGCCGACCAGCCCTCGTCTTCGGCGAGCTCAGCCCAGTCATTATAATCCTGTGTCGAGCCACGTACGTACATCATATAATTGATGCCGGAGGAGCCTCCAAGGAGCTTTCCTCGTGGGATATGATGGCGTCGACCTTTGTTACCTTCCTGTTCTCGAGAGATTAGTTGAAATCGGACCAAACGGGAAAGGATTTGCGAATCCGAATCTACTGACCTGCGGCTCCGAGTACAAACACCAATCGTACTCTGGGTCCTCAAACATTCCAAGGAAAGCGGCCGGACAATCAACCAGGGGATCGCCGATGCGATACTTGCCCGCCTCAATTACACCAACTGTGACATCGGGATTCTCACTCAGTCGCGCCGCAACAGCGAGCCCAGCAGTTCCACCGCCACAGATAATGTAATCGAACTTTGTCTGAACAAATTCCTCAATAGAAGTTGTCGGCGTACTATTGTCAGCCATGTTGAAGTTCAATATCCCAACAATGCGGGGTAGAGCGTGATTGCGAGAAAGAAAAAGAGAGAAGACAATGTCTGTATGCTGCAGCGGCGACGCTGCGGGGGGTCACATTCTTTTTCTACCTTCATTATAGCCGCTGTGGCTTAAAATAAAATTTGAGAACGGCTGAAAAATCCCGAAGGGAGCTAAGGCGTGCAGTAGCTTGCTATGAGGTTAGTTTCGTTTTGTCTCTCGACCTGTTACTTTTGCCACTGTTTGACCATTCCCCGCACCGCGGGCCTCTTGCGTCTAGCCTCTTTCTACTGGGAAAGAAGCTAAAACGGGGATACCCTGTACAGCACAGTAAGACTGGGGGCCTGATTGCAAGTCTAGCGTTTACGTGGCGGGGCTTGCACTTATGAGGCTTGGCTGCGTTCGATACGTGTTCCGAGTATACTAGGCTCTGTTTACAACTGCGAATCTCACGATGGGGTCTAGTTCTATGCAGGCTTCAAGTCAAACTAGTAATTCCGCCATATCGCGCTACCGTAACAAACTCGGTTAAATCGTTTGCTCGCGGTGGATATACACGGTTGTCTTTTCCATGGATATCTCGATTGACTCGTGTTCACGGATATAACCATATCTCGTAACTAATTCTGCGGTTGTATATGTACATGGCAATCAAATTCAATCAAATTTATAGATAGCACATACCTTGCTAGCACCAAGGTCGAGTCTCATTGGTGCCTCAAGATATGCAGTCCACGGGTGGTGCCAGCATTGCAGCTCTCATTCCTGATAGGCTTATGCAGGTTGATCTTCTGAGCAAACAAGATGGATCTCCACCAATACTAAGATATTATTCTACGGCGCTCCATAAGCGCAGGGTGTTCAGTAGCTGTATATAGGGGTATTTTACTTGGCCGTCTTGAACGCTGCCTGTAGCTTCTGAGTCTAAAATTACTAGTGTCCCATATATGAATTTGGACAAAACTACAGTAGTACAACACAATGCTAAGTGAGGGTAAATCGAACGCCCAAAACGGCTACACCCGACGCCAGTTTAAGCGTTCGATTTGACAATATCTGATGCCACCTTCGTAGCACATGATCGAAGCCAAACATCCTTATCGTTTGCTCCCAGATTGCTCCCGGATTGTTCCCTGAGCCCATCCTGAGCCCTCCCTGAGTGCTCCCGGAGCCCACATAGCTACACAGGGATCAACTTCATCGTACTCAGGGCACTTTGGGTAAACCATCAGGCACGTCATCAGCATCTCTCTTCTCTATCCTCCGATTGTAACCGCTCTAACAAATTTTAAAGAGTCTCTTTGTTAAGTCCGTTTTTGAGCCTAGTCAAGATTTCGATGATAGATATATATCAAAGCTAATAACGTAGGTACTGTAAATACTTAAAAAAGGATCCTCTGTAATTTCTTATTTTAGTACAGAAAGAAGATATTATAGTATTTCTGGAGTAGATACTTAATAACTTAAGGATAAAGAAGTTTAGCAGTCTATATAAGTATAAGACTGTTAGCGCAGCCTTGTAACAGATCACACTTAAGTTGAGGGTCACCGTAAAATACCGCTTACCTAGTACCACAACAATCTAGCTTTACTATCTAAAATCTAGAATGGAAGATGTAATTTTACGAAGCAGCTATGTTACCGTACACTGGCTTGGCGCACTGGCCCTCAACTTAACGTACTCCGATCAATAGATGATTTATGCTAAGGCCTTGGCAGTGGGGCGTGAGAGAAGAAAAGCAGTCTGTGGGTAGAAGCCGTTTTCGCTATCGACTGTATCGAAGCATCTCGTTGTTGGGAAACTTATAAGAACTCATTTCCCGAAAAACACTTCTTTATCTCAACTCGTCTCAATTCTCAATCAATATGAAGTGCACAATCCATGCTAGACTGCCCTCACCGAATCCGAAGGTGGTGAAGCGATGCGTTGCGGCGCAGCAGAACGAGCGGGGCGGCAGAAAGCAGACCGAGCTGGACTCGGGATAATAAGAATTCAGATTTGCTACTCCAGTAGGCTCCTGCCTTCAAATGAGGCCCTGGAAGTGCCGCGAAATCTCATCCATCTCCCACCCGGAAGGACCTTGTCCACTTAAGTTGCCCACTCCAGCTTCTGGCTGCATCGGCTGAGCCGTACCGGTTGCGCCGAAAGCATTGTATAGGTCCATGAGGTTGTTGCTCAAGTCAAAGACGTCGGGTATTGAAGTGCCAAGGTCTCCATTGAAGGTTGGGTTGTTGTCCGTCCAAAGGCTGTGCGGCCCGCAAATGGTCTCTCCGGTGGCCCCATTTTGCGGTTGGTCGTGCTCCCACGACTCAGAGCTTCGAGCAGCGGTCTCATTTATACCAGTGGTATTCTTCGCAATAGCTGCATCTCCTTGACCGCCAAGTGACCTAACGACAGGCAAAAGACCACGAATGCTCTTCCACAGCTTGCGACTAGCGGAGCTGTGGCGGGAGAAGCCTTTGACAAGCTCCACGGCGGACACAAAAGGGTCTTTACATGTCTCTGCAAACATGTTTGGGGCGTGGCAAACAGCGAGAAGCATGATAGCAAGACCGCTCAGCAGATAGAAATGATATATAGCTTGTTGGCGAACGTATATATCGCTCGTTCCGTTCAAGTGAACCAACACCTCGATACTATCTTTGGCAATATCAACGACTAGACGCGCACTTTGCATATCCGCCTTAATGTTTTCGGGATTCAGCACATGGTGTCGATGGATAAGGAGGCGCATATAATTGCCGCGGAGATAACACAAAGTCCGGAGACGGTGCAGTTTCCGAGGCTGATTCCTCGGCGCGATCCCTACGCGGGGATGCCGGAATTGTAATTCTTTCGGAATCGACAGAAGCCACTCCTGAGTGACAAATTCCAAGTAGTCCTCCTTTTCTTTCGGTATCCATTGTGACGAGGAACCATATGGCGGCAACGCTTCCCATACCCTAGAGCAAAGTCTTGCGTAACTGACCATGTACTTGAGATACGAATGCTCGCCGTCGGGTTGGGGCAATTTCGGATCGATGTCGCGATCATCGAGTGCAAAGGAAAGGCTGGTGCCGAAGCTCCATCGACGATCGAGCTCGTACACTACCCAGAAGACCTGAACGGCGAAATCGTGAGCGTCTGCGTCTTTGAAGTGATTGGATAGGCTTTGCTTGCGGTGGAGGCCCATCTCCAAGCACTGGCGAGCAGCTCGGCCAATAGCACGCCAAGCGAACAGCTCTTCTTCGATATGGCAGAAGTAGATGCTCTGCAAGCAATTAGCAATTTCTCTAGACAACCTTAGGATCGCCCTGAGGGTTGTTTTAGACTTACTAGCATGGCCATGATTTGTATATCTTTCAGTTCGACTTCAAAAGTACTCGAAATGCTCCCAACATCTTGTTCCACAGCGGCGATCAATTTGTCGCAGAGCTCGCCCTTCCCCTGAGGCTCAGTGGTGATCGCTGTTGCTATAACTATTCTAAGCATGTGTATGTCTTTGGTTTCAAGATTCGGTGAGATGACCTCCAGGCGATCAGGATGTCTGGCCAACTCTAATATATGTGGAAAGTTGAGCACTAGTAACTCGGTATCAATGATCGGGTGGCAACAGACAACTTCCTCTTGGTAAACGCCGATGAGTCGCGCAATTTCAACATCAGAAAAGCTGAGCAGGTAGTCAGGTTCCGAGCAAAAAGTTGCCGCGGGAACCTCTGGCGATGGTTCTGGAGTTGGCTCTCGTGAGGAAGCATTTGACGACTGGGCTGTGGGCATATGTTGATCTGTTAAGATACCCATACGAGTGAGCGCCGTCTCGGCAATATTAAAGCTGAAGGCAGACCGTGTTGGCCCGACGAATTGCGGCTCCCTTGGCTGTCCGCTCCGGAGGGAAATAGTACTATTGTAGACTCGGCATGTAGGATGCGCACACGGAGTACGGCAGTCGGCGACAGACGATTGAGCTGGAACCCTCTCTGCGAGAGAATTTACGGTTGCCGTCAGCGCCGTCAGCTCCCGACGCAGTGACGCGACGTCGTCGCTCAACTGCCTATAATGGCTGTGCTCAATCAGCTACCAGTCGAGTTGCTATTATGACCTCTTTTTTACCTATCGCCAGAGACCCTTTGCTTCTCCTTCTTTTTATCTTTCGTCGCCTGCATGGCAGTCTGAACAACAACGCAGGGAATGTGCATGGTTGCGCAACGCTGGCAACGTACGTCATCATCAAGTTCTATGCATTTGACTTTACATCTCTTGCACTCAGTGCTGATCTCGATTAGCGAAAGCATGCCAATGGAAAGGAACAAGATTACCACGCGGCAGAGGCGTATTTTGCGCGCTTTGGGCGGTTGGTTCCCGGTATCTCCTCAGCATAGCGCTTTTGCGAAGGGCTGAAGACAGCTGCATTGCTGAAGGGTCGTTCATCCATGGCCCTGGTGTTGGCATGCTAGCGAGTTTGAGGCGACACGCAGCAAGTGAGGTTGTTGATCTGAAACGGCCAGACCGGTGGGGTCCCGGAGCGGAGTGCTTCGACTAGGGCCTCCGCTTTACTGTGTAAAGATAACGTAATTCCCGCCGAGCTGCGCACCCATCTAAAATCGCGTCTTCCTGCCCGCCTGCCTTCTTCAACCACCTACCATGCCACCAACTCGCACTGAATCTCGGCTTAAACTAGCTGAGCAAGAGGGCGAGATCTTCTTAGCCCTACAGGCTATTCAAAGGGGCCAATTCAAATCTATCGCGCAGCAGCCAGGCCATTTAGCTTATCCGAATCAACACTACGCAATCGCGCGCACGGTATACAATCTCGCGTTGATACACGCCCAAACGGCCATAAGTTGGCCTAATTAGAAGAGGATTCTCTTACTGAATTGGATTCTCTCTATGGATTCGTGTGGAGCAGCGCCTAGGTAGCTACTGTGCGAGAAATGGCATGAGCTAGCCACCCTTCGCCCAATGTTGGCAAGAATTGGCCATCAGCCTTTATTAATCGTGGCGAAGAGCTTTGCCCGCGCTTCTCGAAGCGTTACGACTACTAGCTCGCACTGAACCAAGACCCAAAATCGCTACGAGAGTGGTTTGCGACCGTACAACACGTTATCAACGAGAACGGTATCCAATCGGAGGATATTTATAACTTTGATGAGACGAGATCAACTCTGCACAGTCCAATTCTGAGGTAGTATTGCTGAGTGTTGTTTTGATGCAGAAGAAGTCTATGGTTATTCATTCAAAATGCGTTGAAGCTTCAGTCACCTCGACTAGATGCCCTCTGGCCGATACGATACGGTAAACACGCTCCAGGAAGCCTCCTAGAGAGAACCAGGTTTCACCAACTGTGAATCAAGGCTCTTTCATAGTATATAGTTTGAATTGCGCGGGCGCACCTACGCCGCAGCTGTCCCTCTACCTAGTAGTGACCGCTCCCCAAACTCACGTTCTGCTACTTGAAATAGTGGCAACCCTTGGAAGTATCCATTGCCCGTTGTACCAACAGCCTCCCAAGTCGCCTTGGCCTCTTCATCTCCAATGGCCACAAGCGATACGTCTCGCCCAGATGCTGCCGCATCAGCAACCAGCTGAATTTGGCAACACCGTTCGAACAAGACAAACCATGCGACTGTGGCCTCAATAGTGGGGCCAGCAGTCAGGATACCGTGATTTCCCAGCAGCGCCGCCTTCTTATTCCCAAGACACTTTACGATAGCTTTGCCTTCTTCAGGTGCTAGGACTAGACCTGCAAAGCTATTGTAGAGTACGTGGTCGTTGTAGAAGACGCAGAAATCTTGAGTCAGCATGTCGAGTGTTCGACCGGTTGCGCACATGGCCCGACCATATAAGCTGTGTGAGTGAGCTGCGCAGAGAACATCTGGTCGCGCTTTATGGATTTCAGCGTGGATTGCATACGCGGCTGGCATCCAATTAGTATCTTTCCTTGACCAAGTGACTCCGACTTAGAGACTCACCATAATTCAACCTCTTATTTTTTCCACCTTCTACCACTTTGCCGTCATGGTCCACGCGGATCAAGTCCTCATCCCGAATCAGGCTGAAATGTGTGCCAAATGGATTCACCCAAAAGCTAGTAGGGTCCACAGGATCTCTAAGCGTGATATGACCTGCGACACCTTCAGCTAGCCCGAATTGTGCGAACACTCGGAAAGCGATGGCGAGGCGGTGCTTCAAGTATGCACGTTCCTCGTAGGGATCCGAGAATTTCGGCGGACTCTCAGCTTCTTCATCAACATAAGCGAGTGATGGGTGCCCGGATGTGTACTCGGGCTGCAAATACTTCTGAGTCGTAAGAGGTTTGGGCTGTGTGATAGAACAGTCTGACGCGACAGAAGCGTCTTGGAGAATAGCAGGCGATGACATGATAGTGTGGTGTGCTTGAGACGGGGTGCCAAAGGAGATTCGCAATGAAAAAAATATTTGAAGTTGCTTCATCTAGCAAATTTGACACCAACGGAGGACATGTTCTTATTGTAATCGAACGGAAACAGACGGAAATCCATGGCAAATGCGATTCCGTAGTTTGGACGGGTTCAGGAAGCACAACTTGTGCTGCACAAGGATGGGAAAGGCGTTCCGAGCACGTGCGCGGAATCGGAACGCCAACTTACTGCAAGATTGTAAGGGACATTGCCCTGGTCTCTAAACGCGGAAGCGGAGCGTGGCCTCGATCTAGTATTGCAAGGTTCTCAACACTATGTTTCGACACCCCATGGGCCTTTCAACTGAGGGACATCGCATAGTGGAATTGGTAGATGGCTCGTGCTCGCAGTACATATGTACCCCGGACTTTCAACCTGAAATGATCAACATACGGCTAATCTTGAGCTCCATATTTTATTTTATCATTTTCAGCCAGAATGTACTCCAAAAATTCTCTCGAGATGGTCGAGAAGGTAGACACTCCATCCCAAGGCCGTACGGCGGATTTGGATGAGGTTACGCGTCAAGCTGAGAGGAAGCTGCGCACCAAGATCGACCTTTATATCGTGCCGATTGTCGCCTTGCTCTATCTCATGTGCTTTATCGATCGGGCGAATATTGGTGAGTGAGTACGAGGTGATCAAAGAAAGAGAGCCCTAACAATGTTGCAGGTAACGCGCGTCTTGCTGGCTTTGGACAAGACCTAAACCTTCATGGATATGACTACAACACCGTGTTGTCAATCTTCTACATCTCGTACATTCTCTTTGAGATCCCAACAACAATTTGTTGCAAGCTGATAGGTATGGCTTTGGAACCTTGGTATAGGGAATATCTGCGCTGACGGCTTGGCTCAGGCCCCGGTTGGTTTCTGCCATTGACGACCCTCGGCTTCGGCGTCGTCTCAGTTGCAACTGCTTTTGTGCGTACCCGCGCTCAGGCATGCGCAGTCCGATTCCTCCTAGGCATGTTTGAAGCGGGCATAATGCCCGGCATTGCGTACTACCTCTCGCGCTGGTATCGCCGAGCTGAACTTGCATTCCGCCTTGGCTTATACATGACCATGGCACCGTTGTCCGGTGCCTTTGGCGGCCTGCTAGCTTCTGGCATTCTGAAATTGTCACATTTCGGATCACTGCACAAATGGGAAATGTACGTTAATATTCCAGCATTTCACTAGATCCACAACTCGCTGACATTGATCCAGGATCTTTGCCATCGAAGGTACCATCACCATTATTCTCTCACTCATCGCCCTTGTAACCCTGACCGACCGACCCGACACCGCCCGCTGGCTCTCTGAAGAAGAGAAGGAGCTTGCTATCAATCGCGTCAAGTCGGAGCGCCTCGCCCAAGCCATTCTGCTCGATAAGATCGATGGCATGAAGCTGAAGCGCGGCTTCACAAACCCCATCACAATCGCTACAGCGTGCATATACATGCTCAACAACATCACAGTACTCTCAATCTCTTTCTTCCTCCCGACCATCATCAAAAGCATCTACCCAGGTCGCACAGCCGTGCAACAGCAACTCCTGACTGTGCCCCCATATATCGTTGGTGGCTTCTTTGTGCTCTTGATAACGACACTAAGTTGGCGCTTCGATCACCGGCAATGGTTCCTTGCAATTACCGGGCCCACAGCCATGGCAGGATTTTCGATCCTGCTGGCTACGCTTGATGCGAACGTACGGTACGGAGCCATCTTTCTGACGGCGAGTACGGCATTTACGCTGGGTGCGATGTGTAATGCGCAGGTCAGTGCAAACGTGCTGAGTGACTCAACGAGGAGCATTGCAATTGGGACGAACGGTAAGACTTTTACCACCCTTTCACTGGCGAAGATAAGACTAGACACTAACAGTCGCCATAGTCATGTTCGGCAATATTGGTGGCCTCATTGCAACGTGGACATATCTCCCTAGGGATGCGCCAATGTACCGCATTGGTAATGGTGTGAACCTCGCGTGCGCCATTCTTTGGACTATCGTTGCTATTCTGGTTCTCCTCTGGATGAAGTATGACAATAAGAAGCGTGAGAAATGTGAGGCTGGTGCGCACGAGCAGCTTGCGGGGTTGAGTCAGAAGGAAGTTCATGATTTGGAGTGGAAGCACCCCGATTGGCGGTGGAGACCGTGATGCGTCATCCTGGGATGTAGTGATGCTCTCAACACTTCTATGGATGCACCTGTATGTAGTGCTAGACTTGGAAGTAGAATGGTGACGAAATTACGGGGTTGTAATGCGGTACTTGATGTGTTGCTTGGTAGGACGGTCGCGGCGCGAATGTAGCTTGGAGAGGAATATTGTAGATCAAATCAGTATACCAAGCCTTTAGGGGTGACGAAATATCATGCGAGAAACCCAACAAGACGACAGAGAAGGCCTCGGTGAAGAGTGTTGGCGAGGCTCTGGCTGCCAAGGTGGTTGTGGTTCGAGGTCTCGTGAGCACAGCATAGAGCTTTAAAACCATAAGCCGAAGTAGAATAATGGTATCTAGTAATTTAATGGACGGTTCGTAGACATCTAGTCTTTCTGATTCGGGGTTTTCCCCCGTTAGCCCAACCGGAGACAAGGCATGGCTCTTCGAGACAACTGACAATGTATCCTGTTACCACGTCCGAGTTCTTACTCTAAAGCACTACAGCTCAACTAACGCGCCTTGGTAAGTAGAGAATATGCTTCGAAGACATCTCATTTGGCGGAAAGGGGATGATAACCTAGTTTCCTGGACAAGCTCGTTTGTTGTTTGCGCTAGAGTACATCTTCCTCTTACACGCTAATATCGAAGACGGATCGCCGTTCGACAATATCTGTGTCTGTATAATTGACACCCCCAGCTTTTCCAAGGGCGGTCTCATTGAGATATGCATCTCGTTCAAAGCTATGGGCCGTTTGATGCAAAATGCGGAAATTCGAGCAGCTCCGGTTGGGAACATATTACTTCGGATAATACCTGTCGCAGGGAGCGTTGAGAATAGAAGTCAAAAGTAGATTTTTTCAGCAGAAGGCATGATCGACCACGACTTGTACAGTTTGCTTCGCAGCCCAACTTCGAGGAGTCTGCGAAGTGAAACACATGGGAAACGCAAAGCCGGTAATTCGTCTCCGGCAAGGATTCTACTATGAATCGGTCGAGATAACTGCAAAGGAGCTACAAGGGACAAAGTATCTTTCACAGCATTCCAAGCCGCGGTGGAGGCTGCCTCCTCCAGCAAAGCTTATTACGTTGCGTCCTTGCCGAAGCGAAGGTCAAGCCATCTTGAAAGCATACGCACACAAACAGAACATCTGCAATGGCAGCTCATGCTAAGATTACCAATACGGTACAAGTCATCTGTTCACGTAGTTAATGTAAGGGCAGCTTTTCTCCTCTTTCGACGGAATAATACCGCGATTTGTTCCGTGCTACCACGGACACGACGTACATGTCGTAGTCAAGTTGATTCCGATTCCGGTTCCGACCTGGTCTTCCATAGGCGCGCTTCCTAAGATACACATAAGGAAGCTCCCACAGCTCCCGAACTCTGCCTAGCTGAATTGGCAAGCATCGAGATACCAGGCGTGTCTTCCTTTACATTTGAGTTTTACTACAATGCGCTCCTTTGTCAACTTCTTGGTCGCGATCAGCGCTACATACGGGTTTGCATGCGATACTGCGCATCAATATATTCGTCGGGATGCGGTCTCGAATGCTCCAGCGCCCTCTCCCGCAATTGGTGGCTTCTCTGAGATCTTCACAGAGACCATAGCCGCATTACCAGCACCACCAACTCCTATCGCCGGATTCTTCAATACTACTTTGTTTCCCAAGCAGCAGCAACAGAATGTAACCCATTTTCTTCGACAAGCTTCTGAGCTAAGCACTGACTGGAGGATCCACCAATTCTTCCAAGATCAATGTATTACGCAACAGGTGTTTCCAAAACTATTCACGCAGCCTGCTGGCTTCGTCACACCCTTTTCGCCATTCGATAACTTTTACTTTGTTGGACAAGCCTTTGTGTCGTCTTGGGCATACGATACAGGCGATGGACTGGTCGTGATCGATTCACTCGACTCCTCCGATGAGATAAAGGCAATCATGCTTCCGGCCCTCGAGAAATTCGGCTTCAGTGGGAACGACATTAAACATGTCATTGTTACACACGAGCATCTGGATCACTACGGTGGGGCCAAATATCTCAAAGAGACATACAACTCAACAATCTACGCCTCTGAGGTCGCTTGGCAAGAAATGGCAACGTATACGTACCCTCCTAATTCAACATCTATCCCTCCAAGCAAGGATAAGACGCTGGTGGACGGTCAGATCCTTCAGGTCGGAAATGTATCTTTCGAGATTGTCCTTACACCTGGTCACACCCCTGGTACTCTGTCGCTCATCTTTCCCTTGACTGATAAGAATGGCACCAAGCACCATAGGGCAGGCCTGAACGGAGGTACAGGTATCCCGCAGTCTGCTACCGACCGCACGGCCAAAGTACTGTCGCACTATCGTCTTGCAGCAATTGCATACGAGCGAGGGGTCGACACGCTCATCTCGAATCACCAGGTTGCTGACCACGCGCTGTTCAATTCAGACTTGCTCGCACACGCAAGCTCGGACATTCATAATCCGTTCGTGATCGGCAGAGGCAATTATTACAATTACTTGCGCATCTTAGGGTTATGCACAAAGGTATACGCGGCGAGACAGGGCATGGATCTTTGGGCTTAAGCTTCGATGAGAAAATATCCCAAAGCTCCAGGTCCCTTGGGCCCAAAGCCTGGCGGTGTAGAAGCCTTATATATGGGCAGTATTTTGCCCCATTACCCCCAAAGTCCATCATTTACTTCGTACAATTTACTTCAAATTTTCAGAAGTTCTAAATTCTGATACATTTACTGTAGCTCAGCAGCTTGGCGACAGCCTTCCACAAATCTCTCAGTCTCGCATATAAAGACCCGCTCCAGATGCCCTGTGGCCTCACGGATGCAGATTGGGCCGGCTGTCGCCAGACAAGGCGCTCGACGGCAGTATATCTTTTCAACATTGGAAGTGGAGCAATCAGCTGGCAATCAAAGTGCCAGAATGTTCTTCTCGTTGTGTATACCTAGTAGCCTCATGTTTCACTCTAGAATAATAACACAATTCATACCTTTGAACTACAACACTTTGCGATCATCACCATGTCGGCTCTAGTCCACGACTCGCCCGACCGAGCCGTTACAGCCGTCGAGCCCCTGACAGGAAGCGACAACTTCGCGACCTCGAAACGTCTGATGACCTCCTACCTCAAGGCAAGGCAGGTCTGGGATGTCGTGTCGTGCGACCTTGAGCGTCCTGACTGCTCGTTCAAGTACGCCAAGCCGGTTACGGCCGACATCCACCCCCTGGTGGAGTGCACCTGGTTGGGGCGGTAAGGCAACGCGCCATCGAAGCGCGCCTCGAAGTGGAGGTCCAGGCATTCGAGCGCCACCATGAATGGTCGCGCCGCCAGGCCAAAGCCTACCACACTATCTTCCGGTACTTCCCCCCACATAGTATCCATGGCGCGGAACTAGAGACGTCCCGAGATCTTTGGAATGAACTCGAAGAGCGGTAGGCGGATGGAGCTCGCCACGTCTGCGAGCTATTCGCCCAGCTCCGCTAGACAACCGGCGAGCGCTGCGGCAGTGCCCGCGAATTCGTGGATCGAGTAATACGTTAGATCCGGGGAATAATTCAGGCCAGGCTTAGATCCAACTTATTTGTCTCAATATGTCTCTCCTTTCATATTCTTCAGAGTCCATGTCGCTGACAAAAGACTGATACTGCCTTTCAAGCTCGGTATGGGTTGCGCTAGAAAGAATGGTAACCGATTGATGGGTGAAAGGTGAAAAGCCGTTTATACGATAATTTCTTAAATTCGAAGAAAAGCGCCGAAAGAGTAAGCTTCTAAGGTTGCACAGCCTCCTGGAGGCTTCCAAGCTGACAAAGTAATTCATTGACCTTGAGTTCCTAGCGACTAACCCTAAAACTGAGTCTCCAGGTTTCTATATCTAACTGTGAACGAAGTATACATACCCATTTTGAGAACTCGGTGTTGAATGGCCTGAGAAACATCACATAGGAAATCGAAGCATGTATTTCTAAAATAGTGGGAAGAACTCTAGATAATGAATCTGGCAAAGAATGTAAGAAGTGTAGAAATCAAAAGGCCATGTCCATCTGGGGACGAAAAGAAAGACTAAAAGAACAATAGTCTATCTAAAGATAATCAAAACAAAGACTGTAAAAAAGTATAAACTGGACGAGTCTATAAAATGCACGATACCTAGGTATATACTTTCGCATGTACCGAAGATGCAAGAAAGGAAATGTCAACATCCTATGCAGGACATCGCGTTCCATCAGAATGAAACAAAGTTCTTGCTAACTTTGAAAAATTGACTGCTATTCAAGAGCTTCCCTTGGTCTTGTTTCCCTTGGGAACACGTGCCCACCAGTAGATTCCAAGGGCGACGGCAATGTTGAATACCAAGTAAGCCCACATGATTCCAAAGTTCCTCCAGGCATCGCTCCAGTAGGAGTCAACTGAAGCAAGGAAGGTATCGGTGGATGACATGCTACAGTACGAGCATGAGCTCGTTGCGTTGGGGTTCTCAATGTATCCACCAGTCCTTACAGCATAGGCATTCAGGTATTCATAGCAGGTTTGAGAGCCCGGGGGGTTGAAGGTGAGGACTTCATCTGTACTGCACGTAACATCTGTTCCACTAACAGCAGTGGATAACATTCCAGATACCAGGTACGTAAATGGGGAAAGACGATACATGAAGATCCAGAATCCGGGCATGTCTTGTGGGGTGGCGACGACACTGAAAGGACACATATTAGTAAACAGAAGCAGCAGATAAAGATCGATATGTCTTACCCGCAGAACAGTAGAAGAAGAGCGAAGAGAAGATTGGCGATGTTGCCTCCAGTTTCAGCAGTTTCCACACCGGCCACGACCATATGAGTGAATGTAGATGTAAACCATAAAAAAACCAACAAGTACAGAAACATAAGCGCACCACGCTCAGACACAGCGTCAGTCGGTTCGGCGTTTTGGTAAAGACCGACTGGGTAGTACCAGCAGAAAAACATCAACACAGCAACCAGGAAGTTCCAAGGCAACTCAACAATAATATTCGAAGCCATGAACACCTTCCACGAGTACATCTTGGATGGACGCTCCCGAACTTCGAAGATGGATCGTTGGATAATAAAGTTAGGCATGATCTGTTGAACAAGGTTTCCAAAGATGGTCATGAGCATGAAGATACTAAACATTTGGTTCTGCAATCCTTGCTGGGTGTTCTTTGCGTTGTAGAACGAGAATCCGTTATAAAGTGCCGTAAGAATCGAGAGAACAATTTTAGACCAGATGTAAGAAGGGGTCCGCCAGTATTGCGAGAAGAGACGAGATAGACACTGCAAAAATTGGTCCTTTGTGGAAGACGCGAATTCGCGATGTTCTGTACTCACGTTGCCCTCTGGCTGCTTTTCCGCAAGGGAAGACTTTAGCTCAGCCAAATGGTCAAGAACAGCCTGCTTTTCAGCACTGCTGTTCCAAGCCTCAGGCCAATCAACATCACTGTGGGACCCAGGAGCAGCGCCAATCACATCAAGCATCCATTCTGCGGGATTCTCGCCATCCTTTAGAGCATGGCCACCATTGCGCATGAAATAGTCCGCCAAGATCGAAGAGTTTTCGCCGATCTTTCCGAAGTATACGGTGCGTCCTCCTTTAGCAAGGAACATCAGTCTGTCAAATCGCTGGAATAGCATAGCAGAAGGCTGGTGGATGGTACACAAAATCGCCTGGCCATGCTTGGTCAGTGTTTCAATCAGATCTAGAATTGACCAAGAGGTTTGACTGTCCAAGCCAGATGTAGGCTCATCCAAGAAGAGCAATAGCTGGGGTCGGGCAACCAACTCCACAACAATAGTCAAGCGCTTTCGCTGCTCAACGTTCAATCCTAAAAGTATGTCAGCAAGTGAGGACACTGAATGGAATATTTTCTCCTTTTGTGTCACAACATACCTTCACCCGGAACACCAACAACAGCGTCAGCATATGTTTGCATACCAAGCAAATCCAGGATTTCTGTAACATAGTCAAGCTTTTCTTGTCGGCTGAAATGGGCTGGTTGTCTGAGCAAAGCACTGAACTCTAGGGCCTCGCGCACCGTGGAGGTGGGCAAATGAACATCCTGCTGTTGAACGTAGCCTGTTTTGCGCTGAAAAGAGCTATCTCGGGGACTACCATCGACAAGAACATCTCCAGTGACAACACCCATAGTCACACGAGTTGCAAGAACGTCAAGCAGTGTAGTTTTTCCTGCGCCGGAAACACCCTATTATATTGTTAGCGAACTCCACCACAACATGCAAGAGTATTTTCTACCATCAATGCAGTCGCGGAACCGGGCTTAACCCAACCGTTCACATGGTCAAGAATACGGCGATCTTCATTCTTGATCTTGATATCGTAGCAAAGATCTTGCCATTGGAAGATAGCAGTTTGCCGCTGAATGTTGGCACCAGCACCTTCGGAATCTTCTTCCTCCCGATAATTCATGTCTGCTATAGTCTCACAATCCTGTGTCGGAGCCTTTGGCTGACGACCCCGGCGGAAAAGAAGGACTTCGCCCTTGGAGGCAGCTTCAGTGATGTATTCGGTTGCAATGAGGTAAACGAACATGAAGAAGATCATGAACGCGATGACGATACCCAGGTTACGCCAGAGATGGCTGTTGGTATAGGCGTAGGCAGTCTCCAGGTAGGCCTCTCCACTGATATAAAGATCACCAGCGGTGGATGAAACGGTGCTGCAGATGGTGTTGATGGTGTCCACATTCTCGTACCCCTCTCCAGAAGGCACCAAGGACGAACAGGGGAAATCTCTATTGCGGAACTCATTGACCATCATACTTTCAAATGAGTACGCAAGTGGGTCAATATAGTTCATCCAGCGAGACCAACCCAGCATGTCTTTTGTAGGAATGATAAAACCTGTGTAGATCACGAGACCCAAGATGAGTAGAGCAGCAGGAACCAGTGCCTGGGCCAGAGAACGCGATGCGGCACCAAACGTGCGGAAGATCATAGACATGGTGAATGTGGTCGCGAGGGAAAACAGCCAGAAGATGAAAAAGGCCCCTGGCTCACGTTTGAGGTTGGCCATAAAATAGAGAGGAAGATTGAAGGTGAAAGAGTTGGCCAATTTATACGGTACATCGCATAACATAGATGCAACGGCTTCTGTGAAAGGATGGTAGAAGGCATATCGCGATTGCTTCTCCACGATGGCTCGTTGAGCATAAAGGGTTAGGATCTTGATGGATAATGTTAGATACATGGATATGACTCCCAGTGGGGTGGAACCATAAAGGGCTAACCAACCTCAAGTGCACTGGCAAACGCAGCGAGAAGAACGGCGTAGAAAAGGAGAACCTCTCGGGAGTAGAAAGTGGATGTATCCGAGGCGAGATTATAAAACACACTTCCTAAAATCAGAGAAATGAAGAAGTTGCCAAAAAGAGCCGAGTAGAACAGGGACATATCAGCCCTGAGACGCAGGAAACCACGTTTCACGTTGAGATTGATCTGCTCGACAACCGAGAGCGTATAGGGGGGACTTGATACGCCTAAAAGTTTGTTGTCAGCGTTATCAATAAAGATGATCATATATGGTTTGCCTCACTGCTGCTTTGACTGCATCTGACGGCGGGCTTCATTGAAGTTAGCCAAGGACTGACCACCAATGGGGTGTTCCTTGTCAAAGGTGTCAATTTCCCGGAGAAGACGGGCACACTCTGAGCTGGTCTGCCAGCGTTGGGCAAATTCCTCTGGCGTACGAGGCACCCTGGCTTCGTATCCCGGCTTCACTCTGCGCTCGGTGGGACTAGTCAGGGAGGTGAGAAAGTCGGCGGTGGTCTGGCGGCCCGGGCAATCGAAGCCCATGGTGGTAAAGAAGTCACGAGCCTCACTAGTCGGGCCGAAATAGATTTGCTGGCCCTCATAGAGAACAACGACCTTGTCAAACACCTGTCGCGATAGAGATAAATTAGAAAGATCACATCAAGTTGCCTCCATGCGTTGGACTTACATCGTAGGCACTCTGCGAAGCCTGGTAAATTGCAACGCAGGCTGCGGTTCCTGCATAGTCACTCATCAAGCGGAGGTTCTTGCAAAATTCCAATGCATTGGCACTGTCAAGACCTCGCGTACTGTTGTCCCAGCATTGAAGGGGAGCACCACTGAGAATAGCCTCTGCAATACTGACTCGTTTGCGCTCACCGCCACTAACTCCACGCACGAAGTCGTTGCCAACTCGCGTATTAAACGTATGACGGAGACCTAGCATGGTCATGACCACATCGCGAAGATGATCCGCATATTGCTTTCTCGGCAATGTGGGAAAACGCGTGCGTGGGGTACGTGCCATAGCCGCAAATGTCAGGGTTTCACCAACTGTCAGTTGAGGGAAATGCACATCATTCTCAGCACTGAAGATAGCTTCTCCACGGAACTGCTTCTGTATCATTGGGGCCGATATTCCTGTTTTCAAGTGTTGGTTGGTCAGTTCACACCTCACGTGTTGGACTTGGACCTCTTTGCGTACCTTGATAGTTCAAGTAGCTATTGTCGTCGACATAGATACCGTTCATCTCACCGGCAATCGTCTTCAGGAATGTTGAGCAGCCACTAACGAAGAATGAGTTCTAACTGTTCTATTAATTCGACACCACACGATAAACTCACCTCCCAGGGCGGCCCAGGACCACCAGCATTTCTCCACTTTTGACCAGTCCATTGAAGTTCTGGAGGATTTGAACCTTCTGTTTCCCGTTTCCAACCAGGCTGCGGATCATGCCACCGATACTCAGCAGAGAGTTGAACACGTCCTTTTGGTAGTCGGTTGGACTTCCAAAACCGTGCACAGAGAGGCTCTTGAATGCAACACCCGCCAAGCGTTGAAGGAATCGTTCCGGATCTTGTGACTGAGCGGCAATCAATGAACGAATCCAGTCCTTTGGCTTGAAGAAAGGACTGTCTGGATGCCAGGTGGTTTCCTTGTTCTCCTCAAAAAATGGGTTGCTTGCATTCGCCGAAGAGAAATGAGTAGACTGGCGAGTCAATTGCCTCACCATCTCCTCAACTTCGTCCTCCATATCGACCTCTGCCTCCTTCTGCTCGCTCTGCTCCTTAGCGTCATTGTGAAGTGTAGTCGATGAACCATCAGTTTCTCTTATTTCGTGTCCGGTCACTAGCCGCTGTTGGTGCGAACTATCCATGGAGAAAATTCCCCCCCAAAACTGACATGATGAAGATAGACTCAATTCACCAGGCTTGTTTCTAGAAGGACAAACAGGATCTGGGTGGGCCTCTAAGATTTTTAAGAGAACGACAGCAGTTGGTTATAAATATAGCTGATGAATCAATCCAGAGCCGCTGACTTCCGTACCCGGCATTCATATCAATTCTCCAGGGCCGTGATTTTCACGCACTGAGAGACCTATAGGCTGGCTAATAAAATTATGGAGACTTTTTATGGAGATTTGAGTCCTATCACTACTAGTCCTACGGATATATTGGCCAGGGACCATAAAGAACCGGGGTGCGGCGCCTCAATCGGGCGACTTGCACCATCGGCCCGTTCGCCTGAGATGTACGTGCATCAAGAACCGGCGTTTTAACCTTGGTAGTTCCACCATAAAAGATCATCAGCGACTTACAGATACATACCAAAGCTTCCTTCTGAGCCACCTGTAGTTAGCCTTTCCCGCCATCCAGTTCGGCAAGCGGTATGTTCACGGGCCGTAGGTTGAATAGATCTCCGAAATTTACGCCCCTGTTACGTTCGGATGGCACAAGTCCCGGTGAAATATTTCTCGGTATCAGCTATGATTGGTCAACACACATCTATATGTAATTTATTTTACTGCCAACCAATTGGATATTCATGAATAACGCCATGGATCCATTTGATTTATGAGACAAATAATAAGCAAACAAACGATCCGAAGATTAGGGGTACACTAGGATATGGCTACAAATTGAAAGGCTGCCAATTTATATGGCAATTGCTTTGGACCTATCTTTAAAACTAGAAAAATCAGGTCCCGTCACATTTACCCAGGAAGAGTGAGAACTGAGCTTCACCTTCTCTGCTTCCTCCAATGACAGCACCAGTCTCTCATTTGCGGTACGTTTCCGCGGTATGTGGAGACCTTCTCATGTTTATCCATTGAATGATAATATTTTGGTTCCTAAGCGAGTATAATGCCGTAATCATATCATATTCCGAAAGGAAAATAAAATCTCTTTAAAAGGGTATACCAGACCCTTATCTTAATAGTAGCTTGAACAGTCCGGTCTTTTAGTAATAGCCGCAGAAAAACCCGTTCCATGGTGCGACTCGCCATGATCTCTTCACCTCCCTTATTTCTATCATTTTATCCCCTGTCCACTCTTGGATACTTGCATAGTAAGATTATTTCCTACAATCTTAGCGGCCCGACAATCAGTGGGGTCCTGTTCATACAATCCTAAGCTTGTATACACTGCTCAATCAATTATGCCACGCCAGGTCTCTAAACCAGCAGCGTTGAGGGACTCGCCATATTCCAAGGACTGTGCTCGTTCGAGAGTAAAAAAAGCTTGTGATCGCTGTAGGAAGAAGAAGACAAAGGTTTGTAATGATCTGTTTCAACCAAGGGCTTTGTTCTAATTATATTTAGTGCGATGGAGCCAGCCCTTGTCAAAGATGCAAAGCTGAAATTGCCAATTGCATGTTTGGAGATAGAAAAAGCATCGGGAAAAGGTGTATCCTAAGGGGTGAGCATACCTCTGAAATATCAACATCACAAAGGGTTGATTGACAATTTAGATACACGACCTTCTTGGAAGAGCAGCAAGGCTGGCTTATTCATGGCATTAGAGAGCTATATCAACATGTGCAGGCCAGAGATGGCTGGCCCGGAGAACCGTTGGAACGTGAAACCAGCGGTCAACCTCTGGTACATGATATACTCTCTCGTCTAGGCTCTTTGGATCAACATTGGAGCCCAATTTTTCAAGGGAGTGAACAATGCATGAGTGAGCAAGACTCTCCACATCATCAAAGACTACAAGATCCAAACAACCAAATCAAGCAGAGGCCATACTCTTCCAATGGCAGCCCGCAAAGTTTCGCCCTAGTCCAAGGACCGCCAACTGCTGCCAGCAATAATTTGCCCTCGTCAACGGTCCATCAAGTCCAAAAGGATGAAGCTGAGAACAATCCTTCTTTGTCATCCGTACAATATATTCCCGACGTTGACAGCACGCATGTTCCACTTCAAATACATCCAAACAGCAATTGGGAAGAAGGCAGCGAATCATATATGCCAGACCGTGCGAACCACGCTGGCTTGCGATACAATGATTATCAGACAGCCAGTGCCATGCTCGAATATCCCACCGAGACTGACTACGTGGAGTTGGATCTATTTGCTGGCATAGGCGATAATCCCGATGACTGGGATATATTCTTCGGCCCATTGGCAAAGGGCGAGTTGTCAACTGATAATTATTCGACACCATTCTATTATTATCAACCATTACCCTTTGATTATGCCTCTTAGTGGCCTCTTACTCCGCGCTGAGTGCAACTTACTCCTCTTCTCCATTCTTTACTTTATCATGTATTTGTATTTTTTTTGTGTCTATGATTCTATTTCCAGCCACCAGTGTGTTACACTGTATATTTTGAAATTCTTCGGATAGATGGTCAACACCAGCGTAATGATTTATCCTTACGCTGTGTGACTGAAGGTCCAACTACGAAAAATTTCAGAAAAAAAACATTCATAGAGCTAAACCTTCCATAACGGACGTTTCATGACCGTCATTCTCGGGCTAGAATTGTGGCGCATAAGCTTTCAACACAACCCATGAAAATTCCCAAAAATTAGCAATGTACGGAGGGGATATTTGTCCATATAGGAAAAAATGAGATGGGTGATTTCCGGGTCTGCCGACCCACTCGACCCATCAAAGTGGCTTGGGCCCCACAAGACAGTTGGCTTTATGCAAATCCTGGCATATTCAGGGTGCTTTATGCTCACTTTGCCTTCATTGGGAGATGGCAAAAACACCAGTGGATGTGCAGGAGCCGGAAGTGTAGCTGACAAGGCCTTTCTACCCGCTCGGAGATAACCTTCTAGAACACCGGATCCCGGGAAGTTTTTTAAATCAGCATCGGTAATTTTTTCTCTCCTCCCTATCTTTTTGTATAGCTCGCTTCAAGTGATAGCGGAATATTGAATTCCGCCGAATGCGAGTGATATGACGGGATATAGGAAGAGCTCCCAATATAAACTAGTGTGTCTTGGCGCGAGGGGCAGGAAAGTCAATCGAAGAGTGTAGGTTGTTTCACTAGTTTCGGGACGTACTGTAGCCAGAAACCTCCAAGCGCGTGTTTCCATCATGGCAAGAAGATCTGGCTCCAGATATATTAATAAGGAGGAAGACAATAGGACATTGCCTTCTAGAACGGACAAAGGAGGGAAGGTGTCCATGTGGATGCTCGCTGACTGAGGCAATTAGGTTGGAGCCGAGCTGGTCTCTGGTCAATATTCTGCTTGGCATGATGTGTATCATGCAATGCAATGATCTAGGCCCCATGTTGTCATGAAGGACAATAATGTTAGCAAGATCCAGAAGGAAAGAGACATTCAAGATTGAAGATACATTATCTCAAGGCTCTTGCCAAATACATAGGGCAGGGGAGAGTCCTTAAGATCCATAATGACGTTCCTAATGGAGTTTGCGAGTAGCTTCAGGCCAAGGAGAAATAATGACTGGAGAACAAAAAGAAGGCTGTGGATAGCTCTACGTACCATTAGTTTAATATGTCCCCCAGTCAATATCAATGTCCTCTCAGCTAGATCTTAACAACCGATGTCTGCCCCTGTTAATGACGTGTTGCCCGTCAGGCCCGACTGCTCTGAACCAATAATATTCCACGGGCTGCTTGATGTTGCTGTGGAGGAATACACCGAATGGTTGACCGACGAGATTCTCAGAGATAACATCGACAAAGCCCGCTATGTGTCCCTCGTAAATTATCCGGGGTATCCTTTAGTTTGGGGAGGAATGCTGACTGCGTGAGAGGAAGGATATTAATTATTTTTCGTGGAAAAGTCCCGAAGTTAAAGGGACAACGACTAGGATTCGAGCCTTTCAGTGTGGAAATCTATTTTGGAGATGTAATGGTTGGTAGGATATCCCAGCGGGAAGTACGTTAAATCAAGTTCACTATTATTTACCTGAGGATCTCCTAAAACGGTCAGACAATCAGTCATATCGCCCTAGATACTTGATTGACTCTCAGCGGCCCCACCTCTAAGATAAAGCCCTTCAACTAGTTGCGGCGCCGTATGTTCCGTAAAAGGCCAGAGTCAAGAAAAGTTTGGGACCATATTAGCAGTAGCAATCCTGGTTCTCTTGCCCCATGCCCACATGGGAATAGTGAATAAGGAGAATACTCCCATAAGAGCTCCAAAGACTCCAAATGGGGTGGCAGGCCCGGCACTTGAGACCCATTCACCGGCGAAAAACGTCCAAGCAAAGCTAATTATAGCTCTCATGCAAGTAACTGCCACAAAGCAATCAGCTGCAAGTGGACCATAAGCGTCGATGAGCTGCCAAATAGGGTGAAATAAATATTTAATCTGTCAGATATAGGCAGGGAAACACTCACATAATTGAATCCGATTGAGGGCGCTTGCATCAAACCGAAACAGAGCATTCCAAGCCCAAACTGCATCCCCACCCACATGTGCGATGGCCCAGGATTCTGTGCACAAAAGCCAAATGTCCAAAGCCCTGTGGTAGCTAAAATCAAGCCTGGAATCGCAATAAGCAAGCGCCTCTCCGGTTCGACGAAAGAACTGCCCCGCAACACGGTTTTGGTGAGGATTATACGGTCGGCACTCAAATTTGTCATAATAAATCCCAGTACGGCACCAATAATACCACCGGTCATGATCAACCCGGAATCATTACCCCAGAGGTATGGCGGTCCGGCAACGAGAGTTGGTCCAACAGTGGTGATAGTAACCACGCCCCCTACGAGCCCGGCATACCAAAACATAACGAGCCAAACCCCAGGCAGGAGAAGTGTTTTCCAAGGTGCTAAGAACTTCTGCAGTATATCTCCTTCATACCTATGCAATTTCAGCATAGAGGCCAATAGTGTCTGCCCATTTGTATGATCGTTGAGCGAAGTTGTGGTCATGTTCTCAACAATTTCGGTGTCTGGCTTCCCTTCGGTTGTCGTAGGAATCTCACTTTGACTGGGGAGCGGCGCCGGAGCTCTGTTAAATAAAGTCTCAGGTACAAGTGCAATACAGGCAATCATTAATATGGCAGCTAGAATGACGTTCACCCAATGAATCCATGCGAGTCCCTTGTTACCAGCGATATATCCGCCTGAAATACCCCCAATGATAGGCCCTAGACAGATGCAGACGGTGTAGCAGCCCTTTGTGGGTGACGAGTTAGGCTTTTCTCATACAAAATAAGATGGTTCGACATACCATGGCCCGACCACGCTGGTGAGCGAAGAAGATCTCTCCGACCACGTTTGGAGCGACTAAAATTGACACATGCGAGATTAGCGATAAATGAAACGACAGTGTATATTGGGATGCCTGTTTACTTGTGTCTGCCGGTGCCACCGCAATACCCATGAAGATACGAGCAGCTAACAAGTTCTCAAAGCTTGTAGCAAGCCCAGCCCACATTGAGCAGAGTACTAGCAATAAAAGATTACCCAATATGATAGGCCTCCGGCCAAAGATATTAGCAAGAGGAACCCACCAGATATTGGCCGCGCCCATCATGAGCACATTCACCTGGCTTGTCATTAGTACTATGAACTCGAAATTAACAATCCATAGAAGCTCTCACCGCGATAAGATGAGTCAGTTTTCCAATTGAGACCGGAGGATTAAAGGCTAGTGGTGTCGCATAGAGAGGAAAGGCGCTGGCTATAGACGCCGAAGTGAAATTACCGATGGCCGCGTATAACGACATACAAGTCAAAACGGCGGCTTTACGCCAGGTTGTCCAGTTGAGCGGGTCCAACGGGCTCGAAGTGGGTTGAGGAATAAGCACCAGTTCATGGCTTTGAGCCGATTCCCCATGCTCAGTGGCGTGCAAGCCTTGTCCTTTGGAAATATAGAGTCAGAACCTTCTGGGGATGGGGATACCAAGCCATGTCTCAGACAGATGTTTATCCCCGGAATGTCTTACTCGTCAGAATGACTGTGCCGGGAGGAGTGGCTGCCCGAACTTGTCCGGATGGCAAAGAAAACGCGTGTCTGAATCCTGACATGCTGAGGTCGTCGAAATTATAGAAATTCTTTCCTATCCTTTGTCTTTCTTCACGCAAGATGCTTTCAAGATAAATAGGCTTGGGCAGATCTTTGGAATATTGGCAGTGGCTGATAGATGATCGTTCTATTTGTATCTGTGTTTGCGGGGAAGAGCCACATCTCCGCAGTCAAGACTTGAGCTTTATGTGTCGATCCTAAATAGGGCGGGGCTGGACCCTTGCATCAGGCTCGGGAAGCCAAGAGTTGGGGAGTGTATCGGGATGTGGACAGATCTTGAGGCCCTGCAGCCTGTGCACGTCAAAATCCTTGGCTAATACGAACCCGGTGCCACCTCAAAGCCATACCTGGAGATCTTCGGTTGAATCCGACCCAAACTGCTGGACCCTTGCTGTAGCCTGCTCAATCGCGGCGGCAGTCAATACAATGTGGTCTTTGTCGCGCCCTACATGTTCAACCCTGGATACGGCGGGCTCGAAGCTAAGATTGGGTTCTTCTTCGGTGCTTTCATGCTCCTATTTGCCATTATGGCATATTCCTTCGTTCCAGAGATTCGTCGACGTATATGAGGATCTTGATGAACTCTTCATGACTTGAATTGCAACGCGAAAATTCTGTAAATATATGACTCTTGCAGAGCAACGGGCGGCAGAGGCTTACAATGTGAAGGAGAAACTGACTCATTCTGCCAAAGACTGAAAAGTGAGGCATGCATGTCTATCGCTTAGAATATCAAGTTTTGAAGAGTGCAGCCGGTGGAACAGGCCACATTCTAGACTATTTTTGAATGTTCACAACCTAGTATGATGTCGGATTCGAATGCAATTACCGCCACCGCGTCTTAATAGAAAAGGATTTCAATTGAAACCTAAGCGCCCTGATTTGCTCTGCAATTAATTAAAAGGGAACATTCACCATTCACCATGCCACTGAACTAAGCATGACCTGACTGGCCTTGACAAAGCAACTACAGCCCAATTAGACCTGAATATGGCCTGAGTCCTATCAATTAGTAGGTTTAAGTAAGCATTATTGGCTTCAGGACCATCAAACCGTCGGACGAGTGATAGTAGTTGCACTGACAATTTCTAGTACATTATATCTGGATTTGTTCTTTTAAAGAGTTTACTCATGAGAACCCTCAGTCTTCTGTCCCAATATTGTCTGTGTAGTCTTATCCAAAAGTTTTCCTTCCGTCTCTGTTTACGGAAAAGTGATAGATTTCGAGATAAGTATGTGGAGCTGGATGACTATCACGCCTTTCCACATCGCATGAATCTGCAAAGCCATTGCTAGTGTCCATTTTGAGAGGTGTTACATCGAGATGAAGGAATAACATATTTTCCCCATCAACCTCTTAGCCAAAATGCATGATCAGCAACATCCTCCACCTGTACCTACATTTCCCTCAATAATATTTGCAAGAAGTAATCGTTCAGCATGTGAGGCCCGATCTGTTGAAGATGTGTGGACTGCAAAGCTATTCCGAAATATTCTCCTTTTTGGGATTATTGTCTCGGGCATGAGAACCGAAATCATGACCTCCGTCGCCTCCCATGGCGTTGGAATAGGGCCCTCCCCCACCCCCACCCCCTCTCTCGCATCCCTCTGATTGGCCATATAATCCGAAGCTACCAATACAGCTTGTTTGGCTACTTTCAAAGCAAAGAAACCATGTGGAATGTTGTCCTTGTCAAAGACAGAATGTTGGTGGCAGCCTGCGACACTTCGGCTGGGATACCCCGATTTCGAAAATTTATGCTCCTTGAAGTATCGCATCGCCCGATCAGAAAGCCAACTATCAGTGCCTCATTCGGTTAAAGATGGCCCGAGGACCTTACCCCCCGTATCCTTTTCGGTCATACCTGGCACGAATAGTATTCGGTATGTGGAGGGATCTGCCAGGCTTGAAACCCGATAAGTGACATGGGTAATGCTAGGATCTGCTTCCCTACCGAGAAGCTGAAATTAACTGCGAGACTCTCATGAAACGGAGGAGAGACTAATTTCCTGTAGTTTAATTACGATCTGCAACTTCGCATTCATATCTATGGACTGTTTTCACGCCGTTAAAAGTCGAACGTGCTGTGCTCAAGTCAGATACTTTGAATATTTGAATCTCTTTATCACGCAATTTTCAAAACATGTCGGCGTTCAAGTGGGGTTACTCAGGCTTCTTTTAGGCAACCTTTGCAGTCCTACTCAGCCGCCTCGAAACACTACTTGAGCTGAAATACATACAGCTGTTGGTGTCAACCTTGGTGATTAGCTAGAACAGTTCCACCATTGACACTACCTAGTGGGATCAATACTCTGGTGGGACCCTTGAGGAATGGAATATCTGTGTCCATCTGGGAACCCGATTTGATCCAGTGCTCGTGTATAAGAAGTCTTATCGCGCACTCTGCTCAGTCACTATAAATCAACTTTAGAATCGATTTAGCGTGTACAAGCACCCTAGTCTCACTTCTTCTGTCTTCTCATTTTTCGATTTGAATTTTGAGATTTCCAGTTTCGAACACCTGTTGAGTGCTTCTAATTTCATACAAGGATTTATTATGCGATCTTAGTACCAGCATCTATTATCGAGCACGGCGTAAGGTAGATCCCCATAAATTTGCCCACAGCATACTAATACGCTAAGTCCAATATATATTCTGCCGACGAATGACAATGGCCGTGCCCGAGGGACACTCAGCCCCCCCCCCTTAGGCCTAATCACGGTTCTTGTAACTGGTGGCTGCGGCGGTCTCGCTAGCCAGGTCCCACAGCTCTTCTCGTAGCGTGGCTGCCAGCACCCAATCTTCCAACACGTGAGGCCCGACGTACGTGGTGATTCATACCACCAGTCGCAAACTCGATGCCCTAAACCATATCATGTACAAAGTCAACGTGGAGAGTACCAAAACCCTTATTGAAATCGCGAAGGAAACTGGAACCCAATTATTCATGTACACTAGCTCCGCGAGCATCATTGATGATGGCAGGTCCGATCTGAAAAATGCCAACGAGACCTTCCCAGTGATACTCGATGAGAAGCAACCCGACTTCTATGTGTATACGAAAAGTGATATCGGTGAGCATTTCTGTGACGGATTGAGCTCATAGTGTATACGGACTGTAGTATCAAACTTTGGAAAGTACTTGGTATGCTCATAACGGGCTGATTATGCTTGGGCTTCGAATGTTGTGGGACAGGCGTCACAGAATAGTTTTTCGGTCTCTTACCGTAATACCTACGACTCAAGCGGGCACCGATATCTTTACTTTTGTGGTAGCTGGGATTCCTTATGACTGGATCAATGAGTGGGTCTGAGACGTTGCCATGCTTGGAAACTTAATGCTACAGCTCCTGATTTGAAGTTGTTGTCTACTATTACTTACGGTTCAATGATGCGGGGTTATCGGGCATATCTTTAACATGTCGGATGTTGTACCAGATGATTTTGATACGACTCTTTTTATCAGGTAGAACTTTTAGAACACATGTCAGGTCTAGACGGGAGCATCATAGACGGAATATATGTGTTCTGAGCGCGAGGGTGTGGAAGCGAAGTAACAATCTTTAGCCTAAGGTTAACACTAGCAGATAATACTGGGGGTATTCAGATTAGAGTAATGCCAATACTGACAGACTGGACATAATCATGCACAAGAAAATAGAGTATTTAAAAAGGTGACTGCGAGTGGCGAAATAGTATGCAATGCCAGTCACCATATACTCAAAGGAGGGTCCAGCCAAGGATGGCGCAAGAGGCCAAAGTCCACAGTGGCATGTGGGGTCTCCCGAAATAGGAAATATTCATCCGCCTCCAGCCTCCGCCTGAGGTATAACTCACAAGAGTGAAGACAGGTCGGTCCCGATACCCCCGAGACCGGATCCTAAGCTCCCCACGGGGACCCCGCATGGATTAAGAAGAAGAAGAAAAAAAGGGGCCAATGATTCCCCTTCTTAATGGGATTTGGACGGGCTATTGGTACCATCAGTGCATTTCAAACCTCTTATATAGGGCCATGCTCCCGTCGATTGTCAAACATTGTTCAGTCGATTCCCCATCAATCCTAATTTCTTACTCATTTTCAATCAAATGGGTTTACTAAAGTCTCATCGGGAGGAAAGTGAGGATTCTCAAGATGTCAAGACTACTCTCAATGCCGTCCACCTCGAAGTCGGTGGTGCCGAGGAACTGCTTCACGTCGCTGAGCGGGTGGCCGAGATTCGGTGCAGCCCATGGACCAAGAGCATGTTCCGGCTGTATGGATGCCTGCTGATCTCCTACTTCTGTGGGTGTCTTAACGGATTTGATGGCTCGCTGATGGGCGGGCTTAACGCCATGGACTCTTATCAGAATGCGTTTCACACGCAAGTACATATCTACCTTAATAATTCGCGACAGTGTCTGACTCAAATGACAGAGGAACTACAGGATCGCAAGTCGGGTTCATCATGGCAGTCTACAACATTGGCTCTGTGGCCGCGATCCCTTTTACGGGCCCTGTTAACGACTATTTCGGCCGACGCGTTGGTATGCTTGCTGGCGCTATCCTGATCATACTTGGAACATGCATCCAGGCACCCGCACACAATATCCAGATGTTCATCGGTGGTCGCTTTATCCTCGGGTTTGGGGTTTGTTTCTGCTCCGTCAGTGCGCCATGCTATGTTAGTGAGATGTCTCATCCCAAGTTTCGCGGAGTCCACACGGGGCTGTATAACTGCATGTGGTGAGTGACTACTCGATCTATCCAACATTCAATAACTAATGGAGTGAAGGTGGCTCGGCTCCATTATAGCAAGCTGGACAATCTACGGCTGCGCAAAATGGGACAACTCCTACGCATTCCGAATCCCCATCTGGTGCCAACTCCTCTCCTCTGTAATTGTTGCAAGCGGAATCTGGTTCATCCCAGAATCCCCGCGGTGGCTGATTGCAAACGGCAAAACCGAGCAAGCTCGGGCAGTCCTGACTCGATATCATGGGGAGGGCTCAGAGATACATCCAATCGTAGTTCTGCAAATGATCGAGATGCAACATACCATCCGCCAAGACGCCTCGGACAAGAACTGGTGGGATTACAAAGAACTTATCGGCACCCACTCCGCGCGTCGTCGGCTTATCTGCGTCTTAGGTATGGCGTGTTTCGGGCAACTGAGCGGCAATTCAGTCACAGGGTACTACCTCCCTGTGATGATCGCGAATGCGGGGATAACATCTGAAGAAACACAACTGCTGATTAACGGATTAAACCCTGTGATCTGTTTTATAGCAGCTATTATTGGCGCACAGTATTGCGATAAGATCGGCCGCAGACCTCTCTTGCTTGTCTCAATTGCTTGCTGCTCTGTCTGCTTCGCAGTTATCGCCGGGACATCCAAGGCGGCGATTGAAGGAAATCCCTACGCGGCAAACGTCACAATCGTCTTTGTCTTCATCTTCGGTGCGATCTTTTCCTTTGGCTGGACGCCCCTACAGACGATGTATATCGTTGAGACTCTTACAACCACAACTCGCGCGAAAGGAACAGCGGTGGCCAATCTTGCCTCAGCGGCAAGTAGTGTCGTGATTGGGTATTCCTCTGGCCCAGCATTTGCAGACATCGGATATTATTTTTACTTGTTTTTCGTATTTTGGGATATTTTTGAGGGTGTTTTTATTTACTTCTTCTTTGCTGAGACAAAAGATAGGACTTTGGAGGAGATGAATGAGATTTTTGTAAGTGGCCTGGTTTTCATAATTGATATGCTGGCGTGCCTTTTACTGACTGCTTGATTCCAGGAGGCAAAGAACCCGGTTAAGAAGAGTCTCGAGAAGCCCAATATCCAAACGGTGTCGAATACCATCCATGCGAAGGCTACAGGGACGGCATAGGTGGATTTCACAATATCGCCTCTTCGCGTTGTGTCATGAACGTTGTGGTGCTTAGTTGTCATTGCTCAGTAGTATTGGTTCTATTTTACATGCGGAGATAACAACGTGATATACCCATATCTCAACATTCATATCTTTTTTGTCCCATCGTGCTAGTAGAGGAATCCATTTTCTCAGTGTCTAAGGGCCGATCTTCGGAGGAGCCTGCTGGATATACACCCGAGATTCAATATCTCGAGATGTGGGCATTTAGCCCTCTCTCCATTTCTCACATATAGTACGTACGTTCTTATTTAAAATCACCAGGATTCTTTCGATTTTGCATCTTTCGATTTTGCATTTACTACCCAAGGAGACTTTCTCTTGTTACAGCTGTGGTTGAAGGGAGGGCTAGGTGTCGAGGCTTGGACATAGACGGGGGTATACACTGCATGTCGCGGCGTTCACGAGGCTAAATTAGTGACGCTCGGGTTCAAGCCCCAGCGGAATCATTTTGAAATTTGTCTTCATTGATCTTAGGCAAAGTTCTTGCTTAGATTTGAAATGGGAAAATGAAACATCAACCTTCTTATGGCTGGCCAAACACGAAGCGGAAGAACACTCTCAAAAGCAAAAGCCGTTTCTCCCACGCGCAATCCTATGGTTGGAAACCTGCGAGAAGCAAGAAAACAACATGGGAAAAGAAACAGATAACTGCAAACAAGAGGAGACAAGGCCATCGGGAAGAGATATCTGCAAGAGCGGAAGCATCTGCACACTTTGCAGCAACAACAGACCTCGAACCTTCAGTCGTAACAATCTCCATAAGTCGTTAGATATGACCTAGCAGTATTTTAACAGAAACTTTCTTTCAGAAAGCCTTTCAAAGTCCATCCCCAGGCTTGAGAATATTTGACCATCGCTTTAGGCAAATCAGTGACCTGTCTTGAACATCTTGTGGTATATTCACTCACAGTATCCCAAGGCCGGCTGGAGTCGACATAACGCAGATCCGTTCCTAGGCGGATAACATTCTCCGGGTCATGATTGATACATGAAGCATGAATCTGGGGGGGAAGTCAGTATGACCCTCACTTTAACCTCATACTGGACACGATTCAACTCACCGCATAAGGATTATGAAATACCACGTCCCCGGCCTCATACGGCGTCAGAAGCCACCTCCTCCCATGCTTCTTCGCATAACGGAGCGGTCCAACATCCAGCAACCCACCTGACATCATATTCGCATTATACGCATCCTTCATCTCTTGGTCCGTCATCCCCGCAGCATTCGCACACTCCATGAACTCCGTCTCCGTCTGCTTACCAATATCATGCCCCTTTTCCAGATAAATCAAACCACCCCCGTCAATGCTGATATCGCCAATTGGAACCCAAGCAGTGATAAATGTATCTTCGCCATGCCTCAGAAAGATCTGATCATAGTGTACCCCAATCGCCGTATTCTGCGGCATATTATTCCTCAGCAACGTGCGACGAATACTCAAAGTATTCTCTCCCCACCCCGTTAACTTGGCAACAAACTCCTGAATAGCCGGGTGATGGCATAGACCCTCCTTATACCAATCTTCATGATGCGCCTCTAGCACGAGATCATTGAACTGCTTTGCGACTTCGGGGTCTGAACCTGTCATATCGGGTGGGCCAGCGCCTACGCCGGGGAAGTTGAGGCGGTTCTGGGTCATGTCGAAGATTCCCTCGACTGGGTTCGTATTGGGTGCAAGGCAGCCTGTGGGTGCGAGCTTTTCGAAGTGACTCTGGCGGACCTGGAGAACGTCTTCGCGCGGGAGGACATTTTTGACGAGAAGATAGCCGTCTTCCTTGTAGCGGCGCTGCATTTCTGCGAGAGGGGTGTTGAGGGCTGTTGGGCTGAGGATGCCGATTGATTCGGCCGGGAGAATGCCATCATTCACGAAGAATTGCTTTTCGCCGAGAGTCATTTCGGATCCTGACATTGTCGCGGAGAACATCTTGATGGAGTAGTAGGAGTTAGGGCCAGGGCGGAGGAACAGTCACAATGTCGTCTAATGCTTGGGCGAAACTGGAAATGCTTTGAAGACAAAAGTGCAGTCTCGCAACCAAAGAACCTCGGGAGGGGTTAGTTTCATATACTATATAGTTCTATCCAATTGTTCCACCTCTAAAATAGGTGCACAGAAAGTATGGTACCGCTGTCACTGTTGGTACCCGCTGCCCCACGTATCCCAAACAGGTAAAAGTCCTCCGCTTCCAGTCCTGGGCATCCCCACCAACACTATAGCCGATGCTCGCTGATACCCCCTCACCCGCCAAAGTGAAGCTCCGCACCTTTAAACCCCCGAGGCATTAGCAAGAGGTTCCTCTATGAAGTAAGGATTTGACATGCTGTTTCTGTTTTCCACTCTGCGCAGCCATGAATAAACTTAGTATCAAATCTACTATGCTGCATCCTAGCCCTCCCAAAGGCCCTCAAGCTCCGCGCAAATATCCTGCGTCGGCCAGCCGTGTACCGCCTCCGTTCTCGCCAGCAGCTCCAGAATTCTTCTCCTCTCGGGCGGATCCTCAACCATGTCACCCGCAAGCCATACAGCCATGCAGGCCACCAATGAGGGTCCCGGAGTTTCAGGTCTACATTGAGCGATCGAACACAGGAGTTTGATTTTTGAGTGGACCTCTTTCTGAAGATTAGGTCCTAGGTTAGCTCCATGAATTTCTTGCAGCGACGTCCAAAATCCCAAAGAAACAAGAAACATACAAGCACGTTCTTCCATGCCGATACTCGATTCAGTCCGACACGTGGTTGGCGGGGATTGTGAATGACCAAGAGAATACGGGCAAGTAAGATATACGCCCACGCACTCGCTAGCGGAGTCATAGTCAGTCCAAATAATAAAAAAATAAGATAGCACGCTCGCGGACAACATGCGCATAACTTTTGAATCAGTTTACGTACCATGCCAGTCCCCATGATATCTCACATCCCAAGACGTATTTGTCTCATTGTTCGAATCTCTCCGAACATCAAAACAAAGCGGGTCATACGATGCAGGCCGCTCAACCTCCCACCGCATAATCTTTTCACATAAAATATCATAAAGATCCGCATTCATACTTTCATCCCCAAAGCAGAAATCCAAAACATTCAAGCAATGACTAACTGCACTCTCCGCCCACGCACTATCCATTGCCAAAGGCCCAAGGTGTGCCAGCATCTCAGCAGAGGCTCTAATCGCAGGTGGGCGGTGCCGCTTAATCGACGCATAGATCTCCTGCCGCATCCCAGCCCAAAAGGCGGCACGCCGGAGGCCAGAGACGGACGAGATATGTGAAGCTTGGTTTTGGAGTAGAGCGCGCGTACCTATGCTGTGGTGGTATGTTGTTTCTAAACCCGAAAATGGGCCGTCGAGTTCTTCGTGCAGTCGGAGGACTATCGTTGCGGCGAGAAGGTCATCCACACTGTCATGGTGAACACTGTCGAGTTCAGGTATTAGAATGCTCAGACATCGTTGATAGTAATGACTCGCTACGAGAGAGTCCACTTCATTGCCAACTAGGCTCTTGTGGCGGGCGGAGAGGGCTAAAATTGCATCCATTAGTGGAGGGTAGAGGCGGGCTCGGACTGGGATTTGGATGGCGAAGTGGTGGTCGGGGTCGCAGAGGTCGAACTAAGGAAAAATCAGCCATTGACTGGCTCACGGACTTGATCACTCGCATAATGCGTACAAATGAGGAGAGACATTGCGTGAAGTGCTGAAAGAGCAAAACCTCAGTGGCGTCTTTGAACGCCCAGCAGCGAGCAGGAGGGCTGCAAGGCGTTTCTGGAGATAAGTTAGACACCCTCTCCGGGGGTAGCGGAACCGACCCTGGAGAGGTGCGCGGAGAGGAATGGAGTGTCTTCGACGACCCAGCGATTACGGGGACTGGCCGCAACACCCTTGGGCATCTGCTTGTTCCCAGCGTGGCGTCATTCGATGGAGACTGGGGACTCGGCCCCGATGGGGATGGGGAGGGCCAATTTTCTTGGGAAGGCTGCCGGCGGCTGTGGTGCGTCTGGACAGTATGGCCTGTTTCGTGGATATATCGGACTAGCAGTAACAGCATGTGTCAATACATCCACTCCATGATCAAGCTGAGATGGGCTGCAATACTCTCTCCCGAAATCCTTTGCGGGTTCGGACTAGCAATCTCAACATGCTGAACAACCTGCTTGAAGCGCAATATTTTCATTGAATTGAGGCATTTTGCACCAGTTTTCTTGCACAGGCCGCATAGAGGCTGCGCCAAATCACCTAGAAGCTGTCAGTGCGAGAGATCAATTAATTCACGCTGCAATAGTGGATGCAACATTGGATAGATAGATGGATTGGGCGGTATCAAGATGCAGGAACAATAGCAAAAACTGATAGGGGGTAGAATGCAGGTCCTATCACGAGAGAGCGAAAAACAACAGCATAGAGAGACATAGACATAGACATAGACATAGAGACGAGCAAGAGTAGGGAGGACGACGGACATTTCCGGTGTAATCGACGGCATTTGTCACTAGTATCCCAAGTTAGCAAGGGATTATGCAAGCCAGACAAAAGGGGTTTCCTGCCAGGCACTCATCTCGATAGTCCACTTTGGCGATCCAAAGATTGAATGGTGGAGACGAACCAATAGAAGTGGGAGCGGAATAAGATAACTTGCAAAAAATGCGCGGGGAGAGCAGGAGAAGCGGGGAAAGGCTACCCTTTTAACACAAAAACCAGACTTGGAAGTTCTGTGCCGCTTGTATGTGGGGTAGCCGGGGTAATTCTAAATGGGGAATACAACCATGAAACTCGATAGGCAGATGTATACAAGGGATATACATATAGATAAATATAGAGATACTGTCCACAGTCCATAGGGAGGGTACAGTGAACGCCTGAGTATCGGTTGTCTGTTCATCATGATCTCCCGCTCAATAATAATTGCCCTCCTGGCTAGCACAACCCAATGTCTCTTACGGCCTTCCGGCCCCTTTCATACGGAGGGCAAGAGGATTGTCGACGTCACCGGATCGCCATTTGTGTACGTCGGGATCAACTGGCCGGGCGAGGGCGAGACTATGATCCCTGAAGGCCTGCAGTACTCCTCCATCGCCGACATCGTGGCCCAGATCAAATCTCTCGACTACAACTCCGTTCGTATGGGTTGGGCAACCGAGATGGTCGATGACATCCTAGACAATGGAGGAGACGTGAGCCTCAAAGATACAATGGTCAAGGCACTTGGGCTGGAGCTTGCTCCAAGCATTATCGGTCAAATTCTCGACCACAATTCCGATTTCACCGAGAATACGACCAGACTCGAGGTCTGGGATGCTGTCGCAGCCGAGCTCCATAACCAAAAACTGCACTTGGTTTTCAATAACCATGTTTCCAAGGCTATCTGGTGCTGCAGCCCTGATGACGGAAACGGCTGGTTTGGTGACACATATTTTGATGTCACCAAATGGAAGCGCAGTCTGGCGTACATGGCCAAGTATACGGAAAAATGGCCAGCTAGGACGGCCTTTTCACTCCGCAACGAGCTACGTCAAGTCAACAGTCCCGCGAATGACACTTACGGCTGGTCACTATGGTACAATGAAATGATCGATGCAGCGAACATAGTAAACGCCGCCGCCCCAGATGCACTGGTATTCATCTCAGGTCTCAACTACGACCATGAGCTCAACCCCATTACAGCTGGTGCAGCCGTCAGCCCGCCAGAAGATAACAGGGTGTTCAACCTGGGCGACTTTCACTATGCAGACAAAATTGTCTTTGAGCTCCACAGCTACGATAACTCAATCGCAAACTGTACTTTCTTCCAAGACGAACTCTACCAGCGCGGGTTCAATGCTCTTGATGAGACTCCCCAAACAACCGCACGCAATATCGCCCCAGTAGTTCTGACCGAATTTGGTTTTGCGCAGAACGGTTCTGATTACCAAGGCATTTATGCCTCATGTCTGAAAGATTTCCTCACCGGTGATAATCGCGTCTTGAACGCGAGTCGAATCGATGGACCGATTGGACATTTTGAATGGAACTTGGGTGGTTCGTACTACATCCGTGAGGGTATCGTGGACTTTGATGACTGGTGGGCATTGTTGAATCATGATTGGAGTGACTGGAGGAATCACACTGTGTTGAATGAGTATCAGATTCCGTTGATACGAGAGACGCTGCTGCAGCGGTGATGCTCAAGCCCCTTGAGTTTCAAGCTTCGAGGAGGATTATATGTTGTGCAGCAAGCTTGCTGGAGCCAATCAAGTCTTGTCTTGTTATTTGATGCTGTATCCGTACTCAAATCAAATACCCGGTCTTCAATCCTATGCTTCACGAGGGTTTCCACAAGGACACTCCTCAAGTTAGCACCCGTATGCGCCCCATGAACAGGTTTGAAATCAAGGACATACCGGTAGACCCATCAGCATCGATGGAACGGGTTTAAGAAGTCGCGACATATACTTAGTTCAAGGCGTTCTAGGCGTAATTCACACCTCCACGTTCCTTGATGGGGGATTATGCTTAACCTCTATATTGTTGCACTCTGGCACGAAGATATCAAATCAACATGGTAGCATCCAAGGAAAGTATCAAGACTAGAGAGAAAAGAAGGGAATCAAAAAAAGAATCAGAATCCACCAACAAAATTGGGTCAACAAAGCAACAAAGCAACGTGAGGTGATTTCCATTTCCTTTATTACCACAAAAGTTTTTAAACCCTAATTGTCTACTATTATTGACCATCTTCTAATACTAGTAGCAGACCAGTAGCTACCTAAAATAGAGTAGATTAACCAATCTATTCCGTCTTAGGTAGGTACTAGTTCCCTTAAATGGATAGAGAATAGGACAGTCAGAACACTACTAGTAAGTAATTTTAGACTCTGAAGTTACAGCCTGCGCTTTTGGAGCGCCGTATTGTTCATCTCTGTACGAGTAGATATATATATTTCCCGATAGCCAGATAAATTGTATTCTCTCTTTGCTAAGTGGGTCGCCTAGTCGGCAAGTGGATTTGCGGGGTCACAAATTGCGGAAAAAAGCAGTCTTGGAGGAATATATTTTAGGCTCGCCCAGAGCATACCTATACTGCAGAGCCAATTCAAAGCCGGAGAATTGGTTATTCCTAAGACTTGTTAAAGAAATCAATTTGTTTTGTCTTCTTCGCCGCGCATCACAAAGTTAAGCGTCAGACCGAGACTCCGCTTGGTGTGGGTTTTATTTTATCAAGGGGATTCAGGTTATAATCTACAGACTGTAAGTAGAGAACCTAAGGAGCTACATATACCTGGGCACACATAACACATTGATGATTTGTGTCTTATAAGGACGTTCTTCTTTCCATGCATCGAGCCCAATGCCGAAGATCATAAACACGGACTAAGCATCTAGGGATAATCCCTTGCCCGGTCGATCGGCAACCAGACAAATAGGACTAATTGATTGGACATTTGAGACATGTCGAAGCACAGGGAGATAATTGAAAGGAAGAAATCGCGATACATAATTATTAACAACCAGCCGATCAGCAGTCACTAGCTCCAATAGTTCAATCAAAGAAGGTGAAGATCTCCGATGTCGGGTTCACTAAGCTGAAAAATTTAGGGATCTCGGAGAATCGCCCCTGACTCCGAAAGTGGGTACGCCCAGAAAAACAAGCTCAGTGAGGTCAGTGAGTCAGGAATGGATCTGTGAACCTAGTCTAGCACGTATCACTTTTTTCTTAATTTTTCACACTGACAAAAACCTGCATTTTACCCCAGATCAATCATCCCCGGATTTATACTCTTTGTTGGATCGGGTTGGGCACATTTATGCATACTTCGGACACGAGTCAATTATAATTGTTGTTTAATTTCCCCCACGGGGCATAGGGACTTAGTAATGGGCCTTCGCAATGCACAAGGCGAAAGCCTTCAACGCATGATTGCCGTTTTGGGTGCGGTGGCTTTCCTTGTTCAAGGTTATAACCAAGCTATGATGAACGGCTTCATGACCTTGCCAAGCTTCTTGGAAACGATTCCTGAAGTTGATACTACCCATACCACGGGCTCACAAAAGTCACATAACTCTACCATTCAAGGTTGGTCTAACTACCAGTTGCAATTCAAGGGTTGACATTGATGGACTGCCTCATTCTCAGGTCTTGTGATTGCCATTTTCGAGATTGGATCTGCCGCCGGTGCCTTTTCATGTCTGTTTATTGGTGACAAACTTGGTCGACGTAAGACAATGATCCTAGCTGGCATTATTGCTACTGCCGGTATCATTATTCAAGCGACTACATACTCGCTTGCTCAGATTTTGGTTGGACGAACAGTGACCGGTGAGTACTTTTCAAACTTTCAAACTTCTCTCTTCTTGCTTGTACTCGATCTAATGTAGCCTAGGCGTTGGAATTGGTATGTACACCGGCACTGTCCCCATGTACGTGAGTGAGACAGCCAGTGCCGAGAAGCGCGGTCGTCTAGTCCTGATCGAAGGCGTCTTCGCTTTGAGTGGATTTTTCATCGCATCATGGGTCAATTTTGGCATGTACCATACAACCGGATCAGTGAGCTGGAGGTTTACCATCGCTCTACCACTACTCTTCATCATCGTGCTTCTTTCTCTGACCCCATTTCTGCCCGAATCTCCGCGCTGGCTGGTCAAGCAAGATAAGCTAGACGAAGCAACCCATATAATGTCTCGACTTCTCGCAGCCCCCGCAGATGATCCCGAAGTCATCAGAGAAGTGACCATCATCCACGCCGCGATCCAAAGAAGTACCAGCAACGGCACCAAAAAGTCAGGCAGTATCTTCTCCATGAATAAAAACCGCCATCTTCACAGACTGCTCATCGCCATGAGCGTTACCATGTTCACCCAGCTGAGCGGTATTAACGCAATCACATTCTACTCCACCTCCATCTTCGAAGAAACCCTCGGCTACTCCGGAATCGACGCGAGAATTCTCGCCGCATGCCTACAAATGGCTCTAGCGCTGGGCGGCCTGACTGCCGTTTTCGTGGTCGATCGATTCGGCCGTCGTCCGCTGATGATGTTTTCCCCTAGGCGCGATGGTGATCGAACAAGCCGCCGTGGCGGGTCTCACGTCCAATCTCGGCAATGCAGCTGCCAGTCGTGCGGCGGTGTTCTTCTACTTCATGGCAGACTATACGCTTACGATTGGCATGTTTATCATCCCGTTCATGTATGGTGCTGAGATCGCGCCGCTGGATATTCGTCACCAGGTGACGGCGATGGGAGCGATGTCTTCTTGGCTATTCAATTTTATGGTTGCGGAAGTGAGCCCGATTGCTTTTTCGAATATCAAGTGGAAGTATAATATTGTTTATGCGGTGACTAGTGCCGTGGGCGTTGTTGTTATTTTCCTTTTTTACCCTGAGACTCGGGGTAGATCGCTTGAGGAGATTGATCAGATTTTTATTCAGTCGAAGTCGATCTTCGATCCTGTTAGAGTGGCGAAGAAGTTGCCTATGGGGATGGATTTGATGGAGGAGATGGATCGCAAGGAAGAGGGTGCAGATGCAGCTTGAGCTGGACTTGATTGCCGACCAGCTTGACGATGGATGGATGTATGAGTTTCTCAGATATTTTGGATAATTAGAATTACACTAATACTAGCATATTACGAACATTGGATTTTGCTCTTCATTTCATCGTAAAACTTGGCCATTATTCCGGATCGTAGGTTTTCGTTGCAAATATAGTCAACATACAGCACAGGCGAAGCTATAGATAAACATCGTCGTTTTATAGTGGCTGAGCACCAGGGAAGTTCAGTGGCTCCGCCCGGGCAATCCTTGAATTTTCAAAATAAAACTAGAAATTTTGCGAGATAAATGATGGGTATTGATTGAATAAAGAGTTGCTGGCCTGTGGTATGAAAATAGAAAGAAATAGCCAAAAACGAAAAAAAAAAGGATGGTACGTTCGAACGCCATTGAGAAAGTCAAGAGGATTTCGCGAGCTTTGGTGTAGCCAGTGTGATTTCTTCCCCTGGTTCCAAGAGTTTTCCAATTCTGCGTTTATGGCTTAACAATTCCCTCCCCATCCCATCCGCAGACGATAATCCTGAGACATCTCCGAAACACCACGAGCCAGACCAATAATCCCATCAACAAAACCACCTTGACCACGATCAACACGCGCCCGTCGCTCACACTCCGACTCAGAAGGACTATCCCGCAAGCCAATAAGCTGATCGGTAGTCATACCCTGCAAACGTTCTGCATCGATCCTCGTAAGAAGACCATTGTCACCCTGCCGCCTAGTCCACGCTGCGTGTTTGACAGCGGGGGCCCAGAACTGCGCTAACTGGGACTCATCTCGGCCCTGGGCATAGCATTTCGCCAGGCCGGTCGTGACATCTGCTTCCAGTGAAGCATTCCAGTGCGTTTGGGCGACTTCGTACCGTTTTTCCATTAGCCAGATTATAGGCCAGGTGATGATCCACAGTTGGAGAATGACAACTATCCACCAGACGTAGGAGTTTAGGCGGAGTCTGTTGATCCAGTGTGGGGAGTAAATTGTTACGGTTCCGTGCGCTGAGTGCTGCTTGAAGGAGATCGAGCCTTGGTAGTTCAGGTCTCGAATGTGGGTGTCGAGGGCGTTGCGGATGGTTTTGGTGCTGAAGGCTTGAAGATGGCGATGTAGAGAGAATCTGTATAATACATTGACAGGGATTAGCAAAGGGATCAGGTAATTTGCAAGATTGTAAACTTACGATTTGACCGGGGCTGGATCGGCACAGTATCGTTCACACCACATCTTCAAATCGGTATCAATGTATTTTAGAACAAAATGATCGCGGTCGCGGGGATCGAGTTCCTCGATCGTGTCGGTCTCGGCGTCAGGTCCAATTAGACGAGCATCGCTTTCGTCATCCAATGCAATTGCACCATGTTTCTTGGAATGCGGAGCCTTGTACACTTTCGAGCGAAGTCTACCACCACGATGGGCAAGGATGTCGTCGTCGTCCTTATTCACGTAGGCGCTGAACCAGTTATCAATACCATCTGCTGACATTCCCTCCCATCCGGTAAGCATAGTCTCGGCCAAGTCTAACTGAAACTGAAAGTCCGTCACGCTGTTGGTAGTCTTCTTGTTGTTGCTGTCTTTGCTCGACTCGGTGTGGCTGCCCGTGATGGAGAGGATCGGCCGCGGCGGCAGTTTCATCTGGCGTCGAATAGAACGATAGAGGACGCCGGCATCTTGCGAGAGGATTGCGGAGGTGGTTGCAGCGCGCTTGTCTTCTGCTTTGCTCTCGGTCGCGCCGGGGAGGATATAGGCGCTGTCGACCAGGGCGAGCGGACGAATGGAGCGACCATTTTGCGATGGGGCTTGGACGCTTGTGCTCTGAGAGGGGGCAAGATCGGGCTCGTCGGTATAAGGAGGGGGTTGCTCGTCAACGTCGTTGATGTCGTTAATCTCGTCGGGGTCGAGAGTGTGTAAGGAAAGCGAGGATGAGGCGGGTAGATCGGGGCGGTCGTTAAAGCGGCCCATTTTGCACGAAATGACCTAATCAGGCAGGCAAACAAAGGAATTTAAATATCAGAGAGATAGAGAGAGAGAGTAGATTGAGATGTGAGAAAAAGAAAAGAGGAGAAAAGAAAAAGGCGTTTCAGTTTCAGTTTTGCACGCCACTCGAATAAAAAGGGCGATTGGGGCCGAACAGACCCTGGACTGCTCACTAGTCAACTAAAGTAATCAACGAGTGAGGCTCGCAACTACCGAAGTGGAGTCCTCGTATCGCCCCAATCTGAGACATTCTGCCTAGTCGAGGTGTTGCCTACGAGGGGTAAAGGGTGCTTTGTACTCTGTACTTTAAATTCATATTCCAAGGTTGATTCAACTTTATCTAGGGTGTCATATACTGCAGGGCGGCGGTACCTACCAAGATCCCACGGTTGGAGTGGAATAAGAACCAGTGGCCGAGCTGCCCTGGCACTGCGTCGGCACTTGATTGGCACCAGATGCTCCCCAACTCGCAGGAACAGTGCCACTGCGACGGTCAGAAGCTGTCAAGAAGGCCGCATAAGACCAAGTCAGATCGCGCGCAGAGATTGCGGTGCCATCGTCCCGGCTAAATTGCTCCGCCAGTGACCCATTGCTGGGAGTATACTGCTGAACAATCGAGAAAAATCCATCCGCATATGTCTGGACGGCTCCGGTGAGGGAGGAATAGGTTGACGAGGAGCTGGAGTAATTGCCCACGCGAGCAGTCGAGTCCAGATCCTGGAAGAAAGGTAGACTGGTCTGTGTGATGGCCAGCGATCCTTGTTGCTTCCACTGGTAGAGAGCGTCGTAGAGTTGTTCGGCGGCGGCTAAAGTGGCAAGGTACCTAAAATTGATTGATATAAGCAAGCTGCAGAAGTGGAGATCAAATCGGAGATTTTAATAAGCTTACCAGGGGTTGCCTCCTTGGTAAGTATCTTCTGCATAGCGACCAATAGCCACGGCACTGCCTGCCTCTTTACCACTGTTGACCTTATAGATGGATCGGAAAGAATCAACTACCGCCTTGTGAGCGAGGAGTGCCCGAGCAGAGCATGGCTGGAAAGTGCTATCATCACAAGTAGCACTGGGGTCGAAGGTCTGGATCGAGCTGAGGATGGAGTTGACATCCAACCCGGAGCGACCATTATTGGCCAGGTTGGAGATGACAGCCTTGCCATTCCAGAAATCCTGGAGAAAGCAAAGGACCTGCGGGGCCTGGGAGTCACAACCATCGCAAGACTCACCGAGCGATTTAGCGAATGCGGTCCCCTCAACCAAAGCGCGGTGTTGTGCGGCGATGGTGAAGAAGGATGATCCTTGAACTTCCTCCCACAGATCAAACCCGGTCTGGTTCCAGTATTGGGCCACGTAGTTGAGGTCGTTTTGCACGATGGGCCAGATGTTCGACTTGACGACTGACTGTTTTCCGGAAGAGAGGAGGTGGTTTCCGTATGCGATGAGCGCTGTTGCTCGGAGGGCTGGTCCGTCGCGTTGTGGTCGACCCCAGTCTCCTGTGAAGGCTGTCACATTCGTCTCGAACTTGGGTTCTCCAAGGCCTGCTCCGTTTGATAGATCTCCCGATGGGTTCGAAACGGCCTGTAGCTTGGCCTGGGTGGAAATGTACTGCTGGATGACCGTTTCGAGGGTACTATCCCCTGCGATGAATTGGTCAATCAATACTTTGAGTGTCAAGGCGGCATCACGAGTCCATGAATAAAAGTCTATACTAGTTGTTAGCTAAGTTTCTTTTCTTTTCTTTTCTTTTTTTTTCGCGGCCTTGGAAATACAAGATCACTGACAATTAGGGTTGGTTTTCGAGGGTGAAGCGACAACAACCCCAGCAGATGCCCCGGAAACAGCAGAGCCATCGGCACCGATATTGTTCAGAATGCCTTGAAGTGAAATTGAAGACTCGGATTTGACAAATCCATCAAGTCCCGACTGTCGGCGATGGACCCCGGGATGAATAGCAGACGAGACTGCTGCGGGAACCAGCAGGGCGAGAGTCAAGAGATTGCAGCCGACCATTTTGGGTTGTCTCGAGTCGCAGTGAGAGTTTTTTTCCTGTCCAATTCCCAACCGCGAGATATTCTCCCGGTTTATATCTTCCCATAGTATCCCATTCCATCATCGCCTTCTCCATCGGCCCCACGGGGAATGGAGAATGGAAACTTTATCCAAGGAAGACGTCTTAAACAACAGCTTCCAGTGGATCAACGAGTTGAGATCGTCAGGGCACAGAGTCGATCAGTCGGAAATGAAATCACAGCTTGCAGGACTTCAACACGGTCTCCGGCGTCGACCGTAAACCAATTTAAATTGCAGACATGTGATGAGATCGTGGAAGAATCATCTTGAGAGAGCTATTGGTTGCTTGAACGTGTTTCATAACAAAGCAGTGTTACATTCGTTAAACTTTTGGCTGGGGTGTCAGCGCCCAATGAGGGTTGTTTGTCGGGGGTTTAGCTGCACTTAGCCGGGGGCGCAAATGTAGATGATCTGCATGCCCGATCCCGAACCGAGTAACGCAAATCCGATAAATGGCCGCCCGAGGGTAGGTCGGTCGGTCTGTGGGGAGTATTTGTCCGACGCGTGCTACAAATTATAGACAAAATGATGCAATTGTACGAGATATCCGCCGAATAATCAAGTTTAGAAAGGAACATCGCCCTCTTTGACGTATCCGACGGGAATCCTGAATATCGGGACAACACCCAAGTGCGTTATCAACAGAATAGAAGCCTGAAAACAAGGCCATGATGTTGCGCGTGTCTCGCTAGTTGATTTTTGATCTCTGGTAATCAAATTTCAGCGCTATGGAAAATGTCTCCAGGGCTCTAAGCCAACCCGGGAAGTCAGAATTAGAACAGATAATGAGACTATCACATCCAATTCCACTGTATCAGTTCTAAGAAGAATTTAATACGGAAAGTCGGCCTCTGCAATTTTGATTTCCCCACGTTCCTTCTGCAGTTTGTCTTGTTCGTCGAGATATGGCAGTAAAATCTTGTCCCAGTGTGATTTTCCCTTATAAAAGGAGACAGTCTCGTCCCAGCTTCGGATTGCCTCCGCCAAACGGCCAGGGACGTGCGGTTCTCGGGAAACTTTAGTTACCGGCTCGAAATACGTGCGGATCGTAAAAACAATGGCGTTTGACCGAGGTAGCCGACGTAATGTTTGACGCTCACTGCGAAAGTGGATTTCATCCACGGTAAGCCCTCTGCTGTTGGCTGTAGCCCATGCTGGAAGATCCATGTTAAAAAAAAAAAAACAGAAAACAGGTACATTTGAATCTATCGAGGAGAACGAACAAGCGACTTCGGTGCCCTGCTGATCTCCCATGCGATGAGACCAATGCAATCCATCGTCAAGCTGAATAAAAAACTAAGTGAAAAAGTCAGTGAGTCAGTCACGATAATATGACAGCGAGATGTATTCAATTACATTATTTCTTTCCACTGGCTTGTCCGGAGTCAGCTTTTGGAAAAATTTGTTCATGGCTTTTTGCAATTTCGCTTCGTAGTGAGGGACACCGGCCTCGAAGTGCAGTGTATCAAGCGACATGCGAAACTTTTCTTTCAACCGCCAGAACCCAGGAAGGCAAACTGCAGCCGCGTCGAGGTGATACTGTCCATCTATCGAAGGTCAGTATTATAGGCCGCACTGGAGTTGTAAGTCCTTACCATCATTTTTCATCATGATCACTAAGTCATCTTGCACAAGCAAAGCCGAAGTGGCCAAAGCTTCATCGGGGGTTGCTAAGTAGAAATGAGCGGGTGCAATTGAATGGATCACAGGTGTTTTCCATACCCGCAGGAAACGCAAAACTCTCACTAGTCAAGCTATTGTGCACTTTTCCTTCCTCTAGTCGATATACCTTTGGGTAGCGATGCGTTAAATATCGCACCAACTCTTCGTTCAATTCAAAACAGGCATCTCGTGTCGCCTCGTTGTCGACATATTTGACATGTTCGTTGAACTCCTTCTTCAGCTCCGCGGCCTTCATATCGTGATATCGGAGGAAGTATGAGTCCATTTCAATCCAGTTGTCCCAGCCCAATTTCCGGATCCCCATCGTGATAAAATTTGGGCCATGACGGAATGGCCTATACAGCTTCGGCGAGGTAGCAGTTGGATCATCAAGATTTGCTGTAGGAAGTGGCGTGACAAATGCTTCCTTCTCCTCTAATTTTTGATCTTGTGAATCGATCTTGGAATTTTTCACAGCGAAACCCTTGACAAAAAGCCAGGCTAGTAGGGAAGCGAGTATTCCTAAAAGTGGAAATGAATTGGCTGGTAATGAGAGGGCTGTCGGCGAAATCATCTCGAAGAGCTCCATAATTCAATGAAATGGGAATGTATAGTATTGGGATTGGGGTATTAGAAAAGCAGAAGGCACCTGTTTTATAGATCCGAGTCATGCAGGAGGCTGCATATTAGATCGGAGTACGTTCGCTACCCCAGATACCTATCTCACGCCTAGACCATTCAGGGTAAGTATTTCGACCATGATAAGCCGCTAACCGAAGGTGGAAAGTCTAATGGCCTGAAAGTCAAGAATTTCGGCAGTTTTGTTATCTCAAATCCCTCGGGTATACCCATATCAGTTGTAGGATCCGAGCCTCGCACCAACCCCCGCTTTTGATTCCGCGCCAGGAAACTTATTTGTCCTCGTCATTAGAAATGCCTATCAGTCCTTTATGATGCTCTGCAGCTCAGAATAGACCACGGGACCTTCTTAATTCGGGGAATCGGCAGAGAAGTGCCACTTCTCTCACAAAGACGATCACCCAACGCCGACAATTTATCCTCCTTTAACGGTCTCAATTCCCGTGCACTATTCATTCTAGACCCATTGTGACCGGACACAGTATGACGCCCAAGCGTCAGCGGATAGTTCAAGGCTCATGCTGGCCATGTAAGCAACGGCGGGTCAAATGCGACCTGGTGCAGCCCCATTGTCGTCGATGTATTATCTCGGGCGCGAAGTGCAGCTTCGACAAACTTCTCGTACGCTGGAATTCTCGCCCTACGAAATCCGCCCCCTTGGCATACCAGGCGGCCTGCACATCACCCAAGGCAACTTTATTCGGTCAATTACATGATGCTCATCTGGCCTCGGGAGAGCTCAAATCACTCGACTACTTCCAAGCTGCCCTTTGGCCCTTGCTCACTACCGCCACCCACCCTTGTCCTCCTCCTATATCACTTGCACTGGAATTTAAGCCTGTCCTGCTCGCAATGTGCGAATTGGCAGAGGCGCATCGTGTGCTTCAGCATGATAACAGCCCCAATCAGTTGAAATCCATAAGCGAAAAAAGACTGAGCTGCTTAACGTCGGTCCGGCAACAATTACATCAAAATATTTCCAACAACGAGTCTTTATCCAGATTACTAGTTGCTGTCTTATTGCTATATTTCCTCGACGGCTTCATAGACTGTGGAGAACAGTCTGCATCAACGGCTAGCCACCAGGCTGGTGTACAGGCCATTGTGGAACAACTTGGAGGGCTCGATGCACTTATGGGTGAGGGCAAAAAGGAGACCCCCCTTATGCTATTATCTGAGTTTGCCTCGACGGATCTCACTCGCGCTTTACTTGACGATCGATCACCATGCTTCCCGGGTAAAATCTGGCAACAAATCGAGCGCGGACCCGTTTGGTGGGAAAAGCAGCCATATGGCGTCAATCTATCAGTCATATTTCAAACAATGGCAGAGATGGCATTTTATCGACAATCAATCCAAGCTAATGAGGAAAAACTACACATTGACCAAGTTCGGGACTTCGAACGACGTCTCCAGCCCAGCTTTTCTGTCCTAAGTCTGGATCACTTCGGCTGCCCAGAGGAAGAAACGCTTTCAAAATCCGAGCTGGAGAAGGCCAATCAAACTTCAGCATTTACTAGGGCATTCCAACACAGCGCTTTGATTTATCTTTATCGCGCGGTCTGTGGGCTACCACCTCGCCATCGCCTCGTGCAACAACATGTCAGTTTCTGCATGGGGTGTATTCAAGCTATTAGCCCTGACTCGAAAGCACATAATTGTATCGTATTTCCACTTTACGTGGTTGGGGCACACTCATTTACCAGCGACCACCAAAGCAATATTCTGGGCAAGTTGGACTCGATCTTTCGAACGATAAGGTTCAACTCCTTACTTAGTATCCGGGCAGCTCTGGAAGAGCTTTGGTCTTCCAATCGGCAGGAGGGTGATTGGAAAGTTTTATTCTCCTCGTTGGGAAGGGATGTATTGGTTCTTTGATGTAATCTACTTTGAAGCAAATGCGAGCGAATAGTATTATCCTAAATTTGATGAAATATCAAATGTAAGATCCAATTTCCTTTTCTTCCATCAATTCCATTTCTTTCATTGGAGTGTTGTACCATCGATCTCTTCCACGGGCCCTTTGAAATCTGAGAAAAATCGAGTTAGTACATCCCCGAGCGAGAAAAAGTAGTACATAGAAGATCTTCTCACATTTCCTACCATATAAAAGATACCATAGCATACTTAAACCAACACAGCCGACAAAAACGACGGAAGCGTAAGTCATGGTTTCACTGTTCACGGGCAAAGTCACCGGCATACAGAATAGAACGACCTGAAATGCGATCCAAAGCAGCGCAATGCCATTCGCAATTTTGCCAATCGCAGGCTTAAGCTTCCAACATGATTGGCTAACTTCAACGCGCTTGTCAACAAAGAGACTGATTGCAATAGGAATAGCATAGGCCACTGCAAGGGCAATAACTCCAACTGATGCAAAAGCTGTAAAGGCACTCGTACTGCCAAGATAAATTAGACCGAGGAGCATTTCAATTGCAGTCACGAGGCATAAAGCCGATAGAGGACTATCTTTCACGGTCGCAGACCATAAATGTGACAATGGCAGGGCGTTATCCCGGGAAAATGCCCAAGTACATCTCCCGGCCGTCGTTGTGATGCTGATTGAACAAAATATTGCGACCAATAGGACAAGTACTATGAGCACAATTGATGCCGCCGGTGATCCTGTTACAACGTGGATGATGTATGGCAATGCCTGGCCATACGGCGCATTGATAATATCGGCGAGTGGCGGTAGAGTGAAACATATAGGCAAGGTGAAAATCACCGCGGCAATCCCAGCGACAACAGGTACCAAACTGATCGCAGTAGGTATTTGCGTAGAAGGATCTGTGCATTCCTCTGCCATGGACACTGTCATCCCGAGAGCAGAGAATGCATAAGCTGGGGGAAGGAGTCCAATAAAAAATGTGAAATGCTCCTCCCATCCAGAATAACTTGGATCATACCCAACAAGACCTGTTTGAGCATCGTGTCGACCTTCTTCTGCCAAAACAGCCATGGTTATGGCAAATGCGATACAAGTCACCACAGAACACGCAGCGGAGAGAGTATCAATGAGCGGCAGTAGGTGGTCACCGAAGAAGCAGATGACAAATGTGATGAGACATATGGCGTAAAATATGAGTAGAAGCTGCCATGATGAGGCCGTCCAGTCAGGGTAAAAGATCGATACAGTGGCGACAATAAGGGATGCGATGCCGAAATTGACAGAAAGAGATATAGTCCAGTTCCCAATAAGCCATATCCAGCCCGTAACGAAAGAAATGAAAGCGCGATTTTCGTTCGACTTTAGTAGGCGGAATGACCAGTGATAAACACCGGACGAAGTTGGATATCGGGATGCTAATTCTGAAAGCGAGACGGCAACACAGGAATCCAATACTAAAACGACAAGCAATCCAATGAACAATGACAGTTGACCTCCACCATAGACGGCGTTCATCAACGAACTACCGACTCCATACGGAATTGAAGCAATTGACAGAGACATGAATACCATAGTGGATAGCTTTCGTGTGCGCTTCAACTGGGGTGTATATCCCAATTGGTATAGTTGTTCATCTTGGTAATCTCCAATTTCTGGATTAACTCTCTTTTCGAGCGATTTGAGGCTGGGGCTCGGATTCTCCATTCTTTGCCCTTGAAAGGAATCAATGTTATTCTCTAGTATTCTGGATATTGCTTCTGAGAATCGCAGATTCCTTTTATACAGTCGTTATCTCTATCTTATTCCCAAGATAAGCTTCACCCTACGCTGAAGAAGGCAATATTTCGGACCAACCGCGGCCGAGTTCTGAAAGTCAAGACTAAACTATAAACAGGATCCCTTTTCATCGGCATCTTTTACTCTCATCATATTTAAGTTGTCTGGTAGGGATATACTATTTCGCTATCAGAGGGGTAATTGCGGGGTTGGGCAATTTCACTAGTGATTTAAAGAGACCTGGCCCGGTTATATTTCACCTACGGTCAGCGTACCAGGGGCAAATGCCCAAAAACCTTCCAGAACCAGTTAGTCGGGAATCGCGTGTGGCTAACCCCCGCATTTACTTTTTGCTAGCACATCCACGGGCCATTTTGCCGGTTCGAACGGGTTGGTCTATACGCGGTACACTTTATTTTCAAGATTTTTTTATTCTAGCAGCTATCATAGGGAGTGACCCCGAGGATTTTAGAATAACTCCGCCATCTCGATTTCATACAAAAAGTTCCACGCATATAGTTCATTTCCAGCAATGATAATTCTGTCGATGGGTAGGATAATAGAGAAGCATTCCGAAGCTCAATAGGGAAAATGCGCTTCAACTTCAATCTCAATAGCCATTCCTTCGATTCCAAGTTTGCCAATCTCCACACAGGTCCAAATGGGCCTATGTCCGGGAATTATCTTTTTGAAGTTGTTTGTGACTATATCAAATGTTTCCTCCACATTGATATGATAGCTGCGCACGGCGTAGACATTTTCCCAAGACAGACGCTGGTCCACGCTTTTCAGAGCCTTTTCGATATTGGAGAACGCGGCGGCGACTTGTTGATCAACGTCGGTGGTAATATTTCCCTTCTCATCCCAGCCACCTTGACCAGATGTCTTGATAATTTTGCCGATTCGAACAGCTTGCGAATAATGAAATGCCTCCGAGTTACTCTCGGTTCCGGGATAATTGAAGAATTGCATTTTGAGGTGGCTTCGTCGCCAAGTAAGCAGAGTAAGTTTTGGAAAAAAGAATTCGATAAGGGAGCTGGCAATAACTTTCACAACTGATTTAAGAGATGCGTCTCGCCTTCTTAAATAGAGCCCTGGCATGAAGTGTAGCAATCCCTGCCGTACTCCGCATTTTTGTGCTACCCGAGGTGGGGTGGTATGAAAATCGCTTGAATAAAGCGATAATGCTTGGAGATGCAGGATTGATTGGCTTTCTTCTTAGGAAAGTCGAACATTCGTGATCCCCACATCAACTGGAAGAGAGTATCCCCTTGGTTTATCTCTTGTACGAAGATTCCGGCAATCTTCGGATGTGGCAAACATTTTGACACAGGGTCAGTGAACTACCGCAATAGGAAAGAATTCTGACCATTGAATGATAAGACGCCAAGAAATTCCACCACGTTCATGGTCAACTAGCTAACGAGACGGAAAAAGAGATTATCAAATTGAATAAAACATTTATCAAAGTAGATCTGCGTGAATATTCGTTCGTTATCAACCTCATATTGCGATCTGACATAGCCAAATTCTATAATACTGAATTTAGAGCAGACACAAGAGGGCTTCCGTCACAAATTGTGAGAGCATTTCAACCCGCCAAGCGTTTTGGGTGCAAGGTCATCCACAGCATGGCACTCAGTATAGATACCGGAATCATACCCCCCAAGCTTGCCGTTGCTTTGACAGTCCTCCGTATTATAAATGTTGCAAGAACCAGATGTGATATGAATTGAACCTATTTCCAATTTATCTCCGGAATCACAGTCTGTGGAGTTGAAACCTCCATCGAAGTACCACTTGCACCAAGTGTTTGTTCCAGTACTAATGCTGGATATTCCACTATGGATTCCAAGGCATTTACCGTTGGTGCCAAGGATGGGCCCTTCCACTACATAATAATCTCCTGAGCATTCCCGTGAACTATATATTGCAATGGAAAATAAACCACCAGTTTTCTCAGGCCACTTGCTCGTTGTGATTTTCGATTTAGTCGTTGCAGTCTTGTCCTTTGTGGTAGTTGTAGTAGTAGTTCTTTTCGTAGTCGTAGACTTTGTTGTAGAATCTTTGCTTGTGTCCACGGTGACGCGTTTGGTTGTGTATGAAGTAGATAATGTTTTTGTCGTGGTGCCAGCAGCCGTGGTCGACGTAGTAGAAGCGACTGCGGGGCCGACTGCAGCACCGCAGGAATTTGCTCCGGGTTGACACTGACCTTGCTTACACTAAAAATCATTAGAATCATCTGTGAAGCTCATAGTATGGGGGAACATACATACTGCCCAGCAGGGCATGGGTTAAGAGAACCGAGATTAGACCACCCCTCAGGGTCTGTTGGAGGTGCGGTTCCTGGGACTTGTGGTCCACAGACAGCATTTGGTAATGCTTCTGGCATCGGGGATGCCCTAGAGCTAATATATATGAAGTCACCTTGCCTCAGTTTATCACAGCCATTCCATGCGTATGTCTTGCTGTTGTATTTTTCGATATCTGCCGTGGTAATACTATGGGCTTTGGCAATGCCAGCACATGAATTCTCTCCTTGAGTGAGATACACGTCGCAAGGAGTGTCATTTCGACTTCTTTTATTCAAAGTTGTGTTTGACTCGGAGGCAGTGACCATAGAAGTATGAATCAAAATTCCGCCTAAAGCAAGAAGTGATTTTGCAAAGCTTCCCATTCTGGCTATGCCTCAGTGCTGCTAAGGTAATAAAACTTGATGCGATCGGTTCTTTGGTGTCGCGCGGTCTTCGAACAAATATAAATATGAAACCCCTACACGTTGTCAAGTATGAACGGATCTGCTGACTTCGGGGAGCGCCATCATTGAATGAGCATACCAGGGCACGTCGGATAGTACTACAAGAGTTGAACTTCAATGACTATTCATTGATGTTGTAGTTGTTTCAGAATACTCGCATGAAAGAACCGAAACCTGAATATTCGGCGAACATCTTTTTTTTATTGAAGGAACTTAAATAGCATTAGGAAGTGGCGAATATTTCTCTTTGTTTCAGAGTATGTTTTGGCCGAGATATTAACATGGTCTATTTTATGAGAAATTGGATTTTATTCACGTTCGAAATACCAGGCCTAGATCATAGCTTCAAAGGGACCATTTGCGGCGAAGGTGTGTTGTGGAGCTCCTATCGCATCGAAGCCGGATCTTAGACTCAAAGCAGATAGCCACGAAACGAATTCGTTATAAAGGACCTATATTATAACTTATCTATTACCATGACACGGTGGCCGCAGGCGCCGCCAATCATACTGCCACATGGTTGGCTTATGAGATCCGGTGGCTATAGTTGATTTTCCCTAACAAAGCCTGTCAAATATCGAGCCTAATTCCTACGTTTTGCTATCGCTTAATTCTTGTCAGATTTTTAGTTCTCCTAGCAGATGACTAGGGAATCTCGGAAGAGGGGAGTGGAGGAACGATATCTCTAGTTAGCGCATGGCATGTTCAAGTCCTGATATGGCGTGCTATGTGACCATCGAACGGTCGGTTTGCGACCACCATAAGAAAATAAAACCATCCGAGTCCATATAATATTCTTCATAGACTCGGAACCCTCAGTTTCCTTATAAAAATTCACTACACAGGAGCAAGATGGTCGGACAAACTCGAACTTCTGTGGCTATTATTGGCGGTGGCCCTGGGGGGCTAGGAACTGCTATCTCACTTTCCGAGTTACCATTCCTCGAAGTGACCCTTTACGAAAAGCATTCTGAGTCTCGAGAGGCTGGTGCTGGTTTAAGTCTAAGCTCCAACGCTTGGCGCGTCTTGGACTTGCTTGGGGCAAGTAGGGGGGGGTCAAAGGCGGCTCCAAATCCAACACTCATCAACGGTCAGTAACCTCTCTAGCAGGTTCAATTAAGATAGATTAATCTTACGCTTCTCACTTATTGGGTTTTTAGAAATGCATATACCGGTAAGGTCTTGAGTGTGGTCGAACACCCAGAAAATTCTGCGGTTGATCAGCGTGGAGCTATTCGCGCTCGTAGAACCCGACTGCAGCAAGCGCTTTTAGCCCGGGTTCCTGAGGGGATCATCAAGTACAGCAAAAAGCTTGTCCATCTTGATGACCTACCAGATGAAGGTGTCCGGTTGACCTTTGCGGATGGAACCGAGGTTCGCGCTGATATAGTGGTGGGAGCTGATGGAATTCACTCGGTCAGTTGGAGATCGTTTTTCTCAAATGTGCTTCTTCGGACTAATATCTTTTTTAACCAGGCTGTTAGAAAAAGCCTTTTTCCCGACCACAAGCTTCGGTTCACAGGTAACACGGCATTTCGGGTTCTTGTTCCCAAATCACGTCTAATTAGCCTCCCTGAGATTACATCCACAACCGCCTGGTGGTGGGGCAAGGCTGGCCATGTTTACTTCTCCGATGTGGATGATGAGATTGAAAATTCTGATCCATTATTTGAAATAACCGTACGGTCTTACCATGAGCCCGAGATCCCTGGGAAGACCGTTGGTTGGGGCATTCCGGCAGCCAACGAAAAAGGTCGCGTCCCGCGTCAAGGTATGGTTCTGGGGTATTCATGCGTCAAGAATGGACATTTTTCCTAATTCGATTTCAGGAATTTGATCAGAGGGTTCGAGATGCAGTTGATGCAGTTGAAGAGGGTGAATGGTGGGAATTCGCTGGATTTGCTGGCCCGCGTCTCGATCATATCACTGGATGGGGCAAAGTTGCACTCATTGGAGATGCGAGTCATCCGCTCTCGGGTAAGTTGCTCCCAGTTCTTGCTGAAAATAATTATTGATCTATTTTTTAGGGGCCTTTGGTTCTGGGGCAACTTTTGCAATGGAGGATGGATGGATTCTAGCAAGAGCACTTGAGCTCACACAATTCACCGGTCGCCCGCTGTCGGATGCTCTAGAGATATTTTCTCAGATCCGGTCACCGTATTACACTAGGATGTGGGTATTCAAAATATCGCTTCCAATCACGTTTGGTTCTGTACCTGTTTCTAATCATGCTTCCTTTTCTGGTTGGCAGGTATAACCATTTAGACGAGGTCGAAGAAAAGCTGCAACAAGTGCATGCCCAAAACACTGATTTCGATGGATTTCTGAAGAGTAAGATCGATAGCTTTCTCTACGGTGACAAGGATTTTATCTACAAAAACGACATATCAAAAGTTTGGGATGCCTACCTCGAGGGAAACGAGCCTCAGGAATGACAGGGGCTAAAATCAACAAAGAAGTTCTGGGCCTCACCCAGTTATTCATCGACTCTTACAATACTCCGATTGAACTTTCCAATCAAAAGTTTCATTTATTCTTAGATTGGATGTGTTAGAATCACCCTTCCATATAATCAAGCCTAGGCAAGATGACAGGACTTCCGAGCAATCGAAATTCTCAATTATAGTGTCACGGATAGTTTCTATATCTCAAATTTACAATAAACTGAAGCTTGAATTTGCCCAGGTGATATCAATATTGGTTTCCTCTACACATTAAAATTGCTGAATCGGTTCAACTATGGATTGACGAAATCTTTCTCTCGATCTGCTTTGGTGATTGCACAGGTTCCAAGCCACACCAGTCGCATCACAAACTTGCTTTCCTCTTTCACACGGATAATCTCATCCTGCGCGAGATTTTGCGAGGGAATTGACTTGATAGTATTCGCAGCTGACATCAGAAGCTCCAAATCGAGTTGCGCTTGGGGCCCAAGTGGATGGATGACTATGTCAAGGAATATCGCCAGTGCGGCAGTAGTGAAATAGGACGTGAAGAATCTTTATGCCGACATTTAGTATCATGCATCTCTTATTCAAGGGGCCAAAACGGCGTCATAAGGCAAATGGAGAAAGGGTACTTACGGAAAGGATCGTTCTGCAATTATGCTGAGCAGGAATCTCAGGCACAAAATGGTTGACCGACTCGCCTCGAGCGATAAATCGAAGCTCGAATGGACAACGGCATGAAGGTCTTCGGACTCATTTGCATCACTGGGCGTGCATCTTCTGACTGTCGTGTGAATAATAGTCATAAGGTGATGATATTCCAGCTGCAGAGACATTCGTCGAACAATGAATGGTATGTCACCTTCAGCTGAATGCGGTAAAGAATTATGTGAGACAAAAAGTGCAGGGCGGACATCGCTTGGAAGCGATATTCGCCAGCATTCGATCTCATCGTCCAGCTGCCTTATATTAAGAAGAAGTTGATCATCATTATACTTCAAAGCTGGGGCAGAAAATAATTGACGGCACACCTTCTCCTTCATGTTACCAAGACGAGTATCGCCCGGGAAATTAAAAACGAGAAGTCCGGAGGCTGGACTAGTGGGCTCAGGAGATACATCTGACGTCGGAAAGTAGGTAGAATAATGTGTACAAATTGGCGCAGTAAGATCGCAATAGGTCTCGGTGAGGAGTGGTGGACTTCCAGTGCGAAGTGAAATGTCCTTGTCGAGCATATAACATAACCAGAACAATGTTCGAATATGGGTTTTTTCGCGTTCAGAGCGAGTCATTTCACAATCTGATTTTGGCAACGTGTAGATATGACCCCTTAAAGAGCAGATAATGCGACACGAAATTGAATTGAAGAAATCAGCTCCTTTCCAGCGGCCCTTGAACATTTTTTGCAGTTGCTTGAGCATAGCGTGAGCGGACAAGGTCGAGAACAAAGAGCAGTGGATTCTACTTACTAGTAAAATTATTGCCTGGAGGGTGTCTAAGTTGGTGGTCTCTGCTAGATTTACCAGGATGATTTGGGCCTTTGCAGCACACATTTCTGCATCTATATTTTGGGTTCTCTGATGGGACTCAATTGAAGAAGCTGTGATAGAGAGAGCAGCCAAAATGCACGCCCTGGCAGCGAGCTGTGTGGCAGATGCCATATTTTTATCCACAGGGTCGTAAGCAATTTGCATAGTTGATTCGAATAAAGATTCGTCTATGACTGGGAATGTCAGTCTGAATGGTGACTCAAATAAGCCATTCAATGTTCGGCGGGTTTCATCTTGGTCTGGCAAATGGCATATTTCTCCAGGTGACTCAATAAGCGAAAGCGGGCTTGGGTCAGTCATGGGAATCAAAAATTCCGCCCAATTGACATTTTGGTCTGTTCTTGTCGAAAGCCACTTAATTCCTTCTTCGGAGAAGATCGGTATACCATTGAAAAACCAGTTTGGTCCGAATTGGTAAGCGGACACATCGACCCCGGCACTATCATCCGCAGCGACCGAATTGCAGGTATTGATCGCTATACTCGAAGATAGACATGAGTATGGGGACCTTGCTGAAAGGACTATTCCACTCCGGCCACTTGGTAAGGAGCTAGCTGCCAATGAAGCGGGTTTTCTGGGCTCTTTGGGGCTGGCAATATGGCAACCTGACAACTCCGGTCTCGACTCGACTTGGGTGATAGCCAGAGCATTCTCAAGCTGTCTGACTCGTTGAGATAATGCCTGCGAATCGCTTGATGCATTGCTAGAGGCAGATCTAGAGTCGAATGTTAAAAAGGTGAGAATATATACGCTTTCAACCCGGAAAAGATTGGGTGGCATCACATACCTAATCCGCCGCTTCTTCGATGGCTTCTCTCGTTCAAATGTACACTCAAGGCTACGGTAAACACATCTCTCGCAGGGGCCTTCTGGTGTAGGTAACAAGCACAGAGTCTGGATGGGGATAGCATAGTCAGTAAAGAGGTCAATCGCGCGGAAATACTGGAGACGGCGACGTACCTTCTTGGCATAACATATATCACAGGCTCTCTTTGGATTGAACGCCTTTTTCGGAGACATGATGATTAGCCTTGGTCGATGAGGAGAGTGCGGAGGGAAGTTTTCGGGGACTTCGGAGGTTCCGGCGGTTTCGGAGGCCACGCTTCAGATTGCCTCGCGGATCATTTTTATGACTGCCCCACAACTATACAGTCTGGAGGTCTTCCGGAGCCTTCAGAATCTCCAGAACCTCCGGTCGATCAGTCAATCCAACTAAACCAATGCCTTATTTATAGAAGAGGTATTCCCTGACGCTCGTGGGTTCTGTCATTCGCTTTCATCGCGGAAATCTACTCAGCGCTCATCTTTACAATGTCAAAAATCGTTGCCAACTGCCACAAGCTTCTGGAAGAGGAAATCCTTCGTCGCTCCTCACAAATTATCTCCGTTGTTGGTGATCAAGCTTACATTTTCGGCGGAGAGCTGCGACCGCGTGAGCCTCGTGACAATGATGTCCACGCCGTTTCACTGAACAGTGGTAAGTTATAAAGGCGTTGCTAAAAGGTAAATGCCCGAAATTCGACCATGGTACTAAACCCCAATTTCTAAGATCCAGAAAATGCCACCATTACCTGCAAACCGGCGACATCCCAATCTCCATCTCCCCGTGTCGGTACTGCCTCGTGTACTCTCAATGAGAAGATCTACATTTTCTCTGGCCGAGGAGGTGTCGAGATGGCTCCTATCGAGGAAGAGGGTGCGATTTGGGAATTCGATCCGTCCGCAGCAACCTGGTCGCTCATTTCCCCATCGAACACGATCTCACAGACACCTCCCGTGGCTCGGAGCTATCACTGCATGGCTAGCGACGGGAAGGATACACTTTATCTCCATGCAGGTTGCCCGGAAAAAGGGAGATTAGCCGATCTTTGGGCATTTAGTCTTTCCCAAAGAGTTTGGACAGAACTTGCTTCAGCATTCGATCCTCCCCGTGGAGGTACTTCGATCGCATTTGTCGATGGCAAGTTGTATCGAATGAACGGATTCGATGGTCATTCGGAACAGGGAGGGAGTATCGACATTTACTCACCTGAAACAAATTCCTGGACTTCGCACTCGTATCAGCCCGATGGTAAATTTGGTCCGACCCCGCGAAGTGTGGCTTCTTTGCTTCCGATTCGTCTGGGAGGGAGGTCTTTCTTGGTCACATTGTTCGGCGAACGTGACCCCAGCTCATTGGGTCATCAAGGAGCGGGGAAGATGCTGCGGGACATGTGGGCGTTTGACATTGAAAGCCAAAAATGGGAAGAAATTATTGCTCAAGGTTCCGAGCTTCCTTTCGCACGGGGCTGGTTTGATGCCGATGTTGCCGGTGAAAACACTATTGTGGTTCATGGCGGGCTAGGGGAATCGAATGAACGATTGGGAGACGCGTGGACGATCGATTTCTGCTAATGCGAGAATGAATAGTGTCACTTAAAACACCCCGCAGATATTCAGGGTGATCATTTTTTTGGCTTATTTGTCCCATTGCTTTTTTAGACGTGCTACTTATTGATTCGTTCGACATACTTGAGCAATCATTGAATTATGGAAACTAGCTACCAAACTCCTCCCTTCGATGCAATGCTCATATCAACGTAAAATCACAATTTGGTATGAGAAACAGGTCCAGAGTCTCACCGTCTGGAGTCGGAGAAAAGCGCCAAATAAATCCTAGAAGATATACACCCAGGCTGAGCCTACGAAAGAGACACTTTCCAAGTCACTTGGCGGAGACTGTTGAACGATTAATAATTGCTCCAAGGGAAGGGAGCGCTATCCGGATAGACAACATAGATACTTACAGAGCCTTCTCTCTAGAAGTAGATTCCTTGACATCTGCGGATCTCTTGGTCGGGGGTTTCCAATTCGGTGGCTTCAACATAATGAAATTGCAAAGAAGCTCTTTTGAAACGGACATGATGGCCCCACAATTGTCGAATTCACCACAGTACTTTTGAAAAAGACAATGTCAGCGTATACGTCATCATAACAATCTCCATGGAAGAGAGCACTCACATTAGGTGCGGAAAATATCGTAACCAAGCCTTTATTGCCAAAGAATTCATATCCTTCTTCCACAACAGCATGCGATCGGCAGACCAGGTCCAAGTTGTTGCGCTTGAGGAATTTCGCAACAACCGGCTTCCCAAAGCACCAGCTAACGCCACGGTCGGGATTCGGCCCCCAGTCTTTGATATTTGCGGGGTCACTCCATAAAAGATCGGTTAGAAGTCCATGTTCGGGCACTTCGATGGGACGTGTGAGCTTGCGAATTTCGTTCATGTCGAAAAGATTAGGTGAAAGACCGCCATGGACACAGAAGATCTTCTCTGCGACTATCGCAGCGATCGGAAGGCAGTTGAAGACATCCGTGAATGTCTTCCAGATCTTGATGTTGCATCTTCGCTTGCATTCGTCATGGAATCCATAGACACGGGAGACGTTGGCGCATTCATGATTACCTCGCAACAGGAAGAAGTTGCCCGGGTATTTGAGCTTATAGCATAGAAGCAGAAGCATAGTCTCAAGACTCTGTTTGCCGCGGTCGACATAGTCTCCTAGGAAAAGGTAGTTGGATAGAGGTGGGCGTCCACATTGCTCGAATAGTCGAATGAGATCCGGGTATTGACCATGGATATCACCGACGATTTTTATGGGGGCGTCTAGCTCTAGCAGGATCGGCTGTGACAGAAGAAGGTTGCGTGCAGCCGCGCAAACAGCTATAATTTCGGCATTTTCGATGCAGACCTTCTTTGTAGGCTTAGAGTGTCCCACTTGCAAGAGCCGGGAGATAATACTGTCAAGATCGACGGGGGGTTTGATAGTTCTTGCGGTTTCCAGCGGATTCGTCCCAGATAATGGAGTCTAGGTCGAACGCATTCCTTTTTTTCAAGATCGGCACGCTCGAAATCTCTGGATCTAAATCTAATGGATCGCTCTTAGGCTGCACCTCTGGTTTGGGCGAGAGCGCTTCCGCTGGAGTGGGCGATGAGGCTGGCTTGGGTGATTGAGGTTGAGTGTTTTCTGGCCTACTCAAGCGGCGCATGTGATGCCCCCCTCTCTTCCACAGACTGGTAAGAGAAAACGCATTTTGCTTTGGCGAGCCGACACTGGGCTCATTTCCTTGCGATGCAATATTTTTGGTGCTGTGCTCGGCATGAACCTCGTCAAGCACTTTTGGGTGCTTGGTGGGAGGCTTGGTTGCGAGAAAGGGTTCATTCCGCCCCATCATTGCTGCAGCTTTCCGCTCCCGCTGGCCGTCAACTTGCATGGGCGGGATGTCTGCAGGGGTCTCGGAGAAGACTCTGAGATTTAAGGGATAAGGGTAGTGTTGCAACAGAGCTCGTCAAGATTGGTGAGGAAATAGTCGCACTGGGAGTCAGTTGCTGATCCGCGGGATTATTTTGTAAAGTTCCCTGGTTGAGATGGGATTTCAGTTCAGGAGAGAGCTCAGCCTTCGCAGGCAACGCCATTTTCCGCCCTCTTTCTGACATCAGGCTTCCAGAGCGGGGGCGGCGAGAGCTAAACATTAGACAGGGTTCATTGGTGGTTTCCGCCACTTCTTTCGCGGGGATTACGAGGGGGATCCTTGGCAGACCCTTGGCGGAGTGGACAAGGATCTACAAATGGACACGTTAATTCCCTCTTATTCTGCATGTGACGCTTATATAAAGTTTTTTTGAACATAGCCTCGCAGTCTAGCCCCAAAAAGTGGTTGTACAGATTGAGAATAGTGCCTTGGCATGCTTGATTAGAAGAAATTGGCTTGACTCATTATCACGCAGGCTGGAAATGGGATGTCTTTGATTCTTTGGCCGAGGCTGCCTCGTTGTCGATAGCTTATCTATATCTTATCGATTACTATGATTTTTCAAGCTAGGGTTGGTTTCCCATATCTTGAGAATTTTTTTGTTGATCTCGATGACGCATATCGGGTGCAATGTAACGCTACCTTAGTAGGAGCATAATCATGATTCATTAGATATTTACATACACAGCGTATAATCAAGCACTGTTATAGTGCTGTCCCAAACCAACACTATAAAGATGTCTCAGCAAGCGATTATGTAGCTTCTTCGCGTGTCCATCATTTGCTCGCGGATATGTCTGCTCGACGTCTGACGGATCCACATGCTTTGCAGATCTTTCTTTGATCGGCGACATCAATTCAATTCGGCTAGCAAAACACATTAGCAGTAATTCCTAGCTGTTTTGGGAAAATATTGTTTTCTTCATACCATACTGGGCAGTTCGAACCCCGGGACAACCAATCTTGAATACATTTCATATGGTATTGATGCTCACATGGCAAAATGCGCAGCATTTGATTTTCGATAAAGTCATCCGTACAGATCGGACAGACTGTATTTCTTTGCTTTTCGATTTTCTCATCCATTGAATCTTCGGAGTCGATGCTTGATGCCCGCATGCTTGGACAGTGCCCATTGCCATTGCTGTATTGGACAATGGGGAGGGCTTTCAGAAGAGATTGTGTCATCTTCTGGGATTGATTTCGACATTCCTTTAGATGACGTGTACGCAACATGTATATCACGACCCCCAGAATAGCAAACAGTCCACCAACTGCCGCGACAACGTATAGAGTTATTTTCTCTGGTTGCGAAAGACCACCGCCAGAGGTCGTGGTGTCTGATCTCGCGGTCAAGGTCGGCAATGCAGCGACCATTTGAATTTGTTGTAACACTATCAATAAGACGGCAAAAAATGTCCCTGGGACGCGTGGCTGGAAAGCTGGCATTCTGAATGGTGACACGGTTAGGCCACTCCTGGATGAATGCGTGTGTCGTGTTGGGCAATGATTCGATGTCAATTCTTCGATATCAGGCCGTCTCAGCTAGAATTCCATATAAAATATCGATCTTTAATTGCTCTTCACGTTCTGAAGACGAGTCAACAATGATCATGAAATTTTCAAGCTCCTTTTTATTGCATATGCGGGTGAGTCTAGCACTCGCCCGCACTGCAGCATGAAAAACTCACCCGCTCCAAAACACCAAAACCCCGCAGTATTTTGGTCAGTTAATACTAAGAGAGAGCTTATTATGAAAGGCCTAAGCTGACAAGAGCTATTTCATTTACTTTATACATTTAAAATGGCATGCCTATCCGAATGTAGCATACTCGGATTTTCGGACGGTGCGAGCAACCGGAAACCGAGCGGCCGAGTCAGGAGGCCCACCCTTGCCGTGAGCCTTTTTAGGCTTAATTCGACTAGCTGGAAATTCCATCGGTCTTGGGACAGGTTGTCGTGATATTGAACTGGCTGACGTACATCACTAGCCTATTCCAGCCATCGTGGAGTCTTTCGAGGAGGCAATGTCGCTTCCCATGCACTCATCACTTTCACCAACAGAGCATCTTGACCTCTCCGGGCCACAGCTGACATTCCAAAGGCTCGTCCATTGTAATCCAAGTACCCAAGAGGCATTCCGCAGACGGGGTACCCTATCAATTATTCAGGTTAATAGTGTAGATATTTAGTGATTGACATAATGTCTTACCTCCAGCTGCGGCCAAGGATCTCAAGCCACTGTCGGTCGGACCGATTACAACATCGACTCCATGTGCTTCGAAAACTTTCTCGAATCCGCGATCTCTTGCCACTTCTCTGAGGTGGGCCAGGTGTCGCTCGTACTCGGCGGGGGTGGTTCTTTGGTTTTCCGACTCGATGAAAAAGTCCTGTCTTGGGTGGGCTAAATATAGTATTCAGTTAAGCAACTTCGCATCTGACCAAACAAGAAAAACGACTCGCTCTTACTTAAGGGCAGCTCAACATCCGCGTGCTTGTTATTGTACTCAATCACTTCGGCAAGAGATCGGACTTCACTCTCTTCAAGGTCTTCGAGATACTCATTGAGGCTTCGTTTCATATCCGCCACTGTCTCTCCGAGTCAGAAAGGCTTGTTCAATAGGTTGGCTTTTTTCTCGGAATATACTCACACCAGATCAAAAGCTCGCTATTTCTTCCTTCGAATTCAAACTCTTCGGGCGAGATCAAATCGACATTCTCCACGAACTTCTTTGCTATTGGTCGGATGAGCTCGTACGCTCCGTGAATTTCTCGAATCTATTGTCTCATTAGACATTGACTTCCGAGTTAATGAATGCACTCACGATTTGAGCTTCTGCAGCATCAGCAGGTTTCGTCAGGGTACTCGGATACTTCCATAGTGAAGGGTCTAAAACTGCAACCGAAATATCAGACCACGTCCCCGTCAAGCTGGCGGTAAAAGAGTCCGCTGAGCCTTTCGAAGCTAAGACATCAAGAAGAGTCGCCAGGTCATGTGAAGTCTTGGTCATCGGTCCGGCAGCATCGAAATGGTTGGATATGGGGATGATTCCCTCTTGGGAAACAAGACCGATCGTTGGCTTTATCGTGTAGAGGGCTGCTCGGCCAGAGGGGCATACAAGCGACCCATCTGTCTCTGTGCCAATGGAAAGAGGAGCATACCCAGCGGCCACGGAAACTGCTGAGCCACCGGACGACCCTGACGGATTCTAGATTGACTAGTTGTCAGCGTTGAAGTTTCCATATGCCTAGAATGAGAGTTCTCACGGAGTGTCCTTCGCTTGAATCTTGTGGATCAACGCCAGTAGGGACGTAGGCAGACTGACACTGGCCGCCAACGGCAGACCATCCACTCGGCATGCTTGTACCTCTGATATTTTGTTCAGCAAAGGATGTCGCGAAGAGAATCTTTCGGTAGTTGTTCCTTCTTACCGGGCATTCGCAAATTCCTGGTACACTATTAGAACCCTCATCAACTATTCATCAATTGTCCAAGAAGTTACTCACGCTTAGATTCGCCTTTCCCATTATGATAAGCCCCGCATCGACCAGCTAAACAATCATCAGCGTCTCCGCCCGTTCCTCATTCCGATGTCTCTCGTACTTGGTCGATAATTTTGGCATTTCTGCGAGGCTTGGAGCTCAAGAGCGCAAAGCTCCCAGCACTAGTCGGCAATCCAAAGCTTGGATGAGTGGCAATATTGTCCTAGGAAAGGGGAATCAACAATGTGGCCTAGGCCCCGGTCGCATGTGGATCCTCGCTCACCTTGATCGTGATAGGTAGACCATGAAGCGGCCCCCGGGTCTTTCCATCGGCTCGCTCCTGGTCGAGTGATCTAGCTGTCTGCTCGAGTACGTCGATGGATGTTGTTTGGATCATGGCGTGAAGCTTGCTGTCGTGACGCTGGATTTGGGCGACATATTTTCTGACGAGGTCGAGACTTGTCACCTTGCCGCTTTCAAGAAGACCTTGAAGGTGCCTGGCATCAATTTCCAGAACGTTGATCTCTTGCTGTGTCGCCATTGTTTGGTTTCCTGACGCGCCTATTAGGGTGATAGACGAGCTTCGGTTGTGGGTGAGTCTCGGTTGAGCTGGGCTACAGATTAGCGGGTGAAATCAGGTGACTCAAAAGACGTTGACTACTGTAAGATCTACAGGGTCAGTTTGAACATTGAACGTCGCATGATAAACAGTATTGATCGTAACGATCACGTTTCGTGTCTGATCGTTCCATTGAATCGCATATTCACTAAACCAGGACCGTAAAGTTGCCAGCGAGATTTTGGAGACTCCGGAACGCGCCAGTTGTCTGCGGAGATAGTTTATCGCATCTGTCTGGTCATATGGTCGAAGCGTAGTGAAACCACTCTTCGCGATGCGATCCACTTTTGTGCAGAACACATATGGCTATGGGGCTGCGATGAGCCGGAGTCCAGCTGAGGTATAAACGGTCTCGTCTTGAGCAAATGCCTGTGCTGTGAGAATGGTGCGAGTTTCGGCGGGGATGAAGAGAACTATGTGGTTATTCAGCCATTCGGGCTCCAGTGCTCGATTCCTTTTCATTGCAGACTTTGTGGCTCGAAGAATATATGCCGTCTCCTGAGCAGTAAGGTCGTCGTTAAAGAAATCGACATCACGAGTATGCATCCGATTTTCGAGGAACAGCGTGTTTACCACCCCACCTATAGCAAAGATTGTGATTTGTTGCTTTTTAGCATCCAGGTATACTGCAACATGGTTCAATGCGTTGGTCAGGGTCTCCTGGGACATCGGGGGGGAGTTCGGTGGGGGTTGGAGCGGTGGCCAGGTCGCGTAAAGATTTTGCACTGCGACGACGTCGCAAGTTGCTTAGTCGCTACCCCATTTTTTCGAATGGTGTTTGTAAAGAATTAGGCTGTGATGCTGGAGGTTTGGGGGATGTTGAAGGTGTAGGAAGCTATCTGCTTCGGGAGAGCGGGTGCCAGGTACCACAAGGTACGTAAAGCATGCTTGTCCTCGAGAATCAAAAAATAATCGATTCATTGACGCTATGAACAACATTAGAAAATTAAATAAGAACCTTGACGGGCTCTCTTCGCTCATTATCCCATAGTCCTCCAACAATCGATGGATTCACAAGCAAACATTTTGCTTCAACAGCAACTTGAAGGCCTATATATCCTTTGAAAAACTCCCATGCTGTGTATAGAAGATTTTTGAATCCCCCTCCAAAAATTATCGTACGCTCATACGCAGCTTGTAAGCGACTGAAAGAAATCCACTCAACTCCTGCGCCCTCATGTATATGTCCAAAGACATGAAGCCTTGGTTTGACCCTCCATAGTGTCTGGAGTAGATGAGGACATCCTAATTTTAGTAGATCAAGATGAGCAAGAGGTGGTCCATGGGTAATTAGGATATCGATTCCTTCTGGGACTGAGTTTGCCCATATATCCTGACTTCGGGGGTATTGAAAGGCCCAATTTCCATGACATGGAGAATAAGGGCTACCGTAAACCCTGAGTTGTCGACCATTTGGGCAGCAGATTGTCTCTTCGGTATTTTCCAAGTATATTATATTACCCCAATCTAGATTCATCCGATCCGTTGATATTTGGGTGGATTGGTTACTCAACTTAGCATCAAGTAATAACTCATGATTACCAGCGATAACAATCTTAGTAGGATGAGGTAGGGTATGTATCCAGTTGAGTGCTTCTTGAAGCTCCTTTAGAAATCCAGATTGTGTCAAGTCGCCGGCATGTATTAAAACATCACCATCTGGAACGCTGATATGGGCGTTATGGGTATCAGAGATACAGACAATCGTAACAGGGTTCGTAGGGATAGCTGGGATGGGCTCCCGCCAACGGTAAAGCTGATGGGCCAGGAAGACGCAAGGCTGTGCCCAGAACTTTTGCCACGGTCCAGGTCTCTGTCGGTTGAGGAGTCCATCGAGGCTTGACATGGTTTCAATGGTAGCTTAAGAAGTGGCTCGGGAGGAGGATAGTGTAGGAAGCAAGGTTCAAATGTTTGTGTTGATTCGGGCGGTCCGTAACTAGCTGCGGCACCCGGAACCTCTACCGATTGGGCACTCCTGTCAACATAATTATGTCACATGATGTCACTTGATGTCACACAGACACGCTGAGTTAATTAGTTAGTTAACTAACTATCTATATCGTGCCGTCGACCGTACCGTTTGCACCCCTAGAACCAATATCCATCTTGTCACCATTTCCATCACCACCATCAGTATTACCATTGTCGGTGCCACGGCCGTTGCCAGGCTTGGAATTGGAATGATGAGGTCCAAAGTTGGAAGCCTGGCCACCTTCACTCCCATTTGGGTTTATTGGAATTGTTTGCAGTATCAATTAAACGTACATATACAACTTTTAACTTGAACTTGAAGCTAGTAGGTGCATCCCCAGATACTTACAGCCCGGGAATGGATCAGGACATATGAAAAATCGCATGAACGAATGGAGTAAATATCGATATCAAAACCTTGGAATAAAGGGACAGATTCATGGATAGTAGCCGCCAGGATTTTAGTTGCGAAAGAAAGATATACTAGCAGTGAGCATTATACAACTACTGACCACCCTGCGCTTATTAAGCGTCGTACGGAGAGGGCTTCTATGACTTCTTGCCGCATTTACACGCATTACCACATCCTAAAGAGTGGGCACTGGTATAGGCAATAACTGAAACTGCAGGCGACCCCAAGTGTTGTCCGTAGGAACATATTTTACCACTCAAGTGGTAATCCACACTATGGCATTGGGGCATCAAGGAGCAGGCATCAATGCAATCTTCGAATGTATCTTGTGTGTCCTGCAAAAATATATGGGTTCCATGACGCTTGCCACAATCCATTAAAAAGAGCTAGAATACCTGTGAGGTTTCCATGTGCTTCTTTCTGCGGAGGTAGACAAGGCACTTACTCGGGCATTTGATTTATGCACACCTCTCCATCGGCACCCGGGCACTTAGTGGAACAGATAGCAGTCTGTTGGTTAGGCTAATTGACGGGTGGTGGGTTGCTGATATAGGCGTAGTCCAAAGAGCCATCTGATGGCTCTCCGGTAGCGAATCCCCCGGTACCGTAAAGCTTGCATGTTCCCGTAGAATCTGTTCTTGTGCTTTTTTCCTACAGTGCGCACAACGCTACGAAGGTCGTTGTTATGAAAAGTTCATAAATCAATATTTTATGCATCATAAAAGGTTAAATGACATACCTCTTGCAACCAGATGCCACAGAGCATCTTTCAGCACAGTCCTTGAAAGACGATGCTACAAAACGTGCCGATGTGATCTCAGCTTGGCTTTCATCTTTGTTCTTGGAATAACAGATGACAGTAAACTGAGTACCGTCTGCAAACTTCATCACCTTTCCATTGTCTACTCAATTGATAATCGTGTCAGCAAATATTCAGATGGGAAGAGAAATCATTATCGGGGAACTTTACCATCGGGACATTGAGGTTTTTCAGCCTCATCAGGGTTGGACAGCTCGCTTGTTAGGCGTTGGGATGGGCAGGAGTGATCTGGCCGTGCTACAAGAGGCTTCCACTGTTACCACATCATACCTCCTTGGCCAGGAAAGTAGATGTCTTTCCAATGACAGACCTTTGTGTTTGGATCCCAGTATGCGCCTTGACAGACAGGAGATTCCTGGGCCGCACAAGCGTCGGCACATTCCTTGAGAGTAGCCGTCGTGGGGGGGGTTGGGAAGGTCTTGAACCCCAGCGCCATAAAACCAACTAAGCTGAAACGTAATGCCCCCACTGTTGAATTAATAAGTTAACAGGATATCTTGACTTTTTTAATGGACATGGTGCAGTACACACGTTTTATAATATGCACCGTGGTTTCCAGAACAGTCATAGTATGGGAAATTGGGAGGTATGATAGCAGGCTGCTGGCCATGGATAGACGTTGCAAAGAACAAAGTCAACCATAAGAGCGACAAAAGCCCCACGTGTTCGCGAAATCGGAGAAGAGGAATACATTACCTAGAATGGGCCAAATACTAGTATATGAACCTAATGACTAATAACAAAAGCCGGGGTTGAACCACTGTTCGATCCCAAATTAAGCTTCCAAGTGACACCCTCAACCCCGTATTTGGCTCTACCCAAGTGACTTCAGTGTTGATGTCATCGCCAGGCCCGGGCGTTTATAATCACGACAATTCGTCTATTCGACAATAATTTCGTTATGAATGCTAGCAAAGCCCTCCAAGGCTTACTTTGACATTCTTAATGATCGGTCGGCATTCCCTCTCGCGATTTTTGCAAGGGGTATGAGCTTGTTTCCCCACCTCCACGGCGTCCGATCAGCAACAAGATACTTATTCCATCGCTAGCATCGCGGCCCATTCATACAGCAGTTGCGCAGGCTGAGTCTTCTCGAATATCAATCCCACCGACTACTCAAGGATGTATAGTTTCCCCACAGCTCGGATGCTGACGAGAGAGACTTACCCTTCATCGACAGTTTCAAATTCCCGTACCTCAGGGATCCGTGGTCACCACTTCGCAAGAAGCCAAGGATGTAGTTTCTAGCATCAGTCAGTCCATGCTTACTACCTTTAGGTCGAAGAGCGGGCGCATTTGGGGCATTTCAACAGCTAACACTCCCCAATAGACGCACCCTCGGTAGTAAAAGCGCAAGTCCTCGCCGGAGGCCGCGGCAAAGGCAAATTCAACAGCGATGGCAAAGGCGGGGTGCGCATCGTATCCTCGTTAGTTCACTCCTATGCAGAAACTTGATTACACCAAGACCTAACATCTTTCAGACCAAAGGAAGCGTTCGAAAGTGCCTCCAATATGCTCGGGTACAACCTAACCACCAAGCAAACACCTCCCGAAGGGCTCCTTGTGAACAAGCTCTACATCTACAAGTCCGTCGACATCGCAGACGAATTCTACGTAGCTATCACATTCGACCGCGACCGATATATGCCCGTGCTGCTAATATCCGATGACGGAGGCGTCAATATCGAATCCAACGCAAGCAGACTCCAACGATTCTGGTTCAATTTGTACCACGGCATAACTCCGGAAATAACCTCCTACATCCAAGCCCAATTTGGCTTCTCGGATAAAGAAATGGCGCCAATTACTCACATCTTGCACCAAATGGTGAAACTATTCCGAGAAAAAGATGCCACTTTGCTAGAACTGAATCCACTCGTGCGCACCCCGGACGACGAATTCTTCTGCCTCGACGCGAAATTCAACTTTGACAATTCGGCCAAGTTCCGACAGCGGGAGCTTTTTGATTTGGAGGAGCCAGCGCCCGGTGAGGAGGATGAGTACCAGGCGGCCCAGCTGGGTCTTTCTTATGTCCGGCTTGAGGGGAATATCGGGAACGTTGTTAATGGGGCTGGTCTTGCGATGGCGACTAATGATCTCGTTACCCTTTGTGGTGGGAAGTGTGCTAATTTTCTAGATGTTGGTGGTGGGGCGACGAAGGAGACTTTGTCGAAGGCCTTTGATATACTGCAACGGGATACGCGGATAAAGGGTATACTCGTCAATATTTATGGTGGTAAGTTTATGCACATGTGTGAGACGGCGGATCTTCTGCTGATCTGCTTCAGGAATCGTTCGTTGTGATATGATTGCCGAATCTATAATTTCTGCGGCCAGTGCTATGGGAGGCTTCAAGGTGCCAGTCGTCGTTCGGCTTCAGGGAACAAATAGCGAGAAGGGATTGAAATTGGTATAATTCCCTACGAAATGATCCTAAGGCGACCCATGGCTAACCTTTCTAGATTCAAGACTCCGGCTTGGATAACCTTGTCGTGGAGGCGGACTTTGATCACGCAGCTGAAAGGATTGTCAAACTCACCGAGGCTTCATGATCTAAAAAATGCATGCTCTACTATTCTTGCCTTCCTTTCAAAGTTCGCGGTAGTTGAATAGCTCGACGTATGATGGACACCGCTTTGAGCTCGCTTGTGTTTTCCTTTGATTAGATAGTAGTATGCTATCTTTTTCTTCCAGGTGCATTTGAGTAATAAATCTCTCAAGGTGAGTTAGACACACGTAGAAAATTGCCAGACACGACGAGGTCAGTATTGATGATGCCGAGACCCGCTCTCCATGTTAGGGCTGAGAGGCTTCCTGGATAACTCTCGACGCCAAGGTCAGCGTGATTAGTCCATTGGTGGTGGACTTGACAGCACATCCAACTGAAACGGCCCGAGCAAACGGGGATACCCGTTTTACATATAACTCTCACCAGTTTCAACCAACCGGGAGAAGGGGTGGGTCACACAATAAGCATAGTAGATCTTCCGCGCACGCACCACGTCCCAGGGGAATAGAGAGTCCCGGCCTTCCTCTTCCTCCCCTTTACATTTGACTTTTCCCAATCACCCTTTCTTTCTCTCCTTCATAACTTACATTTTTGCATCATTCGCATCAAAATGCCCAGAAACGAAAGCAGTATTGAGATTGCCGCCCCGCCATCCAGGGTGCGGGAAGTAGTTCGTCATCCCTGAAACATATCTCGAATGGAAAACAAGGGGGGGACGACGCTGACCAAATGATCATCCTTCCAGCTTCTCAACTTCTCTGGCCTTTCAGAGTGGCACAAGGGGTTTATCCGAAGCCTAGCAGTGCACGATGACTCGTCCAAGGCCCCGGATTCTCTTGTGCCCGGTGACAAGGTTGATGCCAATATCGAGGGGCAGAAGTTCACAGCAGAGGTTAAGGTAGGAACATAGGAACACCGATCAACGGTTCTCGGGATAAAATGCATTGCATTGATTGCTAACTTCGATCAACAGGAAAACTCTGAGAATCTTTTCGCCTGGCAGGGCCCGCCGGTATTTACAGTTGCCGGGCGCCATGAGTTCAAGATGGAGCCTGCAAAGGACGGGACGGCCACGATCTTCACGCAGTCGGAGGATTTAAGCGGGCCATTGTCTTTCCTTATGGCCCCATCGCTGTTGGGGCGATTCATGAAGGCGGATTTCGTGAAGTTTAATGAGGACCTCAAGACTCAGGCCGAGTTGTGAGAGGCTAGTGGCATTAGTTTTAAATAGTCTGTAAGATCTGAGCAGGGGGTTGTTGCATGCCCGTTCGTGGCGCATGGTATGGATCCCCCGGTCGCATTTGGTTTTTTGCATTTTGAGAGATTACCCACTGAGTTAGATTTTGAGAGAGAATTGGACTTGTTTGAAAGAATACCTACCCATTTTTGAGATTGGACAGAGTTTAACCAGAAAGCTTAAAAGTGCCAACAAAAAAGGTGTGGCACGTGGAAAAGGTGGGTGTAGATAAGATAGGGGCCAGGGTAGGTAGGGTACCTGACCTACGGGGGAAAAAAAGAAGATGAAGTGGTTGTCACACCAAACAGCCAGCGTCCTGGTAACAGGACGGTGTGTTCTGGCGACGCCATCCCAGGGTGGAGATGTCTCTGCAGAATTTCTTCCCTCAAGGGTCATTTCCAAACTTAAAGCCATCTAGCGTCGGGGATTACTCGCCCGAGTAGAAAGACTTCCCCAGGATTCGTACCAGGCACCTTTGACCTGCTGACATTGCTGCCGCAGCTAGGTTGCCGACTTAGCGGTGCGCCTTCCACTAGGTTATCCATGACAGATTACAGCTTTTCTCTCTTTTTGGCACCATAACCTCTGTAATTATAACACTATTTGGTAATATCCACTTTCTAACATCATTCGACTTCCCTGGTTTCTTAATACTGATACCTGGTACTAACCCCCATCCCGGTGAAATGAAATGCCCTATATGATGAAACAGCCGCGAGGTACCTGCACAGTCGAGCATCCGTGTTCTCTAACCACATACTGATTAATATCTGAGAATGGTGAATACGACAACTAGATGACCTTTCGTATCACTGCTCTCTAGTAAAAGGAAAAATACTTTGTCCCAATGCTGAAGTACAAGACGTCATGTACTGCCAGGAAAAATGCCGTTGACTACTGGGACGCCAAGATCACCCATCAAGACGTCAGAGATGAGTACGAAGAACATTTTGCGTGATTGGACTTTTCCGATCGAGGTCATTATCTTCTCATTCCATCAATATGATCTGAGCTACGGGAATGTTGATCTAAGCGAAATTCTTGGCGGCGGAGTGATACAAATGTTACAAACTTATGAAGTTCACTCACAGTCATCACCTACTTGAATCACTTTAGGATTCAGCCTGGCCTGGTTCACACTTTGAATACTATGCGCACGGAATTCGGCCGAGCAGATACATGGTTGGTGAACAACGGAAATACGAACCAACACACGCAGGCTCGATGGGACCAATGGACCCGTGATCTCTTGGACAATAACACCCAACGGGTGCGAGACTTTATCGACCATTGGGCCAATGAGATGCTCAAATATTGGAAAGTTCGAACCGGTGCCAAAGCTAACCAAGTCCCCGAGATTCTCGAGACTTTCAAAAGGCAGGCTAACTCTGCGAGAATTAATTACCACGGTCTTGATTGAAATCATCTCATAGAATGGAAAGGAGACGTGAAATAATGTTGATAGTCCAAAATAGCAAGTCCAATATAGCAGAAAGAACTTGAATAACATGGAGACTTGACGAGATAAACTCTGGAGCTTGGTGATTTCTATAAAACAAGAAGAACTCTTGTGGTCATATCGCCGACACCTTGGGAGCATGCTGAATGTCAGTAATGATCAGCGCGCTGTTTTCAGAGGTCATTATGAATAGGGATCAACAAAAAGTCCCACTGAATCAAGACAGGAAATAAAAATCAAAAGAACAGACGGGGAACAGACTCGCACAGGAAAGTTGTCAAGAGTCATATAGACACACCGCACCCGGGAGCGACCGTATCCTAGAAGTGACCAAATAGACTCTACTGATAACAATTTCTCTATTGCATGATTTGAGCTGACTTTTCTTTCGGTTTTTTTTTTAAAAAAAGAAGAAACAAAATGTGAAACAAAACCCAAGCGTAGGGTATACGGTGGAGTGCTTAGTGAAATTACCACATATTCTACTAATTCGCTTCTATTGAGCTAGTTCCACTGAATCTACTAGGTCTTAGTCCACTCTAGCTCGATCCAAGATTCATGAGAAACTGCATATTGAATTGACTGACTTTGTGGAAATTCAGAGAATTGCCAGGTAGCACTGGGCTGTCTTGGCAAACTCGAGTGGGCTTGGTAGCTCGGAGACGTCGGGCATAATTTTCCTTCATCTGCTCATCTCTTCTCCCCATACCCCTGGGCAGACATCGATACAAACGAGCCTGACACTACATACACTCCAAACAACCCAGACACACTCCAGCCAACCTACACAAATATGGACGAGCTTCGGAACAGACTTTTCAGCTTGCCAGATTGGGGATACGTCATCTATCGCACCACCTACACTGCTGAATCCGATACTGCTTTCCCTCACGCTATCAGATATATTGAGGCGTGTTTGAAAAATGAATTCTTTAAGGAAGTCACTCAACAACCTCGGTATAGCAATAATGATATTCCTACCGACGTTTGGTCCAAATACCAGTCGACGATCATAGAAGACCCGACACAATTTGATAGGGCTTCTCTTGAGACAGTTCGCGCTCATTTTGAGGCTTGGGTCGATGGCCAAGGAATGCGTGATGGGTTTAACAAATATCGAGTGTGTCTTATCATTGACGACGAATCTCTCCAAACACTTAAAGGTACTCCAGTGGAGAATGCCGAAAAGGATACTGATGAATTACGATTTGTGAAGGCTCTTGAAGCATTTCCGATCATGGATTCGTTGGACACCTTTCCCGGATGGATGAAATGTTGGACACAGACGCTGTGGTTTCTTTGGCAGCATATGGGGGATGGTGATGAAATGAGGCAGCTATACGATATGATCGATGACTATCCGGGCTTCGAGGGCGTTTTTTGTGGGTGATTAATGCCTCGTATCAGTCACTGTATACAATAATTGAGAGAAAAAAATGAAATTTGGTTAGACTGAGTTGTGTCGTCGCAAGCAAGATTTAATAACATCGGGCTTCAAATTTAACAAAATATCGTCACATAAGAATCGAAGCATCTTCCCTTTAATATAAAAGGATGAATTGGGATTATTGTAAGCTAGCAAAGGCGATACAAATGAAGGTTGTCGCAATCTTTCGCATGATGTATTAGGCTACTATGGTGCTGTTATCAGTCCCAGTAAGTTTCGTTCTAGTCTTCCTATCCAATGATAAACAGCCCACGTAACTGAATCAGCCAGGTCTCTAGTCTCGTCATTCAGCCGGGGTACCGGACTTTGGTCAGAAAAAACTCCAAGCCGCCGAGCAATAGGTCTAATACGCTAAAGGTGCCTGCTCCCTGCGAAAATTGTAGGAGTGATGAGGCTCTGTCAGAGGATCCTGCTTCGTTAGGTACGTTGGATATTTTGAATCCCGGGGAACACCCAAGCCTCATCAAGTAACTTAGGTAAGGCCTTTCAGCCCCGATCGCTGACTCTAAGGCACTGATTAACTAAACAATTAATATTCACCTTCTAGCTTAAAGGTTGCTGGTATGTCTTTGAATCAAATGGTTTGGATATATATTGCTTCTCACAAGAGAGATTAGTCTCTGCTAACCTCCGTCCAAGATTTTTGATATGCAGTAATTCCAAGAGCTAATAACAACGGGCCTCCTCCACCTACTATCGCAAATCCCTAGACCAGTCGCAAATTGAACATGGACCCAGAAAACCCCGTGGCCCTAACTTCAGAGTCCCCTTCCCTTCGCACGATCTCGTTATTTGGTCCTCGGTCGCCCGCGATCTTCGAGTCCACAACTTGAAGTGTACGACGCAGCACTAACCCCGAAAATAACATCGTGACCTTTCTCCTTCACCGGTGCAGAATCTAGGACTAATACTAATAGAAGACATAGCACTTGGCACAACACAGTGATTTCTGGATCATTTGGTCCCAAGAACGGAAGTTTGGCCGCTCACAGTCTTTATCTGTCTTACAACCCTTTGGCGGCGATGGGTCTTCGGTAGGGCTATTCCTTCTTGCAGAAATGTGCGAGGAGCTATCGCTATCCCATGTAGCGATTAGATCGTCCAGAAGCTCGGTGCTGGCCGCTGGTATAGTACTTGTCGGTAGTGGTACTGTGAGAAAAGGTTGGGCTCTTTTGATTCGATCACGTCCGTCTACCAGTTCTCGCTTTCTTTTCCAGCTCGAGACCAAAGAAAACGTTCCTGGATAATACCATTGCGATCTTTGAGAGGCGGGGTGTCGCAAGAACCTGGCTTGTTAGTTTTGCTTTTCCTTTTCTGGGAGAACTGGGGGGGGTTGAAGTTGAGACATACCACTTGTTGGAGGTAGGGGACCATAATGCTTCCCAGCCGGCCGGGACAGCGGGTGCTACCCATTCTGGGTGTGCACATTGCACGTGTCCGGTAGGGAGGTTTTTGTAGTACCTAGCTTGTTAATTTTTGCTTTATATTTCCCGGGAAGGTTAGGGGGAATGTTGAGACAATTCAGAATTTGACTGTAGGATGCCATAATGCTTCCCAACCATCCGGGACGGCTGGGGGTATCCATTCTGGGTTCGCAAATTGTTCTTTTCCGGTAGCGATATTTTTGTACCACCTAACTTGTTATTCTCACTTTTACTTTCTCAGAGGGTTAGGGGAGGAGTTGAGACATACCAGATTTTGTATTGAATGTCCCACTGTAATTCCCAACCATCCGGGACAGCAGGTGCCTTCCATTTTGGGTTATACCATTGATCTTTTCCGGCGGCGGGGTTTAAGTAGTGCCTGGTTTGTTAGTTTTTGTTTTATCTTTTCTGGGAGGGTTGGCCGGGGAGGAGTTGAGACATACCAGGTCTTGTATTCCTTGTCATAACGTGCTTCCCAACCTTTCGGGACGGAGGGTGGAATCAGGTGTTTCTTCACAACAACAATAGGAACCCCAATTACCAAGAAAAGCAGTAAAATGATAGCGGAAAAAATAAGACACGGCTTGGAACAGAGACAGCGACAGATAGGTTCCAGGCAATTTCTGAGGGCGTTTATAACTCCACAGAAGCTTGACCGGAGAAATTTCCAGAATCCAACCCACACTCGCCAGACAAGTTTCCCTGCTGAATGAAAACCACTTTGAGGTTTCTTCCACCAATTCATTGCTTTGGAAGGGGAAACTTCTGTGGCAGTGGGAGTTTCGGTTGAATAGAGAATGGGACTCGCGTGAGCATCTGTAAATCCGGAAAGATTATATGAGGGGGGGCCTAGAGTAGCAGGGGAGGATTGCCCCCTCATGACCAGCTGTTTTACTTGAAAAGGCCGCATATGGGGGCAGTTCAATACAGGCGTCGCCTAGAAGTATTAGTTTCTTAGCGAATATAATGTTATATGGTGGAAGCTGGAGTTTCTTTGTACCTTCTTTACTCATGGTTGTTCTGTATCGTAGTATCAGAAAAAGTGGGTGTAGATTGAAGCAAATAAAAAAGTTGAGAAAAACAAGGAAGTATCTTCGTGGAGAGACAGGAAATAGAAAAAATTAACATGCGAAAGCACTTTCAGGCCGCGTCCCTTTGTAGAGCCGCAAAGAATGACATCCACGGATCGGTGCAGGAGTAAATTATAGGGACCCCTCAAAGTATAATTTCTCGAAATTAATCAACCTTGGAAGTCTGACGACATTGATGCTTAGCCATGAATGATTTGTTAGGAAGTATTATATAGGTCTCCCAAGTTAGTCAACAGCTAATAACAACAGACCCCAAATACACAGAAAAAGCAACGCAACTTGAAAAGGGCAAAGATAGGGATAGATGGCTACACAGAAAACAAAAGAAGCCCAAAATACCAAAGACACGCAATAATCTGTAAGCCCAGTATAATAAGGAAAGAGATATGAAGACATGAGTCAGAACAGATATAGGTACGGCAAAATCCAAGGAAATTTCGTCCTGCCGATAGACTCGGAGGGATTTCTGCAACACTAGGAGTTACGGACGATGGAGGGATAGGGCTTGCGCGACCAGTTGTAGACATGCCATTATTGTATAGCGAAGGCCTGGAATGAAGAGGGAGGATTGAATCCCCCTGATCAGCCGTTTTGCTTGCAAAGGCTGCATATTGGGGTAATTCAATAGGACTGCCTGTCCAAGAGTTTTCTAGAAATATTATTGTTAACGAATGGAATGTTTTATTATGGAGACTGGTGTCTATTTATACCTTCTTGACTCATGGTTGTTCTGTATCGAAGTAGTGACCAGAAAAGAACAGTGTGGGTAGAAGCGAAGAAAATAGTTGAGAAAGACAAGGAGATATCTTCTCTTGAGAGACAGGAAACAGTAAAAATTTGGATGCGAAGGAATTTCCATTTTATGACGCCCTGTACCCTTCGGCCCCGACACCTGATATGGAAACTATATCTGTAGGTTCCAAACTCAAAGGTGTACTAGTACCAGCCCATGATGGGGACCCCTCAAAGTATAATTCCTAGAAATTACTAAAGCTTGGCAATAATGATCTTATGCAGTTCTTCGGCCAGGATGTATTGTATATGGTCTCCTTGAAGTCTGAGTGCAGCGTACTTCATCCCTACCTGGGACGCGTTTCCCTAGCATCATGACTGACATTCACACGAAAGTACAAAAATGTACAACAATTTGATTCCTAGGCTCCAGTAGCCCATATCTCCTATACATGGGTCTTGATTTAATTCAAAATTTGCCTCGTCTCCCAATCTAGAGGTATTTATAGAAGATAATTAGATCGTACTTTTATAGCTCTAGGCTGTTCAGATGATGGGATGTGGTAGACCAATAGCCCTGTCAATTAGTGAAGTTAGTATTCATACACCTGGGCTACCTAATATGGCAATGGTACATGCATCGCGCCTACCTGGGTAGCTGCCATTCACCCAGCCGTGCCTTCCATATTCCCTACCATAAAAGCTCGCCTTCCAGCTACCTCTGCAATCCGCTCCTTCTCTACATCTACATCCCACATCCTATCTCTGCATTCGCTTCATCTTTCCATTCTTCAACTCTCTGGCTCTCAATTTCCACCATCAACAAACATTTCATTCAATCCTCATCTACTCCTCGACACGCGAGGCACTTCCAAGATGTCTCACGTTAGTTGACGCCCCAAAAATTAGACGCACATGACTGACTTTCCGCAGTACCTTTCCATGCAGGCGTACAAGTCGCAGTACGATGCCCTCCTCAAGCGTGAGACCGGAAGCAAAGTCCAGACTCTCTGGCTTCACCTGCTCACCCTCTACTTCCCACACGAAAAAGGATTCGGCCTCCTGTTCCAGGACTGGCCCTGCGAGGGAACCCTCGATCTCTCCATTGCGTACCTTGCGCCCTGCATGCCTGACACCCGGGACCTACGACACCAGCCGAAAAATATGTTCTTCCTTATCTCCGAAAACCGCGAGCATGATGATAACCCCGAGAGCATCGCCCGCATCCTCAAGAAGTTCGCCAAGAAGATGAAGAAGTTGACCACCAAGGAACAGGAGAATGAGATCTTGTGTGCGGCTGTTGCCACTGGTACCCATGTTCGTTTCTTCTGGCTCGAGGTCGGACATGAGGAGCTGACGGAGGGCGACTTTGGCGCATACCTGGAACTTTCCGAGAACGAGGGTGCGATCAATGTGATCTTGGAACAGTTCAAATATGATCTGGTTGGCGCATGGGGGCTGGATTAAGTTTCTCTGCATGCCTGATGTGCCTCTTGTTCATCTGAGTACACCTGTTTCAGTGCCATGGGCAGGAACAAGGATGTGCTGTGAGAAGATGATCGAGCAGTACCTCACGGTGGTATCCAAGGCAAAGCCTCTGCTCTTACAGAGCTCTCTTACGTTAATTGTTACTATCTACATTTTCAATTAATTTAACAGATTTCAACAATTACCCGGAGTAATAATCGCTGTCGAACCTTAGACGTAGGGTTTTAGGGTTCTTTTTGCCTCTCTCTTTGGCTATACCTGATACTTATTACTATTTCCAAACCCAAAAGCCACTAAACGTCAGGCTGCCTGCAAAAGAGTCCAGCATATCACTACACTTCCAGCAGGGCAACGTGGCAGTACAATTTGATTGGTTGATTTTCCGGTACATTTCTTAGCACGAGTATACATGCAAGGCTAAGCCGAGGAACTCGTACTCTCGCACTGTCGCACAGTCCTCTTCACGACTGCATTGCCACAAAGATACCGGTATATACAGTAACTTTAGTGGCCCAGGAACCAGGCCAATAACCAAACAGCGATCAAAGGTCAGCCATGGATATAGGCGTTACAATACCATACAACCTACATGAAAAGTCGACCTGAACCATGTGTGACGTAGTGCTGGGACGAGGTGGAGCAACCCCATTTCCATTTCCATTTCCACTTCCATCGCTCTCCAATTAATGTGATCGCCCGATCTCCCCATTCCTTCAACTTCAACTTCTCACTCCTCCTCCTCCCCCCCTCCCCACCACGCTAACACCATGCCTCCCTTTCGCAATTTACTCGGTCGCAAGCCCCAACCCAATGGGGCTCCCGTCGACGGATTCGACGAGAACCACCTTTCACCCCATCCACGTCCCGGCCCTCTCCCCATACGCCGGAGTTGCGACGATGAGCCCAATGAATATCAATTAAGCGGTGAGTTCCCCGTGGGAATCGACAGTTAGACAATGAACAAGGAGACCACATACTAATTATTTCCAGTGGTCAACGATAGCGGCGTCTACCTTCCTGTAAGACCGCCGCTCACCCCTCCACATACTTGCATCTGATCGGGCCCTCCACTAACCAACCCTTCCGCAGCCCTCGCCACCAGAGAAACAAAGCTTCTGGCACCGATACCCAGGCTCTTCGCGATCTGCCAATAACCACCGAGATCTCGTTGACGAGAACGAGCCCTTCTCCATATCCCGCGAATCATTCGACTCCTACCGACGCTCATTTGTACGTTTCTACCCCAACTCCGTCCGCTCCGCGCTTCCCCGCCAAAATTATCAAGCCCCAAACCAACCCTAGATCAAAACCCAACCCCAACCCCAAAATCCATTCAATAGGGCACCACTCACTAACGTCTAACGTATCGCAGGATATCTCCGCCCGCTCCCCAATCCACCACTCAGACGCCACCCCATCACGCACATCCCTCGACTCCCGCTTCTCCCGCATAAACTCCTGCTCCATGCGCTCGACCAGCTTCGACAAACCCCCACCAACAGAAGAGGAGAAATTCGAAGACGTGGGCCTAACGGACGAAACGGAAGCGAAACCCAAGAAGAAAGGCATCTTCGCCCGATTCGGCGATTCCGATAGTACCCAACATCCTCCTTCCGCCAAATCTTCCACATCCTTTGGCTTCCACATGCCCGGCCGGAAGCGCGGGCAGAGCGGGGTGGGGTCGGAACTCGGGGCTATGAAGACTGGTCCCGGGCCGAAGTTGATGGTCGAGAGTGCTGAATGATGAATGATTGTTGCATTGATATCTTTATTATGATTGTTGGCGTTTGGTTTATACCTAGTGGTTGATCCACTTCTTTGTGTGATATGTTGTGGTGGCGGGCTGCAGCAGCCTTTGACGATGCATATCGCTGTTTCATGAGAGGCAGAGGCTGGCGAAAGCCTTGTTTTATTTTTTTTCGTGGTGTACATTCTTTTTGGTTTCATTATTTTTCGACTCTTATGCTCATTGTGCATGGATTGATCATAATCACGAGGGATCGTCCGTTGTTTATAGATCATGATGTCGTTATATTTTCATTTTAATCCGGACGACTTATTTTATGACCTGATGCATTGGATTCGAAGCGCATTATTTCTTGAGTAGATGGTACATATTGCACCTTTGTTACAATTTTAAAAAAATTTCCTTGGGACGCTTATGAGTTCAAGTACTTTTCGATGCCGGGCTGGGCTCCGCTGTGCTTATCAGTGCAAACAGTGCAAACTCGAACTTTGGACGGCAAAAAAACTTCCTCCGCCCGCGATCAAAAAAATTATCGTTCGGCACGAGCATCACCAGCTCGAACCTCAACCACTACCCCATTTATTTTCAGTGAAAAGACACAGGTCTAGTCGCTGTAACTTATATTCATAATGGCTGGAGTAAAACGCTCCGTCGATGCCGCTGAGGACCGCAATGGAAAGCGGAGCAAGACCAAGGGCTCCGCCGAGAAAAAGTCCAAGTCCGCCGCAGTCAAGAAGTCTAGCTCTTCCAAGAAGGATGTGAAGTCCTCCAAGAGCGACAAGAAGAAGGCTCCCAAGATGAAGGTTGAGGAGTCCGAGGACGAGGACGAGGATGACTTCGATATTGACGACGTTTCGGATGATGGTGACAACCTCGATGCGCTGGATGAGTCTCCTGCTGAGGATGTTGAGATGAATGATGCGGAGGATGTCGACAGTGAGGAAGAGAAGGAGGAGAAGCCCAAGTCCGAGAAGAAGACTGAGGCCGAATTGGCGGCGAAGAGTTTGTTGACGCCCATCCACTGACTGATTCATATTTTCTCCAAAGACTAACCTTAACCACCTTTTCCCTATAGGCAATGCCTCTCGCGAATCTCACGCCAAGCAAAAAGCCCTCCAACTGGAGCGCAAGGCCGCCAAACCCAACGCCGACACGATCGCCCGCTCAAAGAAGCTGTGGGAGCAGCTGCGCCGCAAGTCTCACGTCCCCCTCGAGCAACGCAAGAAACTGATCAAGGAACTGTTCGACATCATCACCGGCCGAGTTAAGGACTTTGTCTTCAAGCACGACTCTGTGCGTGTTGTCCAGACTGCCCTTAAGTACGGCAATCTCGAGCAGCGCAAGATGATTGCGCAGGAGTTGAAGGGTAGCTACAAAGAGCTGGCGCAGAGCCGCTACGCTAAGTTCCTGGTTGGAAAGTTGATTGTGCACGGCGATTCGGAGACCCGCGATCTGATCATCCCCGAGTTCTACGGCAATGTTAAGCGCCTGATCCGTCACCCTGAGGGATCGTGGATTCTCGATGATATCTACCGCAGTGTTGCGACCAAGGAGCAGAAGGCTCGTCTCCTGCGTGAGTGGTATGGACCCGAGTTTGTCCTTTTCCAAGATGACGAGGAGCTCGGTGCCGACCTTCCTAAGATTCTGGCCGCTCACCCCGAGAAGCGGTCACCCATCATGAACTTCCTGCACGAGTTGATCAACGGCTTGGTTCAGAAGAAGACGACTGGATTCACGATGCTCCACGATGCCATGTTGCAATTCTTCCTTAGCACAAAGCCCGGCAGTACCGAGGCGAACGAGTTCCTTGAGTTGTTGAAGAGCGACGAGGAGGGCGATCTGGTCAAGAACCTGGCTTTCACCCAATCCGGTTCCCGTCTGATGTCTCTGGCTTTTGCCTACGCCAATGCCAAGGACCGCAAGCTGCTGCTCCGATTCTACAGGGATACTGTTAAGACGATGGCCGGTGATCTGCACGGCCACATCGTGCTGCTCGCCGCCTACGAGGTCATCGATGACACCAAGCTGAGCGGCAAGTCTATTTTCTCCGAACTGCTGAACCAGAACGATGCCGAGGACGCCCGCAACGACGAGCTCGTCTTCCAGGTGAACGACCTCACTGCCCGTATCCCCGTGCTGTACCCCTTCGCCGGCGACCGCACAAAGTGGCTCCTCCCCGAGCTTGACCAACAGATCCTGCAAGAGGTGCGCGAGGTGCGTAAAGAGACGTCGAAGAAGGAGCCGGCCGTGCGTCAACAGGAACTGGCCAAGGCCGCCTCCCCCACGCTCCTTGCATTCATTGCGGCTCGCGCCGAGACCCTCCTGAACAGCACTTTCGGCTGCCAGTTGATCTCGGAGGTCCTCTTCCAAGCCGAGGGCGACAAGACCGAGGCCCTGACGGCCGTGGCCGCGGCGGCAAAGAGCAAGTCTGAGACCCGCGACTCGGCGTCGGTGGGTCGCACACTCAAATCGCTTGTGCAGGGTGGGCGGTTCAACCCGGCCACGAAGTCTGTGGAGAAGGTTGAACCCGCGCTGAACTTCCACGACCTGCTGTATGAGCAGATCCGTGAGGAGGTGATGGAGTGGGCGACGGGCTCGAACACATTTGTGATTGTTGCGCTGGCGGAGTCGGATGACTTTGAGAAGAAGAGCGAGCTGCTCAAGACGCTGAAGAAGAACAAGAAGGCGCTGGAGCAGGCCTCTGCGTCGGGCAAGGATGGGAAGGGACCTACCGCCAGTGGAGCGAAGCTGTTGTTGCAGAAGCTGTGAAGAAGCCAAAGTGGAAACTGAAGCCGAAGTTGAAGCCGAGGCTGTTACTGTTACTGGTCATGTATCTTTCTGGTGTTAATATGTAAAGGGTAAAAGCATTCATATAGTCATTCATCATTCAATCTCCATCGTTAACTACTCTATCGAGTACCCCATCCTCTAATTCGTACTCTGCCTCCACTCGACTCCCCAATAAATTGCATTGTCCTGAAATTGGGCTCTGATGAGGACTCCACCTGGTGGAGTCCAACACTGCGCGGATCTCAGGGGTTCGTTCCATTCAACCATTCAGCCTGAACCCTCCACCGGGCCCTTGCTTGATCCTGCTCCTTGCGATCGAGTCTGCAGTGCTAGTTGCTGCCCAGGTGCCCAGGTGCCCCTCCAGCCTGACAATGTACCCTGACCCTGCACCCCGTACTCCGTAGGGAGATCTGTATGAATGCCCTAAGTCCCTGCTGTAAAGCACCTGCAAGCACCAAAGTGGAGCCAAACAGACCGTCATTTAACCTGGCGAGCTAAAAAACCCTAAGAGCTTCTCTGGAAACTCCTACTATCACGTCTGTGTACCTCGTAAACTACTAGTCCTGGCCATATCCCTGCTCGTATAAGGTTGTGGGTATACTTGGACTGCCGATAGACTCATCACAAACACCAACGACAACTGGTTTCGATCTACCACATTTTCACTTCATCTCAATTCAATCCCAATCAAATTAATTCGACCAGAACCAACCGAATCAAAACAATTGGCCCAGCTTCATACCGATCGGGCAATGATCACACGCTAAACCGCATCGCCATTAGGGGCAGCTTTTTCAGGGACCGTTCGAGTCCAACGGCTCCTTTCTCTTCTGCCCAGGTCTTCTCTGTCTTTGTCTCTGTCTTCTCTCTCCTCTGTACGACCTCTCTTAATCACCCACTCCCCCTCCCCCCCTCCCCCCCGGGGCAAACCGTCCGCATGCCCTCTCTCGCCTTAACCGACCCGGATATGATCCTGCCTTATGACGGCAGCGAACGACAATCCCAAACGCCCTCCCCACCCTCCCAACTCGTCTACCTGTCCAACCTGAACGCCCGCTATAACTCCAACTCCGCATCCGACCCCCATGCCGTCAGCTCAGGCAGCGGCAGCAGCAGCGGTGGTCGGCCGAAGAAGAATTTTTCGCGCTCCGCGTGGACACATGAGGATCTGAGCACGAGCGCAAGTCGCAGGCTCTCGGATATTGGGGAGGAATTGTCGCCGGCGCGGTCGGTGGGATTTGATGAGCAGGAGGAAGAAGCACAGGGCCAATACCAGGGCCAATATGCGGGAGCACCACAACATGGTCTGACGAGTTGGCCTGGTTTGCCAGACTCGGACTCGAATGATACAAACGATAATGCGAGTAGCTCCAGCTCGACGGTTAGTGCGGGGAGCACGCGCGCGAGGGAGGAGTCCAAGTCACACGAGTCAGTCTCGAGTCAAGGCCAGGGTCAAGGTCAGAATCAGGATCAAGCTCGGGATCAAACTCAGGTTCCGGCTCAGGAACAGGAACAGGAACCAGATCTGGTTCAGGGCGCATCGAATGAACTTAAAGGTCTTCCCGACAAAAATACCATCGCGTCAGCCGTGAAGGGCAAGGGTCCTGGTGACGAGTTCTCGTCGGCCATTTTGAGCAGCGAAGCCGAGAGGATTTTGGATAATGCGAAGAAACGATTGACGGTACGTGGATTTAGCAGAAACCCTATCTATTGATTTGATTTCTGGCATGCTGACTTGTACAAAAATAGCTAATGGAAGGTAACCTGAACCGTGCACGTTCAACGGTGCGCGCCACACCTTCTCCCTCGCCCTCGGCGCCAGGAAATACATCGCCAATGGGAATGCCAGCGGGTGGATTATATCGGTCCATCTCCAAGACAGACCGGCGAAGCTCGACCTTGCGCCGACAGTCATACGTACCTCCACAAGATGGTTCGACGAATCGCCATTCGCGCGTGCACAGCGAGACAAATTTCCCGCCAGAATCGAGCCTGTCAACAGATACCAAGAAAGTATCTCGCTCAGTCAGCGCAATGGGATCCAGCAGCTCGAGTTTACATAATGATGACCGGTCATTCCAATATGCTCCGACGAGAGCGTACCTCACGCATCGCGCGTCTATATCTTCTATTCGGCCCCCACACCTCGAAGCGCTCTCCCAGTCGCAATCAAACTCGTATGAAAATTCACCACAATCTCCGCAGTCGGCGAGATCACGACAATCAGGATACTCGCCTGTGGCCAGCCACTCACCCGTTTCAATTTCGCACGAGGGTAGTTCCCAAGACTCACCGCAGGGACTGGGGATATCCGCCGAAGATGAATCCAGATCGACCAATGGGGGTGACTTTAGTCCCGTATATAGCTCTTATGGCCCGCCCAGCCGTGCACAGTCTCAACTTCAGGTTCGCGATCTCCAGTACCAGATGAAGGGCCTGCATATCAAGATTTCCTCCCTGAAAGTTCGGACCCAGGAGGATAATCTGCGCCGGCGCAGTCTGCAGAGTCTGCGTACGCCGAGTCCCCTTACTGCTGCGGACCCCTGGTACCAGAATGGTCTCGAGATCCGAGATGGTACGAGTAGTCGTGGCTCCAATGCACGCGAGTCTCGTCCTCACAGCCAAAATCTCACTAAGGAGAATAATTCCCCTCGAGAAACTGACGAGAGTCATACGCATCGGTCGCAATCACAGGCACAGGCACAGTCCCAATCGCAGTCGCAGTCCAAACGTGCTAGCTCTACTTGGCAAGACCAACCATCCTACCACGACAGCAGAAACCAATCCACAGCACAGAGCATGTACGAAGACGCCGAAGAAGGCTACTACGACGGTGAAATCGACCGCGAAGCTCTAGATGAAATCCTCCGCGAACCTCTCGACGAGGACCTGGAGAGTCAACTCGACTATCCCCAGAATGGAGAGGGCGTACCGCACGAAGAGCGCGAGGACGCTTTCGATTATGAACATTTCATTCTGCATAGTGCGTTGGGCAACTATTCTCGCCAACTTCGACGGGCAAGTAGTGCTTCTCGGGAATCTGCTGAGACCACGCGACCTACTCATAGGCCCGTGCAGCATTCTCGCACTAATAGTAATATGTCTGATTCTACGGTGGCTACTTTTGCTACTGCTACCGAGGGAGATATCCCCGAGGAGGAGGATGAGATTAATAGTGTGATGTACTGGGATCGTCGGTTTAACCATGGTATGTACTTGATTGACTCGACTCCCTCTACTCTAATAGATGTCAATTATTCTAACAAAAATGTCAGAACTACGCCATCGCCACGTCGACGAGCCCGTTCCCGAAACCGATCGATCCGAAACCCCTCGCGGTCCACGAGGCGGAGAAGGCGACGGCGATACCACCCCGGTCGAGGGCCAATTCTTCGACGCGAATGGCCGATCTTCATCAGCGACGACCGGCTCCGCTACCCCGACTTCTCTCGTCTCCTCGCTTGTTTCTACTGTTCGTGCGGCATCGGCTTCGAGTCCGCACCCTGGCTCTGCGACACCGACACAGTCTGGTGGTGGTATCAATGATGATGATACCCAGATGTTGGAGCAATTGTTTTCTAGCTTGGGGAATGTTTGCATGGATCTTCAGGCTATTACTACCTCTCCTGAGCCGGATCTTAAGTCTGCGAAAATTCTTCGGAGACGATTGGATGCGGCGAGGAGGGTTTTGGATGGTGAGCTTGATACTTGAGATGGCCCATTCGTGTATATTCTTGGACCTTGTCTGCTTCTTTTCTTTTCTTTTCTTTCCTTCCTTCTTTCCTTCTTCTACTATGATACCCAATTTTTCATTTTCTTTCCTTTTGAGATGACCTTTTTATTGACAGCCTGAGGTGCCATGGTTGAGCCGTGGAATATCCAATTTTCTGCGTATTTACATTGCATCCACATCTACAGCTCCAGATCCAGCTACATTGATATCCTTTAATTTAAACTTTACATTTACCTCCCCTCCCCTAAATAAGTCTCATCTGCATGTACCCCAGATGCTCAGCATCGAATCAGCAGTCTTCGAAAATTCCACGCCGATCTCCCCTCCCCTCCGAATCCCCCCCACATCAAATCGACATCCACAATGCCAATGCCAATTCCAACGCCAACTCCTCCTCCACTCTGCAATATTCCAAAGCCGGAAGGCTAAATCTTAAATTTCAATCTCAAATCGCGACTCCCTCTGTCGCGGGCGCTCCAGCGAAAAACCACCGACCTTGTGTTCCCCTCCCCCTTTCTGCCCCGCGCTTGACGCGATAAGCCGAACGTGTCGCGTCGCGAAAATCCTCACATCAACCACAGTGCGCAAATCACTTCAAACCACCATGAACTCATTACTTACACAGAATGCGAAACAGAAAGCTCCCCTGTCGGCAATTACCGCACAATCAAATCCCAACCAGCCACGCGCCTGCGCCTGCGCCTAGCTAGGCAGTTCAGTGTCCGAGTACACAATCAACAAAACACCCAGGCCTAGAGTTATACACTACACCACACCACACCACCACCGCAAAGAAACCAGAAATGGACACAACACTAGACTCAACCCGCACCCACAACCCCCAGCACCCCCACAAATCCAGCCTAGCCATGAGCACAGGAACAAGCAGCATGACCCGGCCAACGCAACCGTCCCGCCGATTATTAATCTTCCAAGAAGCGCGCAATCCGCAAAACACGGCCGAAATCGCCTATTTACCCGTCAACAAGCTCGGTCTCCCGATTTGTGGCGAGGGTCCGGTGCTCCCGGATATTTTGGAATTGCCGTTGCGGATTGTGAAGGCTTTTACGGAGATTTTTAATCAGCCTAAGTATAAAGGGTGGTACGTTATAATGTTTCTTGTGTTTTTTTTTTCCCTTGTTTTTTCTCTAGGCCAGGCTGATTTGATTCGTGTGCAGGTCTGTTCGCTCCGCGGGTCCTTATCATGATACTTCTGAAGAAGGGAAATTTTATGCTGTTGTTTTGGAGCAGATTCAGGGTCATCAGGAAATGAGTTCGGGTAGTGCGGGATCGCCGTAGTCGTTTGCGTCCGGCTTGATATCTTTTTCTTTTCTTTTCTGTTCTTTTCAATATTCTATCCCTCTCGTTGTTATTTCGGTCCGTCTTGGACTTGTACAGTGTATTGATTTCGATAATCTGTGATTCTTCACGGCCCGTTACTCAACGATGGCACCGAGTGATATCTACCCTGTGTACGGAGTAGATGATTGTGCCGAAATAGATGGATGGGCCTGTGGATGGATGGTTCATAATGGCTTTCCTTTTCAGCAATACATGGTTGCATTTTGATTGTTTAGTTTCTGGCTACATCGTCGTCGTACGATCCTAGTCGTGATGATCTTTTATGGAATCGGCAAGGCGTTCGTGAATTTGAATGGGAGTCTAGCTGCTTTACGCGGTCAGGCACCGACTTGTCCTCAGAAATGACCCAGTACAGGAGACCGTCCCATCCATCGGCGACGACGCCGCTTAAGAGTAGATATCAGCTGAGATATTCCCCAAATGAAAAGAACATGAACAACGACCATGGATGGGGCTCTGGGGTCTCCATTGAGAGCATTGAGAGCCGTGTGGACATATTTGCAATTGGGTTCTGTGTCCTGGCTCTTAACCAAAACCTGGAACTTCGTATCCTCTCTTCTAAGATCAAGACTTGTTTTGAGGTGGAGGCGGAACTCCTTCCCTCGGTACTGGACGTCGAATATATACCATCTGATGTTTGTCATGGTGGTCAGTTTAAGAGGGAGATGTTGGAAGAAATTGTTGAGGTGGTTGAAGGGAAGAGTTGTCGAAAAGGAGAAGAAGACGAGAAGGAAGGAACTTGGAGAAACTTGACACTGAATTTAATTCCGCGCAAAGGTCCGGCCATTGCTCCTGCCGTTTCGCGATCGCTTTGGTTCTCGACTAGAACCTTGAACTTTGCATCATCTCGGCTAATGCGCAGGCAAGTCTTCACGCGGAGTCGTACCTCCAGCCCACGTTCATAGACCGTGAAGGTAAACCATGCGAGGCTACCCATAGCAAAGACCGGATTGAAAGTAGCGGTAAAGATTCATAATGCAAATGCGGATAGATTTTGGCGTAAACTAGGGTCAATGCGGAAGTGTGGGAAGTGATGAAGTTGTCAAAGAGGAAAATGAAAGGAGCTTGGGGAAACCCAATAATTTTATAATTAGAAGGAAGGCCCGGCCATTAATCCTACCGTTTCGTGATCGATTTCCAAGGTACTTTCTTTATAATTCATATGGCATACTTCCAGCAGTATTTCGTAAGGTAACTTGAAGCTCCGGATAAATGCACCCGGCGCGTGAGCCAGGTCCTCTCCTACTAGTTAGGTGGTACCAAAGACAGAGTCCATAGAAGCCCACATGAGGGAATGTGCGTACAAGCAACCCAATGTGGGAAATCGAGATGAAAAAGAAATAAAGGCGTGGTATTAAACGAAAAGTATCAAAGCAAGAGAGGAGAGAAAGAAAGGAAGCTATTCCTCCGATGGGTACAAAAGTACGGATGCCGAAGTCACTCAATATCAGGATTCCCCTTCAATTCTTCACATCAAAAAACCCATAAGAGTCGAAGGCTCTTCGATCTCCAGAACAAGCCTGTAAGCACTGGTATTATGATCCCAGTAAATCGTAACGATATAGCTTGAGAGTAGACATTAGCTGAAACTTTTGTGAGAAGACAAAAGGGCGAACCAGGGGGGAGGGGGTTAATGTGAGCTAGTCTGATAGATATTAGGGTAGCCTCCATCAATCTGACATTGGGGAATTGCTTCTCTCCATAATGAGACAGTATATGGCCGACTTGGGTGCGATGCCGGTATCGAGTCTGAGGCATAGTTGATCTCTTGGGCCCATATTACGGACCTCGAAGGCGAGTAGGCCTAGCGGCGCCGCCATGGGTAATAACAACAGAAGAACAGGGTATATGTGGATATGGATACCTACTAGTAGGTATCCGCCAAGTTAAGTACTGATTATGGCAAGTCGTGAACCTTGGTTGGCAGGGATGAGAAGCTACACCAGAAGGCCCATGGTCAAAGTAGGAAGCTGACCATTGTTCTCCAGGTAGTAGCGGTGCCATTTCCGTGCGGCCTAGTACAGTAGGTACAAAAGCCGAGCGTATTTGCTCAGACAATACACGCGCACCTAGCGAATCCGCCCTAGCAAATCGGTACTCCGCAGCTGATGGCCGCTTCGCATCCAGCCTCACATGACTGTGTAGTGTCGCATGTATCAACTGTAGGACTACATTGACATCCGGGAAATGAGCGTTTGCAGGTTTTAATCCTCGAGTATCTCAGACGCAGTCTATCGATACAGCTTTGATGATAATTCCAAGCTTGTGTGAGCTAACCTCGGCGAGACATCAAAGAAATGGTCCATTTTGGGGTGTGAGGAATGAAAACTCATTCATCATCGTGTCCCACACGAAGTCGTCAAATCCAGGTTCGGCCAAATCAGATTGCGAGTCTACTTGTCCGGGTTCGGCCAAATCAAATTGCAAATCCAGTTGACTTGTAGAAGAACTGTGCAGGTCACCTATTTCTAGCTCCATATGATTTGTGCTGACTGCTGGCGGCGTCGATCCTCGTATTTCCGTACTCCTGACTTCCGGATGCGACAGCTGTGAAAGGGGTGGTTGCTTTTGCTGCGTTTCAAATTTCCCCGGCGCAGGTCTATTCTCAACCTCAATTCGGCTTTTATACCCAGATTGTATGCTTTTTAGCAAAACCCCATAATTATATATCATGTCCCTGTTGCCGTCATCATCAACAAGCTGCGTGGTCACTGTGGCCAATTTCCTCATATACACATCCAGTATATGAGGTATCATGACTTCCTTTTCAGCAGCTCTTCTGAAGTCAGCTTCTAGTGATTCTGCTTGGTCATGTTCCCATAAATTTATCTGTTCTTTTCCTGTGATTCCAGTCCCACAGTCGAGGAAAACCGTCCTGACTTGAACGATAATGACGTAAGAAAGATCTGCCCACCAGGAGAATGGAAAATGAAGTAGCTCGGTATTGTCAACTGACAGACACCAATCATGAAATGAGGCAGTTGCTGCGACGAGCTGCCACAGCATATTAGTCCGCTGCATTGAGAAGTGAAGTGAGTGATCAGTCTCTGGTTGAGTGAGTCGGGCAGGCACGAATGCGCTTTGCCAAAGCTCGTTATAGAGCGCAACTTCGCGAATCCAGACATCCAGGAAGTGAAGTTGTTGGACCAGAATTGCATTTCTGTTTGTTAAGCCAATATTCTTCTTAAGTCCATCAATTTCACGAGAGAAAGAATCAACGGTGATCTGGAGTGCGCGCTCCCCTCTTATGTCGCAGGTAGATATATCGTGGTGGCAGAAAGCGTCACTAATCTTCCGCTGAAGGACGTGGATTTCCACAAATGGCGCGATCAATTGATCGCTGGGAGCATCCCTCAGTTGTGAAAGATATGTGCAGCAATCCTCCATATACGACGTGTAGTACATAATCGTCCGTTTTCTCAACACCATCGATAACCTTATTAGAGTTGACAGTCAGCTCGACGACCACAAAAATTGCCACTATGCAGGTAGAGCTTACAAAGATGATAAGCAATATGTTCCAAGAAGAGCTCTCATCTCTGCCGGATTTCGCGCTTTCAACTGAGTTTGAACCTCCTCTAGACCTCTCTTACCCTTCTCATTCGAGTCTAATCTCAACTCATGGCACATATTAACACAAAGCTGTAACATGAGGAAGTATTGATGCTTCCCAGGCAGACAGAAGTATTGATACCAAGCCACGAATACCAAAAGACCTTGTAACAGATCCATACTAACTTCATGGCCCATCACTAAGCGATCACAAATTTGCTTCTTGATCTCCTGCCCTAGTTTGCGCTGTAGTATGGGATCCTCAAAAGATGTGACGGCCATAATACACAAGAAAAGGAATGGATTGTCGTATCGAAGAGCTTCCACGCTGACTTTGGGAGGTACAATCACAAATGGGAAGTAGTTGACAAAACCTCGTCGGAAAGTCTCCAGTCGACGATCCGCAGCTGCCAGACCTCCAAGGTCATGTATAACAGCGTTGTTCAAGCCGTCATCATGAACGTCTCTGGGCCTGGGCAGGGATCCCGGAGACGCAAAGTGACTTCCATTTAATCGGTCGTGTGAGGATGAAATGCTGGAGTAAAGACTCTCATTGGTAGGGCAATTACTTCGGGAACCTTGAAATGAGGTTGAACGGAGATGTTGTGTTAAAGTAGCCACTTGCGTGGACAACAGCTCCACCTTCTCCTCGAGTCTCTTGGTAGATCTGAGGACGAATTAGCAAGTTCTATGCCGATGAAATACCTAGTGTATTTGGAAGAGCGTCCTCAATCACTAATTCCAGTCTACTTGAATGATTGACTTCACTTCGGTCATTAGGCCGAGTTCAGTGATTGAATTGAGGCATGTTCATTACGCACTCAAGTAGCTTCTTGTGTGCACGCTATTCCAAAGCGCTCTCATAGACCTCTAATCCTACAAGACCATGCAGACAGCAGATGGGGTTGTGACACTCACGAGGCTTCTCTCCGATTTGTTCTTGCCCCAGAAGAAGGCTCTGTATAGACGCATTCTTTGCCCAATCTTTCACATCTTCCGCATGATTCTGCGCCTAACGAAGCAGAAGTGCACTTGACCTTGGCGCTGGTGCAGTTGAGGCACGCTCGCCTCCTTAGCCGCAGATTTATCATTGATGGCGGTTCCGGTACGTCCATTGTGGTGACCTGGGATTTTGTACAAAGATATGGTCCAGCTGATGAGTCGAGGTCCGTCGGAATATACGGGACGGCAGCGGCCATTCCGACCCGAAATGATAAGCCCGCTTACGTCACCGGAATTCATGAGCTTAAACTTATTTTAAGCCTAGTGCTAAGACATCGGATATTTCGGGTTTTCCGTGCGCCGCGATATTCTCCTTTAGCAGCACGATATAGCAAAAAGCAAGACGCTCCCTCAATAGAATCCTCAGAGAATCACCGTACTATCATTTCCGCGTAGTAGTCGGAGTATCCGCTGCTGACCGATCCCCCCTATGGCTATATATATAGGCTTCGATCGCTCCCATGGAGCAGCTCAACCACAAAATCCATCAACCTTGGACAAAGACTTCCATCATAATCATCATATCATACTTTTTCCTTTATCGGACTCCTTGAAAAAGATTTATTCCACAGTTCTTCCAGAATGCCCGGTCCCGTATTTATTCTCAGGGGCAAGGTTTTCCCGCCTAAACAAATCACGACGACATTCGAAGGCAAGACCATCATCGTGACAGGGTCAAATACCGGCGTGGGTTATGCAACCGCCCTCAAATATGTCCAACACGCCGCGTCAACTGTCATTCTGGGTGTCAGGAGTCTGCAGAAGGGCGAAAAAGCAAAAGAGCAGATTGAAAAGGCGACAGGGCGAGCAGGCGTTGTCCAAGTATGGCAATTGGACATGGCCAGCTTCGAAGGTATCGATGCATTCGCCAAGCGAGTTGAGACCTTGAAAAAGGTCGACGTCGCTGTTCTTAATGCAGGTATCATGAGTCGCAATTTCAAGCTGTCTAAGAAGGGATGGGAGAACAATCTTCAAGTCAATACTCTCGGGACTGCGCTCTTAGCGATCCTTCTCACCCCAAAGTTGCAAGCGTCCCCAAGTGCAGATTCACCAGCACATATAGTTGTGGTCACATCGACAGGGCACATCGACGCGCAGCTGAAACCTCAAGACAAATCTCAGCTTCTTCACAAATACAACAGTGACCTTGGAGTGGGACTGTATCAGCAGCACGTGGCCTCCAAGTTGTTCATGATGTGGATCACAAGAGAGCTAGCATATCGCTGTCTCGATGCCAATGGCGAGCCAACGGTGATTGTTAATGATGCGTGTCCTGGTGCATGCCGGAGTGACGTTGCAAGAGAGTTCGACAGCACTCTATGGGCCATTGCTAAGGGCATCGGATCTTTCCTGATCATGAGACCTGCGGAGAATGGTGCTCGCGTGCTTGTTGGCGCTTCCACTTTAGGGAAGGATTCACACGGACGGTGGTGGTCTGCAGATGGAAATTACAGGCCGTGAGTTAACCTCCAAGAAGAGAGAATGGAGTTACGCTAATAAATACAATAGACCTGGCGGGTACATTACGAGTGATGAAGGCAAGATCTTGCAAAAGGCCTTGTGGACTGAGGTTGTCGATGTTCTTGAAGAGAATATTCCTCGAGTCAAGGATGTGATTGCGAGTCTGTCTGAGCGGAGGGTTGTATGATAGAAAGCGTGTTTTGTGATGTGTATTTTTGGGCATAAAGTCTCAACAAGGGTTCGCAAGAATTGTGGCCTCTGCACGGAATGTGATAATGTTGGTCCCCGGCTCTAGCACAGTCATTCTCGAAATCGCTTTGACCAATACACTCCGAGAAACTCCTAACTGCCCAATTGCCAAAGCCTTACTATAAATTATTCATTGAGAAAGTCACACGTGCATATCCTCAGGTTGAAAGTAGCAATAAAAGAGTTGGTGGAGCTAGAAATGGATGTTGGTCAAGACTCAAGATCAATCAGTAAGCGTGGAAATTGGTGGGGTTGGCAAGGGGATGGAGGTTACAAGTGAAGTGAAGTGAAGTGAATGTTTTGAGGCAGGAATACTTAGTATGGGAAGGTACAAGCAGGAAGATGTGGGCATTTAAATCGCTCCTGCTATTGTTTGGCTAGACTTTGCAACTAAGTAGTACACAGCATAGAGCTAGAAATGGCTTCCTAGTGTGGGTCATTATTATCGAACATGAGGAAGGCCTTTCATGATCGGCAACTAGCCAAGTCTGCAATGAGATTTTCGATACGTCCCATTCGATGGATTAAACTTCATCCACACCCTCCGATTCTCCTGTGTAGTCTGCTGTCCAATCTCCTCATTATCTCTCCATCCCCATATCCAAGGCCTCGTCGAACCCTTTACCCCAGCATGGTATGTATGACACAGATAGTAATCCGCAGAGGTAAACTGGGGTACTCCTCAGGCTCTGACTTGGGGGGGCAGCTAATCGTCGCTACCACCAGGATAATCCGGGGTAGAGAGAGACACCATGCGGGACTCAAGGAGGATCCACCAGACATCGGGAACATCACTCCAGCCATGATCCCATCCCTCGGCGACGACGTAGCTAAGAGAAGAGGTAAGCGGAGATTTTGACCAAAAGGACGGAGCGGACTAACTAATACGGAGAATTGATAGTTTGACCCAGAAAGGCAAAAGCAAGTTCGATCATTGTGAGGCTTGGAAAATGGCACCTGGTGACCATAAGTTCACGATACTTAGGCGAGTCGTGGCGAATCTCTGAATCGAGTCTCAGGGTCAGTCGCGGAGTGCGATCTCGACCCTCGTATTGGACATCGAATGAGAGGAATCTTAGGGTGAACATGTTGATAATATGCTGCCTTTTCGAGAATGGAAATAGTCACTGGCAAATTGAAAAAGTACTAGTGGTGGTCAGTGGAATGGTGGTAAAAGAGCTCTTTTGTTGTACGGAACCTCTTGTTTGTAAGGACTCTGACGAATGAAATATCGTGTAGTATTGAACGAAAGTGAAAAGGCTGAAGAAGAAACTTAGTTTTCGGTGGATGAGCGAGATGGTAGCTCCAGGCGAATGACAATGGGGTTTCGATTGATCTCCCTCAGAGCGGCCTCGACAAATTGAACGTTTGACAGTCCAGCGTAAACTTTCCCTCGGTGTATCTGGTCCTTGCCTTGTTGTTTTCGGAGGCTGGAACAACGACAGGGTCTTGTGCACCCTGGATATTGAGAGGGGGTGGTTCCAGGATATCCAAGTCAAGTTTTCTTGCAGGAAGGGCAGAAACTGGGATAGCGACAGGGCCAGGCGTCTTGGGTGCAATTTCAAAGGACTCGGAGTGAAAGAGTAGTGAAAACGCTGGACTGGTAGTTGCCTTCTTGTCTTCGGAGTCTGTAGCAATGACAGGGTTTCAAGCACCTTGTAAATGATTGGAGGTGGATAATCCCCAAGGTCGGCGTATTCAGACAATCGGCGAAAGGTATCCAGGTCAAGAATATGTCCTCCTGTTTTCCGTCTAGATTGTATTATCCGGGTGGGATAGAAGATCAAGATGGAGGTCGAGATAGTTGATGAATGTATCAACCCGTCTCTTGAATCCCGCTCCCGGTCGACCCGTGCCTCAAATTCCAGTCGCGGAGCTTTGAATATGTCGCAGAGAAAGGCGAACCTCGATAATAAGGACCCAGTAAGCTTCTCTGTGGAAATCTGGGTCACCGATTCCGTTGACCACCTTGCCCAAATGAAGTTCAATTGTATTAAACCCTAAAAGATTCAGCAAACAGCTGAACGAGTTGGTCGGATTCGTGATTGGGGGTCGTAAGACCAAACGTGGATGGAACTCGCGCCTGAACGGAAACTTGGTACCGCAGTGAGAGATCCAATGAGACCCGATGGCTGCTCTCAAGGAGAGATCGAATCCGAGATTGGAAAGCAAAATCGCAGAAAATAAGATGAAATTGGGAACTTGAGCCGGTAAAGCTTGAAAGGATGGACAGGTCTTCGGTCGAATCCAGAAATTTTGAAAGTGGCCGATGGTGAAGTAGTAAAGGTGATGAAGTGTGGAAATCAAGTCGATCCTGTGTGGTTCAGCGTTGAAGTTGACAACCTTGGAAGGAATAACAGAAGAAGGTTGTCCGGACGTCTGACAGGAAAGTTGTCTAGTCGAAGATCGATATTTGAGTTCGAAAATCAGCATGCACCGAGCGAGTTAATGAAAAGTTTCAGTGAAAGTCAGGTTGAAGATGGGCAAAAGGAAGAGATGAGAATGGTGTGTGGATGTGTTGAGGTGAAAGAGTTGGAAGGAAGGAACTCGAAGGACCTTGAATAAGTAACAAAGTAAGGAAACATTCACTCCTCATTGGGAGGGAACAAACAGAAACAATCTGATACCCAGTTGAGACTCTATAAACAGCCTGAGTCACCGGATAGCCTACTTCCCGTTCCCATTCTGACCTGGCAGGCAACAACTAACTACTAGTATGATTGTTCTATATAGTAATTGAGGAAGCATTTTTGTCTACTACAATTTCAAGAAGGCTACTCTCCAGGAGGTCAGTAGTGATATAAGGCAGATTTATGCCTCCAAGTCTGCTCCCTGCTCCTTGACGGCATCAACTTCTGGGGCCTGCCTATTCGGTCATGACAACTAGTTCATACTTTACTAGATACCCTATTAAGTTCATTCATTGTATATCATTCAGACAGATTCTATGGTCCGATGACTTGAAATTCTACGAGTCTCGAAAGCTCTTAACTCGGTATAGGTCTTAAGTCATCATATATCTAGTCCGAAGTCGAAGTAGACATGCCAGACATTTTAGATACAGGCCATTGGGATATTCTTGAATTCAGTACTTGCCAGTGGGCAACCACATGCCATAGAAATGCATACTAGTAGTATTCGCAGTGAATGCAGCACTTGACCTCGAAGTAAACCCAGCACCTTCCCATTCACCCTCACCCTCCCATCTACCTCTTCTCTCCCATCCCATCAACACCACCAACCCATCCCTCACTCACCCCTCAAACAATAAAAATGGCCCGCGGCCCCCAAAACCACAGCACAGAAGTACACCCCCCCCCCCTTCTCCCACCACAAACAAAACCAACTTGAAGATCCTAACACCATGACCCCAACAGCCCCGAAGCAGCGACCCAACTCTATCCCTCTACCTCCTCGTCTACGAAACCACCCCCAATGACGAATTCACCCTAACCCTAACAAACCCCGGCCTCCCCATCGTCCCAAGCTCCCCCTTCTACCGAACCCTCCAAGACCTCTGGTCCCAGCACGGAAATCGTGATGCAACGCCTAGTGTGGGTCTGATTCGAGCTGTTGCGGCGGATATTCAGCGGCAGCCGAGATTGTGGAGTTTGTACGTTGATTGATGTTTCCTGAAACAAATCCAAACTACCGTGGAACTTGGATCGAATGTTGAAATCGAATCTTTTACTGACGAGACATGGGCGTGACTAGTGCCATTTACCGCAGCTGGATGGATCACCATTCTGATCTGCACTACGTCCTCTTACAGTCTGCGCCTAATTCGAATGGGTATGGGAATGGGAGTAGAAATGATGGGTCTGTGGTGGGGTATTTGGGCTTGACTCCTACGTCTACGAGACGCGGGTCGCCGAGGCGGAGGAATCGGTTTGTGAGGGCTCTTGAGCAGGGGTATTTGGCTGAGGGGAGTAGTGAGGAAAATTGATTGAGTTGAGTTGAGGTGGTTTCTTCTTTCAGGGTTCTTGTGGATGCGTCCTTTGGGTTATATTGGTGTTCTTTCGTTAGGATGTAGTGTTCTATTCAAATGGAAGATGGGACCGGATGAGAGGAGAGAGGATGTCATTCTTTTGAAGAAGCGGAGTGGAATGGAATTGAACTGAATTGAGTGAAGCGAATTGACCTAAATTGACATTGTCCATCAAGGACATAGACATTCCTAGTACGCATACGCAGCGAGCGGGTATTTCTAGGTATTATTATGATTGGACACGAGGCCCTATAAAGATATCAAGAGTAAACGATATCAAGCAAAGAATTGGAAATCGAAGTCCGAGGCCCGAGCGAAGAAGTAGAGAGTCCCAACCCCACAGCACTAACACCCCTTTCCTTTGCAGCGAAGAGAAGAGACAAGAACAGAAGAGAAGAGGAAGAAAAGACGATCGACACAACCTAGGGAGAGGGTGAGTGGTGAAAGGGACGAAGAAGTATCCTCGCGAAAAGCATGAGAAACTTCTTTTCATCTCTCGCTCTCTCTCTCCATGCATGCCATTCATAGACCTGCTTTTCTTCTTTTGATTTTCATCTCCTTATTTATTGAATCGTCAAGCACCATTCTTGCACCCGGGAAAGGTTTTTTTCCTTCCTTGATTCTGAATTTTCCAGCAACAATTCAATTTCTTCCTAACATACAATAAAGGCTGGCTTTGAAGAGAAGAAATAATTATTCAAGCTAGGCGTTACTCGGCTGGAGAAGACCGGAGATGTGGTGGAGGTCCAAAGAGCGAGAGTCAGTGGGGTCAAACATCGCGTGGGCACGTTCTTCGACGTAGAAGGCTGGAGAAAGACAAAGTTAGCATTTGATTCCATTGACGAAAGACAGGCCAGACCCAGCAGAAGAGCAGGGCAGGAAGGGGCTTGCATACGGGAAATTTGAATCATGTCGAACCAGCGCATGGCGTTCTCGTCGCTGCCGTCGACGGCCTTGAGCGTGCCGTCTGGACGGACGGTAGTCTTGGGTGGGAGACTCCGCATACGGAGGAGCATGTGCAGGATATCGGCGAAACGCTCGGACTGGTTGTAGTAGTAAGGGGGACGCTTGTCAAGGGGCCACTAGAGCGGGTTGGGTTAGCGACTGAATGAATTGTGATGGGACCACGGCTGGGTGGCATGGCACTACTTACGCGCTGGGAAAAGTTTTCGTTATCCCATGAGCGGAAAAGCCAGCAGGTACGCTCGACGCAGTTCAGGAGGACGACGGAGACCAGGAATGTCTCGAACCAGCCGGTCTTTTGGCGCTGGAGCAGTCGACGCTCGAGGTCTGTGATGACGGATTTGCTCAATTGCATGGCACGCTTCTCCATGCCAGCTCGCAGCTGACTGCATAGTAGGGCGTAGGACTCGTGGTCTGAGACTTCTTCTATAGGGATACGGCCCTCGTCGGAAGTCTGGGAAAGGGAGTGCATGGAGGCGGGAGGGAGGGTAGGGTTGCAGAAGGTCTTCCAGCTGAGTTCGGTGTCCACCAAGACATGGGTGGCGACCCACAACTCCACTGCGCGCTCCAGTAGAGTATCCTAGACACTGTTAGTAGATGATTCTTCTTTTTGCTCACTCAAGTCCATGTATGCATACCTTCTTAGATTGGCTCAACTCAGAAGCCAGCAGGAGAGTGGACTTCATGAAGACAGAAGCTTCGCGCTCAATGAAGAATGGAGCGGTCTTCTTGATGTACATCTCGAGTTTGCTCGGAACATCATCAGAATCACTGTCCAGAAGATAGATCTCTTGCGGGGGTCCGGAAAATTGATCTTCGCCCAGACCCTGAAGCTGAGGGTCAAGTGCGGAAACAGATGCACGGTGGCCTTGAACTCCGCTGAAGGTCACAAAGACCATGCTTTCCTCAAGATGAGTCACTTCAATGCGGCCAGCGTAGTGCTCAAACTTGACCTGGTTCCTGATGGCACTGGTGTCGTGATATGCGAGGGTGGCATGTAAGTCTAGATGGGTCAGTTTCAATCGGTGGTAACATTAGAGACACGGGGTAAGCGTAACTTACTCGCGTTATAAAGTTCGAACTCCTCGGAGAGACGAGTTCGAATGCAAGGGTGTTTCCAGAGACGGGCGCTTTCCACGCTAGCGCAAGTTGTGCAGGGAGTATCACCGGAGCACTAAGAAGTCACATTAGTCGCTTGATGGGCATCTCAAGTATCAGGTCGTTCTTACAGGTTTCTTCAGCATACGGCAACGAATGCATGCGCCTCGCTTCCGCACTTCTTGAACTTCCTTCCGTCGCTCGGTACTGAAGCGGCCGCGCACCTTGGGTTTGGCCGGCTTTGTAGAATTGCCAAACTCATTAACAAATCCCTTTGCCTGGGTGTTGGGGTTCATCGCAATCGGACGCGGGTATGAGGCAGCACGCTGAGTAGCCGCGGTCAAGGAGGGATCGTGTTCCTGAAGACTGTCGAACAAGAGTTGCTCCTGCGTCGATAATTGCTGGTTCCACTGGCCTAGCTTCAGACCATCTGAGCCCAGACCATCCGTATCCATTGTCAAGCCTTGCGGCACCATCTCGTTGGCTGAAGCCGCAATCATGGAGAGCTGTGATTGGCGTGCATTGGATGCGGACTCTGGGCTGAGTGAATGATCAAGTGGTGGGGACATGGAAGTTGGATGGTCCGAGGTATGACTAGGCAGGGCAGGAATGGTGGGAGTTCCAGAGGGTTGAGAAGTTCCTGTGAAATGATTTGTTACCTTAAATGACCTTTGCGCAGTCGACTTCTGGGGCATTTCCCACTTACCAGTCATGGTACTATCCTCTTGCTTAACGTCCCCTTGCTGTGAAGCAGATGCCTGAAAGTCGGCCTCCAGCGCTGGGTCGACTACTACTGTCTTGCCCCCCCACGGTGACGGACTGGGTGTATTGAGGGCCACGCTTTGTCGTATCCGACGCACCCACCTGGCGAGAAGCTTCCGCCAGCACGTTCAAGCCGTCGAAGTTGGGACGAGTGAAAGAACCGTCGGCGGATTTTCCTTTACCACCTGGCGTACTCGGGTCCTTATTGGCGTCGCCTTCGGTGAGGTCGGGAAGTTCGTGGAGTCGAAGAAGAACGCGTTGGCGGTCCCGGAGAGGAATGGCCTGGCATTTCTTGACCAAGTGGTTGGTCAAGCTATCGATGCGCCCTTTGGGGAATTTCTCGCCACAGGCCTTGCAGGTATGTTGGTAGCGATTACTAGAATCCTCGAGCTTGGGACCTCGAATGAAGAACTCGAGGATAAGTTGGTTGGGTTTGCGTCCCATTGTGGTTGGCGGATGGCTTATGGGAGGGAGGACGAGGGAAGAGGAAAAGGGGAAAATGTCAACGTGTCAATGCCCCAGTTCAACAACGATTCCGATGTGAATTGCCAGAACGTCACGTTCGCAAAGCACCAAGTTGAGTTTCGGTGACAAAACACGGGCTTGGCCACAACACGCGCGGTCCAAAGCGCGAAGGGAAAATTCGGATGGAGGAAGGGAAGGGGGGAGAGGAGGGAAGAGGTGGGAGGAGGGCGAGGTCGATGTTAGACCAGCGTGGCAGACAGCACCACGACTGGAAAGTTATCCCAAGAAAAAGAGGCCGAAGTTCCTATGATGCGACAAACCGATCGCGATATGCGGCAAAACTGGGGGGGCAGTAGGAGGCGGTCTAGGCGGTTTGGGTGAGAGTCGCGAAGACGGGAGCTTCACCGCACACAAGGCGGTGATGAGAGGGGGGGAAAGGCGGTGATGAATGCACAAAGGCGGTGTTGGCGGTGATGGTGGGAGTATCTGAGATGAAGATGATGGGGGAGTGGAATGGAATAGCAGTGGGAAGGTAGGATGGAGCAGAAGATGAGGGGATGACGATGACAAGGGGAGGTTGCAAAGTCTGCCGAAATATGCAGCTTTTGTTCTCATTTGACTTTGGGCCTTTCAGCGTCACCCTGCGCATTCCATCATCTCCATCTACGATACATCCAAATATCATAAATATCAGAATTGTCATAAATTGGGAATAGGTATACCACAACATTTTTAACTATAGCTATAATAATAATCATCATCGTAATATCACTTGAATCCCTTTACTCCCCTCCCTCCCCTCCCTCCACTCAACAAATCCGTTCCTCGGGTTTTCGCCACGGCACCCCCAGCAACGCGAATATCCGCCGTTCATCGAGTGCCTCCAACAACCGACCTGGATTGGTTTTCACCTGCCCAGTCCGAACAACATCCCCAAATAATCCATGCTGATTTAAACACATTTGCTTTTTCCGTGCAAGTAACCGCATGCTCCGATTGAAGATATCATTCCCCGTGAAATATAGCAAAGCGGCTCCCAGCTCAGGCCCCGGTACAAAGAGTAGATCGATTCGTCGCCAGACCTTACTCCCCGGTAGGCAGGATGCCCCATGCCACTTTGATCCATCGTTATTGCGGTGGGAAGTGGCCAGCCCGACCTGAAGAAACCCTTCTTCAAATAACTTCGGTACAATCACGGTCATGACGACGGTCCGGACCTGGTCCAACAGAGCACCCGATTTGGTGATGAGACAATCGATGTCTCCCGACTCCTGTGCCCGCGGCGGTAAGAGCCCGAGACAATCACCTGCATCTCCTTGTCGGCCGTCTGAACCACACGTCGCACGATCGCCCCGTGGGCCTCAACCTCCTTGCGTGGGATGCGCTGCGAAAAGTCGTGGTAGTGCTCCACTCCGATGCGCTGGTTCGGGGTAAGAGTGGCTTTCATGCGAAGATCCTCCAGTGATCGATAACCCTGTGACACCCATTTGGTAGCTTGGGCGAGTCCAGCACCATAAACTCCAAGAAATTCCTGAATAACAAGGTCTTCAGGGGAGGAATTGGCATAGTCAAGTCGGCGGAGGTGATTGGTGCACACGATCTCCTCGATCTTGTCTGCCAATCGTTTTCCAATGCCAGGAAGAGCCAACGCTTGCTTTCGCGTCGCAATCTTCTCCTTTTGGTTGCGTAAGGTATTGACGGCCCTGCGATAAGCCATGGTCCGCCATTGATCGGCATTTCGCGTATAGTAATCCAACATCTCTTTCAAAACTTCGATTGTCCTCGCATTCGGATTATCTCGTGATGCATTTGGGTCGGATTTTCGCATGCAAGCGAAACCTCTCGTCCAGGAGGGACCCACCTGGCCTTCACCGTATGCTGCAGTTCGTGATTTCTTCTTGGCCGGTCCGGATTCTGACGAGTCAGATTCCGCGTCAGATATCTCGGCTAGAGACTCCTCATCCGAGTCGAGTGGCTAGCGTAGAAGTTAGTAACAACCTCAGTCTTAAATGCTTATTAGAATAAACGGTCCTTACCAGGTGGCTTGTAGCCTTGCTTTCATTTATTATGTCGTCAAGTGCATCCCTTTCACGAGGTTCTGTTTCGACCTCCGCATCTTGTGGGGATTCGCTATCGACAGTTTCCAAAATTGGAGGTCCAGCAGAAACGTGCTCTTTGGGGGGGACTCTGGTGTCGCTCCGGTGACATCTCTTTTTCCCGCCTTGGTCGTTTCAAGGGTAATGAGTCGGCTGTCTTCTGCTCGACCGCTAGAGCCGGCTCTTCCTTTGCAGCAGGCACCGGCGTGCCAACGACCTGGAATCGAGGGTATGATGGGTCCAGGAGCGAGCGATATGTGATGCATTCAGGAGGGTAGTTTTCGTTCACGAGAGCTATATTTTTCTGTGGCCCGATTATTAGCAGCACGTCGGCAAATCTTGGGAAATATCCAACGAACAGGAAAACACCCAAGCTTGAGGTAATCGATCAGATTTTGGTAGGTCAGCCTTTTCTCAGCAACGACATGCGTAATATGGGTTCCCCATTGTCGAGTCCATTGTGCACCATATTCGCGGGCTCGCTGGATACGAAGTCGTCTGGCGGGAGCAATATCGTCGTTCGGTATGAAGACTGGGGTGGATGTTAGCCTCGGGTTAGAAGAAACAAAGGTATAGGTTTTCATACAAAAGACTAGGCCTTTAAATACTTGTTGCTCCTCTGGGACAGACTTGAGCACATCTGCTTTCCTCTTCTTCGTAGAAGAGCCTTTGCCAGTAATTCCCGGCATGGTACCTGTCGTATTCGAGCGCTTGACTGCTCTCACTTTTGGCTCGGGTGATTTGGTGAATGTATGATTCTCATTCCGCCGAATTTCAGTGAGATGTTGAGACCTTTGTTCGGAGGAAGATTGAGGTTCCGTATTTGCTCGGATCAAAGAAGGCGGATTGGGAGAAGCAACCTCGACCGCGGCAGCCTGGTTTGAAATATCGAGAGGGGGGACGAGAGGCAGCAAGTATACTTTCAAAGGAAAGACCAACGCCAGGCCGATCATCGTCTGAACCGTCCAAATCCTCGAGAGCAGCAAAGAAAGCTGCCTTGCTCATCGCCCGTGAGCGTCCCATGGCACCGGCCATTTTTCACGAATGATCCCATCCACGGATACCAGTCCGTGGGACATGGCCGAGAAACAATATATTATAGAAAGAGCAGCCTGAGTAGACCATGGTATACTAGTATAAGGTAGCAGTCATGACGAGAATTAGCCAGCAGAGTCCGAGTCCAGACGCGGGTGCCTTCCGCGTGGACCGTCGCGAGGTCACGGGATCCCATTTAACCATTTTGGTCTGAGCAGTAGACTCAGTACTATGGAGTATGGACTTTGCGATTCACGTTCGCAATTGAGGCAGAGCGAATGAAATGATTTTGAAGTGAGGGTAGCCTGCCCCGGTGTCCTTGAAAAAGCCACTAAGTAAAGCGACCAATAAGTGACACACATATTTCCCGCTACTAGGTGTTTTTGAGTGACATAGAAACTCATCCTTTGAGGAGAATACTAGAGGGAGGGAGAAGAAAAAGAATCTAAGCTTTTATTCGAGCTCATGCGGCTTTTCACCGTATATACCTCGAGAATAGAGCGCTCAAAACTCGACTACATTTACAAACGCCGATCACTTCCTGACTAGTAGTAGATACAAGTCCCTGAGCATGCACGACATCCAGGAGTGACCAGTCCACCGGTGAATATGTCACATCCGCCTGTATTACAGATTACTTAATTTTGTTTTGTTTTTTCCAAGGTTTGCATAAAAAAATAAATGAAAAAGAACTCCTGTGTAAAATTATGCTCCTAATCACTCTAGTCAACCGAGCACTTTTGACCGGCCCACGTCATGTGACCTCTATCAGAGACGACTCCGGAACGCGTTGGACAAATCTCCCACCGACCAAACACCCCAATCCTAGCCCAAAATGTGGAGGAATTCACTGACCACCACCTTGAGATCGGACCTCCCCCTCCTCCAGACAAGTCGTTGTCTGAGGTGCCAATTTCGCGGCACCACGGCCCTCACGCATCTCCGCGCGAATGCCTCTCTCCGCAACTATGCAACCAAGAACAGCACCCCGAAACCAAAGGACGCCGAGGCAAACCAGGTATCCAAATCAACGAACCGACCGATAAAGACATCCGCTCCCGGAACCCCCGCGCGCCCCTCCGTCCAATTCCAACAAAACCAACCCATAAGACACACCCCCCCATCCAAGCGATGAGAACTTCATACCTCCAACCCTGGACCGCCCAATCGGCACCGCCGCACCGCCAGAGGCAGGCGAAAATACGGGCGTCGATAGCCGCAGCTATCGCCAGCGTCGAGACGACTTCGTCGACTATGATACGCACATCAAGCGCCGAAAAGAATTGTACGTGCCCTGTCCGGTGCCGAATTTCCCGACTTCCGTTCCACTTCGAATCCAGAAACGAGTAAGCTGGTAGACTAACAATCTAACTATTTTGCAGAACTCGACAAGTCGCCAAACCCTACTTCCGCGAATGGTCCAATCTCCGCTTCGCAGAAGGTAAAACCTTCAAGTCGAACCCGCGCCTCTTCCGCTCCGACAAAGCCCTCTACTTCCCCAACATACGCGGAACAACCCTCTCCTCGCCAAAGGACCCGCAAGACACCACCCCCGTTCTCGAAGGCAAAATCACCATCGTGAACCTATTCTCCAGCGTCTGGGCCGAGGGCCAAGTCGCGACTTTCACCGGCGCACCGCTGAATCCCAAGCTCGCTGAAATTATTGCGGCCGCTGGTCCGCTCGTGCAGCGGGTGGATATTAATCTGGAAGAGAATCGTATGAAGGCTTGGTTGGTGAAATCATTTATGTGGCGCATGCGACAGAAGTTGCCGGAGGCGCAGCATTCGAGGTATTTCCTTGTGCAGAAGGGGTTTACGGAGCTTTTGAAGGAGGCGATTGGGATGATGAATTCGAAGGTCGGCTATGTTTATCTTGTTGATGATTCTTGTCGGATTCGTTGGGCGGGGAGTGGTCCTGCTGAACCGGTTGAGTTGGAGACTCTCAATAATGGATTGCAGAAGTTGATTGCGGAGAAGAAAGCTGCTCTGCAGGCGGAGAGGTGAGAAACCCCCTCTCGCCAGATGACGCTTGGTAAGAAAGGAACTACTTAGCTCTACGGTCTGGTAGGGTGAGATTTCCTGGGTACGATATTTGCTGCGATGCGGCTCCCCCCTCTCAATTGCCTTTGTACATAAGATAGAGAATGTATAATAAACATAGACAGACGCCTTTTACAGGTCAGACCGGGCGTGCAAAAACAACGACAAAATAACAAAAGAACAGACTTATCGCCATTCTTGTCAAGCAGGGATAAAGGTTCCATAGGCAACATAATATCCCAACCCCGAAACGCCCAGTGTATGAGACAAACCAAACCAAGAAGTAAAAGAAACAAGAAGATGAACTTCGAGAGCTCGCTGGCTGCAACGGAGAGCAAGTAGAGGCAAGATGGAAAACGCATTGCAACCCGTTTAAAACGAAAGGAGAAAGAAAAGGAACCCCCAAAATAAATAGGAAAAGAGGCCCAGCCCATTCCCATCCTATCCCATCTAGTGGAAGTATAACAGCATCAAGAAACAAAGACCGATAAAAACGCCAAGGATGATAGAATCACGCCTTTTCTTCGTCCCAATCTTGCCGATCAGATAGTTTATGCCAGGCACCTGGCCCGCTGCGCCGACAATACGCCGATTAACGCTGGCCAGAGTTTCACGCTGTAGGCCGAAACTCTCATTGATGGAGTATGCCTGGCTGAGCACACCGTCGATCATGCTGTGGCTGTTTTCCACATGGCCCCGCTCCTCCAGCATGTAATCTGCCTCTTCGGCATTGGGGTTTGAGGCGCGGTATGCGTCGATGTCGGAGCGGACGTTTGAGAGGAGGTTGGCGCGGGTGCGGGAGTCGGCGATAGCGGTTTGGAGGCGGCGGAGTTCGCGGCGGTGGTCTTGGAGGATTTCACGGTGGCGGGAGAGGTAGTTTTGTTTTAGGGCTGATGATGTGAGGGTTGCTTCGGAGTCGAGGAGACGGGCGAGTTGGGCGACTAGGGATTCTCGCTGGAGAGGGTGTTAGCATGCTGCGGTGCTGTTCGTGGGTCATAGGGAGTGGGAGGTTGGCAGCGTACCTGCTCGAGGAGGTCTTTTAATTGAGACTCTAAGCGAAGTTCTTCTTCTGTTGGGTTTGGTGGGGGTTTATTGAGCGCGGCAAATTGTGCGTATGTGTGAAAGAGGTTCTCGGTCTGTTTGAAGCTGTTAGTCCAGTTGTCGGATATAGGATAGGATAGGGTAGAGTAGAGTTGAGCGTGATGGGGGGGTGGTCGTACCTGGGTCTCGAGTGAACGAGTCTGTTGCCGCAGCTGTGTCCATCCAGAGCCGGTGGACGTCATGGTGTAGGGGTGTCAAATAGTAATTAGAAGAGTAAATCACAGAGTCAACGAAAGTCGGCGCTGGATGACCCCGGACAGCCAACGTCAACGTGAGTGTTGAGCTAACCGTATTTGGAGGATTTATGCCTTAGTGCCTTTCTGCCTTAGCGCCTTGATGTCTGGCTTACACCGCCCTGTAGTTCTGCCATTTCCCACACTTCGCACATCACGTGCACGCTTAGTGTTGCAACTCGCTTAGCCCTAGTCCCACAACCACAATTTGATCCGGCCCGTATTGAAGACCGATTTCTCAACGCCAAACAACCGCACATACAACAACGCCACGATGGTATGTCCGCCTACGACGATCAATTAAGTGCTCTCGAACTGATTCATGTCGTTTTTATAGTCGTCCAAGGTCAAGGCTGGTCAGCTCTGGGGCAAGAACAAGGAGGAGCTCTCCCAGCAGCTCGAGGAGTTGAAGACCGAGCTTAACCAGCTCCGTGTCCAGAAGATCTCCAACGGTGCTTCGGCCAAGACTCTGCGCATGTGCGTATTCGATTCCGATCCATTCCCATTCCCACACACTCGATTTTGAAGAACAGGGGATCATTCTGCGAAGACCGGGGATTGTGCAAGTGCGATTGGGCGGCAACAACGAAAATTTCATCAGAATGCAAAAACACCATGAAAAGCGACAACGACGAATATACGACACATCACATCCATCACCGTTACGCACTGCACATGCACAATCCTACGGAATCGCAATTCCCCAGAAATCTCAATCTCGAACCCAAATCTATCCACCCTCCACACACATATATACACCCCAAGACAATCACTCCAGGTCCAGTCATACTAACATCTCGCCCACAGCCACGATGTCCGCAAGTCCATCGCCCGCGTCCTGACCATCATCAACGCCAACCAGCGCGCCCAGCTGCGTCTGTTCTACAAGAACAAGAAGTACCTGCCCCTCGACCTCCGCGTCAAGCAGACCCGCGAGATCCGCCGCCGTCTTACCAAGCACGAGGCTACCCGCACCACCGACCGCCAGCGCAAGCGCGCCATCCACTTCCCCCAGCGGAAGTACGCCGTCAAGGCCTAAATGTCGTCTTGTGTGGCTTGCATGATGTGTGTGTGTGAAGGATGATGGGAGTTTGCCCTTGGACTACATAAAATTTTTCTAAAAAGAAATCCGAGTGGCCGGGGTCGTTTTTATCTCTTTTTTTGTGACACTCCAAAAAATGGAAATTTGATTGTGTATCTTAGAAGGATGCAAATCGACTCTTATGACATGAATTATTAGAAAATTTCCCCCTTTTACTTTACCTTTTCCGCGATGTGACTGCGGCTCTTGGTCTGGTTTATTTGGTTGGGTCATGGAGTAATTGTAGATTCACCATGGTCATGTAGAATATTGCCCCTGCGCCCCCTCTACTATTGATCTTGGCCCGGTCTGGACGTCGTCGCTCTAGTACTAGTACTACTAGTAGTCGCACCGTCAACCTTCAAAAGGCATTTGGCAATGCGTCCATGTATTCTTGACTCGTTTGTGGAACAGGTGATTGGGAAGAACAACACTTAAAATCTTGCCTTGCTCTAGAAAGAACCATATTCTAGTACTATACACCCTGGCATATACTAGTTCAGAGGTCATCGAAAGAACGAACATACATGAAACTATAGACGCTAAGACATCCAAAACCCACACCAACCCTCGAACCTCAACTAGCCCGATCCCATAACAGCAGGTGTCCTCGCTCCCTGCAACGACGAACTCCCCCCAACAGAAGCTCCCGGAACCGCAGCACCAGCCTCGGTCTCCAACATCCACATCCCCCCACAAGGACAAGCCCGAAGAAGATTCAACTTAACAAGCATCTTAAAATAAGGCAACGATCTCGGCAACGAAGTATCCCCCGAAACCTCACAACACCGGACACACCTCCTTCGCTTCTGCGCCTGAAGGATCTTCCCATCCCTTCCCACCGCGAGCGGCGGTCTGAGAGGGACTTTCTTAAGAATATCCACATCGCGCTGGCGTCGGTACAGCGCTGTCCGCGCATCGGTTCCAAATCCAATCCAGCTGTAATCGTTCAGCAGGATGTCTTTGCGATTGATTTCTGCTTTGAGCGCTGGCACGGTTTGCCGGAGGAGTGTCGCTACGGCGCTGATTAGGACCGGTGGAATTCGCGCGCTGACGAGAAGTTCTTTTTCTGGTCCTGGGCGTTCGGCGTCGCCGAAGCCGGCGCCTTGGTAGGCGTGTTTCACGGCGGAATCTACGCCTGCGAGGAACTTTTCGTAAACGTCTATTCTCACGGGCGAGTTTTCGAGGACTTGGCAGATCTCTGTGTAGTAAATTCTTGAGTCGTTGGATAGGGTTGCTGGGTTTGTGTTTGCGAAGCCGGCGTGTACGCCTCGGAGGCCGCGGCATATGAAGCGTAGGAAGGCGCGGGACATGCTAGATAGGAGGGTGAGGAGGGGGATGGAGGTTGTTGATTTAACTGGGGTTGTGTTAGTAAATAGCTGGGCGGGGTAGATGTAGGATGGGTGGGAATTACGCTTCTGGGTAAATGCTTCCTGGTCGTTGAAGACATCCTCGAATTCAGCGGCTAAGTCTAATATTTCGCTGAGGACGAAGTGGGAGAAATCGAGTGTCCACTTTGCGTTGCCTAGAATCATGCGGAGAATTTCTGAGAGAATTGCGTTAGTTGCAAGTGATGTTGACGGGAAATTTGCGGGCCGACGTACCTGGATCGTAGGCTTCATTTGGTGATCCTTTAGTGTGTTGGAAGAAGAATGCGAAGAGAACCGAGGCGTGGCGGAGTTGAATGACTGCCCAGGGGACAGAGGATGCGAGTGAGCGTCGTTTCAATCTCCCATTGTATCCCAGAGCAGCCTGCAGGCTCAAACATTTTGGTATATAAGGATGGGTCATGAGTTTTTCTTGATCAACGGTGAAGTTGCAGTTGACCGGCAATGCGCGAAACGTCTCGGTGATAAGTGTCGCTTGGCCCTCTGTGGTTTATGTCAGTCATGGTTTAGGCTGTGGATATTTGTGACAGGGGAACTAACCCGCTGAGAGCTGCCTCAGGGCGACCATGAGAATATCATCCGTATTGACGTCTGCTCCACAGCCGCGGCTGAAGGCGAGTGTAAGGGCCGCAATGGCTGAGGAGAATTTACCTGTGGTGATCATTTAGTCCTGCAAATAACAAATATCAGGATTGGTAACATTCAGAACATACTCTCATCGTATAGACCCCCAGCCGACCCAAAGGAGTGCTCCATTAATCGTAGTTGCGGTTGTCCCTCGGAGTTTAGGGAAACTGCTGCGCAGGAGTTCGGCGAAAAGCTGATAGCAACTCCTATCAAGAAGCGAATGGCATGTCAGCAAAATTGTTAAGTGGGAGGCTTTTTCTGGGGAAAATTACCTGGCGCCTCCATGGGATACTGATACCCAGCCTGGGTCAGACAGGTCACGGTACTCCCGTCATCCAACCCATTAAATATCGTCATACCCCTTGTGTCGTAGAAAGAGATTGAACTGTCATCGTGTGTGACGGCAAGAGCGGTACCGTGCTCTACCATATCCACAGAGATAATATATCGATCGCAATGGATGTCTTCCAACCGACGGAGCTCCATTTTGGACTAGATAGCGTGTCAGCCAGAATCAAACTTTCAGAATAAAGGGCATGCCTACCTTAGGTTGAGCATTGCTTTTCTTCGACGGAACTTCGTCAAATTTGGGATGGAAGGCTTGCGGTGCTGATTCGAGGTGCCACCGTACAATCACACTTGGCGGCCCCTGTTGATCTGGGTAATCAGGTGTTGCATGAAGAGGTTTAGAGAAGACAGCCAGGATCCACGGGCTGGAAGTAGATCCTTGTTGGCCGTCGACTTGACCTGACATGATCTCCAATCTTGTTAATGAGTATACAGTGTTTGGGAATGGCAGTGACTGGGCCATTTGCTCATCGACTCCTCTGTCAATGTTCAGGAAGGGACTAGGCATATCCACTTTGCACTGAAGGATACGGAAGGAAGGGAGAGGGAATTGATTTGGATGTTTGGCCTGTGTTGGGTCCCATTGTGGCGGGTTCCAGTTAATTTGTACTCGGTATAAGCAAAGCTTCTGGCAGACTGAGTATGTAGCGATCAGAATTCCAGCTAGAAAGGAAGTTGTTAGCTGTGTGCTACGGCCCGATGAGCCTGGAGATGAATATACCTTGAGTTGAAACCATGGACGCGTGCGTTAGCAGTCTATCTGAGTAGCCGGTGTTCTTCAACTCGGCCGGCAGTTCTGCCCACTTGCTGTCTGGGTTCTGATAGATGAGCCGGATCTGGCCCGCTCGGGTCACACAGAGCAATGCGCCTTTGTTGGCGGGGTGAAAGGGACCAATTGGACGCCGGCGGAACGGCGAATATGTCCATCGACCACTGACTTTGGTAGCCTGGTGGAAGGCATGGACCTGGATGAAGCGTCAGGAGGTGGCGGGGATAATTGTGGTGGGTGGTATAAGTTGGCAACATTGAGGTTTGACTTACAGAGCGGGTTGTATTAAGCCACATCATCCCAACAACCTGGTTGCTATCGTCACTGGAGTCAAACAACGCTTGCCGCAGTCCAGTGATACTATTCAGAGCCATCGAGATGGAGTAGATGGAGACCCGGCCGAGACAGTCGACGACAGAGAGCTCGGAGCCGGTCTCGTTGCAAGAGAGATGGACGAGCGTGTTACCATTATGAGCTTCTGTGACGGTAGCCAAAAATGACTCCCCGCCCAGCACCCACTTGCCATCCGAGGGGCGGCACTGAAGATGGCGGACACTGACCCGAGTGCCATCTGGGGAGATATACGCGACACAACCAAGGCGAGACCAGGTAATCTTCCTAGGGTGGGTCAGTCTGGGGCCAAGAAAGGGCAAAGACGGGCAAAGGCAATATGTATCTATAAGATATCTGCCAGAATAAAGAGTGTCACTTACTGGCGACATCCTAGGAGACGCATCTCATCGAGGCACTGGGCGAGGCCTTTGGCGGGCATCGGCATGGACATGGGCACGGACACGGGGGGGTGGCAGCCCCAAGCCCAGGGAGCTGGACTCGCCAAAGAGATCATCAACATCGATGCCCCCCTCCATGATCAATGGCATAGTGTGGAGGTGGGACGGGAGGGAAAGTTATGACATGCGCAGGAGAGGAGTCAGCCCCGCATGGCTCTTGAATGCTTCGCCGATCGACGGAGTACCGGCGGTTGTTGATACGGGGAGGATCCGCCGAGTATCAACCGGGGCTCAGCTTCAATGGACGAAGAAAAAGAAAAAGAAAATGGCGTAGTGATGACAATCAGTCTGGGGATTATTGGAGCAGATAATATATGCAATGCAATGCAGTCTCAGTGTCTAGAATAAGAATAAGAATACGACGAAGAATGGGCCTGGAACCATCGATATTCGAGGGTGTACCTTCATCGCTGGATGTCTTGTGTCACATGATGCTGCAAAGAGAGTGTGCACGTGATGCGTAGCCCTGCCAACGACTCCCAGCCAATCACAACCAATCACAACAAGAGATTTTCCCCACATCCGAACCTGCCAATCAGCATCGAGTACTCAGCATCGAACTGTCAGGGCCCCAAAGAGAAACTCGAAACACAACAATATTGATTCAACACGCGAGAAATAACAAAATCAGAATTGTTAAAAAGATAGTTCTTAGGATGAATGAAAATGCTATATATAGATATGGATTGATATACAGCACATATAGATATAACATCAATCTTCTTCTCGTCCCCCATTCCCATAGGTATTTCCCCTTAAGATCCCACTCCCCCCAATGCTACTTCGCATCGACGCGCATCATCGAGTGAGCCCGACCTGGTTGTCCTTCCCTCCCCGGGGGCATACCACCGTTTCCCTTCCCGTTTCTCTCTTTTTTTTTTCCCGCAACAACCACATTCCACTCTCCCCGTTTAAATCCCGTGGGTCACAACACCGAGCCTCTTTCTGCAATATCAAAGCCCTTTTCTTCGGCTGACCTCATCGCATCTCCTCCCACACTTCCCATCTCTTTTCACTTCCCACACCTTTTCAATCCCCAATCTCCTTCCTCCCTCCCCCCTCCTTCTCCCTATTTCCTCTATTATTCAACCTGGGGTAATTCGGTTCCTACATGATTTAATTATTCGTCTGGTCATTCGACTGTGTGATTTCCCAGGGAGAATAATCCCCTGCTTCCCGCAGTTCTCCGACCTGTTCAACCCCTGGGCCCTTGGTCAACCTCAATCCCTCCCGTCTGGCCAGGTGTTACTCCTCAACCATCTATTTTCGCCATGTCTCCAGATATTTCTGATGTCTCGAGCGTCTCCGATTTGAGCTCCTTAGCATCATCCCGACTGTCAACGCCCGAGCCAGAGTCGCGGTACCCGACCCCGTCCTCCTCGCAAGATGCGGAGGATTTGCCCTCGACGCGCCAAGACTGCCCGCCCGCGAAGAAGAAACGCCGGCGCAACCCTCTCCCCAAGGAGCGCACCACCCAACACCTTTCTTTCTCCAAGTCCTCAGATGATCAACCAGATCAGGTCCGATTGCTCTTTGACACTCTTCGCTACCAAAAAGACATCGTCGTCATTGCTGGCGCCGGTATCTCCACCTCTGCGGGTAGTAAGTTTTCATGTGCCGCCTTCCCACTTTGGGATTCCCCCTCCAATCATACTCAGCACACTGGAAATCTTGGACCAACTAACCACCACATGTATAGTTCCGGACTTTCGCTCCGAAGGTGGTCTCTTCAAGTCTCTACAGCAAAAGCACAATTTGAAAGCTTCCGGCAAGCTTCTCTTTGATGCTGCCGTCTACCAAGATGACGCTTTGACCGCCCCCTTCCATGAATTGGTTCGGTCGCTGTCAGAGGAAATCAAACATTGCAAGCCCACCAAATTCCACGAAATGCTGGCAAGTCTTGGTTCAGGAAATCGGCTTAAGCGTCTGTATACTCAAAATATCGATGGCCTCGAGACCTCGATGCAGCCCTTGAAATCCGAAATCCCCCTTGGTGGCACCAAGGGTCGATGGCCCGTCACCATCCAACTACACGGCAGCATCGAGAAGATGGTCTGTCAAAAGTGCCGCCATCTGCAAGATTTGGAGCCAAGCCAGTTCTGTGAGGCCGATCCGCCCGATTGTGAAGCCTGCTGTGACAACGATACAGTCCGTCAGGCCACCGGTCAACGAAGCCACGGTATCGGGCGCATGCGACCGCGCATGGTTCTGTATAACGAACATAACCCCGACGAAGAGGCCATCACCTCCGTCATGAATGCAGACGTCAAATCTCGCCCCCGTGTCTTGATCGTCGCCGGTACTAGTCTGAAAATTCCTGGCGTCCGTCGCCTAGTCAAGAGTCTGTGTACTGTCATCCGGAGCCGTAAAGACGGCGTCACCATGTTTATCAACAATGAACCACCTCCCGGCAAGGAATTCGATGATTGCTTTGACCTGATCGTCCGAGGAAACACAGACCAGATCGCAGATCTCACTCACCTTCCACCCCACACAGAGGTTCAAGACGAGAACTGGGAATTCCCAGAGCCGGTCTGGCAAGCCACATCCGAAGAGGAATCATCAGCATCCGATTCTGAGCGAGAGACTAAGGCAGCCAGTTTCTCTGTTGTCATCGGTACTCCGAAGAAGCGCCCTCGCAGCGATACCGGCTTAATGACCCCTTCCTCCAGCCAGGACGAACAACCAAACCTACCCGCCGCCAAGGCTGTCAAGATAGCCAAGGGATCAACGGTCAACCCGGCGAGTCGTGGCCTCAGCCTCAACGAGGTTCTCAAGGCAGGCAATGCAAAGCCTGCTCCAGCCAAAGGTCGCAAAAAGCCCGCCGCTTCAACAGCACCCAAGAAACGTGGTCCCAAGGCCGCCCCGGCCAAGAATGCTCCCATTACGAACTTCAGCAAGGTTTCCAAGGCTGCTCCAGCTGCTCCAGCTGGCAAAAAGAATCCCCTCGGCACCGCACGCGGCAATGGTCTCCCCAAACAAGGTGCCATGTTTCCAGGCCTCGTCAAGAAAGCGGGTGTGCAGGATGTCGCTGCCATTCCCGAGGTTGTCTCATAATCCCCTTTTTGCATGACACCGGTCTGATTACACTTCATGTTCCGTGTAGCCCTTTTCATGAGCTTCTCTGTTCTTTTCACTTCTCTCTCCATATGATGGTGCATGATTTCAAGATGGCGCCGGGTTCTCTGTTTTTCTCTTCTTGTTCTATGATTCCCCATGCTGATTTCATAGATGTTCTTCTTCATGGCCATCTACTGGATTTGCCAGTTTTTTTTTCTTTCCCTGCTTCTTTTCGACCTCTTGCACTGTTTCTTTCGTGGCTTGTCGAGCTCGATCGTTCAGCCTTTTTCGATGCATCTGTCCTTGAGAAAGATACCAACGATAGACTATGGTTTCGTTGCATGGGTGGCGTTGGCTTCGGCTTCGGCGTTTGTGGGCCCTGGGTGGCCGGTTCGATTAACCATTATTTGGTTATGTTTTCTTTTTCTATCTCCTGCTGGAGATACTGTGCCGACATGCGATGAGTGGAATGTCTGGTTACAGATGAGTTTACCACATGCGGCGGTTAGTCCTGTCGGAAACAGTGATAATAATCCTACTGTATTTACAACCATCAACTTTTCATCCGTTCCAAGGTTCTTCAAGACCAATACCTATATGCCTGGGTAGCTCCTAGTATTGCACCTTGACCACGAACCCATTCATGCAACCCTGACAGTAATCCCGCCTTTGCCAGGTAGTACGCAATGGATGCCCGCATCCGAGCACGCTCCGCAAACTTCAAACCTGAAGCAAAAAGTAGATGAAAAATCTCAAGACCCAGTTCATAATTATATATAGTACAGAAAAGAAAAGACTCTCACTCCGGGGCTCTAGAGGCCAGTGCCTGGTAGTAATTTAGCCCAATCCCAAATCATTATGCAACTGACTACCAGGACCATCCTCATCCTCCGACTCCTCATCATCAGGATCAACATGACGACGCTCCCCATCCAAATCCTCAACCCGATCAATATCCTCCTCATGCCCTTTCTCCTCCTCCTCATCCTCATCCTCCTCTTCCTCTTCCTCATCTTCATGCTCATGCTCCTCCTCAACTTCCTCCTCCTCATCCTGCGTCTCATCCCCATCAACATCCCCATCCCCATCTCCCCCAGTCTTCCCCTCAGAATCCCTCTTCACCCTCTTCGCAGGATTATCGATCATCTCAACATCATCGTCCTCGTCCCGCGCCGCTGCCGAAGAACCAGTACCGGCCGCAGCTCCGGCGCCGGCAGAGGCAGAGGCAGAGGCAGCGGCAGCATCCCCTTCTTCCTCGGGTTTCTTCGCCTTGCGCTTTCCGGCCTTGATATCCGTATACGCTTCGAGCTCGGCTTCGAGGCGGGTGCGGAAGGAGTCGAATTCGAGTTCTGAGAGGGCGGCGAAGACGTCTGCGGGCGCGACGGTGCGTTTTAGGGTTGATTCGTTGGCGCTGGGTGTTTGTTAGTTTAATTTTTTCTTTCTTTTTCTTTTTTACTTTGAATTTTTCGAGGTTGTAAGGGGAATGAGGAGTAGGAAACGTACTGTGATGAGAGATATGACACGAATACAGTGGCGGCTTTCTGAATTGCGAGAACGGCGTCTTTTTGGATGGTTGTGTTGGGTGGGAGGACGGATTTCGCCAGTCGGATAGTTAGGGAGCGGGGGAGGAGATAGTCCTGTGTAGTGACGGAGTAATTAGTTTCGATTATTCTTCTTGCCTCTTGCATAATAGATTGGTCCTGGTCCTGGTCCTGGATCTGGTCCAGTTCCCATCTACCTGTTCGCGGAGCGGAGTGCTTACTTCAACGCTAACGCCAGCCTCTGCCCGCGCCTTCAACTGCTGCTCCGTCGCGGTGATGGGCTTGTCAGAGCTTGTCTGGGCTTGTGGCGAGAGTTGGATTGATTCATCTGGGTCTGCGGGCGTCACGGAGGACGTAGACTTGCGCGGAGGCATTTTTGGTTCGGTTGAGCCGTGTCCCCTTGTCGCTGGGTTTTGGTGTGCAATTCGTCGGCAGTGGGTTTGATATAGATGCTGAGTCTGTTTTTGAGATGACCTCCTGTGTTGGAGTCGATGTTGTTGGTGTTTTTTTGGTCCTGGTGGTTGGTTGGGAGGGGAGGGTGAGAACGCGAAATTCGCGACGCGGTGGGCGTGGCGGATGTGGGGACGATGGAAAAGGTGTCGCTATATCGTACACCGCATATCTGGGTCACTGTCGGTTTGCTATCATTTTACAGATTGTCTAGTACTAGTATTCTTATTCAAGTTTTATAATTCGTCTTTGTGCGTCTTTGGTCTCATACAGTACGCAGTGTACCTAGGTACATAATCTAGTAGTATATATCCACGCCCGTGGATATAGTTGAATGCTGAATTGTAAGGATATATACTACCACTAGTATGGAGTCAATATGCACAACTTTTCTACCAAACTGGATCTTGACATTCAAGTTCACCTGGGCAAACTGACCTTGGAAGGTTGAATTTATATGCAGAAATTAGCAGATAATCAAGATATTTGCTTTGAAAATAATCCTCATCAAGAGAAAGACCTGAATATAGAGCTAGGAGTGAGCGAATTTTGCAAGAGATGGCCGAATATAAGGGACAGATAGATACAGAAACCCCCAGGACGATTCACGTTGTTCCGTGCAAGCAGAAGTCAGATTGTGTAGCAATCTGACATTGTTCGGGCCATGCTTCTTTCTGATTCTTCCAAATATTTTATTTGCAGGGCCTCCGCTTCCTTCAGAACTTGAAGATTTTGCTTGTGACAAACCCAAATCAAATCCATCAAACTTTACAGGCCGAGACATTGTCCATTTTAGATGGCGAACTATACGAAAGAAAATGTAGAACAAAAGAAAAATGTAGTAGGTATGCTTATTTAAACTCGCTGCCTCTTCGAACTAGAAACATGTAAACGCCCACTTTTTGGTATCCAAATCCAAAACAAGAACCGATGACTTCGTAACTGGAGCTTAAAGAGACGGCTGGAGGAGAAAATTCCTTTTTTTTACTCAGCCATCGCATCATCGTCACCCTCGCCATTGCCCCAAAGACCCTCGATCTGGAATTCCTTAGCCCACTCTGTAACAACCTGGGCCGTAACGACTCCCTCGCCCGGAGCGGTCTCAGCGGCATCGGCAGGAGCAACGACGGACAGAGCAGGGGCGTTGGCCCAGCCCTGGATCCGACCATCTCTCCAGTCGTTGACGACAGTCATAGCGGCGCTCTCGATGTTGGGGATACCGCCCTTTCCAAGACGTCCGCGCTTGCGAGCAACCTGGATCAGGAAATCGGTGGTCTTGTCACCGTTGGTGGGGAAGAGGGAGGTGATGCCGTAGACTTCGAGCATCTTGGCGATCATGTTCTCGGAGGATGATAGACGCTTGATAAGGAGGTTAACTGCGGGGATGGGGTCCTCGATTTGCTTGGGCGGGATGGCGTTCAGCAGGATCAAGCGGGCTTGCTCGTTCTCCTTGGACTTCTTGCTGGTCTTGCCGCTTGAACTGGGGAAGACGATTCCGGGGGGAGTCGATCAGCTTCAGCTTGTTGTCCAGCTTAACGGAGCGCATGTTGGTGGTGACACCGGCCTCGGCGCCGGTCGGGCAGGCATTGCTGGAGCCCTTGTTCAGGCGGGCTGTCAGGGCGTTGATCACGGATGACTTGCCGACGTTGGGGTATCCGATGACACCAACGGAAATGGAGCGCTTCAACTGCTTGCTGTGGGCGTAGGCCTTGAGGGCGCGGAAGAGGGTCTCAGAAGTACCCTTGACGGTCAATTGCTTGTGGTCGAAGGTGTGGGCGTTGCCACTGCCGTTGGAGGCCTTCAGCGGCAGAGTAGGGAAGGATCGGCGCAGGTGGAGGAGCCAAGCCTTGAGAACGGGGGGAGGGACAAGATCGATCTTGTTGAGGATAAGAATGAGACGCTTGTTTCCAGCGTCTGCGGCCATGATCTCACGTTCCACCTCCTTCGAGCGGGTGCCTTCGGGGTCACGGGCGTCGAGCACGTACAGCACCACGTCGGCGGCCTCAGTCACAGACTTGAAGACCTTGTCGAATTGGCGCCGTGAGGTCTCCTTGGAGGGGTTCTGTGCGTCAACGAGGTCGGGCGTAGAGTCGAAAGTGATTCCACCCTCCTCCTCATCTTCATCCATCTCATCCTCGTCGTCCTCCTCCATCTCGTCATCATCTTCGTCGTATTCGGTAGCGCGCGCACGTGCAGAGGCAAGCAGGGCTGCCATTGGGTTTGATTCATCTCCATCTGCGTCCATGGTATCATCCAGCATGTCATCGCCGTCCAGGTCTACCTCGATCTCCGCCTGATCGACATCGACACCCTGGGCTTTCTTGGCCACGATCTTGCGGGCCCGAGCCTCCTCGCGAATGCGCTGTTGCTCCTCCGCCCTCAAACGCTTCTTCTCCTCGATCTCATGGAGAAGCTTGTCCTTGAAGGGGAAAAGGCTAGGAATGCCGGGGTCCTTCTTCATCTTAGACCGCCATTCGGGGTTCTATAGAAGAAGAAAAAAGTGTAAGTACTGGGGATCAAAAAAAATGCGAGAAACTGCCCAATTAAATGAGCAAATAAATATCGGGATCACACACCTGCTTCGCAAGCTTTCTGTTCTTCTTTTGTTTGGCAACAGCGGCCTTTTCAATTTTGTGCCGCAGGCGAACGGGGACCCGCTTGGAACTTTTGCCTGTTGCATGTCAGAGGTACTGTGAAAAGAGACAAAAAAAACAAGATAGCCTTCTTGGGGCCATGGGAGACATACCGAACTTTGACTTAGTGACCATCTTGCCGGTATATGTGTTGGTGACTGGCAGAGATGAAAGACAAAATGCCGTATCGCATTTGCGGTACAGTCTTTCCACGAAAAAGTTGAGCGCGGCCGGCGATCGGCGTTTCTAGTTTTTCCGCTTATCGAAATTCAATCCCGGAAAATCAGATTGGCCGATTCGCCGAGTGTGTGATGGCGGATACCTTCCAAATTAGGCAATCCAGCCGCCGGACATTGCGACTTCCTTTTGCCAGACTGTTTCTCTGCTCTTTTCTGTTCTATTCTTTATAAACTCTTGCATATTTCTACTTTCCCACGGCCTGACGACTTTCTTTCTTTTCTAGACTCCATTAGACTCTTGTCTTTCTCTTCTTCTCTCCAATAACCCTCCGACCAACACCGAATACCTCCCCCGCATCACCCCTCTCCCCACTATGTCTCCCTCTCTCTCCGCAATCGAATCCTTCTCTGCGCCTACGCAAAACTTCACATTCGATGGCATTCTTTCAGACTTTGATGGAACGATTGTGGACTCTACAGCTGGTATGTCGGTCTTGGACTACTATGGGCAACTATGGGTGTATGCAGTGCGATCGGCAGCTGACTATATATCTTCGAACCAGCCATTGTCAAGCACTGGCACAAGTAAGTGCAATCGCGAATGCAAGGACACGTCTAGAACAATATCGACTAACCCGATCTTCTCGCAGAATTGCAGCTGAGTTAGGCGTTGACCCCGAGACTATCCTGGCCACCTCCCACGGCCGGAGAAGCATCGATACAATGGCACTCTACGACAAGTCAAAGGCCAATTGGGAATGTACGCCAGTCCCTCCCCCTCACCCCTTCACCTGACGCAACTTTCTCCTCGTAGGAACCGAGGAGTTCTTGTCCACGGCCCTCCCCTTCTTCTACTGCCTATTCTAACCACCATTACCTCCACAGACGTGAACTACATCGAAGGCCGCATCCCCAAAGAATACGGCACCGACGCCAAAGAGATCCCCGGAGGCCGCGACCTCCTCCGCGCCCTCGAAACCTCCGGCGCAAAATGGGGTGTCGTGACCTCCGGTACGCGCGCCCTTATCGACGGGTGGCTCGAAGTCCTCGGCCTCACACACCCAGAGAAACTCGTTGTCGCCGAGGACGTGCCCCTCGGCAAGCCAGATCCGCGTTGCTACCTCCTTGGTCGCAAGCAGATTGAGCTGGAAGATCCAGAATCGACCTCCGTTTTGGTGCTCGAGGATGCGCCGTCGGGTATCAAGGCTGGAAAGGCTGCTGGGTTTAAGGTTCTTGCCTTGGCGACGACGCATTCGCTGGAGCAATTGATTGCTGCGGGTGCGGATTGGATTGTTGAGGACTTGAGGAGTTTGATTGTGACGGGTGTTGTTGATGGGAAGGTAAATGTTGAGATTCGGAATGCGTTGCAGTAAGTTTTGCATTTAATTTGAATCTAATAATGTTGCCATTCTTTTTGTTCTCTGGTCGGCTTGTTTCGACTCGACTCGACTCGACTCGACTCGTCTCGTCTCGTCTCTTCTCGCTTCGCTTTGCTTGGCCTGAAATTTCCTGGCCAGGCCAATACCGGATAGTATCTACTGTCGGTACTCTGTACAGACCTGCTAAATGTACATACGTATGTACCTAGTCTTCCTTGTTTGTTAATATGCCTGTGCATACAGTATGGTTGGGACGTCTTGGCTGTAGGGGCCAAAGGCGGAGACTAGACTTTTGATGATCTGGTTACACAGCATATACAGGGTTGCAAGAAACTGAGATAAACGTGCGCACAGGTTGTACAATCTGCGGCTTTTTTTTTTTGCTCCCTTTCGCCTGGGCTTTCGGGACTCGGGAGTTTGGCCTATTGGTGCGGTGCTTCATTTTGAACTCTGTACTTTTGCCCTGCCTTACTTCATCTGTGGCACCTTGGTACCTTTTTGTACTATCTTATGCTACGTAATATTATGCATGTCTCCTGAAGGGAGAAAAAGATATTCCATGATGATGCGGGCGTGGGTGTGGGAGATCGTCTCTGATTGCCCAGGTGCCGAAGACATATAGCGGCGATAGCAATAGGCGGAGGGCATGAAAAGCACTGGCACTAACCCATTTATCCATCAGGCTACTGATTGTGCCGGAAATTCAAGTTAAGATTTTAGTTCCACCTGGGCATCCGATCACGTTGGGGTTGCACGATGTTGCCCCCGGGACATCGTGACTCGACTAAACTACTAGTAGAAATGCTGAGATCTCAACACCATTTACTTCGTACTAGTATGAAACACGATCGACATACCATTAGCCTGTGGATCAGTGCGTGATATACTTAGACCCAGCCACGGGCTAGTACCTATTTACATTGTTAGAATTGCGGCGTGAATGGTGCGAATAGGAGATGAGAGGTTTACGTTACATACGATGTACTATCTCCTTTCCAGGAAAGAAACTTGGAGCCTCGATGTAACTCCATGCTGGCGATGACTGTATGTCTGTCTGTACATACATACAAACAGAACAGGGCGTGATGACAGCAGACTTGTGGACGTTTCATAAACAAGGATAGAATGGCAAAGTATATGGAGTGCGTACATAGTAGGGCCGGGCCAATCCTAATCCCGTGAGGCTCGGAATACTTAATCTCTTTTCTTTTTCCGGGGGTTGCATCTCGCACACCGGCCTGCATTTCATTCCCGACCCAGAAACCACCATCGTGGGGCAGTGTGGCTGTTTAGTTTCGCTCTTTGACGCCAGCAGGATTCGAAGAAGCCCTTCGAGCCGATCCTAGAAACATCCTTGCACATCCTTGCAGAGAGGGCCGGGCCAGACCTACATACATACCACATGCACATGACGACAAAGCTGACTTTGACAAGGCCAGTCAACGAGCTTATGGGCATGTTCGAAGTTTGGCTTGGGCTTGGCTTGGACCCGGGTGACTAACTACTGCAAGCAACTGCAGCAGTCTCCGTGATGCAGAGATCAGGGATACCCCGGCAACTAGCTGCGAACGACAGTTCATGCAGGGTTGGTTTGGTTTGATTTGGCCACCCGGACGAACAACAGGGCGAATCCTGGGACGAGATCGTCCCGAATTCGACGTCACTCTGCTCCCTTGCCCTCCGAGTTCGAGTTGAGATCGAGACTGCCCAGCAACCATCAACTGGGGCCGTGTCTGTATGTGTGTGCGTGAGTGTTCACCTGAGCAGCTGCGGTCAGTGCACATGTGCCAGTGGCGAGAGAACACTGGCGGCTACGAGTACATACAAACATACATACAGCAGTAGTCACTTTGTACTTAGTGTACTTACATGGTGAAAACTCGGTGTATGTAAGTAGAGGAAATAAAATACATCGGGTCCGACTGGAGCTGCAGACATCTGCAAGCCGATCCAAGAGCCGTTCACGAGGGCATTTTATGCCCCGGCAACGAAGGACTTTCTGTAGCTGTGATTTGTGCAGCTACAATACGTACGTAACGTACTTATGTACGGTATACATAAGTTACATCCTCACGACAGGACAGGACAGGACAGGACAGGACAAGTCCAGCCGACAGGGCGTGCGAAGTGAACCGAAGCAGTGCCGTGCGGAGCATTGGGACGAGACGGGAAAAACGAAGGAAGACTTCCTATAGGATGGAACTGCCAGCAACGGGCAGAGCTGGAGCTGGAGCTTCCCCAATCGTCCAGTTGCAGAGCTCCCCGGTGAGAAGGACATGCAAGGGGGGAAGGCCGGGGAGATTATGATGAAGAAGAAGGAAGGAAGGGTTGCATCTGCGCACAGCGCGGTGCGGTGCGGCGCACGGGTCGGGAAATGCTTCTCTCTCTATGGAGTAGGTAAAACGCAGACTGCTGGAAATCATAATCGACCGGGTTGGTTCCAGGAAGGACAAGTACTGTACTCCGTACATAATGTAGAAAGCGAGAGAGATCTCCACCACCTGCTGTCCAGGTCTACCTACAACAGCCTAAAGAAGACGTCCTTGGTGATCGCTCGGTGATCATTTTAGCGTACATGTCAACGCCTGCCAGCCCACTCGTTCATTCATCACCTTTACCTCCCATGGCATGCGTGATGGCGGTGGTGGCGGATGCACCTTCATCACATACATGAACAGAGTTTCTGTTTCTGCTAACTCTTTTGCTTTTTTTTCTTCGTTCCTTTTGCTTGGATTCCGATCTGGACCACAGCATCGGGCCAGCTCTGATTTGAACGGCAGTGGCAGCGGCAGTGGCAGCGGCAGTGGCAGCAGTGGCTCGAAAGGAATTCCTGCAGGTAGAGTAGCGTATGAAACTCCCGGAATTAGGTAGGGTCGTGGCGCTAGAGACCTCGATCTCCTTCCCAGATCATCGTGTTGCATGCGTAGCGTCTACCGGTAGCAAAGTAGAAGAAGAACCCTTCCGCAGATCTAGCCTACCCAGGTTGACAAATAGTTGGTCGCGGGACAATGGCTTGGGACCCTGACAAGCCCCTAGCAGTGCATTAGTCTGATACGTACGGAGCACAGTAGCTGCATGATGATATCTGCGCTGGACATCGCGCACCGCCACAGACAGATTCAGATTCCGATTCAGCTGAGCCACAGCCACAGCCAAGGGAAGGGGTTGTGTTTTGTGGGCTGTGGGTTTAATTTAGGAAGAGGGGTGGTGGTGGGTGGTAAGGTGGATCGATCACATTTCGAGTTTACGCTCGATATCTCAGCCACCGCGCGCACTATTGTCACCGAAATACTCCGAACCCGCTGCAGGAAGGGAGAGAAATGACGAGTCAGGTGGGTGGGCTAGACGGGGCCAGATGGGTCAGACAAAGTCCTACAGTATTCTCCCTTTTTTTTTTTTTTTTTTTTTTTTTTGCTCGTTCGCTCGTTCTCGCTCGCTCGTTCTGATCCAGGGGTGACCAGGCACCAAGGTGTATAAAACTTGTATGTATTTATGGAGTATGGACGGGGTATGTTCTTTACGGAGTACCGCCACGGCCAATCGCGGGCGGCGCTTGAGCACTTGGCGCAAATCGGTGTCGATTGCTGCGGACGGGGAAGAGGAGTCGGGTTGAGTCGATCTGAGTCGATCTGAGGATCCCCCAGGCTATGCCATACCCTGCCAAGCCGTGTCGTGACATTTCTTTAGACATCGACAGGACAGGCCAGCACAGCACAGCACAGCACACAGCACAGTACAAGACCCGCGAGAGGGGGACAAAGCAAAGACGGGCGCAAATAAGTTTCTTGTCGTCACACTTGTTCGTCGATCATGCCGGTGTGGAAAAGTCGGGGAATTTCCTGGCGATCATTTTGGGGCCTTGGGCCTTAGTCTTGCTTCTTTTCCCTTTTTTTCCCCCTTCCTCTGGGTGTTCTGTGTGTGCACCGTGCGTTTTTGGGGAGGAGAGGGAGGAGGGAGGGGGGGTCTTGCTTTAGCCGATGAAAGCATGAATTCACACTCAGAGTCTCCGATATTTGAGATACTGGGGTCCCGCCGCAACGGTTCACGCCAGATCCAATCAATAGTCGGATGGGGGCGAAGGGATCCGAGCTGGCGCGTTGCAGATCAATCCAGGGGGACGTCAGGTGCAGATCCTCCCTGGGTGACGGAGTTGGCGGAGATCACATAACGAACGGAATACGGTATAGTGGGGGGGATGGAGGGATGGAGTAACCATGCACGCCATGGGATCCGCAGGGATTTCCATAGCACCGACCAGGTGGGGGTTTCCATGAAAATGTATGGTGATGAAGGTGATGGAGGGGGTCATTCTCGATTTAGCGGGGACTATCTGTCTACATCGAGGGAACTACTGGTCTTTGAGGCTTGGCTATGCTCGAGCTAAGGAGTTGAAATTTTGGCACCTCGGGTGACCATGTGTGCAGTGGATCCGACTGCTCGCTGAGCCATGGTCCCAAACCCGTGTGGAATGGTGATGAGTGGTGGGTGATAGGTGAAGGTTGACAATTGTCCACTAGCACTCAAGTGACCGAATGAATTAGATGTGATTTGCAAGATGATAGGCGCCCTACTGCACGTGAAGATTGAATAGGACTGACGGCGATCATCATTCAAGTCGATCACGGCATTGTCACTGACTCCACGGCTTTCAGCCGTGACTGCTATGGAGTATGGATGGTGCGATGCGGTACGGTGCATCCAGGACGTGCGCTGTTTAGAGTTCGCAGCTCTGGGATTCGAGGGCACGGAGCCCCGTAGCCACGTTGTCTGCTCCATCGGATTGACGTGGATTGACGTGGATCTACTTTTACCTAAATAGGATCCTTCTCGAGATGGCTTCCTCCATTTTCTCCGGAGAGGAGAGAGAACTCCCCCCACTCCAGGTCCCCGGACGGACTATGAGTGGTGCATCGACCCGATCAAACGGAGCCTAATGGTGTATCGAATGTGCTTCGGGTAGCGAAACAAGCAGATCGCCTTGAGGATCACCAAGAGGGGGTAGTAGAGAGACGATGGGTAGGTGCTTTTGGGTCCTTGAACAAAGGTCCCCTTGGGCCGGGACTTCTCCCCCCATCCCAATCTTATCCGTACAATGCCAAGGCCGGACTATATGGAGCTCGAAGCACCAAAACTTAGGACGGGGTACGAATTATCGGGTGGCACAGCACATACATACTATGTAGTTCTTACCACTTTATCCGAATTGTGAATGATCAGAGCGGAACATGGCCGACTCCATTCTTTAAGGTTTCTAAACAGGGGTGCTGTGCAACGTTTCCTGTCAAGAAGTAGATCACGAAGCCGGTGAAGGTAAGTAAGTTCGCGGAATCGACGTCAAGGATACGTATGCCTGCCCGGGGGGCGGCATGAAAGGAAGACCCAAGCGACCGTTGAGAGAAAGCTGGGATGATGCAGCGAGGTTAAGGCTCGAGCGTTTTTGACGTTCGATCGAGGATACACCGCAGGGTCAGGAAGGCCAGTCTTGAGGTCATTTCCTGCAGGCCCGTAGGTCTAAAGGACGAGCTCGAGTGGATTGCATGTGCGTCCTGCTACATGAGGGGCAAGGAGGGCAGGGCAGGGCGAGCCAGATATTGTGGCGTAATCCCTCGTGACTTGAAGTGCAGGGAGCCTCTTGATCCAGGGCGTTTAGCGCCGAGTTGACCAGGGCCAACCAGACTGCTGGGTCGGCAGAGTCACGATTTGTGTTACGCTGCGGATCAAACAATGGAGCCTAGGAAAATCGGGCGAGTGTCACTGAGGGGAAGGGAACCGGCCGGAGGGGGGGGGGAGGATCAGGGGGGGAAAAAAGCACAAAAAAGGTAAAAAGGGCCAAGGGCAAAGAAGAAAAGGGAAAAAACGCCAAACAAAGCTCGTAGATCCTCTGGAGAGATCAGCAACTATTGATGTTTAGCTCGGCTTGGCGGGCTGCCAATCCACTCCCAAGGCTGGAATTCGCAGGGTGATGGGTGTCGGGTGGGCACGCTAACAGATAGCTGACAGACAGGTTGCTTCAGGTCTCAATAGTGCGTTCGGGTCGACATCATCGATCCTCCGCATGGTGATCGGCCCTCATCGTCGAGCCGGGGAGCGCATCCGATCTCATCAGGCCCAGTCGGTCGGAATTGTGGCAGGGTGTTTCGATGTTTCGAAAGGGGGAGCTCGTACTCGACGGGAGAAGGGCGTCTTTGCATCCAATGGGCGTGAATCATGCAGGCCCAATCACCGTGACGACGTACCGCAGTGCATGCTTGCAGGCTGTGGCTCGAGGCTCTGGTTCGAGGTCTGGCACAACGCTGGACTGACTCGTGGAAGGTCAGAGCCAACTGGGCATACTGGGGCATACTGAAAAAGGAAAGGGTAGAAAATAGAAAATAGAAAATAGAAGAAAAAGAAAAAAGAAACCAAAAAGATCCACGATCCACGACCATGACCCACGACCCACTGAGCCTGGAGAGCCGAAACTCTTCAAGTGAGATGAGAGATGAGATACGACTCGAGAGGATCTGAACTGACGCTAATGCAGGAACTGGAAGGGGAAAGGGAGACAAACCGCGTGATGGTAAAATTACCATGGTACCATACGCGGGAACTGTGCCCGGGTGCCATATCTTGGGTACCTGAACCATGGATCACTTGTTGACATAGTAGTATACGGAGTATCAGTGTGTACTTTTTTAGCTTCATTAAAAGTATAGAGTAGTTCTCTCCAAAACTGATCTGTGGATCATATCCTGCTGACAAGTATATATGTACTCCATACGGAGTACTCCTAGACTTTGTACTGTATGTACGTATCTCCGTGACTGGAGCAGGAGCAGGTGGACCGGCATTCTCAAACAGCGGTTGGATCTAGCGTTGATTGGCATCCCCATGTGCTCCGGCGAGATCGGAATGCGTGCAGGCAGGCCAGATCCCAATCGCTCAGCTGAGAAGTGAGGATACTATATACTGACATGTACTCTGTAACCGTGAACTGTACACTGTAGGTATACTCGGTACTCGGTACTCGGTACTCTACTCTACTCTACTCATACTCAGCCATGTATGCACGTCTGCACTTCCTCTACGCCACCCCCTAGAACCGCGCGGGCGGTAGCGCACTCCACGGGCCCCGAGTGGGGATGAAGTCTGCGTAGCCTAACCATAAACGGAGACGATCAGATCTCACACATCTCCGAACTGTCCATCTTTGTACAGTACCATTACCATTACCATTACCGTACCCCTGGACCTGGACCGCAGCAACCACAAGCACACCCCATTCTCTTCCCCCCCCCGACTTTCTCTCTTCCTCTTTCATCACTTCGCGATATTTCCTTTCTTTTTTCTTTTCTTTTTTTGCGCCATACACTCCTTTTTGATTCGATCTGATCTACCCCCGTCTTTCCTTAACTACCGGGTTTCTTATACTGCTGTTCCTGTTTGATTTTCCAACTGCTCCGACTTGTTCCACCACTCATCGCCTCATATAATCACAATCACTACCACTACCACTACACACCACCACCACAACAACAACAACAACCACCCTCGTCAACACCCACCGCATGTCTCTTTACCTCTGATATAGCCTCCTTCCCTCCTCGCTGCCCTCTCCTTCTACAGCGATCTCCCTTCCTCCCACTTATACACTCCTTTGTATCCATTCAACACTCCTTCCCGCCGCCATGAGTTACATCCACCCCTCATGGAACTATCCCGCCCCCTCAGGGATTCCAATGGACCACAACATGGCCTACGACCCTTCTATGATGCCCCCGCCGATGATGCATCCCATCGATGGCTATCTCTACCCTCATCCGCCCATGGAGATGATCGACTACTATCACCAGCCCATCATGGACTATGACGAATACACAGAGAACCTCTCACGCCCGCGTTTGACCAAGGAGCAGGTCGAGACCCTTGAGGCTCAATTCCAGGCTCACCCCAAGCCCAGCAGCAATGTGAAGCGTCAATTGGCTGCTCAAACCAATCTGAGCCTGCCACGAGTGGCTGTACGTCACCCACCCCATTCTCCGTCGAGAATCCGCGCTAATCATCCCATCATAGAACTGGTTCCAAAATCGGCGCGCCAAGGCCAAGCAGCAGAAGCGCCAGGAGGAATTTGAGAAGATGCAAAAGGCCAAGACCGAGGCCGAGGAGGCCGCCCGCCGAAAGTCCGAGACTTTGGATCAACATCTGTCCGAGTCGCGACAGTCATCCTCCGCCCCGAAGGAAGAGTCCGAGCAGCCTCCCACCCCAAAACAATCCTCCGCTACCCCCACCCCTACCCCCGAGAACGTCACACAATCCGATTCTCCTTCCAAGGGGAAGCACCACAAGACGAAGAGCGAGTCAGCTCGCGAGGCGACGTTCGCATCCCTGCAGCGGGCCCTCAATGCTGCCTGTGCGGCGCGCACCCGTTTCTCCCGCAAAGGCTCCCGCAAGCCGGATCCCGTGCCAGAGGAAGAGCCCATCTCGCCCACCTCCATGGCCCCGCCAGCCGCGGCCCCTCAGAGGTCACACGAAAACAAGAGGCAACCGACCTACAACTCAGGGTACGCCGACTGGGCTGGCATCAAGGATGAAGCTTCCTGGGAACGGTCTCACCCTCAGCCAGAGACATCCTCATTCCACCACGCCAACCAACCCATTCCTGAGGTGCCCACCTCTGCTCACTCTGTACAGCAAAATGCAAATGCTTACCCGGGAGCCCAATACCAGACCGAGGAGTGGACGGAGGCCCATAAGGAGCACATGTCCCCTCGAAACATGGGAACGGATGCCGGCATGGGCTACAACATGCAATACCCCATGCAGGCACCCGATATCTCCGTCTCTCAACGGGAGTCGTCCGATGCTTTGTCCACCACCCTGAACGGCATTGGAATCTGTACGTCCGAGTCGGGTATGCCAGCGTTGAACAGAGCGGGTGGATCGTCTTGGGAGAAGTCCGGTAAAGAACTCGATCTCGCCGCGAGACGTAAACGCCCTCGCCCTGCTGCAATTGGGACTTCCAACACCCGTTCGTTGGCCGCGTCGACTTCCATGTCTTCCCTATCGCCTACCAACCGGATCCCAAGCTCCGGTGCCGGAAACTCGATGAGACACTCCAAGTCGGCCCAGAGCCTCAACAACCGGTATGCTGGTGTGCGGAAGGCCTCTGCTGCTCAGCGCTCCCCATTGAATTTCACCTTCGCCGAGTCCGGTTCCATGAAATCCAGCAAGGCCGAGATGCTGCGGCCATCCGTCTCATCCACAAACCTGGCTCCGCCAACCCCCCTTGACTCCTCAGGATTTCCAACACTTCATGCCGGCCTCGCCGACCGAGAGTAACTACTGCCTTTCGGCCCACTCCACAACTCAATTCTTCCCGACCTCTCAGCCGATGCAAGTCAACATCGCCTCTCCTCCTACTACTCCGCTGGACATCTATTCTCCCTTCACATATCAGAACGTTGCCCCGCCGATGTCTGCCCCGGCCCAGGTCTCGACCTTCCCGGAGTACGTCACCTGCGATCCGGTCCCCATGTCGGCTCGAAGCTGGGCAGATACGGGCTCGCTCTCCTCGCCGGAATTCCAAAGCGGTCTGCAAGTACCACACTCCGCCACCGTGTCCCCCATTGGTTACGATGCGGTTGTTGAACACACTGGCCAGGCCTTTGGGATGGAGCCTGTGTCCGGGTCACCGTCACTCATCTATTCAATTGAAGACGTTAACCAGTCAGGCTCGATGGATGAGAGGAAACAAGCTGAGTTCAGGATGCATGACTTTGCCGAGCAGCAGCATGATAGCTATTCTGCGCATCTGGCTTCGGTCCACAGGCCGAAGGCATACACGTTTGCCAACAACACGACTCCGACCAACTATCCCTCCTAATGGTCTTCCTCGTCTAGATGGATATGAATGAGAAATGTGCCGCGATAAATACGCTTTTTGTCTGGGACGAACCGCCACGCATCCTCTCGCCCCTGCGATTGTTTATTTTTTGATTTTTTTTGTTGATTCCAACCCTCCGTACGCGGAGAAAACACTGTCACTTTTACCATTTTCCTTCACTCTTTCCTACATATGCTTTCTCTTCTTCTGTCTGTTTATTTGGTGTGGTTTCACCGGGATTTTTACATATTCGGAGCATTCTTTGCATTTGTGCTTATTGGCCTGGGAATTTATATTTGGTGTCCGATACGACCTTTTAATTCTGTTGAGCTCGCACTTGTCGGCTCAAGACTACATTATTTTTCACAAAATTTTTCACTTCTCACAAACACAAACACCTCTTTTTCTTCATTGCTCTTGGTTATCTCCCACGTTTTTGGAACGAACTCGGTACTGGGATTTGGATCTTGCATATCAGCATTTGGCTCTTTGATACATACTGTTACGTCTATACCTTTTTTCTTCTTCTCTTTTCTCTTTCTCTTGTTTCTTTTTGGTCTCTTGTTTCCCCTGTCTCATAATCCAAAAAAGGGGTGTGTGTGATGTCTGTCAAATAAAGTTGATTCAGCAAAATATGTTGTATTTCCACCAATGCCCTCCCCTCTACACTGCTACTAGTAAACCAGTCCCAGAGCAGTATCTTAATCTCCGAAATTCATCCAGCCGACCTGGTGGTGAGCACGTGTTCTGCTCGACTGGACTGCCGGTCTCCTTCAACTTTCCGACTCCACTGCGGGGCTCTTCGTCATCCCCTGTCATCCTCGTTTATTTACTACGTGGACTAGAAGAAGAACAGAACCTGCAAACTAAGAGCCGTTTCTTTTTCTCTTGCTATAAAGAGCCGATGCCGATCTCTAAACTCAAAACTTCTTTTCCTGCTTGAAGGCATCCTCCACCTTCATCCCTTCGGCAACCACTATCACTATCGCTACCGTTTAAGCGAAGTTCAAGTGTATACTTCTTAGCCAAATGAAGTTCTCAACACTTACCCCGGCCCTATTGGGTCTCACTGCCTCAGTGACTGCCTACTCCGTGGAGTACTCGACAGAGACAGGATACTTTTTGCAGGATGAGAGCTCAACTGATGCATCGACCTTCGACTATGTATGACCTTCCCAAATAACTACTACCTACTACATCCAACTTTCGACTATGTCGGGCTTATTTAATTGAGCCTTGAATTCATCTGATCATATCTAATCTCTTTTCTCTCTCTTCTGTCTAGACGGCTGTTAACTTCGGTCTCATCAATCGCACATACCCCGCAGACAGCCATTTAAAGAAACACCACGACTACTCCCAGTGGGAACGCTTCTACCACCAAGTCCAGAAGCTCAATCAGGACTCACACAAGGACGTCGAGTACAAGGTCCTCTTCCTTGGTCGTCACGGCGAGGGCTATCACAATGCCGCGGAGACTTTCTACGGTACACCGGCATGGAATGTAAGTACCGCCTCCATTTTCCCCTTTCTTTGCCCACATCAACCCCCCCCCCCCCCTTCCCTCCCCCAATCTCCCCGCCTATGTGGGGAATGAGAGGAGGGGAACGTAGTATCGATCTACAACAAAACTCCATATCCACGAAAATAATCCCACCTATCAAATCCCACGCGGAGACAATAATTGAATTGAATTGACAATCTCATTTTCTCGAATATCAGTGCTACTGGGCCGAACTAGACGGAAACAGCACAAACACCTGGAAAGACGCATCCCTAACAGAAAACGGCATAACCCAAGCTCTCAAAGCACACAACCTATGGCAAAAGCTCATAAATGAACAAAACATCCACACGCCAGATAACTACTTCGTCAGCCCACTCACTCGAACCCTCCAAACAGCAAACTATACCTTCACAGATCTATCTCTACCACGCGACGCAGCCGCCTTCAGACCACTTGTAAAAGAACTTTTCCGCGAAGGAATCAGCATTCACACCTGCGACCACCGCTCTAGCCGAAGCTACATCCACAAATTATTCCCCAAGTGGGCGATTGAGGCCGGTTTCACCGAGGACGATGAACTTTGGAACGGGGTAACGGGTGAGACGAGCGCAGCGCAAGATGTGCGGAGCACGACAGCGCTGAATGAGGTATTTTTCACGTCTGCGTCGGCAAAATCCGAGGCGGTTGTTTCGGTGACGGCGCATTCTGGGGAAATTTCTTCTATTTTGAGGGTTTTGGGTCATAGGACTTTCTCGCTTAGTACGGGCGCTGTTATTCCTGTTCTTGTGAAGGCGGAGAAGAAGGGGGGTGGTCATGATCCTGTGAAGAGTTCTAGTGTTGCTTGGACGAATAGTCCTCATTGTACGGTGCCGCCGGTTACGTCTGTCACTGCTTGTGTTTGTCCTTCGAGTGCGGTGCCGGTTACGACGCCTTTGGTTACGGATCTTTAGGTGGAGGTAGAAAGAAGGGTTTGGCTTTTGTTTTTTTTTTTTTTGCTGTTATGGATGTGGATGTGAGATGTACTGGTTTTCTTTGCTATAAAGGTCTTTCCTTCTTCTTTTTCTTTCGTTTCTTCTGGGAGGTCTCGTCTTTAAATACATTGTTATATTTAAACGCAGCTTCTATGGTTTTATTGGATTAGAAAGCCAGCTAGTCTCATCGTGTACTTCCAACTTACTTTCCTCGGAATGCAGAGACAGCCGGGAGGCTCAATTATTGTACCAAGTCGAGTGATCAGCACTAGTATGCAGATGGCATCAGAATTTGCATGCAGGTACATGGTATTATCTGGGTAAATCATGGGGCTTCTGTTTAGCCTTTCACATTATACCCCAAGGTACGGATTACATTGGTGCTAGTACTACTATAGAAAAATCCACGTTGCGCAGTCAATTGAGTCGGAGAGTTTTGTGCCTGCCGCGGCCAATATTCAACCATGTCAAAAAACATCATCTCCATCGCCACCAACCAGCCCGACCGACATACCAACCACCCTTTTTGGTAAGGATAATGGCAAAACAAAAGCAAAAAATAAGCGTCCCCGGGAAGGCTCGAACTTCCAACCTCTCGATTAACAGTCGAACGCGCTAGCCAATTGCGCCACGGAGACTTGCTTGTTGAAAAATGGTGGCGTCTTTAGATTCATGAGGGAAGGTCATTAAATGATCAATGCGAATAAAATCTCGCAGCAGTTCCTGCAAAACTTCTTATGGTTTCTGCAGGCTAGGAATGATAATCGTTGGGTATTTTACGGATATTAGTGACCCACATCGGAAATTCCAAAGATCAAACTATAGAAGGCGGTCTGTGGTGATGAATTGGTAATGGAGAATTCTTTTTTAACAAAGGGCCATTTTCATTACGGGGCAGAATCGCGGATTTAGCCCTGAAGTACAAATCTTTGCTTAACTCGTTTATAAATTCGCAATGGGGTATAATAACTACTGGTGGATCATCTGATATGCATAGTATATTGGATTTGTCTAAAAGTGCCAGTAGTCAACTTGGATATGATCGCATGATAGATTCAGTCAGAAATCATAAGTCTGCCCAGGTGGGCCGAATATATATTCCGAGGTTCTATAATACTAGTAGGAGGTAATAGTGCCCTTTGATTTGAAGTCCCGGAGCTTGCCAATCACGATAATCCTTTCAACGTTAGTACATCTAAGGTTCCTCCTTCCATCAGAATTTCAATGGGTAGACTGTCGACTCGATGTTTTCCGGATAAACCAGGCCCCCTTGCTGCCGAACTTCATCCATTACCTTCATAATCGCGATACTCTCCTCCCAAGGAAGGGTGTCACTCTCAAGTTTCCCGTCGCGTAGACAACGAGCAACTTCATCGGCCTCCCAAAACATGCCGCGCGCACCACCGGGGATAGGCATATGGACATCCTGGATTGTTGCCGGGTCTCCTGATCCACTACTCGGCACCACGCGGTATCGTTCTGGGCCGTAAGCAGGCCCAAAGATCAGGATATGGCCCTTAGTTCCCTGAATCTGAATAGAGGGACCTGCAGAGCCACGGTTATCTGGATCTGTGGCCACGCGGAAGGCCGTCATTGCTACAGCCTCTGAGGTTCGGTTGGAGAGGGCCGATGGCGTTGTAGTAGGAAATGTTATGAGCATGGTTGTCGATTCGTCCGCTCCAGTCTGAGGATACTTGGACATATGCGACACGATTTGGGATGGCTCTTTCCGCTGAGAGCGAGGTAAGGTGTGGTAAAGAATTTGGAATACCCAAGTAAGAGCATAAACACCCACTTCAAGAAGGTTAGCCAACTATACATTAAGCTCCACGAACTGGGAAAGACACCACACTTACAGTCAAGCAAGGCACCACCAGCCAGGTCCTTGTTAATCATGCGATGCGAAGGGTCCCAAGAAGTCTCGGGTTCATCCCCGATACTCAAGTCCGAGATCACACGCAGAACCTCGCCAATTGCCCCGGACTGCACCAGGTGTCGCACTTGGATGCTAAGTGGAAAGTACCGGGTCCACACAGCTTCCATGAGAAACAGACCTTTCTCCTTGGCAGTTTCGCAGAGAATCTTGGCCTGGGCTGCGTTCACAGTGAAGGCTTTCTCACAAAGAACATGTTTCCCGGCCTCGAGTGCGAGCATTGCGTGCTGAAAGTGGTGTGAGTGTGGGCTAGCCACATAAATTGCTTGCACATTGCTATCGTTAACAGCTTCTTTGTAAGATCCGTAGGTTGCACATGGTGCGGGAATCTGGAGCCTTTCGACGAATGAATCCGCCGACGATTTGGAGGAAGATGAGGCCACGGCGACTACTGTATGAGTGACGTCTGTAACTCCTCTTTTCGTCGGATCCAGCAACAAATCTCCCACAAAGGCTAAACTCAACGAAATTAGTTTCACCTATCCGTAAGGTGTTTAGATTGAGTATATGTATCTCACTTTCTGCAATTCCACCGGTGGCTAAGGCAGGTCAAACTGGAAGTTAGCAGTAGTACGAGTAATTCAATGCTGGCATTTCGAACAACATTATCGGACATACCAAGGATGCCCCACCGAAGATTGTAAGGCATGGCTGAGCTAGAAGACCGAGCTGAGGTGATTGGTTTGAGGTTGAGTGAATGATTGGTAATTTGATACACCACGGCTGAAAGATTATTGATGGCAATAGAGAGGGCGCAAGCTAATGTATTTATAGTCGACTGCAAACTTTGGAGCTTTGACTTCCTTTGAATATGGTTCGAGCGCTCAATCTCCAATCGGCCTGTCTGGTATCTGTTTCGCTCTCTCCAGAAACATTTGAAGCCTAGTTTACTACGGAGTACTTACTCCGTATAGGAATCGATGATTCATGGATTACAGCCAATTATACCCCGGTGTTTGGCCCCGCTTTGAACTTTGCCATCGCCTCGACCTGCCACACTCCAGATTGCTGACATCAGTCTTGACAGGCGGGTTCTACCGACCAGCCCGAGTCAGGTCAATTCAACCGTCCACTTTGAATGTTACTTTCTCCATCAAATGCGTCTACCAACTGCATGAATGGTATGCATCAAAGAATTGCCCCTCCTCTCTCGTCCAATCGGAGAGCCTGAGGCAGAGCACTTCCTCCAACAATCGGATGATCCGGCTAAATGTCTCGATTGAGTAATCAAGCGCAAAGCACTAAATTAACCGGGGGCAGGCTTGGGAATGAGATTTCATGAAATATCAACTAAGACTCCCGTTGGCCATATATGCGGAATAGGCAAAGATGGAACAACAACAAAGAAAAAGCGACTGTAAGACATCTCCCCGTTCTCAACATGGATGTACAAACTGTCGCCGAAGCAAGGTCAAATGCGACGAGCACAAGCCAATTTGCACCCGGTGCTGGCAGAAAGATCTGCAGTGTTCGAGCAACTTTCAACTGAAATGGGAATCGAACTACCGTGATCGTGGGGTCGCCTTTGGCAGGTCTGGCCTCTGGGGTAAAAATACCCCCAAGAATCGACAGACTCCAACGCGCTCGACAGAATCAGGCTCAGCCTTCCAGGAAGAGACTACATGGCTTGCGACTCCGACTATTCAACCCTGGACATTTCTTAACAACGATGTGTCCTTAATACGACGACTTTATGATGAAGAGCAAGGCCACACCAAACGACAGCTTTTGCCAGCTTTCGATGTCAAATTGGCAATTGGTGAACAAGGGCCTCGTGAGCCATTTCTATCAACTTCGAGGTCAAGTTCTCCTTCCAGCCTGTCAAAGGGTATAGACAGGGCGCCAGTGCAGACCCTTCCATCATCTCTATCGATTTTTCCATCACTGGATGAGATAGGAAACCGATCGTTGTTCGACTACTATATCAATCATATATGCCCTAGGACAGTGCATAGCCCTCTTTCGCAATCACCATTTGCGTCGGTTATACTTCCCTATTGCGCATCAGCTACGCCCACAGTTCTACGCGCAATCCAGGCGCTGGCCGCCTGCCATTGGGCCCAGTACGACCCTCAATATACCAACATCAGTCTACAATTAAAGTCGCGAGTTCTCAGAGAATTCCGAAAACGAATCAGTGTTGACCGAGGCGCTTTGTTAGCGTCTGACCCTGAAATCTTGGTAATCGTGATGTTTTTATGTATGTTCGATATTGTGGATTACTGTAACTCTCAATGGATTGTTCATCTCCAAGGAGCGAAAGATATTATTCGACTTCGAAGACGACAACTGCAGATCTCAACCGGCGGAAATGGAGACCCGCAGCAAGATGAAGTGTCTTCATTTGTGGAGCTTTTCTTTGCCTTTCAAGACGTGATGGGGCGCACAGCTTGTGCGAAAGCAGACCTTTTCGGCCCAAGATACTGGGATGAAACAGATACAACGATCAATCCATGGATGGGGTGCAGTCCCGCGCTTGTCTCAATTCTATTCTCGGTGATGGATCTCAGTCGGTCACGACAGCGCATGCTCTTGAGTGATGACCAGATGACATTTGAGACTAGAGCTGCCACGTTGAAAAACAGGCTCGAAGAGCTCGAGCAACAACCCTGTACCAAAGAAAGTGACCAGACAATCCCTAGAATTGCCGAAGTGAAGAAACTCACCTGTATCGTTTTTCTGAAATGCGCGTTATATGGCGGGCGGCCATCGGACCCGGAGATCAAGACTTTGGTAAGGAAGATAATGATGGAGATTCAAGAGTTACTAGCATTGGAAGCAGTATGCCAACTTATTTGGCCTCTGTTCGTTGCTGCTGTGGAGTTGGATCCGCTTGACATTGAGCTTTTGTCCAATCCAGAATCCGGCTTATTGACCAATGGGAGAAGGCTTGTATTGGAATTACTCGAATCAATGGCCATGAGCAGTGTCTCTAGTGTTCATCGGACGCGTGTGGTTATTGAGCAGGTTTGGAACTCTCGAGACTTCAGCATATCAAAGTCCTCGGAGCCCGTACGAGCGTCTACCTTGGATTTGAATGACTGGGAGCAGTATGTAGTACCAGTTAGTGATGCTTTAAGTCTGGTATAGATTCGGATATCGGAGCTTTCTAAGGCCGCTTTGAACAATATTTTACTCAAAATGAAATTAAAACCTTGGAAATAAGCAAAAATTTATATGTACCATCCTCTAACTTGATGTCTGCGGATAAAGTGTCAAGCGTACGTTGCGATGATCTTTACTTCGGACATTCTCACTTTTGTATATCATCAATTAACATAGTCATGTAGAAGAGTAATATTTAATCTGCATTGACACATTGCCTACCAATAAGACAAAAACAGCAATAGCTAGACGTGTGTAGAGGATCGATGCATGACTATTCATGGTGCTCAGTTTCCCCTTTGTCCAAGTTTGGACCGCCTGCTCCGGCACCCTTTTGGATCTTTTCTTGCGCGTGTTAAATGTACTTCATAAGTCGCTTGACACAAATAGCATCCGGATCCTTGACCACGATATTCGTTACATCATCCTCTCCTAAAAAGAACTTAGTTCTGATCGTGCCAGATAGGGACATACTGTACATTACATTCTGCGATCAGTTCATATCGTGCCCAGAAACTGGTTTCAATGAGTGCAGGAGACTGCTCTTGGGTAAGCCCAGCTCCAAAAAGTCATCGACCTCCTGGTAAAGGCTGTTTAGAAATGACTCTCCTGTCCACACGGGCTTCCACCCAATAATAGTTGCTTTCTCACATAGTACTTTCGGGCTTGAATCTCATTAGTAAAATCATTTAGCAAAATCATTGATTGAGCTAGCTAACCCACCTTGAGTTCCAAATGCTGTGGGCAAACCTAGTCGGTACTCCAACTGACTCGGCCGCCATTTCGTCAGACGGCCATACCTTAGTGGATGCCGTTGTGACCAAGCCCCGCTCGTGGAGGTTTGCAGCAAGTCGATCCATAATGTCCCACCAAGAGACGACGTGCGAAACAAGGAAGTAATGGCCATCTTCACCTGCCGGAAGTTTCTTACCCAAGAAAATGGCCTCAATAAGCTGGCCATAAAACTTCGCAACATCTGAAACATGTGCCAGGGTAGCGTCCTACTCACAGGTTAGGTTATTCATCTTATGTAGGGACGATTATTTTGTAGAAAGTACTCACTCGGCTTTCACCAAATTTGTAGACTTGCTTGTGATTGATACTAGCCTGGATAAGAGCCGGTATCTGAGGCGAGAGCTGGTTCCATGTGCCAGAGCCACGGCCGTCTCGTATTCGGTCAGCGTACTCTCAAAATTTTAAAATTGATGGTATAGCAGAGAGTGCAGCTTACGAAGTGTTGGAGGGAAGATTAGGAAGCCGGTAACGCCGGCCTTTTTCGTCTGTTCGATGACAAACGTATCGACCTCCCGCACGACATACGTCTCCCTCGACTGTCTCTCAAGGCCGTAGACGTTGTCAGTGTCTTTTACTTCTCCGAATGGCCAGTTTGTATTTTCATCGAAGGCCGAAAGACCGGTTGTCTGTACGAAAAAGACTTCCCTCCCTGTTGCTTCGCGTTGTTTCTGTAGCCCTGAAATCAGACTCGACGCAATTTGCGGGTCAATGCAAGTTGCATTGTTGATGACGAGATCAACTGCGTAGGAAATAGGATAGATATGGTCAAAACAAAGGAAGTGTCATGATCTTGGCCTAAAGCAGTGCTTACTATCATTGGAGAGCAAGGACTCTGTTACAGCAGTTTCATCACTGAGATTCAGTTGGAAAACATTGACATCCAGCTTTGTCAAGCTCTGGGCCTGTTCCAGCGAACGCACGGCTGCATGGATGACCAAGGCCCCAAGAGTGCCGCCTCTTTTGAGACTCAAAATTTCAGCGACAATAGAGCCCCCGCTATGTTGAAGTCAATTTCTTTATAAAGTAAGGATAGGGCAAAAAGATGCTGGAAACTTACATGTAGCCAGATGCGCCTGTAACCAGAACGTTAAGAGACATACCAGGCGATGTCTTGTGAGCTAGGATGGAATATAGAGAAAAGTAATAGTAGTTTCGCGAGGCTCTGCTGTGTAGTCCCTATAAATAAAGACAAGATTCAAATTTTGGACGGGTCTTTTCCAAGTTCTTGAGTCCCAAGTTAAACTTATAGCCACTCCCCAGAAAATTGCGGGGATGACGTATTGTCGTTATGACTCGCGAGGATCAGTGGACTCAATGGATTGATGTTACTCACTCTTCCAAGTACTCAGTAAGTGTCGAATTGGCCCACTTGTGTACTGGCTTGTATAACGGAGATATGATAATTTCCGATTCATTGCCACTGTTTAATTGGTATTCACGGCGGAGATAGGCGGACTTTATTGAAAGTACCCGTCGAGTGCGAGCCTTGCTTTTATTTGTTCCCGCCACCTTGGGGGGCCTGAAACATACCCGAAGGTGTCACCATAAGTGGAATCTATAGTAAATTTTGGGAATATTTCATCAAATATGGCCCTTGAGCCTTTAAAATTTTTCTGATGATTCATTGACACAAAATAAAAGACCATCGAGGCAAATATGCCCAGAGATACAGTAGATAGAAAAGGAACATGGCCAACAAAACACATCCAGGCTCAAAAGCTCGGTATCCTCCTCGGGGGTCCTCGACTGGCGTTTATTTCACACGAGTTTTCTGGATCCACTCAATTGCATCCAATAAGTAAGGAACCTACAAGGAGGGTCAGCCATAGATCATGAATTAGAGAAAAATCAAACTCAAGGTAAACTCACAAACCTAGAGGGGCTTTCAGTCGCTGGGAAATGACCCAGGCCTTCCATGGCTTTGAAATTAGCGCCTTTGATCTTCTTGGCCGTCGCCTGGCTCATTTCAGGGGTAGTGCTCCAGTCAAATTCACCGGTCAGAAAATAGATAGGGCATTTCTTGACATCAATACTCGCAACACGGTCTCGAGCATCAAAGCCACCAAAATAGAAGTCAAGATCACCATGGAAAATCCCGTAAGCCTGAGCACTATAGAGGTGCCAGATGAGCTGCTTGTTTACCAAGGGCGCATTTGGAGCCATCATGCCGTAAATCCAATCAGGGTTGAAAAGGGACTGATTGACTAGCGGGGACTTATCATCGAATTGTCGCTTCATGGTCAAAAAGTCACATCCTTGCAAGGGAATAGTGCCACCTGCACCTACTTCCTCTGCTCTAATCGCTACTGCAATACACACCTGCCCAGCCATCGAGGCGCCGCAGATGATGGGCTTGTTGAGCCTAAGAACCTTGATCATCTCACGAATACAACCGACATATGCTTCTTCAGTAGTGGTATGATTCCCGGGCAGGTGATTCTTGCCCGGGAAGCTGCGACCATGGGCAGGCAAATCAAAGGCGATCATCTTGCATTTTGCTCTCATGGACGGATCATTCATAACGTCGTGGTATTGTCGGCTATCGCTTCCCGCAGTATGGAGAAACACGATCTCCTGAGTACCGGTACCACTGCTTTCATAAAAGACCTTAGTCTTACCCCAAACTGGGGGTTCAATGAAGACATATTTGCCAATAATGTGGTCTTCATCAACTTCGTGTTGCTGGTCAGCGACAATTGGGCCATGCAAGCCCTCACGTATTAATTCCAGTAAACGTGTCGCGAGATGGGCAAATTGGCTGTATTTGAGGCGGTCTCCATGGACGCCGGCACCGTCCTGAACGATGTTCATTCCCTGAGAATAGCATTAGCAAACAAGTCTACATCCAAATACGACGCCCATCTTTATCACTTGCCTGAATGCCAACAAAGCTAGTATATGGCGCTTGTGGGCTTGCAGAAAAGTATTTTTCCCAGTGACTCGGCTGCGCCAGTAATACAAAGTCTGCAGAGGCTGAGGAGCCCCGAGAGACAATGGTTCGGAGGCCCGGCTCAACAGTGACGAGGATGGCCTGGTCCGAGCCAGTGGATTGGACACCCATAGTCACCGAATCGTGGATTGCCTCAGTATCGATAAAAGCCTGCCATTGTTTGTCGTGGTTTAAAGTGTTGTTCAGAGTGGTGAAAGATGCGCCGACTGCATCTGGCAGGGAGGCCCATGCGTGGGGCTGATTGTTGGATAAGGAAGACATGTCGATGACCTTGATCAATCAGGTGAGATGAAGTAAATTGCTTAAACGCCTTAATATTTCAGGATAGATGAAACATGTATAATGAACGATTTAAGAGAAGTTGGGGAAAGGCTGATTTATATCCATGCGGTCGGTCGGTTAGCAGTATACCTGGATATACTTTAAGTTGTTGCACCCTTGTGCGGGTTCTCCAGAAGCCCCCCCCAGCCCGGCCGAATACTAGGAAGGGCAGGGCCCAATCTTTTCTTAGTTGCCGACTTGGTACCCTTAGCATTCTAAATCGTTGCACAGTTACTCTAAAAACTTCATCGAGAGAGTCCATGTAACCGAGTTCCCGAATCAGAGAGAAAGTTGAAAGTATATCCCCAAGTTTCCCCAAAACCCCACACTCGGATGTCATGGATCCGGGGGTAGCAAACCCCGAGTCACCAACCAGAGCTGCCAGCTGCCAGAAGCGGTGCTCGGATCGGAGCATGCACAGTGTAGTTGCCAGTGGGTAGGTCTTCTAATAGCTACAAACTACGGAGTACTACATACGCACTTGGGCACTGCCACCTAAGTGGGGGTGGGGCAGCCTGAGGCCCAATTCACGAACCTGATATAAAATTCATCCCGTTAAAAAATAGGCATCCCCGAAGATAGATTCATTTATGAAGCTAGAGTATTTCAATAGTGGTTATGCTGTAACCTGTCCAAAATATACCTTATTGCATAATAATTTTCACCTCCTGTTGTTCGTCTACATGTAATTCGTCAATCTTCTGAACATCCAAATAGATAGAACACTTTCGCGAATGGTCATACCTCTCATCAGATCCGCAAGCAAGTATCCATCAGGAGCAATCAACGGTGCGCCTTAGATACCATTAGCATACAATTTGATTATTCAAGATATTTTCGCCTCTTACCAGCAAACTCCAACACATACGAGTCCCCATCGGAAACAGCTCGGGTCTTCTGAATCAAGCCCAGGTCCGATTTCTGCTCATCGAACCAAAAAACCCTTTTAGGGAGCAGACTTCGATCCTCAACTAATGATCTTCCCAAGATCCAACCACTGGATTTCAAATAGCCGTCTACCAGTGTGAAGACCGCAGGGGATGTTGGACCGAGCGACGCGTGGACGCGAGATTCACCGTTGTTCTCAGGTAAACCAACGGATTGGTTATCGATCTCAATGACGAATTCCCCTTCAATGCTTTCCATGTTGGCGAGGGCTCTCTTTCGATGTGAGAGTAGTGATAGATGGAAATGGATACTTCACGATTTTAGATCGAGAATATGTGACGTGGGTCAGGCACGTGAAACCTCAGGCATCATTTTGTAATCTATAGAATGCATAGGAACAAGCGGCCATGCCATAGGGAAATCTCCCAACTTCGTGGAAAGACCAGTCAGCTGCCATATAGTACCTCGAACCCACAAATTGACGGTACCGAATCAATAGATACTTGTGGCCCGTCAATTGCTATTTTCGTCTGGGAAGCTCTATTTGTGAACCAATTCGACACGATTTATTCTTTTATCTATTCTCATACATAGACCCCAGAGTCTACCGGGAGATACCAATAACTCTTCGGATAGCCTCATCATTCTCCATAGCAGTGTCAATAACACCAGCAACCTTGAGAATATCAACAACATTCTCAATAACCTTGCGGTCCACACCACGCGTGGCATCCGTGAACTTGACATCCTTGAGCCACTCAACAGCATCTTCCTCAATGTAATTGCAGCCAAGCTCACCGGTACCAAGAAGCCTGACAACCTTGTTGGTATCGGCCTCAAAGTCCTTAATTCCCTGATCAAAGGCCTGGAAAAGCGCCGCAAGACGCTCATCCTGCTCCGGGTTCGGGAACAGTGCTGTGGACGCAACGATCATCCACGATGGCCAGGGAGTGAAGATCTCGCCGATATTCTTCAAAGGCGGGTTGGGCGTTTCGATTGTTGGGTGGAAGTACGGCTTGGTGGTGAAGTGCTCCCACATGAAGAACTCGGCTGATGGGTTGGGTGCTTGATCGGGCTTTTCCTTGTCGATACCGGTAACTCCGGCGCGCAGGGGTCCGAAGGGGCCCAGGGGCACGGTTTCCAGTGAGTCTGACTTCCACTTTTGCTGTTGTGCGAGGACAAAGGACATGATGTGGGAACCACTGTGAAACACAAGGTTAGTTTCTGTCTGATTCAGGGAATCGGGTGTGTGTGTCCTTCCTACCTTCCCAGTCGACTAACGCCGACTCTCTTGTTCTGCAAATCTGCTACTCCGTTGATTTCATCACGGTTGCGGCCCGTGACAATTGCCCAGCGCAGCGGGTTGTCGACCCAGTGGCCGATGACCTTGTATCCACCCTCTGCCGGGTTCTGAGGCTGGGTCTTGCCAGTTAGACCGGCAACCCAGCCTTCGGTGAGACCGATGCAGAGATCTATTTCATTGCTGCGCAGTGATGTGATCATATGTCCCGTGCCGGCAGGGAATGGGGTCAAGACGAGCTTGAATGGGAGAGAGGCGACAGCAGGAGAGCGGAGCGCCAGGTGAAGGGGTGTGAGATAGTGCTCTGTAATATAATCATTCCATTGTTAGCTTATTGGTCTGCATAAGTCCCTTGACAGGCGAAGCTGCTAGCATCAATTGCCCGCAAGCTTCTCTGGAGGGTCTCTCTGATGATGTCGCAATCGCGATGGAATGCTCGGTTCACGGAGGGGGTAGCTACCGGGCACATAGCCGATCCGAATAGTTGGCACAGTAGCCATTGTGAGTGTTTCGACTGTACAATTTGGTCACAGTGTAACCGCGGAAGAGAAGAAGGAAAGATCCTAGGATGGGACTGCAAGGTGGGCGTGGGGAAGGGACCGGCGATAAGCCTAAAGATCGGAGTGCATCGCGGGGCAGTTCCAGCACTTCCCGAAACGGCGACCATTTTATTACAGTGAGCATTTATCCACTGCTAATGTTATTAGACATCATTAGTGGTACGTCTTGGTTTTTGATTGCTGGGTAATGTTTAGAATATATTATTAATGTCATTTCAATCAGTATTACAAGTCTATAGGTCGCTATGTTTCCATGAATCCCGTCTATCTACAAGTCATGCAGAACGTGCTCACAACCGTGAGCTTTGAAAATTTAACCGATGCGGTTGAGTCGGATCTCCTTCTCCTCTTCGTCATCATCTTGGGGGTTACCTGCAGCCTTGACGTAGCCACGGGTGAACATGAAGTACTGGACGCCCAAGTAGGCGTCACAGATGCACTGGAAGATACCACACAGCTTGAAAGCCCATGGAATAGGGTCCGAGCTCATGAAGAAGTAGCCCATCTTGCAGCTATCACCGATAATCCAGGCGGCCAAGACGGAGAGTCGGAAGCCCTTGCAAGAGCCCGATCGGTGGTTGGCGATGATCTGGGGCACGGGGAGGGTGGCCTCGACGGCGAGACCAATGCAGCCCAGCAGGCTGATATAGGCGCTGAAGTCGGAGATCGGGGTAAGGTGGATGACAAAGAGGGCGGCAACGAAGTAGCCCAAGAAGACCCAATACCTGCAGAAATGGGAGGTCAGCACAAAATCGATATCGGGCAGGAATTGATCTCCAGGCGTCGGGGGTAGGGTAGGGCTTACGGCTTGGTGCTCCGCCACTGCCAAAAGTTATATGGTCGTGAAAATCCGCCCTTGGCACCGCTGAAAGGGGTGTGCTCCACTGTCTCTCTTGGTCGGTTGTCCAAAGCGACCTTCAAGAGGATCCCCTGCGTAAAGATCATCACCACCGCCTGCGCCAGCAGCGCGGCGGAGTAGTACTCTCCAAACCAATAGAAGACCCTGAGGCGATGTTATTATGCTGTTCGGCTATAGCGAATAGTTCCGAGGGGTCTTACTTCAAGATCGACGCGACTAGCATGATCAGAGGAATGTCCAGGGAGAAGCCGGCCGAACTCCTATTCCGATGAATGCTGAGAATCTGGTCTAGGTAGGAGGTGAGGGGCGAGGTGACAAGACTATTCAGCGAGAATGCAATTAGCTCCGATATCAAGGCAAATAGGTTGATAGCGAAATCCCAAACGTACAAAATGGGCGCGCCATAGTCAATGACCGCCTGGACGATCTCCCCGAAGGTCATGGTGATGAGGATGTTCCGCGACTTCCGGAGGGGAGTGCGATGATAGTCAAAGGGACAGCTCGTCGATCGCGTGGACAAGGAGGAGGGGACAATTGTCGACAAGGCAGTGCACGGGGAAATGGATCACCAGGAACAACCGAACAAGGGACCAAGACAAGAATTGGAGATCAACCAGGGGAGAGAGTAACGCGCAATTCGACGCTCGCGGCTTTTTTCGCAGCTGAGTCAGCCAGCCCCACTCAAACAAACCAGGGAAGCTTGTTTCTCTCCAGTTGGCACTTTGCCATTGGTTAGGTGGGAGTAGTATGGAATATTTACTTGAAACTACATAAGAATCCTTTGTTCTAATTATGCCCTAGTATCGTGACTTCCTGCCTAAAGTATATGATACATTACAGTACGATATCTCCATGTATTATTACGAGTATTAGGACTTCCATCTTCCCGCGTTCTATACAATCGAACTAGAACTATAGATAGCACTAATTTCTTCAAGTCAGCAAATTGACATGATAAATTTAGCCAAGTATGAATAGGAAAAACAACTCTATCCGCAAAATAATCAGTTATTTATGGAACCATTACCGGGAGTATAGTCCACTTGGCACCTGCACATAGCCACCTATGTCCGAAAGAAAAAATGACACACCACCCTAACCCTCGTGTTTGCCGCCTTGGGGGCCACAAACAACCTGGCTTGCTGACGCTGTACAAAACCAGATATGTTATGTTCATTACTATCCTACTCCCTGATCTGGTCTTGGTTATCTTCTCTCGAAGGACGAAGTGAGAATTTCGTCAGTATGAGGTATGGGAGCGAATAGGACTACCTGAAGAAAATCGTAATTCTTGAACCAATTCCCTACTATGTAGAGTTTGGACCAGCAGCTGCTATGGATGGAACGACCGATGGTGATCTTCTATTGTAGCTTGATTTTGTATCCACCACGTACCACTCTTTCTATCACGAATTGCGAGGACCTTATAATTGATAACTGCTTGAGTTCGACGCCAAGAGCTTTGACTTCGACGGATACAATTACTAGCCCACTTAATATCGGTCGCAACCTACCTATTCTACCATCGCACAGATAAACCTTTGTGCGGACCCCCGCTGAACTAACAAACTAACGGCGTGCGACTAAGACGCGGTTAGTGGTTTTTTGGGTGCCGCCCGGTCGAGAAGGGCGAGTGCTCAATAAATAGGGTGAATCAAATTTGGTGGGAACAGTCGCTCAATCTTGTATAGGATGAATTTGGTTTGTTCGAGCCCCTATGATAAACTCTAATAGACCTCAGCTGGTGACGAAAAAGGCCACCTATCAGAATATGTTATATACACTGGATGGGATACCAGGCGGCCGTAAGAGCATAAAAAAAAGTGCAATGTCGAGCATTGGGGCGAACGGTGAATGATGTAGCTAGCGGCTTGAGCAATCGTGAGTGGCATGGACACAAGTTCCTCGATTAGCTAAACCAAATCTTGTTTCTCTGTATTGTCATCTACCTTCTTCTGCATTAAAACCAACGCCTCGACCCCGTATTCATTGGTCGCACGTCGATCGGATTCTTCCTATAGCCAACTATGTCAAATGCTAGTCCTTTATTCCTGCTCGTGATGATGTTAGAGCAATTCGTATTTTCGAGAAGGTACAGTAGCGGTGGCTGCTTCGGGGCATGCGTCGGGATGCTTGCTTGGGCCTCTATCCGAGTAGTTAATGGCTTCCGAAGGAGCTCGTCATCATCGACATTGCTAAGGACAATTTTCCATTTTAAAAATTACCCATCTCACTTCAGTGGCAATAGTAGCAAGTTATATAGGCAAGTGAGACTGCAGCGAGCTATCAGCCAAACATGGCCCCAATTCGCAGTATAGTCTTTCGAACTGCACCACGGCACCATCGCATACTTGACCTTGGGCTTTGGAAGGCCAGCGGAGCGACGTCTCAGAAGACTGAGCTCAACGAATCTCCTTCTTTGTTTCCTCTCCCCACGCTGTTTGGGATTTTGTACCTCGGAGAGCCGTTGTGGGTGTGAGTATAAATTCTATTTTGTGCGTATTATATCTGCCATTGACATTTAAAACGAAGGTTGTGCTATTGACACTGGTAATCACCGACTCGGACTTTACATTACTTTCCCAGCAATATGAAAGAGCCACATATTATAGACCCGATTACCCCCGTCTGATAGATTATAACTGAGTAGAATACATTCGATGGGAACTTTTCTATCCATATACAGCAAAAGGTGGATCATACGGGCCAGCTTGCGTTGTTTCATAAGGGTCAAATAAATCAAAGAAGACATAATCGAGTACGTGTTGCCCTTCGTTGTTTGACAACAGCAAGATATAGCGTGCACGTTTATATGGAAATATTTCCACTCGTCAAAACTTGTTCAAGATGAGCTAGTTTTGGAAAAGAAGCCTCAGGGTATGGAGGGGTAGCAAATCACGTAATAAGGGTAATGTGACAAACCAATAGAACCGTGCAGTTATTTTTTCAAGGGTGTCTTCTCTTACATCCATCATCTGACACTTCTGGGTGCGCGCTGACTATCTGTTAACCTCACGTAATTCCCTGCCGTCCAGGCCACCTCATCCAAAATCGCGTCTTCCCACTAACCTACACACTTACAGCGTCGGGAACATACCGTAAGACTAAAACTTGCGGAATTGGCTCTTTCCGTAGCTCTGGCCCATTCGGCCAGGTTTCCAACTACGTTTGCAGCCCCTTGTACAGTGCCTCTGCCTTCACAAACACATCCTCAAAGTCTGAATTTACCTCGTCATCATCCAAAAGCTTCTCCACATGCAGCATGACATCGGTCAAATCGACAAGGCCCTTCCTTACTTCAGGCAAATGCGCTTACTTTGTGGTGTAGGCCACCTGGTTCGATCTCGGATAGGGGGACCACTCAATGTCATGGTCGCCTCCGATCTCAATCTCAGATACCGGTAGTGGTAAGAATGTCATTTTTTGTAGCTTCATTGACATTTCCCTGCCTTCAGTCACCATCCCTAATTCCCCCATAGTAGAAGAAACGGGGTCGAAACCATATTGATGTCATTGGAAAATACAGCAACCCTGAAGGGAATATTCTCTAAGGGATACTAAAGAAGGTGTGGGAGGAGATATGGTTATCTGACATAGTGTAACGAACTGGTGTTGTTACCATTCGTGGATGCCTCATGCCTACGGCACCACTCTAGGCATCCACGCCTACACCTGTGTATCTAGCCTTCTATCTTAGCTTCCTTCTTATTCTCCTCAAGCTATTACTTTCGTCGAACCGCTACTGCTTCCTTTGCTTCGTATGCTACGCCGTACGTTGATCTCTGTGAGTATCTGAGCATCCTCACACATAGCTTACTATTCTGGTTTACCGTGGTTTTGTATGCCCATTAAAAAAAAAAGATTGAATTAATGTTGGGGTCCAATAGTACTCGTATGATGGGACTAAAAGGGTCGTGGCACTCTCTTCAATAGGTCATGAATTGCGTAGACGTGAACAGAAATCTTGCTACTTCTCTAGGATTAAGCTAGGTGCAAGTAGAGATTGAATACGTATATAACAGGTAGCCGTAGAAGCTAGATGAGGGATTGTAGCTGTGTGACAATGTCCTTATATCCCTTCTGTACCGCCCACCACAGCGGCGTCCGTCCATCGTTGTCCATCGCGTGCGGATCGACCTTTTTATTCTGGAGAAGCTGCGTGACAATGTCCTTATGTCCCTCCTGTACTGCCCCCCCATAGCGGCGTCTGTCCAAATTTATCCTTTGCGTCAGGATCAACCTTTTCATTCTGGAGGAGCTGTGTGACAATGTCCTTATGTCCCTCCTGTACTGCTCCCCATAGCGGCGTCCGTCCATAGTTGTCCTTTGCGTCTGGATCGACCTTTTTATTCAGAAGAAGCTGTATGACAATATCCTTATATCCCTTCTGTACTGCCCCCCATAGCGGCGTCTGTCCAAAAGTATCCTTTGCGTCAGGATCAACCTTTTTATTCTGGAGAAGCTGTATGACAATGTCCTTATGTCCCTTCTGTACTGCCCCCCCATAGCGGCGTCTGTCCAAATTTATCCTTCGCGTCAGGATCAACCTTTTCATTCTGGAGGAGCTGCGTGACAATGTCCTTATGTCCCTCCTGTACTGCCCCCCATAGCGGCGTCCGTCCATCGTTATCCTTTACGTTCGGATCAACCTTTTTATTCAGGAGGAGCTGTGTAACGATGTCCTTATGTCCCTCCTGTACTGCCCACCATAGCAGCGTCAGTCCAATGTGGGACTTCGCGTCCGGATCGACCTTTTCATTCTGGAGGAGCTGTGTGACAATGTCCTTATGTCCCTTCTGTACTGCCCACCATAGCGGCGTCCGTCCATTGTAGGCCCTTGCGTCCGGATCAACCTTTTCATTCTGGAGGAGCTGTATGACAATGTCCGTATGTTCATTCTGTACCGCCCCCCATAGCGGCGTCAGTCTATCGTTGTTCATCGCGTCCGGATCGACCTTTTTATTCTGGAGAAGCTGTATGACAATATCCTTATGTCCCTCCTGTACTGCCGCCCATAGCGGCGTCCGTCCATCGTTATCCTTTACGTTCGGATCAACCTTTTTATTCAGGAGGAGCTGCGTAACGATGTCCTTATGTCCCTCCTGTACTGCCCACAATAGCAGCGTCTGTCCATTGTTGTCCTTTGCGTCCGGATTAACCTTTTCATTCTGGAGGAGCTGTGTGACAATGTCCTTATGTCCATTCTGTACCGCCCACCATAGCGGCGTCAGTCCATAGTTGTCCATCGCGTCCGGATCAACCTTTTTATTCAGGAGGAGCTGTGTGACAATGTCTTTATGTCCCTTCTGTACCGCCCCCCATAGCGGCGTCCGTCCATTGTTGTCCATTGTGTCTGGATTGACCTTTTTATTCTGGAGGAGCTGTGTGACAATGTCCTTATGTCCATTCTGTACCGCCCACCATAGCGGCGTCAGTCCATTGTTGTCCATCGCGTCCGGATCGACCTTTTTATTCAGGAGGAGCTGTGTGACAATGTCTTTATGTCCAATTTGTGCCGCCCACCATAGCGGCGTCCGTCCATCGTTGTCCCTATTGTCGGGGGAAACACGACTGTCTCTCAGTAACAGCCTAGTCACTTCTTGAAACCCTGCTTCTGACGCATACGATAAAGGCGTCCTATGTGCAGTATCCTCCGAATTCGGGAAGGCCCCCCCCATCTATTAACTCTGTAAGGGCGTCGATATGCCCTTTTTGTGCCGCATATGACAGTGGCGTTCTGCCTCTGCTGTCTCGGAAGTCCGGGCTACTTATTAATTGCAGCAGTGCAAATACCACCTGGGCCCATCCATGCATCGCCGCCAAAAGAAGGGCTTTCCCTTTCTGTTCATTCTCCATCTTGGATGCCGGATAAGTGACAAGAAGAAGTGCTGATGTCAAGTTTTCTTTTTCTATCGCGGCTAGAAGGTCGGCACTACTGGCTTCGGGTTGCGCGATTCGATCCGCAACATGAACGTAGTGATCAATAACTTGGTGCACAAGACGGCGAGACTTCTCATTCTGGAGCCAAGAAATTCCTTTCTTGCCAAATGCTCTTGTGCTCTCATCCATCAAGGCCCATCGGTATAACTCGCACAGAGCAATTGTCGCTTGCTCGGCGAGTTTCTGATCCTTGGGTTCATTAATTACATCTGCACAACCATGCTGTGTTTGAGTGCAGATGTTCCATACCCACCGTAACGTTGTTTCTGCCTTGTTCCACTCATTGAACCGTCGTCGCTCCTTGGTGCTTTTCCTTACTGCTTCCAAGGCACTTATTGCAGAAGGTGTTTTGAGTCGAGGAATCAACAAAGGCATAACACAAAGTGCAGCTTCCTGCCTTGAGCCTAATCTCATTTCCGTAAACAGTCTAACAATCTCAGTCACTAGACTATTCTCGAGTCGAAACCCTTTGTCCTCTTGAACTTTAACAGGTCCAAAGTCATCCACGATGTCAAGAATGCTCGTAAAAAATGATACAAACACCTCCTGGGCACAAGCCGACACAAGGGAGCCTTTAATCGCAGCGGAAAACTTTTTGGAACTATTAGAGTCTTGACTCTGCGACAATTCTGCAGCTCTCCTGCCAAAGAAACGAACCCGTGGCGGGAGGGACTGTATAGCTGACGAAGAATTTTTCCTGGCTGTCGCATCCTTCTGACCCGTTTTTGTCCATAAAGTGCTTGCGTCTCTATGGTCAACGACTTCGGCGGGTAGAGCGTATTCCTCGTGTGTAATTATATTTATGTCGTCACCGAGCCATATGTCCAAATCCATTTTGATGGCTCTGTCTGTTGGAACAATCCGCCGTGACTGAATATTATCAGCCGTAGATTTCGTGAGACCAGTCTCTAGGTCTTCGATTTCTATTGCTGGATCAGACTTTAACGACCAAACCCACAGACCGAGGATTCCTTCTAGCTCCAGTCTGTTTTTCAATAACCAAGGGCTTCCTGGAGCTCCTGGATCTTGAGCTAATTCCAGGTAAATTGTCTGCCTCTCTGGGTTGTCGTTTACTTGTTTGCCGATGGTGCAATCGATGCCCCAAAACATCGATTGGGCTTCTTTCGGCTCTCGCTGGATCTTGACTTTCCACCCTGCCTTGATCTCGGCCATGGAGAAAATTATCTTCAAGGTAGCCTCGATCAAATCAGCTAACTGCCGACTCTTGCTTCGGACCTCGACCATTTCATTCTTGAAATCCCTCGCCGATGAAGTAGATGAATCAGTCAGCGATGCAAGTCGAGTTCGATACGCCAACAATATGGCGGCTGCATTTTGACGCTTGTTGGGAAATGGATGTTCGAGGTTCATTCTCTTTATGTCAGGTGCACCACAAAGTCTCCAAAAGGGGCGGCATTGACTATCAAGGGGTGACGAGTCAGATAATTTCTTGTCTGGCTGACCAGAAGATGATGATCTAGGTGTCGGTGAATCCGCATCCCTTTTGATGTCTTTATCAATAACATCACGGCCAATGCGCAAGGCGAGCCAGTCGAGTTCGTGACCAACAACCTCATCCGGAAATTTAGCAAAGCAGTTATCATCGGGTTTTAGTCGCTGCATGCGGAGTGCAGCGCGAGCCGTGCTCATGATCATAATGACTCCCAGCTGGGCGATGGAGACTGCCGAATGTATACCACGAAGCCCGGTGAATTGTAAGACAAAGCCAGAGATAGTGGTGCCAATAGCTATCCAGACTTCAAAATTCGGTTCCTGGGACCCGTTCTTCCTTGAAGTTATGTATCTCTTCAATTTGTTGTCGCAATCCGTGTGAGAGAATGCGTCAAAGGTTTGATCGCCTATGATTTGACCGCCAGGCTGTACCCAATACATACACAATTTGTCGGTCTCATTTTCTTGGCGGTCCCAGATATCTTCCTGGGTGCTCCGACCCACTAGAGATGCGCAATGGAACATTCCGCCACAGACAAGAACAGTCCCGATTATCACCAGTGGACATGCATAGGATTCGGGGGGGGCTGTCATCGTTGCCCCATTTCAGGTAGTATGTCGCAATACCAGCAAAGACTAAAACACCGACCTGCAGAATCAGGCCAACAATAGCAATTGTGTAGAAAACATAGGTCGGTTGTTTCTTGATTCCGATATTGAGAGAGAGATTCGGAGCAAAAGTCGTAAGGGGTACATTCGATTCGAAGGTATCCGATTTGCAGCCTGACTCGGTGTCCTCGTGTGTTTTCTCCGGTGTTTCCTTTCGCCACAGCGCTTTGCCCTTCTGCTTTATTCTCTTTCGCCATAGCGCCTTACCCTTGTGTTTTTCAAGGTATTGCTGAAATGTGTATATTCCGGCCGTGTCATCGCTCGAATTGCTGAAGACATGATCAGGGTCGTGGACCACCTCTAGAATCTTTGGACGGCCGAAGACGCGCGCAATGCCACCACTGTTATAGAGCTCACACACATCCCGACTGGTCGAGGTGCAGAGCTCAGCCTCCGCATTTCCCGCTCCTTCTTGAGCTCTACCGATAAACGCACGTAGAGATGGAGTCCCACACACACGAATAGCAGAGACGACCCCTGTGAGGATTCCCATCGGCGCCATTGCGAAAATGAAGTAATCGGTTTTCGTGATGCTCTCGCTGAGGTACTGCTTCGTGATTTGTTCACCGAAGAGGGATAGGAATGGCGCAAGATCGGTTGCGAGATTGTTTGAGAAGTCGTCCCAGCCGCCCGCGCGGACTACTGGGAGGGCGACTAGGATTGCGAATAAAAGATGGGTGAACATTCTCGGTCAGTGCAATTCAAGGTTTTAGAAAAAAAAACACCGCTAGACTTCTGCTTTTTAGGATGAAGGCCTCATTCCGCTAATTCACAAACTGCAATGAGGCTGAAAAGTTGCGGTGGTGCCAAAAATAAACGCTGAGAGGGTTGGGATTGTACGTAGCGCCCAGCTTTGCGTTCCTATTCGCTGGATACAGAGTTTCAATAGCATCCACACTTGCAGGCGCTTTTCTTCCAGCATCTGCATACGGGTTTTTGATCGCTGGTGAGCCGGCGAAATGCAATACCAAATGCTATTATGCGGAATTTCTTGTTGACGTGCAAAATTACCCCAGGGCTGACGACCGCGGATCGGTTTGGAATCAATCCGTTCATTGGTTCATTCTGGGTGTACCACAGGGAAAGAAATTGGGCATGACGGATCGACATTGACCAATTCCTGATTAGTTTAGATATGTAGTATTGGTTGCGGGCCGAGAACCACTCTTGATTCCTTGCTAGAGTCAATCAGGGAATGGCAGTATCGAAGGTTCCACGTGTTCCCGCCTCATCGCTCCCGGAAGACGGGCACAATCCAGCCTACCCACTCGCATCTGCTTCTCTTGCGGTTCCTCACTAGCCTTGTTGAGTAAGGGCTTTGTTATTCACAAACACGATCCATTTAGTTATCACTGACGGTCACACGCTTATTCCAAGAGATCGAATGTACTTCCAAAGTTGGTCGATGACCAAGATAGATGAGAAATGGTTGGCTCTTGGTTTGAGAGGAACTGAAAGTCGCTGCGGGGCGTTCGAGGTCCATGTTGTCCAACACTAAACCTGTGGTGTTATTGGGCGGGCCGTGCCTTGGATCGTGGGGTCTAGCGCCAGGGCCACTGCGAATTGAAGACGTTGATTACCCGCCGCCACCATTCCAATATTACAAACAAATTGTACTTGTCATGGGGAGAAGTGCCTAGACCAATGCTCTCTCAGCCACTAAGACGGCCTGTGTGTTGATGTGCAGAAGCTGTCCAATAATAAGTTTTACGCGCCCTAAGCTGAACCCTAGATATCGCGCGTTTGGATTTGGATTTTTAAGTGGGTTCTCCGCATCATCAGCATAATACCAATCGACGAGAATAGCACCTTCCTTTGCTCGCGTGGGGACGATAGGTATCGACTTCGCTTTGTCGTTTCCATGTTGCTCGTCTGCCTCTAGGCAGCCTTCTGTGAAGGGTGTAGTGTTGAAAGTTGAGGAGCGACTGAGAAAAACACTCCTCTTATAGTTACCTGAGTTGGACGCCTGTTGTTTGAGCATTCTATCTGCTTCGATGATCGAACCATTCATCAATTCGATCCATGGATCACGCAGTTTGAAGCCGGGCTTCTCTTCTGGATATTGAAAGTACTTATTCTTTGTCAAGAAACGAACCAACTGCCCAAGGGGGCATCTCGGATATCATCTGCCATTGTCTTGATTGCTTTGGCGCTTTTATCAGCGCCTTCCTTTTTTTTCCCGTTATGTTTCGGCGTTAAGCTCGAACTAATTCCGAGTTGTCATTTTAGAACAGTGGCGGAGAGAGCAACCTTCACAATGTGACTAATAAAAATTCATTTTTTGTTACTCATCAAATGGTGCATCATAACTAAAAAATCACGGCCCTTTCAATCGATACCGTTATCTCCGGGAGCGTCATTGGTTCCCAACGTCTCGATGAGTAAAATGCCCTGACTCCGACGAACCTGACTAGATGACACAAGACGTTATGCTGTCAGGCCTAACGCGAATATTCGGATAACAATTTTTATCTTTACGAGGGAGCCTTCTCCCATATTTGCAGACGAGTTACACTTCTCATGGACATCTAAATGATAACAAATAAATTCTGTGCGTGTCGGGCTGAAACGCGAATATGAATCTGTCGGTTTCTGAACGCGCTTTAACGCCATCGAGGTTCCGGCAATGAGATCCTATCCCCGCCTGCATCTGGACGGGCTAATTCTGGAAAACTTTTCTTTAGAAGGACTAAAGCGGAATATATCTTCCTCGGATAACGGAGGCAAAGGTAAAGTCCATGGTGCGACACTATTCATCCGACTTCAATTCGTCAGGCCGCCAAGACCATATGAAGATATCTGCGGATTCTCTTCAAACGCTCGAAGACATGGTGATCAAACAAAACAGCCTTGCTCAAATCAGGACGCGGAATACGAGGTGAAAACGAGAATGATTCAGGGGTAGCTAGAATTGAGGTCGCATGAGAGCTTCAAGCTCGCGTTGCGATAGTACCGAAATCGCCGTGTTCCCCCCTGCCCAGCGGCTAAACCCATGACTCGAAATGAGAAATACATATGGCCCCCTTCTTCAATATTTCTGGTCAGTGAATAGTATTGATACAAACTATTCTGGGCGTCATCGATACTGCTGGGTCAACCGGCTAATATTGCAAAAGCTGGAAATTAAGAAGGTAGGTCCAGTCTTCTACAAAGGAGTAGCCTCTTTTGACCTGTTATATCTTTGTTAAGGTACACACTTACCTTCTTCATGGGCCCGACCCGGAAACTTCCATCGAAGAGACGATGGATGCGCTCCAGGATCTCTACAAACAGGGCAAATTTGACAAGGTGCGTTCTCTCGGCTGAGCCTTTTGTGAAAGTTCCACCAAACGGGTAAACTGAAAACAGATACCGCGATCCCCTTATAAACAACTTTATGAGATCTAACACCCGGAACACCGTACCCTCAGAATCAAATTGAAAACGTCGTGAACAGAGGCTATTTCTAGAGCAATGGAAGCTTTAGATCGGACAGCTTGGCAGAGGTACTACAGGCCAATCACTCTTCATTTTGCCGTCCGGCTGAAGTAGCCCGCACAGCAGTCGTGCGACCATGGGTGATAATTCTCACCCAGGTTCTCAGTTTCCCGTCAAGCACTCACCCTTTTCGCCCCAGGTCGCGCGACAGAAAAGCGGCGATCAGCTGTTTCCCCACTAAGCTAGGCCGATCGATTGGCGAGCCTGGCCATTTGGCGTGGCTAAAACACAGTAAGTAGTGCGGTGGGTGCCGCCCGGGTGAGAATGGGGTGAGCGCCGCTTTAGCGTCGCGCGACCCGGGTGATTAGGGTGAGTGTACAATAGACAGGGTGAGAACGGGGTGACACCGGGTGAGAATCATACTTGTCATGCAAGGATTACGTTTTGACCCTCCAGGCTGAAGTGAAACATACATCATTGGCTGGCCTACCACTAGGACTCAATACGGAGTAGTACTATGTAGTCGATTGTGTCTACGCGGTGGCTTCGGCTTCGGTGGGGCTCCAACGCCTTTGCCGCTCGTTAGCCCCAGGTCAGTCAATTAGCCGATGCCATTAATCTTCTTTTTCATTATAACTGCCATTCCTGTTCAATTCCTTTGCGTAATATATCACAAGCGTGGAATGTCTCTTATATCTATTTTAGGTCTTCGATATTCTTGCTGTGTTTCTGCAACTCGAGCGTCTATCAGTCTTATAATGTTTGGAATTAGATTATACTACCAATGTTAGTAGAGTCCATTCACTACTACTACTGCTTTGAAAGTACCAGTATGGAATACCTATGATAATATTGCGCTATAGGTAAATCCACACCACGATGCAACTTCCCTGCTTTATTCACTGTTCCCACCTGGTCCTCGTCCTGTCTTAGGCTAATCTCCAACACATCACCATCTGAAAGTTGACCTCTACCTTTCAACCCAATCCCCAAATCCCACAAGCAGTCTTGTGAGTTCTCGTTTACTTAATGAGTTCCAAAGCCTCGACCAGTATCTGACCAGTTCAAAACAGCCATACACACCTCGATTCCAACCCTCACAATGAGATACTTAAGAAACGACTATCCACGCCCCCTCCTCGAGCAACTCAATGATGTCTACGATGACCTGCCCCCAGTACCACCAGCACACGTCTACATCGTCACGACAAAAAACTTCGAGGACAAAAAAAACCCAAAGTTCAGCATAATCGAAACCCATCACTCACTCATAGTGGCGCACCGACAAGCCACGAACCTTTTCAAGAGCAAGTACCTAATGTGGTTCATGCAGTCACTCAATTTCGAAAACTGGGCTCGTGCGGGCGAGAACCTTGAAATTGAAATCTGGGCTCGGGGGCAGGAGGACCTTAAAGGTTTCGATCATATTGTGAAATGGGAGGTTTATGACCAAGGTGGACTCGATCTTGAGGCTTGGAGGAGGTCTAAGGATGACCCCAATAACATCGAGTTTCTGGGGTCTGTTGAGGTGGAGTATCATCTTATTAATGGAATTTGATGGGTGGATTTCAAGGGGTCGGGTTCGCTTCTATCTGCTGAGATCTATCTATGGTATCGGGGAGGCTGACATGTTCCATAGTGGGGATTTCCCACCTCGACCGTGACCTGCACACCTACACCCCGTGGGAGGAGTTTTTACGGTGGCAATTTACTATGGCGTTCATCCATTATGTTCGGGGATGTACGGAGCACGAATCAAATGACTGAATTGTATATGCTTTAACGTATGCTGAATCTAAATTCTCACATATATGCCATGTTACACGATGGGGAACACATCGCTTAGAACTCTATCCGCCATGTTTTTCCGATGCCAACGTTCGGACTCTTCACAACGGCGTAGGGTGCCTTACCACTCTCCTGCTCATAGTATTCAAGGACAGCAATTGAGCCTGTCTTGGCCCCGTCTTCAATGATAACAACAGTGCTCTTGTCCTTCCACTCCTTGGGAGGGTCGATGATGACAACGCGCTCAACGGTAACTCCGGCCATGGTCTTGAGGTACTCGGCAGTCTTAGCGCCCTTAGTACCGAGATTCTCGGAGGACAGAACGGAGTCACGGTACTGGAACTGGCGGTGGATGTAAGCCCCACGCTCGTAGTCGAAGGTCTCTCCATCATCCACGTAAAGGGAACCCTCAGCTTCGCCCTTCTTGTTTAGAGTAAGGATGAGAGTGTAGGGATCCCAACGCATGAGAGCGCTGCTGCGACGAGGGCGGTCCCGACGGGGTACGATGTGACCACCTTGGATCAGGAGAGGAATCTTGTCCTCGGGGGCTGGGACGGTGTGTCGCTTGCCTGCGCCCTGGTAAACTGTAAAGTCAAAGTAATCGTAGTATTTTTCGTCATCGGCGATATAGATGGTAGTGGTGAATGTGTTCTCTGTCACAACAGGCTTGGCAAGGAGACCGGTAGCACCCAGGTACAACTGGTCATCGATGGCGAATCCTGCCTCATTCTCGGGGAAGACGTAGTACTGGGGACGCACAATAGGAGTACCATTGACGGATGCCTCATGGAAGGCAGTGTACCAAGCAGGCAAGAGCTGGTATCTCAGGCGGATTGCCTGGGAAATGATGGTGCGGTGCGGCTCGCTGATCAGATAAGGCTCACGACGGCGGGTATCAATATGAGCATGGGCGCGGAAGAAAGGATACCAAATGCCAGCTTGGTACCATCTAGTGAGAAGATCCTTGTCCGGGTTGTGGAAGAAACCACCGACATCAGCACCGGCAAAGGGGAAACCTGCAATGCCGTTGGTCAGGACCATTGGCAGAGAAGCACCGAGATGGTCCCAAGTAGCCTGATTATCACCGGTCCACATGGCCGACATGCGCTGGGCACCGGCATAGTAAGAACGGGTCAGGATGAACGGCCGGCGCACTTCGCCCTTCTTGCGCTCCAACATGGCTTGGTAGGTAGCATTGACAAGAGTGATACCGTTCACATTGTGAATATCACGGTGCTCCCAGTTACCAAAGTGGAGGTTATCCTTAGGCATAGTAGTCTCTGGACCATTGAAGACCGAGGGCTCATTCATGTCGTTCCAAATGAAAAGATTGGAAAGCGATCCCTTGAATCTATCGAATTTGTGGAGACTATTCCACCATGGGAACGAAGCCGGGTTAAAGCAGTCAACCCAGTTCGACGAACCAGGCCAGCACCACCCATCGTATATCTCGCCGTCCTTGTTGAGAACAGCAAGATTTTTGCTTTTCAGCTCCTGCGAGACGAAATAATCATCCTTATTTTTGATGTGGGGATCGATGAGAACCACAAGCTTACGCTCGGATTCGTCCAGCTTTTCCTGCATACCCTTAGGGTTGGGGAAAGTGAGAGGATCCCAAGTGAAGTATTTCCGGTCATCAGTATACTCCAGATCCAGCCAGATAACATCGTAGGGGATCTGGTATTTATCGAATTTGGCATCGACCTCCTTCACGTCCTCATCGGTGACATAGTTCCAGCGGCACTGGTGATAAGCGATGGCGAAGTGCTGAGGCAGCTGGGTGTAACCGGTCAGCTGGCCGTAGGTTTTGCTGATGTCCTGTGGCGTGGGTCCCAAAAAGACGAAAAGATCGATTCTACCCGCCTCGGAGAACCAGTGGGTCTTTGTGTTGCTTTTAGAATGAGCACTCATCGAAAGCGGGTTCGAGTTCGCTGCCTCTTTGACAATATCGATCCAAGTCTCCGCGGCGTTAAGCCAGAACACACCGACGGTAGAATCCTTACGGTGCGCCTGCATGAACGGAATAGCTCCATACAGGGTCATGGGACTGTTGAGCTCATACTCGAAAACATCAGAGTTGTACAAGCGGTACGGCTGTTCGTGGTTGCCCGGTCCTCCTCTGTTGTCATGGTTAGCCACAATACAAGCACATGGGGGCAATGGATCTAACCTAGTCTCACGCAGTGAAAGAGAGTCAGCGTGCTCGGGGATACCGAACACATGATTATAACCGGGGAAAGTAACATCAAGACCCACACTCTCGGGGCCGCGGGGCTTCGAGTCGGTGTTGCCGCCAAAGGATTCCTCCCACCAGGTGCCCTCCTCCTCAGGCGACTCGCCCTCCTTGTGCTCGACCTTCGGCCGCCAGTGCTCCATGTTCAGCAAGCCCTGGTGGTTGATTTGAACATGAGTCTCGCCGTCTCTCTGAAACTCAACCTCGAAAGGTGCATGGCGAATAATCGCCTGGAATTTGTCCTCGGGTCCGTACAAAATATTGGTGAAACCAGTCTCGGTCTGGGCATTCAACTTGGCGGACTTGCTCACTTCTAAGCCACCCACAATAACCCATTTCTCGGTCTCGTCGTACCTCTTCTTGTTTGCTTTGCTATCATGTCGGACCTCGATATCGCCCTTAAGGCGCTTCTCCTCGTCAACAATGATACGCGCCGCACCGGACTCGAGAAAGGAGACCGTGACAGGCATGCGAATTTTCTCATGTGTAGATGTAGTTTTGATGAGGATACCGTTCAATTGGCCATCCTTGAAGTGAATTGTAGCGGGGTCAAGCTCGTAGGGTGAGCTCCACGAGGCACCTTGGGCGGAGGCGTTGTCGGCGAGCGCTCGGTTGCGCTTACAGAAACCGGACTGCTGGCATGTCTTGAAATTTTCATGTTTGACCGTTACTATACACCAAAACACCAAAGTCATTAGCGATTGAAGCGATGTCATGCGGCGGAGTAGGGATCTCACCTCCGGGTACAACAATGCATGCGATAAGAACCACGAAGGACAGAAAGAGTGTCCAAGGGGACATCGGCCGGCTCCGGGCCATGGTGAAGAATGTAGAGCAATCAGAGACCCTCACTCTCTGACTAGTAGGTGGGTTGGAGTGTAAGATGTTGACCTGCAACGGACGGCGGATAACCTGTCAAGATCAACAGGGAAGCTCCAGGCTGGCCTGACGGTGGAGATTGGAGCTGGGGTAAGACACCTGAGGGATGAGGCAATAAGGCATCAAGGTCAGGTGGTGTCAGTCAGGTGTCGGGCTCTAAGGCATAAAGGCACCAAGGCATTCATGCATATTAACCTGAGACCTGAGGCCACCAACCACCAATCACCAATCAAGCCCCACCAACGGAGCAGCAGCGGGCAAAAAAAGGCTCAGGTATTTATTAATAAATCTCCTCCCCTCCTCCTTCTCCTCCTCATCCCTTGCTGATTACCATATCTTCAATCATCAATCCTTCACCATGTCCGACGAGCAGACGTAAGCTATCCTCCTCTCTTTTCAATTGCCTTCTTCCTTTCCCTTACCCCACTCCTACTCTCATTTCTCCTCCCTACCTTGCGGTCTACCCCTCCTTCTCTAGCGGTCAAGCTAATCAATTGCCTCAGCTTCATTGCCATCAAGCCCGATGGTGTCCAGGTATGAGCATAGAATCCTGCAGGCCGACGCAGTCGCGGACCGACGGCCCAATCATCAATTGAGAACCCTGAAATCTAATGCGAACTATAGCGTGGACTCATTGGCCCCATCATCTCTCGCTTCGAGAACCGTGGCTTCAAGCTCGTTGCCATGAAGCTGGCCTCCCCCAGCCAGGAGCACCTCGAGAAGCACTACGCTGACCTCGCTGGCAAGCCATTCTTCAAGGGTCTCGTCGCCTGTGAGTTTCCCCCCCCTCCGATGCTTCCGCGAGCTGCTCTTCTAGCTCGAAATGCGACCCTAGCTAACCCCACCCCTTCAGACATGCTGAGCGGCCCCATCTGCGCCATGGTCTGGGAGGGCAAGGACGCCGTCAAGACCGGCCGCACCATCCTGGGCGCCACCAACCCCCTGGCCTCCGCTCCCGGCACCATCCGTGGCGACTACGCCCTGGACGTCGGCCGCAACGTCTGCCACGGTTCCGACTCCGTCGAGAACGCCAAGAAGGAGATTGCCCTCTGGTTCACTCCCACCGAGCTGATCAAGTGGAAGCACTCCCAGGCCAGCTGGATCTTCGAGAAAGAGTAAGAAGTTTCTCGTCTCCCATAGAGCCTTTAGCCTGATGGGTGTTCACCCTCGGCTGCTTGCAATATAAAGTTGCGATAGCTGAAGATAAAACGCCTGGACGGCTGCCAAAATCCAATACACAAGCTTCATATGATTTATGAACATGTTTCCATTTCTTTTCCTTTATGAATTATAGTACAGTGGTATCCGCAAACGATACTTCAGTTCCGACTGAATAACCGCTTCGCCATGCGAGTTGTCGGGCTGAGGATCGACCTCGCAAACCACGGCGTAGCCCAGACACTCGCAACTATTCGGAAAGGCAATAATGCTTTGGTGATTGCGTAGGCCGTCGCGAATTCCAGAACTAAGCGTACACCAGCTTGTTGCTGTCCACTACGGTGTTCTACTACTGTAGTCTCATGTTCCTTCACAGCGCTAACGTCCGATTCCTCTGCCCAGCCCTTCTTCTTTAACCATCGCCCGAATCGGGCCGCTCCCTCGTCGAACGCATTGCCCTCGCTCTCCCCCGAGCCAGAGCTGAGGTCGGGCATCCAATTCCCGTAGTGAAATGCGCCCACCAGGCCAAACAGTGGTAACACAGCAGTCATTTCGTGCAGGATGAGGAAGGATGTAACATGGGTCACCGGAGCTCCCAGTAACGGCGTCGTAACGGTTCGAAGGAAGCGAGGGAGACGATCATTGAACTGGCGCAAGCGTGAGCGAACATCTTTTGGGGAAGAAGCTGGTGGTCGCCCGGGCTGTGGTGATGGAGGAGGAGAAGGCGTGGAGAAACCTCGTCGTGGCTGCGGTCGAGACCATTGCGCGGCCCGAGGGCGCATTGAACGACTGAAGCTTGCTAGGCTATAGTTCGCCATGGTCAAGGAAGAGAGGGTTCAGGGGAAGATATCGGGGAGGAACGGCTCAGGAGAAAGCGGATAGCATGACTCGCTTTGGCAATGGAAACCCGCTCGAGACCCGTTGAAGGGAAGAAATGAAATGTCGTGCTTCTAAGTCTCCGTTTAATCGCGTCTCGTATCGCGCTGAGGTAATCCTTTCCCGGTCGATCTTTTATTTTTTCCCGTCTTAATTCTTAATTCTACTAATTGTTATTTTTTAGTCCGAATGCCACGGAGCTAGGGAAAAATCAAATAGAATAATGTTATAAGGTCAAATAATACCAAAACCATCCCACATATCCCACATTTGTCCCCCGGAAAACCCCCCCTCAATGTCCGATCTAGAATCGTGCGGGCGGCCGGCAGACGTCGACATCATCTTTCCCGATGCGATCAGGTGTGGCCTTTTAGGAAGTCCATGACGGTCCACTTCAAACCCACTTCTCTCTCTTCTTTCTTCACCCCCTCCTATTGCCCTCCAACACCCTTCGCAATGGAGAAGAAAATCACAGAGAAGATTGCGGCGCTGCCGCCAGATGCAAATTACTTCTCCCTGGAGTTCTTCCCTCCAAAGACCCGGATGGTGGGGTAACCCCGCGGCGCTCTTTTGCCCCCAGGTACAAGGATGACATGCTAATGATTGAGGTTGTTGTATAGGGTTTCGCGAACCTGTCTGCGCGTCTGGAGCGGATGGCACAGGCCCTACGTCCGTTATTCGTCACAGTCACTTGGGGTGCAGGCGGAAGCACGGCGGCCCGTTCCCTTGAGCTGGCCGAAGTTTGCCAGCGCCAACTGCAGTTGACCACTGTACTGCACTTGACATGTACCAACATGAGTCGCGCCTTGGTGGACATGGCCCTGGAGGAGGCCAAGGTCCTTGGTATTCGCAATATCCTCGCCCTCCGCGGAGACCCACCTCGCAGTGAAGAATACAATATGCATGGGGAGGACGATAGCAACAAGGATTTCACCTTTGCGGTTGATCTTGTCAAATACATTCGCAAGCAGCATGGTGATTACTTCTGTCTTGGTGTTGCTGGATACCCCGAGGGTCACCCGGCCGATTCGTTCCAGGATGTCCAGGATCCTGCCCGTGATATTCCTTATTTGGTTGAGAAGACCAAGGCTGGCGCGGACTTCATCATGACCCAGCTTACATACGATCTGGAGGCGTACCAGAAGTATGAGGCCATGCTTCGCAACCACGAGTCTGGCGTTTTCAAGACCATCCCCATCATCCCGGGCTTGATGCCTGTCCACAGTTACAAGATTCTTACCCGTGTAACAAAGCTCAGTCACGTCAAGATTCCCCCCCCCTATCGCTAAGCGCATGGAGGATCTGAAGCACGACGATGATGCCGTCAAGCGGGCCGGTGTTGACATCGTGAGCAATATTGTCGGAGGCATCCAGGAGCTTCCATCTCCAGGCCCACGCGGTTTCCACTTCTACACCCTGAACTTGGAGAAGACGGTCTCTTTCATCCTGGAGCGATGTGATTTGATCCCACCATTTTCCAAAATCGACGATGACTTGGCCATTGAGGAGTTCGATGGCCCTCCTCTCGACTCCCAGGTTCGCTCATTATCTAGACGTTGGGCGTCATCCACCAACTCTCAGCCGTACAACCGAGTTATCGTCGACAAGATGTCTGCGCATGAGTCTTCCAAGGACTCCGTGCATGAGGCTCTGGCAACTGGCGCTGGTTTACCAGCCCTGCCTCCGGGTCGTGGAACGACTCTTCAAATTTCCGAGGGCCTGGGTGCGCTTGGTAGAGAGGCTACCTGGGATGATTTCCCCAACGGTCGATGGGGTGATGCCCGCTCTCCTGCTTTCGGTGAGATCGACGGCTACGGTCCTTCTCTCCACGTCACCTCTGCAGTTGCCCGTCGACTGTGGGGTCACCCAGTTGATCGAAAGGATATCAACACACTCTTCCGTCGACACGTGTCCGGAGAACTGCACATGGTACCCTGGTCAGAGGGTGGTGCCGAGGAGGATGGCCCTGGTTTGAATGCCGAGACTGAGCTTATTCGGCCCGAGCTGCTCAAGCTCATTGATGGCCGAGGCTGGTGGACCCTGGCCTCGCAGCCTGCTGTGAACGGCGTCCGCAGCGACCACCATATCTTCGGCTGGGGCCCCCAGCGTGAGGGCTTTGTCTTCCAGAAGCCCTTCGTTGAGTTTTTCTGCTCTAATAACGACTACATGAATATCCTCAAGCCACTATTTGAAAAGCACGGCCACGACAAGCTGTGTTGGTTCGCTACAAATACCACCGGAGCCTTCGAGTCTTCACTCCCCAGCCAACCCGCTGACGTCGAGCTCGACGACCTCGGTTCAAACCCCGAAAGCGTGAACGCTGTTACCTGGGGTGTCTTCCGCGGCAAGGAAATCGTGACACCCACCATCATTGAAGAAGTCAGTTTCCGCGCTTGGGGCGAGGAGGCTTTCCGTATCTGGGACGAGTGGCGTCGGATTTACCCCCGTGGTTCGCCTACGGAGCGCTTCCTTGATACCACCAAGAATGAGGCCTGGCTCGTCTGCGTGGTTGGCCAGCAGTTTGGCGCCGGTGTCCCGGCCGGTTCGAAGGAGGAAGAGGACGAGGTGAAATGGATGTGGCGAGTTCTGGCGGGCGAGACTCAGGATTGAAGAGTTATACGTCCCGCATATACTCGATATACCCCCTCTACTAGAGATATGAAAGCGTGACACACCTAGTTTGATTATGAGAAAGGATGATGGCATTACGAGATCTTGGGCTCCTGTACAGTACTCTTGAGCTTGGAAACTGATGGGATGAATTTTATGAAATTTCAGTAGTAACGTGGCCCCCGGGACTTGGATTTTCTTATGCAATGTATTTCTCGATGAACTTTGAAAGTTCCCATATATACACACGCTTACAAGATGGACTCGCAGTATGAACGCCAATTCAGAAAATGCAACAAAAGCATAGACCAAACAAGGAAAACAAAATATGCTAATGACTCGGAGAAAGAAAGGTCATTCATTACACCTTCTTAGCAAATCCGTGGTGCTCAAGTCCACTGGCATCGGTATCCGGCGTCGCAACAGAAGACTGTGACTCGGCGAATTTCTGTGAAACATCATCGAGACGCCCGTACACGCGCGGTCCGCGCTTGTGAGGACCGGCTTGAAGTTGGTAGCCGCGCAACCTATTTATTTCCGAATCAGTAAAACAAAACAAAAGAAAAATATTACCAAACGTCAAATCAACATACCTAGGTCCTTCGCCAGTCCGCTGAGGCAACTCGGAGACATACATACGGCTGAAAGACTGCACATCCTCCTCAAATGTCCCACGCTGAATACTATCCCGCACACCCGCGAAGAAGACATCCATGACATGGTAATTGTGCATTTGAAGAAGAGCCCACGCAGCCATTTCCTTCGCATTGAGGAGATGATTGAAGTAAGCACGGTGGTGTTTCCGACAGGCGTAGCATTGACAGCCATCACTCAGGGCAGATACATCCTTCGCCGTATCTGCAGACCACAAGTCAATGCCAAGGGCTTTGGGCTGCAAAGCTGACCCATTCGCATTCGCATTCACATCCGATGCAGTGGGGAATGTGAAGTCCAACGCAATTCCCGCATCCGAGCACTCGCCAACAAAAGGAAGAGTCAACAAATCTCCACCAAGAGAAACGTCCCTAAGCAAATCGTGCGGACCACCCGGCTGGCTAAGCAATAGACGAGGCAAAGCACCCAACGACTCAGGAATCTGCGCCAAAGAAGCAGATTCGTACAACGCAAGGCCAGAAACGTGACTCTTCAATTCATCCTGCAAATCATCCAGGTAAAGCGATTGCTGCGCATTATCCAACGGCAGTACAGGGGCGAAGTACGCAGTATCCGTTGACTTTTGCTTTTGCTCCGCTGGTACTGATTTGCCGTATAATCTTTCCAATGCGTCTTGTGTAAAGGCGTGCGTGCGGTCGACCATTTTCGCCCGCCTTTTGACGCCTGGTTCGCGGCCGTACACGATATCTGCAAGTCCGATGGCGATATCTGGTTTCAGGGTCCGGATTGAGTCTAGGTACTGGTGTGCGGGAAGTTGGCGGAATCCGACTGAGGTTAGGATTGCGATTGAGGTATCGGTGTTATTGGGTGGGCAGGGGATTGCGGGGAATCGGCGCGGGGCGAGGATTATGGGCATGTCGTCGGTTGCGCAGATGAAATTTCGTAAGGGGGATTCGCCTTCGGTGACGGGGATGTTGTATACTGGTGAGGGGTTTTTCTTGGTGATGACTGGTTTGGAGTGTTCAAGTTAGTCGCGTGCTCGGTCTAGATGAGGGTTGGGGTAGGATGGGGTGGGATGGGATAGGAGGAGTAGTATATAATAATACGTACAGTCTTCTAATCCAATGTAGAGGCTGTTCAAGGCCGTTTCTTTACGCAGCATGTCGTGCGCAATGTGTGGCACAGTGCCCCGCGATGTGAGAGGGATATAATGCGGCGTTGAGAGTGTCTTGCGGCCGGCGAGTGCCAATTTACCCAGTCGGGGTACCATGACGGGCGCAGAGGCTGCCAGGACACTGAAGGTCATCTTTTCAGACTTGAACTGCGAGGGTTCCATGGTGATTGTGGTCATTGTAACGGAGACATGCTGGGGTTGAGGTTGGCGATCTTATCGGGCGGCAGAAAAAAGATGGGAAATCCCCAGGAACCGACAGGAACCCGTTCTGGCTGGGCCCGCGTTCCAAGGTTGAGACATTCCTTCTTCACCTCTGTCGATTGCCACCTTTAACAAGTCATTCGTTTCTTAGCGCTTTTTCTTGTGATACTTGAAATCACACATCTAATCCCTCGAGGTACATTCAAATATCGATATCGACATCTAGAATGGCTGGCCAGGCTGGACACGAGTCGACGCGTCGTGGGGCGCTCATCGTCGTCGAGGGACTCGACCGCGCGGGCAAATCGAGCCAATGTGAGAAGCTACGAGACTATTTGTCCGAACAAGGACATACCGTGAAATACATTCGATTCCCAGGTACTTTGATGAATGTGCTCAATCGCAATGTGAATGCTCTAATTCGTGCGCAGACAGGACAACACCCATCGGGAAGCTCATAGATAGTTATCTGCGTGGCTCAACCGATCAAGAGGATCACTCCATCCACCTGCTCTTCTCCGCCAATCGCTGGGAGGTCGCCAAGTCGATTCAAGAAGATATCGCCAACGGTATCACGATAATTGTGGACCGCTATTCATACTCCGGCGCCGTGTATTCAGCCGCCAAAGCCAACCCCACATTGTCTCTCGAGTGGGCATGGCAACCAGAGATCGGTCTTCCTCGTCCGGATATTTGCCTTTTCCTTAGCATATCTGCTGAGGAAGCTGCGAAACGGGGAGGCTTCGGTGCTGAGCGGTACGAGAATGAGGCGATGCAGACCCGCGTTCGTGAACTCTTCCGTACTCTGTTTGAACGCCAGGAAGATGTTTCCATTATCGATGCGGGGAAGTCTCTGGAAGATGTTTCCAAGGATATTCAAGTTGTTGTTTCGGAGTGTGTCGGGCGTCTGGGCGCGATTGGACCGTTGAGAACATTGGGACCCCTGGTCAATTAGTTCCAGCAGCTAATTACGATATCATAATAATGTAAATACATCACGCATCATTCCACGATTTCAGCATCGTCCCATTCACTGTCTTCGATGACAATTTCCAGTCTGGAAGGCGGAGGAGGAGTCGGTAACCGTTGTCGGCCATCGTAATCTGAGTCTGAATCCAGGTCTCCTCCGTCAAACCAGTCGTCTTCCAGTTGTGGATCGTCTTGAGTCAATTCACTCGCCAAACCACCTGCTTGTTGCGATGAGGGTTCAACGGAAGTTTGCCGAGCATCTTTAGTTTTATTCTTGCGGTCACGTTTATCCTTTCTCCGCAGAATTTCTTGAGCTTCTTTTTCGGCCCGGTTGCGAAGGCTCAATTCTTGCATCATCAATGGCCACGGCACAGTTTCCTTGCATGCAGGACATGTGCCTTTTGTCGGTATGAGACTATCCGGATCACCTTCTGCTTCGAGGAATTTCGTAGATAAGCATAAAAGATGGGTTGTACCGCGGCACGGTTCCCGTGGACAAACCACGATCTGCTCGGCGAGAGGAAGAACAGCGGCTTTGCAAATGTGACACTTCAGTCCCTCTGCATCATCAAGAAGAAACATAGATTTCTCCAAATATATCTCTAGTTTCGAATAGTCCACCGTAAGCTTATCGATGCTACCCACCGCTTCGCTTTCGGTCGCTGTCGCTGTCGCTTTTCCAGGGCAATCTCCGTCCAGAATCAATTTCTTGTCAGGCAGGGGTACATTGACGCGGTCATTCCAGATGCGCCAGACCCGGTGGACATCTGCACAGAAAAAGCGAACACGCAAGGGCCAGCTGGAAAAGTAGGTGGAGCGAAGAAGCGTATGAAGATCTTCCAGGTGAGCGGTCAATGATCTACGCGAGCGCGAATTACGCGGCTTTGTCTTGCCGGTCTTGGAATTGATGATGACCTTTGAGCGGGAGACTTCATCGTCGGATTCGATGTGCCGGGTTCTTTCGGGGTGTTGCCAGGCCCATCTAGGTCACGATACATTCAAGTTAGGCATGTATGCGGCATAAGCGAGGATGCACTAGCGTAGCGCGTTCCAAGTCACAGTGCATGATGAAAACGGGGAAACCCGAGTCGAAACCTCGAATCGAAACGAATCGAAACTTGAACTTGAACTTACTCGAATTGTAGGGCACCGATGCGACTCATAAAGCCTTCCACGACAAGAACCATTTCCCATGGTCGTAAGTTATCGCGGGATGTTCGCTTTGCTCCACCTTTGGCGGTTCCGTTGTGTTGAGCTAGCCGTCTGATTGGATTTGGCGTTGAGCCGATATATAATGAGGAGTGTCGAACAGTGGACCGGAGAAGATAGCAACCGTAGTAGGCTGGAATGGGTCGAGGCTCCTCTTGAATATCCATGATTGTGGAACTTTGGTATAGATAATTATGGTTCCGACTTGAATTTTTCACTTCCTTCAAGTGTATGTGTGGCACTGGCAGCCTCGGTCATTGCCAATGGCCCCCAATTGTTGTGTCTGGTTAGTCTATTTTGGTCCTGCATGGGCCGACCGCGGTAAACAAGGGGTCACATGACTTGATATACACCGTATGATCGATGAAGCCCTAAATGGTGCCAGTGCCTTTGGGTTCAATTCTCTCTAATCATATTGGAGGGGATGATTAGAATCATTTGACATGAAGCAGTATGTTTTATTTATAGAAATGTTGATTAGAGGCGTTCTCAATTCTACTCAGTTAGCCAAAGCGGCGAGATTTAATGGGACCTTAATATCCGGTATAGATGCAGAAGTATAGAAAATGAGGAACAGAATTCTACTGGTAGTAATTATGAATTATGATGAATCAAAAAGTATTTTAATGAGAGGTAAATTAATTGATGTATAGATTTGTGGACCACCTATTCCCCCCCCAGGGTGCTTACTGACGGGGCTCAGCGGTCGGCAGATCTCGCCGATCTACCTTGTCGGGACGTCGACACATCGGAAACTGCACTTTGCCAGGCCCACCCGGGGTCAATGTGTTCAACCCTGGGCCAATTTTCGAGATTTTCATTCTACTCTGTTCCCTTGTCGTCTCGTTTTGAAATCATGTTAGCTGTCCACTGGCAGGTACTTGTAGTTACCAGTACTAATTACACTGTAGAGAGAGCAACCCACTACCAGGTAGTCCACTCTTCATTCTGGTTGAATATAATAGTATGAGAGATGAATATATTCAATGGATTAATCCCCATAGCTTTAGACAATGGCCATTCAATGACCTTAGTGTGGGCCAATGTATCACATACCGTATGATGTGTCCCGTTTGCGGTCAACTTATAGTACTGGTTACTACTAGATGAACCTGCAGCTGTGTGATATGGACACAACTCCGCCTCTCTATCGCCCATGTTACATAAGATCAAAGTATCCACATTGTAAAAACGGTGTCCACATAGTAGCCCTTGAGCGCTGACGGTATGAGTACCGCATTTTTGTAGGCTGTACCTCGGGAGAAGCCCAAAGTGGCCCAAACATACCCAAAAATACCCCCAAAATATTTTCAAATACAATACCATCTGGTAACAATCGGTAACAATAGTCAAAATTACCACAGCCGCGCCTTGGCCGGGTCACCCGCTGGTCTCTCGCTCACTGGCTGCGCCGCCCAGAGTGACTTCTGTTGTACCTGCAATCTTCCTCTATCAACCTTCTTCTAATTTTCCCTCTTCCTTGATTATTGCCTTTTCGTCGGATTTGTTCGAACTATCCCGACTAGGATCCCTTCTTATTTCGACCTCCCCCCTTCGACCCCTTCGAATTCGTTTCTCCCTCGCCTCGCTTTCTCCCACTCTCCCACCCCCCAAACTCGCTACCCACACGCCCTTGCTCTCTCCCGCTTCATCTTTCCGATGAACCCCGTCGCGCACCAGTAACACTTGACTCGGTTTTCGATAACGCGCGCGCAACCCGCATGACAACCTATCAACTCCCTTAAATACCCTCGATATCCACAAGAATGGTGGCTCCGGCCTCAACAGGAGCAAACGCCATGGCTGGACAAACTTCTATGGGTCGCCTGCCCACCCGGTCTGCCAGCACGCACCCGTCGCATTCGCATAATGTTCCTTTGAGCGCTCGTAGGTCCGCGCCTCTGGATCTCTCAACCGTTGAGCGCCGCGGTCAGCCCAGCAATCCCCGCGAACCGTCGAAGCGAGTGCGTCCCCATGGCATTCCCGAAGCCCCGACCTTTCGCCCAACAGAGGAGGAATTCAAAGACCCCGTGGCATACATCCAAAAGATTGCGCCAGAAGGCAAGAAGTACGGAATATGCAGAGTTATCCCGCCGGATAACTGGCAGCCGACATTCGCGATCGATACAGAGGTATACTACCCACATTTTCTCCTCCGTCTTCTGTGCTTCGCTCCCTGGCTAGGAACATTAATTGGCTCAACCTAAATGGCCTCGCCAATTCCTGGCATCCTATACCTGACCATGATTCTTGTTTTTGTCGAATAAAATATAGATCCTTGCTAACGGGAATCGATTTGTCATAGCGTTTTCATTTCAAGACCCGTCGACAAGAACTGAATTCAGTCGAAGGAGGTATGGCCCCGCGTTCAGCTGAGGATGCTGCCGGTGGAACCACTCCCCAGGACGGTTCTAACCAGAACTTTCAATCAGGAAATCGCGCCAACATGAACTATGTTGATGGACTCGCCATGTTTCACAAACAGCACGGAACAAACTACAGTCGTCTACCCAGTGTAGACAAGCGCCCGTTGGATTTATACAAACTGAAGAAGGCCGTGGAGGTCCGCGGTGGATTTGAGTCCGTTTGCAAAACAAAGAAATGGGCTGAGATCGGCCGAGACCTCGGCTACAGCGGCAAGATCATGTCCTCACTCTCCACGTCGCTCAAAAATTCATACCAGCGCTACTTGCAGCCCTACGAGGAATATCTTCTTCGGGCGAAGCCTGGTGTCCAGCAACAGCTTGAACTGGAACATGGTGGTCCTTTCACCCCATCCCCGCGCAATTCCCCAATGACGAAGAAACCATTCATAGAGGAGAATGGCACCCCATCTAGGACCCGAGAACCAACCCCTATCATGCGTATGCCGACAGGCTCGAATACCCCAATGGAGAAACCAGCTGATCAACCAGCCCCATCTGTCGAGCCTACGCCCCCCTCCGCTTCGTCCCACTCCGTCTGGATTTACCTCTGTCAACTCAGGCGCCGGTGGGTTTACTGCCGTCAACCACTCCCCTTTCACTCCTGTCAACAGTGCCCCTCCCATCAAACACGAGGGAGAAAATGGAGCGTCGACGCCTCAAAGTGTTTCGGAACATCCATCCCACTCGACTCCGGTGCCGAATGGCCAATACGATCAACAAATGAAGCGGGCTATCAGTCATGAAAGCAGTTCCCAGGCTGAAAATGGCGATGATGGTGGAAGTGGGCGACGTAGCAAGCGTCTCAAGAAAGGTATTGCATTTGGGCTGATTTATAGATTTTATTTTCTGACTCTAGTTTTCTCTCTCAGATGTGCCCAATGTGGCTGGATCACACATGTCTCTCCTACGCCCTGCGCCACCTAAAGTTCGAAAGGAAGGTCTACAAAGGATCGGCGATGTAAGTCAACATTTACTCCTTGGGTGCTGAATGCAATCCCCAGATATTAAATTGTGTTATCTTTATTTTAGAAGTGTGAGTCTTGTGGAAGGTCAGATAACCCCTCTACGATTCTCGTCTGCGATGCCTGCGACCTCGGATACCACACGACTTGCCTTGACCCCTCTACTACGGCTTCCTCGGATCATGACTGGCACTGTCCCAAGTGTTTAGTTGGAACCGGCGAATTTGGGTTTGAAGATGGCGGCGTTTACTCTTTGAAGCAATTCCAAGAAAAAGCCAACGAGTTCAAAAAAGGTTACTTCGCTACAAAGATGCCGTTCGATCCTGTTTTGAATACTCACCGCCGAGAGACCGAGGATGACGTGGAAGCCGAATTCTGGAAATTGGTTGTCGACTTGCATGAGACTGTTGAGGTCGAGTATGGTGCAGACATTCACTCGACTACTCATGGCAGTGGCTTCCCGACCGTTGAACGCAACCCACTCGATCAGTATTCTTCTGACCCTTGGAATCTCAATGTGCTCCCCTTCTATGGCGATTCTCTCTTCCGTCACATCAAGTCCGATATCTCAGGGATGACTGTCCCCTGGGTCTATGTCGGCATGTGCTTCTCTACGTTCTGCTGGCATAATGAAGACCACTACGCTTATTCCGCCAACTACCAACATTTTGGTGCCACAAAAACTTGGTACGGTATTCCTGGAGCTGATGCAGAGGCTTTCGAGTCTGCCATGCGGGCAGCAGTTCCGGAGCTCTTCGAAGGGCAACCAGATCTTCTGTTCCAGCTTGTTACTTTAATGCCGCCCGACAAACTTCGAAAGGCTGGCGTGAATGTTTACGCTGTAGACCAGCGCGCAGGTCAATTTGTTCTCACCTTCCCTCAGGCCTATCATGCAGGGTTCAACCATGGCTTCAATTTCAATGAGGCAGTCAACTTTGCACCTGCTGACTGGGAGCCCTGGGGGGGCTGCGGGCGTCGATCGTCTTCAATCCTTCCGCAGGCACCCATGCTTTTCGCACGATGAATTGCTCTTCACCGCAGCTGCACGAGACACATCCATAACAACCGCCAAATGGCTCGCACCCGCACTGGAGAGAACTGTTAACCGTGAACTTAGCGAAAGGGCCAACTTTTTGGCTAACCACAGGAAGTTAGCTAGCCCCAAGAGCACCACAGCTCACGCCTGTGCGGTGGGGACCGCTGATTCATCGACTAGTCAATGTCCGCTCAAGCTTGTTGTCGAGGAAGAGGACATCCCGGAAGATGATTACCAGTGCCAGCATTGCAAGGCTTTCACTTACCTCACCCAGTTCCGCTGTCAAAAGTCTGGCAAGACTGTCTGTCTTTCACATGTCTATGATTACGACTGCTGTGGTGATCTGTATCACCAAAAACTGTTTGGACAAGATCACTTCCTCCGCTACCGCGTGAGTGATGAGGAACTTAGGTCAACGGTACAAAGAGTCCAAGAGCGAGCGAACATCCCGAAGGCATGGGGGGGAGAAGCTCGACAAGACCTTGGAGGATGAGCCAAAGCCTCAGCTGAAAGCTCTCCACAATTTGCTCAGTGAAGGTGAGAAAATCCCATACCACCTACCTGGCCTCCAAGATCTTGCGGCCTTCGTCCAGCGTTGCGATAAATGGGTTGAAGAAGCGAACAACTACATTACCCGGAAGCAACAAAACCGGAGAAAAAACGAGAAAGCGTGGCGCCGCGCCAGTACCAAGGCCGCGCAGCTGGACGATCGCGCCCCTGAAGTTCGCAGAGTGGAGAACATCTACGCCCTTCTGGCAGAGGCTGATAAACTTTCCTTCGACTGTCCACAGATGGCGGCCCTGGAAGAGAAGACTCGCGAAATCGAGAGATTCCGCCAGGACGTTAACGTTGCCCTGATGAACCCGCGTGCCCGATCGACCCAGGAAATCGAGGAACTTGTTGAAGCTGGCCGAAACTTCAACGTGGAAATCCCGGAAGTGGAACACCTGGAACAAAATCTCCGCCAACTGAAATGGACCGAGGAATCTTTACGCAAACGGGACCAACGCCTTACCCTCCAGGATTGCCAGGATGTCGTCACCGAAGGCGCAAAACTTGGTATTCGAGATGATAATGAGCACTTGCTCCACTTCAAGGAACTCAGTCGACATGGCGAAGCTTGGGAAATCAAGGTCAAAGAGCTCATGTCGGTAGAAGCTGTACATTACCCGCAGTTGGAAGCACTCTCCGCCCAGGCAACTCGTGTTCCTGTTAACCCAGAAACCCTGGCAGCCATCGATGCCATTCTGACAAAGCAGCGAGAGGCCCAGAAACGGATCCAAACTCTGTATGAAAAGAGCAAAGATCCCGATCTGAGAGAGCGCCCTAAGTACAAGGATGTTCGTGAGCTCACCGAGTCTCTGGAGCAGCTAAACAGTCGACCAATTGGTGCAATCGATCTTGAACGCGAGCAGAGACGCCATGAAGATTGGATGAGAAGAGGCAAGAAGCTGTTTGGCAAAGCCAATGCCCCTCTGCATATCTTGAAATCCCATATGGAGTATGTGGACAAGCGCAACTCCTACTGCTTTGACCTGGAAGACAGCTACCGACCACCGGTGGAGCCCTCTTCGCGGGACAACACCCCGGAAGGTTTGCTTGAGAATCCTAACCCCAACCCATGGGGTCCGAAGTCACAAAAACGCGATGTCTTTTGTATCTGTCGGCATCCCGAAGCGGGAATGATGATTGAATGTGAAGTCTGTCATGAATGGTAAGCTGAGATTGAAGTTTCTGCTTGACCCACTTGAAACTTGTTCGACTAACAATATTTTCAGGTACCATGGAAAATGTCTCAAAATTGCCAGGGGCAAAGTTAAGGAGTTCGACAAGTACACATGTCCTATCTGCGATTGGCGACAAAAGATTCCTCGCGATGCTGCCCGTCCGAAGCTGGAGGACTTGCAAGATTGGCAGGCTGAGATCGCCAATCTGCCTTTCCAACCGGATGAAGAAGAGGTCTTGGATAGTATCGTCGGCAAGGCGACTGCGTTCCGGGATTTTCTACATGGCTTCTCAAATGCTGCCTGCACTACCACCGAGGAGGTCCCGACTTTGATTTTCTATTTGCGAAAGATTGAAGGTGCGGAAGTTCTTCTGGCCTATGAAACGAACTTCTTCCGCCAGGAGATCCACAAATGGGCACCCGTTGCTCCAGAGGCGCCGCCAATCCTGGAACAATCGCTGTCGACACGGAAACCTCGCCCAACCAAGCAACAGAAGATTCTGGCCCAGTTTGGCGTTCACCGCCCTGAAGATCTTCCCGAGCACCTTCGTGCCAAGCACATGGCTGCAGCCAAACGGAAGTCGATTGATATTCAGGGAAGTCGTCCTGCTTCTTTGCAGCCTGCGCCACCCACGCCAAATAACAATCCCCCCTACTACCACTGGGCCAACCTTGACGCCCATGTCCGACTCCGCCTCTGCGACTTACCCATTCTCCGCCAACTACTCCTTGCCTGCCAGTGACTCGACCCCGGCCTTTTGCACCTACCTCATCTGCATTCCTTCCCCACGCCGCAGCCGCTTCTCAATCACCCTCCTTCCTCCCTCGATCCCCAAGTCCGCAGCAAAGTATCGAACCTTCGCTCTTTAGCCCGCCCCGGTTCGGCCCCGAGCCCCAGTTCGCTAGTAGCAGTCCTCGTCAAAATATGGATGATGTTTTTGCCGATCTCACGAACGAAGACCCTGAAGCGGAGCCAATTGAAAATCTTCATGCCAGTGAGGCACTAGAAGCTCTTGATGCCAGTAACGGAAGCAGCCGAGAACCATCCCCGAAGGACGAATCTCTTCCTCCTGCTCCTCCTCCTGCTGCGGCTGCGGCTGCGGCTGCTCTCGCTGCGCCCTCAGCTGCAGAGGATGCAGCAGATGCAGCAGACGCCAAATCCCCGGCTGTGGAAACGACCGAGAATCCCGAGTCGGAGCTTTGATTCCTCCTTATCCCGTCTACCTCTCGATTAAAAACACCCTTTCTGTCCTTTTGTTCGTTTCGCTCAATATCCTTACTGGCCCTTTATACGAGATATTCCTTATTGTTCAATTCCCAATTCTCTCTCCCCTCTCGACTACCGCGGGTCTGATTTGATTTCATTCGATTTTCCTTCACAAAGAGTGTACTACATGACCATGGCACGGCGAATGTCCGTTGGGTTTATTTTCCAGCGTTTTCCTTTCCCTCCCCCCCCCCCCTTTTCATGCTTTTTGTTCTCTAATGCTGTTCTATTTCCCAAGCCACCAAGGGAGGCTATGTTTTGATGACCGAGGCAGTCTGCTTTTTTTTCGACTTTGCTGTTATCAGTCGCCTTGTAATACTAGTTGAATGCAGCCATATTTTAAAGGCCAGTTGTTTCTAATTTTCTCATCTGTATTCTGGGAGGTAAATCTGTAGCCGTTTTCTGCGTCCTGCTATTGCTAGCAGTCTAACTTAATCTTATAGATGGGTAGTTATTCAGGAAAGACCATTACATACTCTATTTACGCCCATTCCTTTCAGCCTTGCATACAGGGAGCCATATCAAAAATCCACCATCCAGGCAAAGCCCTGGTTGACGATCCCCGCTCACCCACGCCTCGCCTCAAGTATGGCCCATGGCATATTTCCTGGTCCATTCCTCTGCCTTTTTATCAAACGCATATTCATCGGTAAGATAAAGATCTGTAGCCTCTGGGAAATGAGAATCCCCTGGGTCTGCGTCTGCCAGCAGGGTGTCGGTTAGAGCTGAAACATCCGTCAGTCTGGTCAAACTTTTACTATATAAAGTGGCTTTGTAAATACCGAATGCTATAGTCATATCCGGCGACCAATTTCTTGACCGGTCGCTCGTTGCAATGTAGCCTTCCGAGTCAACGTTAGGGTGGAATATGGGTGTTTTAAAAAGCACGTGCGGCATCCTAGATGGATAGTCCGGAGGGAACCTGATATCAAGATTGAATCTCCCGCCAGTATAAGGGCTATTGGCCTGTATCTGGTGTTAGTACAACAACTGGGGGGGTTAAGAATCAATACGTACGGGTCCAAACAGTACTGCTTTCCAATGGTACTAGATTTAAGTATTAGAGTTCAAGTTTGTTCACTGATAGAGGCTGTTGATTTACTCACTATATCGCGATCTATGAGGGGCCGATTTTGAATTGTTTATTATCGGCGTCCCTTTTCGTCAAAAGAGAGTATTCCTTCCTAATCCTAGTTTCGGTAGCGGAGTCTGACATTTTCCGGCAGGTTGAATTAAGCAATTTCTGACAGGATGGGAGCCTGAGTGTAAGTGAAATTGGAAAATCGATCGGTGAGGGGTAGCGATATCTTTTTAAGATCCGACTTGCTTCCAAGCGCCGTATACGTGTTTCCTGGTGATTGGATTATAAGCAACAGGCATCAGGATATATCTGACTCAATTCGTAGGGTTTATTGATATCATCCCGGTGTTCGTCAATTTTCCAGAGGAGGAGGCACTTTATTTAGCAAACCCTTAAAAATTAAAAATGAGTACGTAGTTGACAAATTCTCTCGATATCACCCTTTGGAGCTACCCGCCGCTCCGCTCCGCATCGCAGCGCAACTCCATTTTTAAGCCTGCCATGTCATGCCGCCTTCCCTTCAATTTCCTCCCATCATGGAGAACGAGAACACCTTGACATGGTCTGCCACCTTCAGTCACTACGAGGCCCCCATTCCAGTTTTAAGTTGAAATGTATTGACCACAAGTCATATTTCATTTCATGTCTGCTTCAATTCACATCTGCATATGCACTTAGTGCAGCCTGACCCCCGGTATGAATGAATAGTACATTGACCTTGTCCAACGAATGCAACCGGGCGTACTGTCGAATCTCTTCCTCCTGAATCCACTGTAGCATCCCCCGAGCAACTTTAGCAGTGTAAACAGGATCAAGTACAAGAGCCTCCATCCTCGCCATCCGTTCCGCCGCCTCCTTCGTCTCGACATCCAAAACCCCATACGCAGACCCAACAAACCGATCCTCCAATTTAATATCATCAGCACTAATAAACCGCTGCGAATCAAGTCCGATAAGCGCACTAGCCCGCTGCGCAAACTGCAGAACCCGCTCTTCATGGTAAGACCGCGGCTTGGTCGGCGAATTAAGCACGCCAATAACACTTCTCCGCGGCCGAATTCGACGATCGGCCTCTTCGCGCCTCGCCTCCAACATTCGGAATCCCGCAATCAGTCCGCCAACCGTACTCCCACTCCCACACGCGACGAAGACAAAATCAAATCGGCCCGTTCCACCGAGTCCCATTTCGGTCTCTTGTTCCGCGATCTCAAACGCTGCACGCGCGTATCCTAGTCCACCGAACGGATGTATACTTGCCCCGCCGGGAATCCAGTACGGACGCTCACCTTGCGCGCGTAGGTCTTCCAGGATAGGAAATGCGTCTGAGGCTCGGGGGTCATTTTCATCAAGGATGCGCACTTCTGCGCCTAGAAGTCGGTTGATTTGCACATTGCCTGTTCGAAGGAATGCCTCTGGATCTTGACTGGCGCGGAGACCCCCGCCTGTACCGCGGGAGAGAAGGACAAGGGCTTTTAGGCCGAGTTTACGGGCCAAGGCGGCGACTTGGACGGTGTGGTTGCTTTGAATTGCGCCTTCGGTTACAAGGATTGTGGCGGGGCCGGCGGGGGTGGTTGTGTTGGGGTGGTTTTCATGGCTGTGATGTAGTGGGGTTGCGGAGAGGATGTCTGGCACGATGTATTCGAGTTTGCGGTATTTGTTGCCTGCGCAGGCGAGGGGTGCACTTTGGTCTTCGCGTTTCGCGAAGATGGAGATTTGGGGATGTGGGGGGTTGCGCGGGGTGAGTGTTGGGAGTGAGTGGATTGGTGATGGGTTTGGGTAGAGGATTTGGTGTCGTGGGATTTGGCTGAAGATCTCTGGGAGTGCGATGGGTGGTTTGGACATTGTTGATGATGTTTTTGAGGATTTATTTACAGAGGTGAGGTGAGGTGAGGTGAGGTGAGGTGAGGTGAGGTGAGGAGGTTGATATTTGTAGGTGCGGGTGACGTCTTTACATGAAGTCGATCACCAACTCAAAGTGACTCTCCATTTTAAGCTAAAATTGATGGAATAACCTGAGCGAGGGTCAGGCTCCTGTCTTACCACTTTTAGCTTATTTTATTGAATGGCGAGGGTGGTCAGCGTATGGTGCTCTTATGTTGCAGCAACAGCTCCAATTCATGCTGGTGCCTGTTCTTTAAGGCGTCAATCACGCAACCAGCGCAGAATTCACTGGGGGTATTTCACAGCGAGGTGGTCTATGGCGAGAAGCTCAATTGTCAATAGAATTCCATTTGGATCCCGCCATGGCTCCATTATTAAATAGGCAAACATTGGTAGTATATTCAATTTGATAAGTGGGAATAAAGTTAGCCACCCAAGAACCGGATCAATCGACCCAACTTTAGTTCGTACCCAGTCACAACATCATACTATTGACTCGGATAAAGTATCCGTTTTGGAACGCTTAAGCAATTGATCGATGCTCTTTCCTGACTCCTTTGCCTCCCTCCGAAGCTTTCTGAATCGGTAACGCCATACTGTGTGGCTGATGTAAATGCCCATCTCAAGGACAACACTATTTCGGCTTGTTAGCAGACTATTTGCAGATATAGAAGAGACTCAGGGTGGAGCTTGAATTCAATAGATCTTACACGACGATATACATCATTCCACCTAGGATATCAAATGACCCCTCTGCCGCTGATATAAGTTAGCCTCATGTCGGGTGAAATATGGATTGGATGTCATACCGAGCGCAAACAGCGAGAATAGCCCTCCAAGAGTGTCTATGCATAGAAAGACCCAATCTATAGCTTATAAGTATTTTGATCTCCTTAATCGGAGTCGATATACACCTACTGAACCCGATGACTCTTCCGTCTCGTTTCCAAAGCTCGAAATAAACGGGGACTAAGCCAGCACCAAGCATAATGGCCGCAACAATGCCAACAACTAGATCGGGCCAAGTTATTCCTTTCTCATAGGGGATCTATACAACTGATTTTAGTAAAAAAGATGGGGAAATTGTCTCTGCCCTTCCTACCCTTAATGTGAGAATCAATAGTGCCTCGAGTCCCCCTAACAGAGCAAGCATGCCACAGCAGACCGATGTTGCTTTGATTAAACTGTAGTTACTATTTTGAGAGTCAACTATATTGTATGAACACCCCCAGGGAAAGAACTCACTGATCATAATATAATATTTGCGCCCAGATGATTGTCGAAAAAAACCCAAAGATTTGCGGTTGGATTTGCAATGACAGATTGACTTTCTTTTTTGGCTTGTCAGTTTTGCCCACATACCAAGTCTTCTTGTTAAATAATATACCTGTAGGATGAGATAAACTCCCATTGGAACTGCACCTATTACAAAAATTTCCATCAGCCTAAAGCCCTTGCGTAGTTTAAGTGTATCGCGACATACATCCTGCCCACAAAAACCCCATCATCACAGGCAAACCTTCTGTTCTTTTGCGTTTCCAGTTGTACCATATCTGAGGAACTAGCTGAACACACCAGAAGACGGTTCCAATTGTACCTAGAATCGTTGCCGTTCGATTATCCTCTCCGGACTCCATGGCTAACTGTCGACGCGAAATTGAAACCGATACTGGCAGGGTACTTGAGGAAGATCAAGCAAAGCTAGGCTATGACTTGAGATAGTGTGGAACATCTCGTCTAATGCATTAGGACCCTTGAAATAAACCGTATTCGCTAAAAATCATCTAGGCATATTCCGTACAAAGTTCTGTGAAGCGGGTCTACCTTGGTTATCTTGGAGGAGTGGGGCCGGGCATAATGAGCTTAGCCCAAAGATGGCAGGTCGGGTGAGAGGGGTCTGTGAGCCGCCTGAAAATATCAAATTTCGCCATACTACAGACTAAATGTAGGACTGTCACTTTCAAAAAATTGGAGTCCGCACCAAATTTGTACCGGCTTGGCCATCACTCTTACGCCTTCGTCAACTAATACATTCAACTTGAGAGTCTGAACCCGCATTGTAATCAAATAGACTGGGAGACCGTGTTTCAAAATGTATTTATTTGTAGGATTCATTTTCATAGAATTAACATGCTATTTTCGGGTATAAAATCTCTCATGAACTGTATCCATGTGACGCCACTTGCCAAATCGGCCGACCAGTAGTGTTGTAAAAATGACAACACCTTTTTTCGATCCAGAGCGCCACTGATCTTCATAACGGCTTCCATCTCGGTAGAGACCACATTCTGTATCCTTTCATCCTCTCTACTTTCCGTACCCAGGATGAACAAAGGCCAAACAAGGTCATGTGCAAAATTTCTCTTGTCTGACAGGTGATCCAGATGTTCTAAAATTGAATCCCTGGAGACTTGAATATGACGGTCGGCCAATAAATCATAGGAAATGGCACGGTAAGTATAGACCTGGATGGCATAGTAAAACACGAATACCAGATGCTGGAAGTCTTGCTGAGCCCGGTCACTCCAAAAATAAAACTGTTGGCCAAACAAGATCATAGAATCCTTCGCCATTTCCACTGCCTGGAGAATTTCTTGGAATTGGCAGTGACTGATGGAAATTTTTTGATCATATTTTGATCTTTCGAGTTTGGTCACCAGTTGAATGACGCGAACGAAGTCGCCGAAGACAGCAACATCGCCCATACTTTGTAGACTTTCTTTGGGTGGCTCGTTCGTCGTGTCAAATGTCGTGAGATCTGCGAAAACGCTAGAGTAGTAGTGCTCATAGGTTAAGAACTTGTCAATTTCGCCAATTGAAGCAACTTGAGAGAAAGACTGCTCGAGCCACTGATTTATGACGCGAGCACCCTTCAAATGCATTCTCCATTTCACCCCCTCCGCGCCAAGAAGCTCAACATTGTAGAGAATGAGTGTTGACGCTAAAGCAGATCGTGCTTCAGGTAAGCATTCATTCCCAGAGGCCAAAGCAGATTTCTCCCTTATGGAGCCTATATGCCTCGCAAGCATGGCCAAAGCTTGGTTTCGAAAACGAAGTGAGGTGCATTGTAGGTCAAGTCGTCGTTGGTGATCATCTCCATATCTGAGAGCGAGATCTTCCGATGACAAAGATAGTATAGCATGAAAAACAGCTGGACTTGTCCATGCTAAAGGGATGATGACTTGACGCCAAGGGTTCCCGGGGCCATCCACCCAGGCAAGCTTCCCTGCAACATTTTGCTGGTAGTGGTAGATCAATTCCAAAGCCACGGGGTTGATGTACGGATTGAATTGGCTGATTTGCGTGGGAATTCTCGTGTGATTTAATTCAGCGTGTGGTAGATCTCCCCGACTATCAAGACTGGGATGCCCAGATCTCCGGAGAGGTATTTGTTGCCCGGTTAATCTGCCTCGGCTGGCAACACCCTGATCCCATCGAAGAATCAACCCGTAGCCCGGGCATTGAAACCCACGGGAAGTACATTTCCTGCATTCTGGCAAAGTTCGATCACACTTTATGCGTCTGGATCTGCATTTTGGGCAGTCTTGGCTTGGTAAGCAACGATCGCCAGTGCGAACATTCAAGGGTCTGGGTACATACCTTTTTCAGCACTCACACCGCTGGGGTGGTTTGTGGGCATATGAACAGCTTTGACACTAGAGACCTGAAGGTTTTAATCAGGAACCCTCGACATTGATACAGTGAGGGGGTAGTTTGGCGGATGGGCATGCGAGTCAGGGTTAGGATGCGGGGATTACTGGAATTGGAACCACAGCGCGAGACAAATCATGAGTATGCAATATGTGAGTGCATTAACGCTGTGCTCAGACTCGAAATGTGGGTTTCGGCTCTGTATTCGGGTTGATCTGAGAAAAGAGTCTTTTCGTTCTCGCAAATCTTGGAGACATCCGATCACGTGACTAGATCCGATCAGGTCCACCTGTATGGCTCGGCATTTTACATTTAATCATTCTATAAAAAAAAATGAGAAATTTGAATTCAAATTCCGTTGGGGTTATTCGTATTTGATTGTATATTGCGATATTGAAGCAAGATCTGTCGGGATCAAAGGAGAGTACATATGGACATGCTCCGCCAACAACTGTGCGCAAGGCCATAGAGACGCTAGATATGATGATTTGGCTTCTAACTTTGCCACAATCCCTCCTGATTTATCTCAGCCAATGGGGCATCCTTGCTCTTCCCAAGCTTGCAGCATCACATTGTACAATCCTTTTTGACAATCAAGCGTCGGCCTTGAGTCATACTTACCCCGTCGTTGACGGGATTCCATAGTTTCTTGGATTAAAGCATCATCACTATTTTCCGGATCTTCTTTCTGCGACACAAATTCAAAGGTTCGGAGCTCAGTATTAGCCCACCCAGTTCCTTGAAAAATCAGGTCAGCCTGAAAACCGCGAATCTTTGCAGATGATGAGTTTGAAGGATACCTTCAAATTTATTCCCGTCCTCCCAATCGTCTGTTAGGAAATGTAGGAAGCCACCATGGCTGACGACAACAATTTCCATCTCTGGCCGTTCTTTCAACCAGCATCTTGCTTCGCGAGCACGATCCCGGATTCTTTCGGATGTTGGTTCGTATTTCCCGGACTATTTTTCTTACTATCAGTATATATTTCTCGAGAGAGTGCCGTGCGACTCTACTTTTTCTGACCAATTCTCTTCTACAAAGCGTAAGTCCACCGGGAGGTCTTTTTGTGCGATTTCGATCTGCAGATCCTTCAATTCACTCCCTGTGTCGCAGGGAAGATCACTAACTTCCTGCAGGATTGGAAGCGCGATGATATTCTTCTTCGGGTTGCCCTCTAAAATAGAATCAAATGCCTCTATGCCAGTGTATATAGCCCGCCGCATGGGTGAAGTAACAATCAAATCAATTGTTGCTTTAGTGGGAAATTTATGGCTTAATTCCAAACATTGTTTTTTCCCTTCGTCGGTGAGCAGAGGATCGATGAGATTCCAATATGCCGGGCCGAGGTTATGGTAACCCTACGTATTGTTAACCCCCATTTAGAACCTGACTCGGAGGGAAATACCTGGGCGTGTCGGATAAGGTGAAGCTTGGGTGCCATTGCTCGGATACCTCCAGCTCTCTACTCGAAGGCAAAGGGCGAACGAGGCCGATGGAGCCCAAGAGAATCAGGCACAAACTTAAAAGAAAAATATTTAATCGAAAGGACAGGTGTGAACGCTTACGATACTTAGTGCGCGCAATTTGAACTGTAGAAGAATGTAGCAAGTACCGTGACTATTTTTTACACTAGAAAAATCAATTTACAGCCGAAAACAGGCGAATTCCTTCTCAACCCTTTGACCACAAGGAGAATTCGGTAAGTATCTACTCAGTAGATGCTGCGTGTCAGACCAGTTCTAGTATTATTGATGCTGTCGGTCATCGTCTTGCCGAGCCGGCCCCACCTCAAACTCTAATGAAGCACCTTGGCTTCCAATTTCGGACTAGCGAAAGGAGTGGAACCTTATCTCCCCTCATGAAGTATGGATCTTTGACCATCTCGAGTATTTTTGACTGGAATTTACGCAACATACGAACAATCATCAATCAAATCTTTCCGCCATGAGCTTGATGCCTGCTAATATATCACTCCCTCCGACTCTAAAGAGCCATCACAGCGATGGAAACTGCGCACCTGGGATTGGAGTTCCCCTCAAGCCATGATCTCTACACAAATTTCAAAGGAGACAGTCTTTCTCAGCCCATCCCCGCCTCAGTCATCATTTCAAGGCGGAAAAGGACAGCTCTGAGCCAGCCGTGCCACGTCAGAGTTTGTCTTGTCCAAAGATTGTCGAGCAGGGTCAGAGATAGCGCTTCTGGTAGCGATGATATCTTGAGCCGGGTTTACAATCATCTCTTGTCAAAACCTCAGTCAAACAAACCGTATATCACTCGATCCTGCTCCATCATTGAAGAGTTGTCTCTGCAGCTACCTGCTCTACCAGAGAGTTGCCATGCCGAAAATGTTCAGAAAATCCCTTTCTATATGCCAATTCTCGCCAACATTCCAGGGACGACAACCACAGGGATTGGAAGGATATCATATTTTCTTATTGCTACGATGGTAACAGACAAGAACGATCTCATCGGAATAAGCAAGGAAATTTTTCTCCGCCGTCGGACGTTGCTTGAGCAAGACTCCATCCAACATACTCGAATCTATCCAAACTCAAGCTGGATTACCAAGATTCTTCTCTCGCAAAATGGTACTGGAATGACAGACTCTACATTCTATATCACTGCAAAGATATTTCTCCGTCGGACTGCAACCCCGGCTGGTCGTTCTACGGAATTCAAATGTGTGGCTATACGCGGTCTCAGATGGCGTATAGAGGAAGTGGCGACACTAGAAAGTCGGCCAGAGGGCGAAAACTATTCAGAGGATGAATCAGTCCAAGAGAAATCATACGTCCGCGAGTTATCAAACGGGATCCAAAAAGGCTATTGGGGGACACTACACAATCCGATCCTGGCCAACAACCCAACGCACCAGCAGAAGGATTCTGCAGTCGACATTGCATTTGAAGTGAATATCCCCAGTGCGGTCAATCCTGCACCAGGAATTGAGCCATCAACTTGCGAGTTCCAATTCTTGTCACCAGATTCTCTACCGCGATCACTGCAAGAAAAGTTCACCTTTTCGACAAAGGATAGAACAGTCCTTACTACGGAGCATCGATTGAAGCTTGATGTTCTGATAAGCGAGGACACATTTGACGCGTCTAGCCGTAAATTGGTGGATCGGAAACCTATGCGCACTGCACTCAACGCGTCGTTTCCTTTGAGGATTGTTGATAAAGCCGAGGCCCATATCGATGAGATGATCTTCACGGGAAACCTGCCACGCTACCAGGAAGTTTCTGATTCTCCTCCAAGTTATGAAATCTTCTGACAACGCCCATAGAAGGCCAAAACCATAAAGACAGAGAGAGCAAAAGGACTTTTTCTAGACTTCGATAGGCAAAAATTTCCCAAATACATAGATGAACGTTAGATGTTTGCATGGCGAAACTCAAAGCTACCTTATTAGAATACCAGAGATCTTAATCAGCTAGTAACTAGCCCGGACATAGCTTCCTAAGTGGTAACAATTCATTTCGTGAGACAAATCCTACTGAAATCTTGATTTTACAATACATATACGCCCCTCACAATAGGTGGGTCTCTGCGGAGTTAATCAACCCTCTTGTTCATGCTGGCCGAAAACAATATTTTATTACCATGATTCGCGCAAAGATTCGGAGAAAATTTCGTTTACCAAAGGCAAGTTAATACCGAGACGTATCCTTCAAAACTTAGCGAGTTACTCACTGTCCGGCCATCCCTATTTTCAACAAAACTTGACGGAAGCAACAATCTTCACTAGGTTATTTTTCCTTTTCGATCAAGAACCATGTCAACGGCAGAAAAGATACAAAAAGGCTCATTGTCAGACAAGCCAACTGCCGATTCAAACTTGGAGGCGCTCGGGTACACTGCAGAACTGTCACGGAATCGATCAACATGGCAGGTAGTATTCATGTGCTTTATTCTTGCTTCGGTGCCATACGGACTCTCGACAACCATGTCATACTCAATAATCGGGGGCGGCTCAGCGAACATGGTTTGGGGTTGGATTCTTGTCTCCCTCATCATGCTGTGTGTAGCTAGCTCTCTAGCAGAGATAACATCTGTCTACCCTACTGCTGGTGGGGTCTACTATCAGACTTTTGCGCTCTCGCCTAAATGGTGTCGCCGGGTCACAGCCTGGATTTGCGGTTGGTCTTATGTTGCCGGAAATATCACGATTACTCTTGCGGTCAACTTTGCGACCGCGCTCTTCTTCGTGGAGAGTCTAAATGTTTTCAAAACTTCATCCGGTGTTGGCATTGCAGAAGAATTTCAGGCTTACCAGTCATTCCTCATCTTCGTTGCTATTACCCTTATCTGCCATGCGTTCCCGGCTTTTGGTAATAGGTGGCTCACCCACCTTGAGGTGTGCTTCACTCTTTAGAACATTTAATGGTTTTCGTTATTTGTGACTAACTTCTTGTATTGCCCTTCTTGATTAGACCTTCGCTATCTTCTGGACCCTCGTTGGAGTCAGCGCAATCCTCATCACGATCCTCGTTGTCGCACATAATGGTAGAAGGTCCGCAAAATGGGTTTTCACTTCCTTCGAGCCTCAGTCACAATGGCCAGATGGCTGGTCCTTCTGTATTGGTCTTCTTCAGGCCGCCTATGGTCTTTCAGCTTCAGGAATGGTGACATCGTAAGCATCCCCTCTCACCGTTAATACTTCATCCAATGTTCGAACCGTTGAGCTAACACAACCCCCCAGCATGTGTGAGGAAGTCCGCCAACCGGCGATTCAGGTACCTCGAGCAATCGTCGGAGGAGTAATGCTCAATATGTTCGCCGGTCTTGCGTTTCTTCTACCGATCGCCTTCGTCCTGCCTGATATCCCCATGCTGGCAACCATTCCATCCGGACAACCGGTTCCAACTATCATGCTGTTTGCCACTGGAAGCTCAGTTGGCGCCTTTTGTCTTCTCATCCCGCTCTTGGTTCTGGGTTTGATTTGTGGGATTGGTTGTGTAACGGCGACATCACGGTGCACCTGGGCTTTCGCACGAGACGGCGCGATTCCTGGCTCTGGATGGTGGAAAAAAGTCGATGAACGTCTCGGCATTCCTCTCAATGCCATGTTTCTGGGGATGGTCATTGAAATTCTTCTCGGGCTGATATACTTTGGCTCGAGCGCGGCATTCAACGCCTTTTCTGGTGTCGGTGTGATCTTTCTGACGCTTAGTTATGCTTGTCCGGTCACTGTATCTTTGCTTCTTCGGAAGCGCCGCGATGTCATACAAGGCCGTTTCAATCTTGGTCCTCTCGGAGTCTTCTGCAACATTGTTTGTATATGTAAGAAAATGCCTGTCTCTTCCGTCCAAAGTACTATCTCTAATCATTTTCTTCCAAGGCTGGTCCCTTCTCGCTCTCCCATTTTTTCAATGCCAACATCAGCTGTGGTGACGAAAGATACCATGAATTATGCCTCAGTGGTCTTCATGGGATTTGTCTCTGTTTCAGCCATCTGGTATCTAGTATGGGGTCAAAAGAACTATATCGGACCTGTTCTCGACAGCTCTGAGGATCCAGCTGATTCTATTTACAACACCCAGGGGACTGAGGAAGTACAAGTGGATGTAAGTTCCTCCCAATGTGAAAATAAGCACATTGGCGCATGATCATTAGTGGCAGCTAGACTATATTTACTCCGTATAAGACGTCCTTCCAAGTTTTTAGTGCCAATTCCATGTTCTCTTTCGAAATGTTCCAGTATTTCAATTTTAATAGCTCGCAAACTGGAAGGAAATCACCAAAGGGGACCAATAGAAAATAATAAAAAACCAGAAATAAAAAAATAAAGCATGGAAATCTATGAGTATACTAATAGTAACTATCGATCGGGTTGGAAGCTGGCCAGTTGACGCAATGACGTAGCAGTGCAGCCGAGGTAATCACTTAGACCTCCACCTCCACCACCTCACTTGTTCTTCTCCTCTTCTCTCCTCACCTTCTCCAATTTCCCCTCGCCATGACTCTTCTCCAATTTCTCCGCCATGCCCGTCAATTGCATCTCGCATTTCTCGCAGGTAGACTGCCTGAGCCCCCAATTTACGTGCTAGGCAACCCCTCCGCCGACCTCGACTCGATAATCTCCACCATCATCTACTCCTACTGTGCAAACAACCGCCGCCCAACCATATCCTCACGACCCCACATCCCTTTAATTAACCTCCCAAACGTCCCCGCCGGCTCAGAGCTTTACCGATTACGCCCAGAATTCGTCACCGCGTTATGGCTGTCGACGAATTTCCCCGCGCTGAACATGGACGAGCGGTTTGGAAACGCGTCCGAATCTGCTGGGAAGATCCTGCGCGAACACCTTGTGACTGTGGCGGATTTTGCGCAAGGCATAAAGGGGCGATCGAGCGCGGATAAACTTATCGCAGACGCGACGATGGTCGATTGGAATGCTATGCCGATTCGTGATGGGCAGAAGAAGGGCACGGGGTCGTTGGCTGGGTTGGAAGAGGTTTCTTTCCGCACGGTGGGGTGTATTGATCACCACGTTGATGAAGACTTTGTTCCACCGCGTGATACCTTGCCGCAAGGCCAGCCGATGATCATCCAGCCGGGTCCGGGATCATGCTCTTCGTTGATCACGCATGAGTTGGAGTCGAGTGGACTCTGGACTGCATGCTTGGGGACATATTCTGCGGAGGAAATGGCGCAGATCGCGAAGCTTGCTTTAGCTGCCATGCTTATTGATACCTCAAACTTGACTGCCGAGGGCAAGGTTACGGATGTCGATGTTCAATCTGTAGAATTCCTACGAACGTTTGTGGATTCTGTCCATGGCAAATGGGAGATGGAGACATTCTATGAGCAGATCCTGGCCGCGAAGAAGAATAGTCTTGACTTATTGAAATTTGAGGAGATCTTGGACCGCGATTACAAGGATTGGACTGAGACAACACGGTCATCGAAGACGAGTCTCAAACTGGGCTTTTGCTCTTCAGTGAAGCCAATCTCCTGGCTTATTCAAAAGGCCGGCGGCTGTCAAGAATTCCTGGAAAGAACGAAGAAATTTGCCACTGCAGATGACAAGCAGCTCGATGTTGTGGTTGTGATGTCCTCTTTTACATCCGCAGATGACCAATTTTCTCGTGAACTGTTCATTGGCGCCGCCGGACATGAAAGCGTCGCCATCGATAGCATCAATGCTTTTATTGAACAGGTCTCGTCGGAACTAGGCCTTGTAAATTGGAAATCAGTGGATAAGGAGAAAATCGAACTCGATGAGGAGGAGATTACATCCAGTTTAGATGGGGAGGCTGATCTCTGGAGCCGACTCTGGCTACAGACAAATTCCACTGCCAGCAGGAAACAGGTGGCCCCTATGCTTCGTTCGACGGTGGCAAAGCTTTGAAATATGAGCTTCGAAGAAAACACGAATATAGAAGACGAGATTGTACGAGATTACGAATACGGACGATAGGCATTCTGAGACGTTGAGGAGATTCGACATGTTTTCAGCGTGATGTAGTTTGATTGTTTTTTTCATGAAATTTCCGATTAATCCGAACACCAAACACCAACAGGCGAGGCAAATATGTCTGAAAATAGAACACAAAATGGAAATGCAATATATGCAATGCTCCAAGCCGACCTGATGCGAATGCCAGTATGGAAGGAGAAAAGGAAAAGAGATAGGAAACGCAAAGGATCGCCTAAGAATAAAACGCAGAAGATGCAAAACGTTCAAAGGAAAAGAAAAGATCAAACAACCGCTCCACTTGCTATATCATAATTGATGCTCGAATTTGAGCTCCAAGCTATGATACATCGGTATCAAACACATTCCCACTCGCAGAACACGCACCACCGAGCAACCCGGTCAGCAAGGACCAGGCCACGCCAGGTACCGCGCTCGCCAATCTTGATCACGGTCTCCCAAACACTGCCTTCGGCCACGGCGTCGGTAACCGAGTTGCCGGAATTTTCAGTGCTGATCATGTGGTCGGCCTTCCGGGTGAGACGAAGAATCTTGCCGGATGGGGACTGGATGGCCAACTTCGCTGGTTTTTCACGCCCAGAAGCTGATCGTGAAGATGAGATGGCCGATGTGGATGCGGAGAACTCGTTGGAGTTACTCGAAATGGTGGACGGGGCCGTGCTAGATACCATGCTGAGGGCACTGGAGGGACGGTTGAATAAGGACGGGGAAGCACGGCCTTGGGCATAATAATCATCCTTGGGTGGTGTCGACGGCGAGGCCGAGTGTTGGCGGACAGCGAAGACAAAGGTGTTATTCACAGCGAGACGAGAGCACTGCGGCTGCATGATGTATAGATCATGGCGCTGCGCATGGGGCGTGGGATGGCGGAGAACGAAGTCATATGGTGGGTTTTCTCCTGTGTGCATGATCGGAATGGCCAATGCCAAGGGATGGGGAATATCCTTGCTCGAGTGCATAAGGCCCTTCTTGCCGGCATATAGCTTCAAGACGCCTTGGCCCTCGTCACCGGGGAGAACGGCCTTGATGGTAATTCGCTTTTGTCCACCAAACCAGTCAGGCTGGACAAGTGCTCGTTTGCGCAAAATGTCTCCACTTTCAAAAAAGTCACCATCGGCATCGCAAGCGAAAGCAGGTGCCTCAACTTCAGCTGCGCATTCGACATCAGGGGGGACAACCAGGCATAAATGCATGCACTCCAGTCCTTCGATTCGCATCAAGCTTGTATCGTAGTCCGGGAATTGGGCCCCCAACTTGAAATATTGCGGGCAGACGGCCGGAAGTGATAGCAAAACATCAGGCGAGACCGGAGGAACAATGTGCTGCTCTTCGGGGTAGAGTGGGACGTGGGTATAACAGAATTGTAGTGGCCGGGCCAAGAAATACCAGCTTTCCGCAATAGAAGAGTTGGTGGTGACGAAGCGGCTCCTTTGGGGGTTCGTGGGGTTTGCTAGTGCACAGTCCATCATACGCCACTCCCCATCGACTAGGACCGCGTTCCACCAGTGATTTGGACGAGATAGACTTTCCAAGTCGAGCACATCACCTGGGTTCTTGAGATAGCCGTGAATAATTTCAGAATGTAGACCAACAGCACCGCACATCTCGTGTACCAACAGCGCGATTTCTTCGGGAGTTCCTCGTTTGGCTTGCAAGACCCGTTTGATATCAACCTCCAGGCCATCCAAAGGCTCTTCCCAGGCAATCTTCTCGCTTACCCAAGTAAATATAGCGCGAAGTCGTTGAACATCGCTTTTATAGGGACGACAGATATAACCCTGCGCGAGGCTCATGGAGTTTGTCATGGGGGGAAGACTGCTAATAAAACGAGCACTTTTATCGACGAGATTCATGTTAGCCGCGTGGAAATTCGTCGGTTCGTGGACAGGCAAGCCATCAATGTTCTCGTCACCCTCTGCTGTATCTTGCAACTCCTCGATTGAATAGATCACCGGATGGTCCATCATCTGGCATCGCTCTGCGCGTTCAACTCTCTCATTTCGACTGGGGGATGATGCTCGGTTGACATCACGTCGAACCTGAACCCAATCGATAGGACTGGCCCCAGGCCCCGTATCACGAGCGGTCTCGCGAGTAGAATGAGGGGTAAGGGGCGACACTACATCTGCCATCCTGTTGCCTTTGGTTGGGGATGGGGTCCCCCCCACCATGACCAACTGAGATGCTACTCCTTGCACTCGCAGCACCCGTCTTGGCAGATTCGAAAATCTTTTTGAAGAACCCCTGTTTTTTGTTTTTGGGGGTTGAAAGACCACCGAATACACCGCCGGAATCCCCGGTATCATGATCAAGGGAGGACCATGGAATAGCAGAGGATGCTCCTTGGCGGGACGTGTTGTGACTCGAGTGATAAGACACACCGGTCATGGGGGTTTCTGGCCTTTCTGGGTTGCCGGCATCACTAAATCCTCGAGAGCGAAAGCTGTCCATAGCAGTGTTTGGTCGGTCATATCCACCATTTCGTCGTGCATAGCTACCGGCACTGGTCGCACTAAAACCCCCGGCAGATGCACCACTCATCAGACTTTGACTTGTTTTGTCTGTGCTAGTAGTCACATTGGTTCCAATACTTTGAATACCACTGGAGCTTGTGGCACTAGACTTCGTAGTGAAGGTACGATTGAGGGCATCGCTCCTCATATCTTGTCCAGAACGGCGACCACGCAGGTGGGGATATTGCGCCGGGACTGAGTTGTTGCGTGGATGATAAGTCGCGTGCTTGGGTGGAGGTGGAGAGGGGCGCATCATCATCCGCAGGATGGCCATCTTCATCTTCAGGCGACCGGTTCTGGTCTTCCAACTGGCGCAAGCGGCTTTCCATTCTTTGAACGTAATTGTTGAGTTGCGGAGGTCCATCCATGTAGTGATCGTGGGAATATACACTATTGCGATGTACTGGCACACTTTGAACAGGCTCTCCATCAAATCCGAGGGAAGTTAGCGGCCGGCGTCTGGTTGCTGGGGGCGTTCGATCATTCATCTCATTGTAAGGGTCTCCTGACCAAGGGTTGTTAAAAGTCGGCGGCGGTGATGGCGAGGGCGCCTGGCGGGGGGAAGGCGAAGGAGCTTGGCGAGGCAGTCCCATATCTTGCAGGGAAGTCATTACATCCTCCATGGCATCTCTCAACGGAGATGGGGTATTTCCATTTGCATCTGATTGCGCCGAAACGGCAGAATGGGCCGAGTGCGTTGAGCGTGCCCCGGGGGAGGGTGTACGTGCAAATATCACATATCGATCGTTCATGTTCAAAGGCGTGGGCGAGCGAGAGGGCTGCCGAGGTCTGGACGGAGGAGGTTGTGGGGAATGCATTCGTCGGTGTGATTGATTCATAGGTGGTTGTGGAGATCGGGGTGCATGATAATGTGTAGGCGGTTGCGGGGAGCGGGGCGGCTGATAGTGCGCAGGTGGTTGTGGAGAATGAGGCGGTTGATAATTCATATATGGCTGTGGAGAATGGGGTTGCTGGTAATATAGAGCTGGCTGAGGAGAGTGATTTGGCTGAGGAGAATGCGACGGGCCGCGCTGCAGTGCGATTCGATGCGGAGGAGGGGGCGGCGGCGGGGGGGGAGTCTTCACGCTCGGGCTCGGGCTCGGGCTCTGCTTCTTGCAAAATCATTGGGGAAACTTCTCGAGAAGTAGGTCGCGATGACGGTCGTGATGATGATATACTTCCACGGGCTATCAGAGCGGAAGGTGACCTCTCTGGCTCTACTGATGCACGGGGGGAAACAATGGGAGAGACCCCACGGGATGAGGGTCGTGAAGATACAGAGGACGGCCGGGACATTGAACCTTGATTCTTGACGGCGGATGCATGTGTGCGCAAAGGTTTGACACTCCGAGGGGTACTTCCATCTCGGGGTGGTGTCTGAGGAATCGAGCTTTTAACGGGTGTGTTCGATCCACTCCGCGCCAAGTTCGAGGCTGGCGATAATGCTTCCCTATGAGCCTGAAAGGGCTTGCGAAACACGGTTTTCGTCTTCTTCGGGGCCGATGTGGGATTGTTGATGGGAGAAGATCCGGAGAGCACCATGGGACTGGTATCTCGACTGATAGGAACAAAATCTTCACTCATGAGCTCGACAAAGTTGGAGGGGAACAGTCCAACAGCTCGTCTGTCACGACGTAGTCGACCCATCCACCACTGCCCATCCCCGGCGTTCAGACATTCGATCAGATCGCCTTCCACAAACCCCAGATCTTTTGTTGTCTCTCCTCCCCATGAGTATACTGCTCGACACCAACACGGAAACCGCGGCGGCAACTGACCGCTGTTGGATGCCATCCCGAGAGGTTCAATGTTCACTAAGCAGGGAAGAATGAACGGCGCAAGTCGATTATATGGAATTGGCGGTCAGCGTAGGGTTCGGCGAACGATCTGTTCGTGGCAGGCCGGTCAATTGTTGGCAGGTTGGGGTAAGGCTGTCGCAGGTGTAGCTGGAAAGTGGGAGTCAGATGGGGTAAGGTAACGCACGGCCGCTGAAGGAAGTTCGACTCAGGCAACCATAATTGACGGTGTAGCGCACAGAAAAAAGAGAGACGAAGTTCCGGCCCACTAACCGAGCCGAAAAAACACGAGGGCGAATGCGACTGGAGAGGAGGGGAGGAGGAAGGGAACTCCAGAGGTTCGGTGAGGCCCGAGGGTCTTCTTGTTTACGTGGTGGCCCAATCGGGTCTAGCGGCGGAGAGCCCTCTTATCACGATAAGCTTAAGTTTCCAGCGCAACCGGGGCCTCCTATACATCAAAATATTATAATAGACTTATTTTCAGCAGTGTTTCGATCAATTCTGTACCATTTTAGAGCTTTAGGTCGCTGGAATGAATTATAATGTCTCCCTGTATTTTGACACTATTCTGTGAGAGCAACGTGGAAGCCCAAAGTCGACGCCTCCCCCCTGCGCGGCTCAACCTCGGATCCATGGTTCACGTTCGTTGCAAACCAAGCCCCCCCCCCCAAACCCGCTTACACTAGTTCACCCCGCTAACCCTGGGTATCAAACATCATGGCATTGGTGCCCAATGATTGTTATGATGTTGATGCGAAACCGACCACATTCACCCAGAAATCATTGGTAGCATTCTGCTTGTCGATCTCACTGGAACATCACCACTCATTGTGAACCTTAAAACTATCAAAACACCTGCATAGTGCCATCCAGAAAGGATCTGCTAACGACACTTTTCAATCTTGCTTTGGTCAATTATAGTGTGGCAGGTCATACTTCCTCTCTTGCCAGCTTCTCTTTTAACGTACTCCGCTTTTACCAGCTATTTTTCTCCTAGCACAGCTAACTCAATCATTTTCCAAGCCGCTTTCGTGACCGCTGCCACGCTTGGCTATGTGCGCTATGCGGTATCGTTTGATTTTTTACAGTCCAGACCTCACGACTCATGAAATGCCTGTACGTACAGTAGCAGATCCTTTCCCAAGCCAGGATTTGTTTTGCTGCACGGCCCTACAGTGCCGGATCGGGAATGGCGAACATTCCAGGACGGTTGCCGAGGAATTCCCAGCCACTTCCGAGCGATACACGGTCAGACAGGGCATGGGAGCCTGTGGCCTTGCAGAGAAAACCCCATGGCATGGTGTTGATCGGCGGGTATCGCTCTGAGAAGCCTAGTCAGGGACAATCTCCCTGGATCTCCCGGATGATCTCCAAATTGGCCTTTGGGATAGTTTCTTCTGGCAATTCTCAATCGGTCACCTCTACATTCCACCCTGGGGCAGGGGACCATTATCGGCTCTTATATCTCTGCTTTGCAATTTAACCAAACAGTACGGGCCGGAGTCGTTTTCCTGACAATTTTGCCGAAAAATGCAAACTCGATTCTAGGGGCACAGGAACCAATGTCGTGGTGGATAAATATCCCCCGTTCATTCTCCAACATGCCGCCTCGAAGCGATAATCCCAACGACTTTGAAAAATCTCTGGGTGCCCCAGTTACCAAGTGGTACTAACAATTCAACAGCTAGACGCTGGCTGATCAAACTCAGCCTTGTCGCCTACTCAAAGTATCCAGCTCTTTGACCATTCATCCAGTAGGCATTGAAACCTGCAATTGCAGACTATTTCTTGGCCATGGCACCAATGAGGATTTTACTGGCTCTAGCTAGCACCGGCCTGGCCCCTCTGGCGTGGGCCAAGCAAGTCCACTTTGATCTCGACTTGACTTGGCAAAAGGGTGCCCCAGATGGCAATGTTCGAGAGATGGTGTTTATGAATGATCAATTCCCTGGTCCTGAGCTACGATTAGAACAAGGTGACGATGTCGAAGTGGTTGTTCACAACAATCTGCCTTACAATACCTCACTTCACTTCCATGGGATTGAGCAGCGAGGTACACCGTGGTCTGATGGTGTCCCCGGACTCACCCAGAAGCCAATTCAGCCAGGTCATAGTTGGACATATAGGTGGAAGGCAACTCAATATGGAACCTACTGGTATCATGCTCATGCTCAGGCCGAGCTCATGGACGGGCTATATGGACCCATCTGGATCAGGTCAGAAGCTCCATTATGCAAATCCTTCGTCTATCGAATGTCAAGCTGATTTCTTTTTTTTAGTCCGTCTGCCGGAACACCCGATCCGTTCCATTTTATCTCAAGCAATCCTGCCGATATCAACGCAATGAAGGCCGCAGAGAAGAACCCACAACTTGTTATGCTGTCTGATTGGGATCACCTTACTGCAGCGGAGTATCAGAAGGCTCAAGAAGATACTAGTGTCAACATCATGTGAGTCTAGCGCATCGTATCAGCGTGTGGATCCGATCCACAACTAACGATTCCCAGATGCTCTGACAGTATCCTTGTCAACGGTCGCGGGTCCGTGTATTGTCCGGGCACTGCAAACATTTCCAGCGTCGAGTTACCGTACCTAAGCACTGCAATCAACAACCAGCCTTTGACAGATAAAGGGTAAGTTTCACGACTAAAATACTGTCGCCGATTCATTTGCTAATTTGTAACTTCCAATCACAGCTGCCTCCCTCCCATATATGAAACTCAAGGCAACTTTCCCACTCACCCAGAGTTACTTCCAGGAGGGTTGAACTCTGCCTGTACCCCTACTGTTGGCCTCCATGAAATCATTGAAGTTGATCCTCAAGCTGGATGGGTTAGTCTCAAGCTTATTAGTGCAGCTGCACTGAAGGCATTGATGTTCTCTATCGATGAGCACCCAATGTACATCTATGAGGTTGATGGCGCATACATTGAGCCGCAACTTGCAGAGACGTTTTCTATTTTCAGTGGAGAGCGCTACGCTGCAATGATCAAGCTGGACAAGCCCCCCCAAAGACTATACCATCCGAATTCCCGACACACAGGGTGACCAAGTCATCTCCGGCTTTGCCACTATGCGATACAAAGGCTCCGATAATACCAGCCCCTCCGCTCCCTATGTGGACTATGGTGGCAGAAACACGTCTGCCTCAGTTGTGCCTCTGGATAACAGAGCTATTCAACCGTATCCTCCTGTGTCCGTCCCTCGCCACGCTGATCAGCTGGTCAACCTGACCCTTGGCCGTTGGGGTTCCTCTTACACTTGGACTGCTTCTGGAGGTCCTCTCTATGACATGATGGCTAATTGGGATGACCCTATTCTGTATGATCTGAATGCAAAGAAGAACCTTGCCAGCCAAGTCACCATCCAGACTAAGAACGGCACCTGGGTGGACTTGCTTCTTCAGCTAGGCAACATGCCCAATACACCAGCCACGCAAGCGCCACATGTCATGCATAAGCACTCCAACAAAGCTTTCATTCTCGGCGTCGGTCCTGGGATCTTCAACTGGGCAAGCACTGACCAGGCGATCGCTCAACACCCCGAATTCTTTCAGCTGGATAACCCTCAGATGAGGGACACATTTGTCACTCAGGGTGCCAACGGTCCGACTTGGATGATCATCCGATACCAGGTGGTGAACCCTGGTCCTTTCCTCTTCCACTGTCACATTGAGACGCACATGTCCAATGGCATGGCGGTCGCTCTGCTCGATGGTGTTGATGCATGGCCACGGGTTCCGGCCGGCGAAGATCAAAGTCCAGATGCTGGCCAATTTTCTGGTCAGGGTGCCAGTCAAAATCAAGGCGGGGATCAAGGCCAGGCTTCCGGTCAAGGCCAGACTTCTGATCAAGACCAAGCTGGGGATCAAGAAGAGAGTGCGAGTATGAGTTCGTTCTGGTCTAGCCACGCCCAGACACCCACACCGGGCAGTGGCACGGCAGCTTCAGCTCCCCTCGCGACCCCAAGTGCCCCGCAGACGCCTCGTCAACCATCTACAACCCCTTCTCAACCTTCTCCTCAAACCCCTCAGTCAACTAAAAGCCCCCTGCCAGCTCCGGCTCAAGCCACCCCTCCCACACCCCCGAAAGCCACACCCGAGATTGAGGACTATGGCGAGTGGCACCAGGCTCGCCTTGAACTCATGAAGCTTATTGGTCAAAGAATTTCTGAGCGCGTTGCAGAGTCTGATCGCGACATCTAAGTTACCTGAGATATGACAAGATCTCAACCTTCTGACAAAATCATTCAGAAACACAACATCTATACTAATGTTTTTCCTGCTGAAGCCTAGCTGCATTGCCAAATCAGCAATAGCACAATTTCATAAATAAATAATTGACAGTATTCTAGTATGTCTTTGGTATCTCTCTGGTTACATCTCGTAGCATCGATTTCAGTTGAAATCTCGGTCCGCAGCCCCACCGATCCCCCACCCATCCCCACCCACGTCGATCGATGTCGATCCGGTGTAGCGTCTAATGGAGGATACCTTGACGTGCTTGATTCTTGTTCTTCATTGGATACGTAGGGCTAGAACTTTGGCTGTCAAGACTAACGATCAATTTAACTTTTACAACCCCAAAGGGTGAGCGCTCCTAGCCACTTCGATTTCGCTTTATATCGGCGATTACCTTGAAATAAGCCCCTTGTCCCTGCTTGTACCTCTCTCACAACTTTCTCTCTCTTTGATTTTCCATTCTTTAAGTATTCACAGAAGATCTGCATTTGTTTCGCTCTTTTGGTAAAAAAGGACGACGTGCCGAATCTAAATTAGGTGAAATCGGGGCTTCGCCCAACCACTAAAATCTCAAGCAACGATAGAAATGATGACGTATTAAATATCATAATAGGGTTATCTCATAGCTTGTGGTCCTAGTAAGATCTACATCTGATATACTACATCAGTTCATCGTTGCATTCATTCCAGTCTAGACCCAGTACTAGCCATATGTATATTTTCATCGGTAAACTAGTATCTTTGATGAACGCCTGAAAAGAAAAATTGTATTTTTCTTCAAGTGTAAAACAACGTACAATTCAATTAAAGAGAAATTCTATATTATCCTGACTTCTATCCAGTAATTTCATCTTCTGCGAGGTACGGGGGACAAGTGGTAGGTACAAGTGAAGGGCTTGTCGATCACGTGACATACAAGGAAGCCTGCGGGTGCAACCTTCTAAAACCAGCGACACCTACGAGAAGTTGTAACTGACTCCTGTCTAAGGTACCCATTCCGGCGTTTTAATTAGCTCATACACTATGGATACTTTACCCCGAGATCCTATTTCCAATCGTTTTTCTTTGGGCCGGCGGTAGCTATATCCGCAAACAGCAGTTTGACAGCGGGGAGCACTCGTACCTTTGTCGACCTGAAGAGATAGATCAGGGTTTCGACATGATTCCAAGGAAATGAGCTGCCTCGGCCCATATTTCCGATATTCGGGCCCGGTTGGACAGTAAAACATCGCAGCTTCCCATCTGACATACCCTTGACCATGGTAACCGTTCCATTGGTCAAGTTCTGGCAAACATGGCTGAGTCAAATCCCGCTCGAACGGAGTACTACCCGAGCCGAAGCTAACCCACTAGGCCATAGAGAAGCTCCACCTCTGTAGAGCTTCCGTTCCACGTTACCCTTATTCTAGAGTACAAGCAGGTTATTAAAATTTTTCAGTACTTTGATTCCATGTGCCAGAGGACCCATAGGCCGTCTAGATTAATTCTCATCCAACCAAGCTCCCGGGAAAATATAATCAGACAATCACGTATAAATTATGAGGCCCGTCCATTCGCGCGCCCTGAAACTTTTTGTTTGATACTAATTCTTCGTGAATTTTTGCACCCCTGGCTAGCATCGGGTTTGATGATGGCGGGTCCCAGTCGCGTGTATCTCTTTGGAGATCAGACTGCTAATTTCGACTCTGGCCTTCGCCGCCTGTTGCAAGCCAAGAATGACTCGCTTTCGAGCTCGTTTTTTCAAAAGTGCTATTATGCATTGCGGAAAGAGATCAGTCAGCTACCGCCATCGCAGCGGCAGATGTTTCCTCGGTTTACAAGTGTCGTCGATCTCTTGGCCAGGTATCGTGAGTCGGGACCAAGCGCTGTTTTGGAGAGCGCTTTGACGACCATTTACCAGTTGGGATGCTTCATTCAGTAAGATTATCTGAAGCTCACGATTTAATGAAACTTAGACTAATTTCAATAGCTACTACGGAGACCTTGGTCATGCTTATCCGTCAGGATCTGAGAGCTGCATCGTTGGTCTCTGTACTGGACAACTTGCCGCGGCAGCTGTCAGCTCCTCTAGCACCGTTGGAGAGCTGATTACGGCTGGTGTTGAAACTGTCGTCCTGGCCCTCCGATTGGGAATGTGCGTTACCAAGGTTCGAGGACTTGTCGAAGCAGCCAAATCACCATCGCCAAGTTGGTCTGTGCTGGTCTCTGGAATCCGAGAGCAAGAAGGTCAAAAATTGATCGAAGTATTCGGCCAAGCCAAGGTGAGTTGACTCCAACATGTTAATGAGAACGATCTGATACTAATAATCTGAAGGCTCTTCCCCGGGTTTCCCAGCCGTATATCAGTGCTGTCAGCCCAAATGGATTGACAATTAGTGGTCCACCAAGCACTTTGCAAGTTTTCGTCGACACTTGTCTCTCTAAAGATCAAAAGCCTGTTCGGGTACCGATTCACGGCCCCTATCACGCAGCTCATCTTTATGATTCGAGGGATGTCAACCGCATCCTGGAATCATGGCCCAGAGAGAATTTTGAAAGCTATGTGCCGCAAATTCCAATTTTCTCGAGTGAGACTGGCAAGAAAATTGAGGCAGAAAATCTTGAGGGGCTCTTGAAGATTGCCCTTAGAGAAATTTTGCTCCGTCAACTATGCTGGGACAAGGTCATCGACGCCTGCTCTTCGGCACTGAAGATAACTCCTGCCAAATGCACTCTCCTTCCGATCTCCAGCACCGCAACCCAAAGCTTATACACTGCTTTGAAAAAGAGTGGAATCTCAGACCTTGAGATTAACAGTGAAATCGGCAATGTGCAGAATGACTCGACTGGAGACAATCGCAGTGGTCGTACAGAGCAGTCAAAGATTGCCATTATCGGTCTCTCTGGTCGCTTCCCCGAGGCACAGGATACCGAAGCTTTTTGGGATCTTCTCTACAAAGGATTGGATGTTCACCGTGAAGTACCTGCCTCTCGTTGGGATGTGAAGGCTCACGTCGACATGGAAGGAAAAACTCGAAACACCAGCCAAGTTCAATACGGATGCTGGATCAATGAGCCTGGTCATTTCGATCCTCGTTTCTTCAATATGTCTCCTCGCGAGGCACTGCAGGCTGATCCTGCCCAGCGGCTTGCCCTTCTCACTGCATACGAAGCATTTGAGATGGCAGGTTTCATCCCTGATAGCACACCATCTACGCAGAAAAACAGAGTTGGTGTGTTCTACGGAATGACTAGCGATGACTATCGTGAGATCAACAGTGGCCAGGATATTGATACTTATTTCATTCCTGGTGGCAACCGTGCTTTCACGCCTGGACGCATCAACTATTATTTCAAGTTTAGCGGCCCAAGTGTCAGTGTCGATACAGCCTGTTCTTCGAGTCTGGCAGCAATCCATGTTGCATGCAATTCTCTTTGGAGAAATGACTGCGACTCTGCTGTTGCAGGTGGAGTCAATGTTCTGACAAACCCGGACAACCATGCTGGCTTGGACCGTGGCCACTTCCTGTCAAGAACTGGAAACTGCAATACTTTCGACGATGGTGCCGATGGCTACTGTCGTGCCGATGGTATTGGTTCAATTGTTCTGAAGCGTCTCGAAGATGCCTATGCAGACAACGATCCTATCTATGGTATCATCTCCGGCGCCTATACAAACCACTCAGCCGAGGCCGTGTCTATTACCCGCCCTCATGTCGGCGCCCAGTCTTTCATCTTTGACAAACTCCTCAACGAGGCCAACATTCAACCTAAGGATGTTAGCTATATCGAGATGCACGGCACTGGAACCCAGGCAGGTGATGCTGTCGAAATGCAATCAGTTTTGGATGTCTTTGCGCCCGACTATCGCCGTGGACCAGCTCAATCACTTCACCTTGGCTCTGCCAAGGCAAACATTGGCCATGGAGAATCTGCTTCTGGTGTCTGTGCATTGCTCAAAGTGCTGATGATGATGAGAAAGAACATGATCCCTCCTCATTGCGGCATTAAGACCAAGATCAACCACAACTTCCCAACGGACCTGGCTCAACGAAACGTCCACATTGCTTTGGAACCGACCCCTTGGAACCGACCAGTTGGTGGATCTCGAAAGACATTTGTCAACAACTTCTCAGCGGCAGGTGGAAACACTGCTTTGCTGGTTGAGGACGCCCCCATCCGGGAGCGCGAGGCTAAAGACCCGCGAGGCATTCACTCCGTGCTTGTTTCCGCGCGTTCTCAATCTGCCCTGAAGAACAATGTTGCGTCCATGACCCAATACATTGAAACTAACAAGAACTCTTTCAATGTAAATGAGGTTGATCTCCTCGCCAGTCTGTCGTACACTACCACGGCGCGACGCATCCATCACCCTTTCCGAGCTTTTGCTGTCGGTTCTACTCTAGATGAGATCAAGAACGGCCTCAACACAAGCGTCGGACGTGAGAGTATTACTCCTGTGCCTGCGACCGCGCCTGGAGTTGGGTTCATCTTCACTGGTCAGGGAGCTCAGTACACAGGCATGGGCAGCCAGCTGTTCGAGAACAACTCCGAATTCCGGGCTCACATCGAGCACCTTGATCGCATCGCCAAGAGCCAGGGTCTTCCTTCAATTGTCCCTCTTATTGATGGCAGTGTCCCTGTCGAGGAGCTCAGTCCTGTCGTTACTCAGCTTGGTACCACCTGTGTACAGATGGCACTCACCAAGTACTGGATTTCCCTCGGAGTCAACCCGACGTTCGTCATCGGCCACAGCCTGGGAGAATATGCAGCACTGAATGCTGCTGGTGTGTTGACTACCAGTGATACAATTTTCTTGGCTGGTCGTCGTGCTCAGCTACTCACCAAGAAGTGCCAGATGGGAACCCATGCAATGCTTGCCGTGAAGTCCTCGTTCGCACAAGTAAAACAATATCTTGAGGACGATTCCGCCGAGATTGCTTGTGTTAATGCGCCCAGCGAGACTGTCATCAGCGGACCTAATGGCAAAATTGACCAGCTTGCAGACAAGCTTGCCAACGAGGGCTTCAAGGCCACAAAGCTCAAGGTGCCTTTCGCGTTCCATTCCGCCCAGGTTGACCCGATTTTGGAAGATCTGGCAGAAATTTCCAAGGGTATCATTTTCCATGAGCCAGCGATCCCATTCGTATCGGCTCTGCTTGGAGATGTCATCAAGGAAGCCAACCTTGATGTGCTCTCTCCTAGCTACCTGACCAGACACTGTCGCGAGACAGTGAACTTCCTTGCTGCCTTGGAGGCCACTCGTCATGCCAATCTGATGAATGACAAGACTGTCTGGGTTGAGATTGGATCGCACCCCATTTGCTCAGGGATGGTCAAGTCAACCTTCGGTCCTCAAGCTACAACAGTGTCATCTCTTCGCCGCCAGGAGGATACTTGGAAGGTGTTATCTAACAGTCTTTCTTCTCTCTACATGGCCGGTATTGATCTCCGCTGGAAGGAGTATCACCAAGAGTTCAGCTCTGCCCACGAAGTTATTCCTCTGCCTGCTTACAAGTGGGATTTGAAGAATTATTGGATCCCATACACCAACAACTTCTGTCTGCTGAAGGGCGCTCCTGCAAAGCCTGTGACTGAGTCTGCACCTGTTACGACTTACTTGACGACTTCAGCCCAAAAGGTTCTGGAGACTAGCGGTGATAACAAGACTGCCACCGTCGTTATTGAGAACGACATTGCGGACCCCGAGCTGAATCGTGTCATTCAAGGCCACAAGGTCAACGGAGCGGCTCTTTGCCCATCGGTAAGTTTATAACACCTGCAACCACCATATTCTCACCCATTACTAACAAGAAGTAGTCTCTGTACGCGGATATTGCACAGACTCTTGGCGAGTTCTTGGTCGAGAAGTACAAGCCCGAATGGAAAGAACGGGGCTTCGATGTCTGCAATGTTGTTGTTCCCAAGCCCATGATTGCGAAGGGCGGCAAGCAGCTCTTCCGTGTTTCAGCCACAGCCAACTGGAGTGACGAGAGTGCCCATTGCCAGGTTTGGTCCGTCACGCCCGAAGGGAAGAAGATAATCGATCATGCCACTTGCACTGTCAAGTTCTTCAACACAAGTGTCGCAGAGATGGAGTGGAAACGCAGCAGTTACCTCATCAAGAGAAGCATTGAGCATCTCAAGGAGAGCACCGAGTCCGGTGACGCCCACCGTATGAAGCGCGGCATGGTGTACAAGCTTTTTGCCAGCCTTGTTGATTACGATGAGAACTACAAGTCGATTCAAGAAGTCATTCTGGACAGTGATCAACACGAAGCCACTGCTCTGGTTAAGTTCCAAGCCCCTCCTGGAAACTTCCACCGCAATCCATTCTGGATTGACAGCATCGGCCATCTGTCTGGTTTCATCATGAATGCTAGCGACGCGACTGATTCAAAGAACCAGGTCTTTGTCAACCACGGCTGGGACTCGATGCGTTGCTTGAAGAAGTTTGATCCTAGTGTTACCTATCGCACCTACGTGCGCATGCAGCCGTGGAAAGACTCGATCTGGGCTGGTGATGTTTATCTCTTTGAGGGCGACGATATTGTTGCGGTCTACGGTGGAGTTAAGTTCCAGGCCTTGGCTCGGAAGATTCTCGATACCGTCTTGCCTCCTGCTGGTGCTTCTGCTGCTAAGCCTGTCGCTAAGGCCAAGCCTGCACCCATTGAGGTCCAGAAGGCAAAGGCAACGCCAACCAAGAAAGCTCCTCGCGCAGCGTCTACTCCCAAGTCTGCAGGCCCAAGTATTGTCACTCGTGCTCTCGCAATTCTGGCTGAAGAGGTTGGAATGTCTACCGGTGAGATGACAGACGACTTGAACTTTGCAGACTACGGCGTTGATTCTCTTCTCTCATTGACCGTCACCGGTCGTTACCGGGAGGAGATGAGCATTGATCTGGAGTCTTCCGTCTTTGTGGACCAGCCCACCATCAAGGACTTCAAGCAGCTTCTGTTCACTATGTGCCCCAGTGAGAGCAGCAGCGATAGTTCTAGCAGTGAGCCTGATATTTCGTCAGCGGCATCCTCCACCGACATCTCATCGCCCAACTCGAGTGGTCTTCCCTCTCCCGCTAACGAAAAGACAATGACCCACGAACAAAACGATAGCATGAAGCAGATATGCGCGATTCTGTCTGAGGAAATTGGCGTTGAGCCCCATGAGCTTGAGGGCGATGCCAACCTTTCCGAGATGGGCCTCGACTCTCTGATGTCGCTCACAGTTCTGGGTAAAATTCGCGAGGACCTCGACCTTGACCTGGCAGGAGAATTCTTCATCGAGAATCAAACTCTCGATGAAATTGAGTCCGCTCTGGATCTGAAGCCGAAGGTCATTCCTTCTGCGCCAATCCAACTTCCCGAGCAGATTCCAGCCGAAGCTCCCAAGGCCGTATCCAAAACAGCCATCCAGCACCCCCCCTGCTAGCTCCATCCTGCTACAAGGAAACCCCAAGACAGCGACCCAGAAGCTCTTCCTGTTCCCTGATGGCTCCGGATCTGCTACCTCGTACGCCACCATTCCCGGCATCTCTCCGGATGTCTGCGTGTACGGACTCAACTGCCCATACATGCGAACTCCCGAGAAGTTGAATTTCAGTCTGGACGAGCTCACCTACCCCTACGTTGCTGAAATCCGTCGCCGCCAACCACAGGGTCCGTACAACTTCGGCGGCTGGTCTGCGGGTGGTATCTGTGCCTACGATGCTGCCCGCCACCTCATCTTCGACGAGGGCGAGCGTGTCGAGCGGTTACTCCTCCTCGACTCGCCGTTCCCTATTGGTCTAGAGAAACTTCCTCGTCGTCTTTACGGGTTCTTCGATACTATCGGTCTCTTTGGAGAGGGCAAGGCTCCCCCGCCGAGCTGGCTGCTACCGCATTTCCTAGCCTTCATCGATTCCCTTGATGCTTACAAGGCCTCTCCCTTCCCCTTCAACGACAGCGAACACGCCGATAAGATCCCCAAGACTTTCATGGTGTGGGCTAAGGACGGCGTTTGCAACAAACCCGATGACCCCCGTCCTGCTCCCGCGGAGGATGGAAGTCCCGATCCTCGCGAGATGCTGTGGCTGCTGAACAACCGCGAGAATCTCGGTCCTAATGGATGGGATACCCTTGTTGGAGAGAAGAATGTGGGTGGCATCACCGTCATGGAGGGAGCTAATCATTTCACCATGACGCGCGGCGAGAAGGCGCAGGAGCTTGCGGCTTTCATTGCCGGTGCTATGAAAACTGTCTAAACACGTGGCATATTTTTTCATTGACAATAATTTTCTGGCGTTTATTATACTTTTGGAACCGTGTTTGTTTGATTTATTTTGCTTTTCCTTTCCTTTCTTTTCTATTTTGTCTTTCTATTACTAGTATCATGTACACATAATTTTGTAATTTAGCCCATCTAGGACTTAATGTCAGAACATGATCTTTGGACCTCGCAGTGCGAAATATGTAAACGTATTGAAAGGAACAGTACCATATTGCAGGGTTTCATTCAAATGTATGCGTCATCGATCAGGCTGAAATGTTACAGTTGGTAGGTAGGGTTACTTATGCTGGGAAACTGCCTTTGAAAGGCTTTGGATAGCAATGTAGACAAGTCATTCACTTGCGCCTCCCATGGGAATGGGGGAGGGAGAAAAGAAAAAAAACTGAAAATCAGTTAAGAAAGGTATTGGATGGTTGAAAATTGCTAGCACCTTCTATGAAGCTGTTCGGGAAAAAAACGCTAAAATGCAAACCATGAGAAGTCATGGTGGCGACCGCTAACTAGATTTGAGCTTCCAACCAACACAAAATATCAAAATTGCATCTCCGAAAATCTGAGGGCACTTGTACCACGACCTGCTAAGCCATTGCCATTGCCATTTCCATTTCCATTGTAGCCGACACCGGGACTAGTAGGACGGCTGCTGGCTGTGATCTTAGGGCTTCGAGGTTGGGTGCTGGTCGAGCGAGTGGATGGGCGATTTTTGCGAATATCTCGCAGTTCCTCCTCTTTTCTGTGCAGAAATTCATCCCTGGTAGCTAGGGTCAACTCCAACTCGCTGATTCTAGCAAGATGAATCTCAGAGTCGTTTTTCAAATTAAGCTCACGGAGCTGTGCAGCATTTGCGTTAACCTTGCGCGTCAAGTTCTCGTTTTCGGTTTGCAGCTGTCGTAACTCATTTCCAGACTGGGCTGCTGCCGTAGACGCGTTTTGATACTGCTCTCGGGTGTATTCTGCTTGATTGCGTTCGTAATCAGCCTTGCGCTCGAGATTGACTGCTTCTTTGGTTAAGCGACGAATCTCTTCCCGCGCTGTTTCGAGCTCGGCCAAGGTGCCACCACCCGATTTGAGTTCCTGCCGAGACTCCTCCAATTCGCGCCGCAGGTTCGTACGATCTTCTTTGAGCTTTGAAATGTCTTCCTTTTGTCTCTCGATGCGCTGTTCAAGAGAGGCCTTGCCCTCGGCCCCGTTATCCCGCTCCTGGCGAACCTTATGCAGCTCATTGGTTCGATTTTCATAGCGGTGTTGCAAGAGACTCAAGGTCTTCTCAAGCATCTGGGCTTGTATGGACACCCGTGAGAGGTCAGACAGTATTTGCTCTTTCTCTGAGGCATGCGCATTTTGCATTTGAATGATGTGTTTCTCCAAGGACTGGAGGTCTCGACCCAAAGTTTGCGTTGGGGGTTTGGTGGATTCGGTCAGTTGGCTCACTTCATCGAGCCGTGTGCGTTTTGAGGAATAATCCTCGCTATCTTCGTCCTATAGCAATAAGTCAATATTAAACAGGACTGGATATAGTTCAAGGGAAGATATAAGGGTCCTACCAGTGAACGCTTTTGGGCAGTTGGCGCTTGGTCGTCGGTTGATGGGGTTGAAGACTCCAGGTCCTGGGAGATATGACCGGTAAATGGTCGATGATAGGTAAAGGCCAGCTAGTCAAAGTATCTCGCAAATAAACGAGAACTTCATCCACATCCTCGTACACGCCCAATGCATTGTCTTGAAGATCGCCGACATCATCATGGAGATGGGCTGTGTATTGTAAAAGCAACCGTAGACGATCAGGCTCAGACAATTCCGGAAGACAACGTTCGATGTGTTCGCAAGTGTTGGATACAAGGAGCCAAATGACCGGTAGGAGGTCATTGTTGCGTGTGTATGTTGTCCGAATGTGTTGCACGTTAGGACTCTTTGGTTCAAATGCCGTGTCTAGAACGATAATAGCGGACGGTGACTTGATGAGGTCTCGCACACCATCGTGGGAATGGATTCCGAAACTCAGCGAATCCTTCACCAAAGAAATCTCGACGTTACCACCCATCTCCTCGCGGGGCCGAGTGTAGGTGAATCCTTTACCGAGCAAATATCGCTCGACTAGCTTTTGCTTCATCTCGCTGCGAACTTCTAGGATTAAATGAAGATCATCTTGACTCGCCACCTCCACCAAGTGACCGAGGAAATAAAACTTTGAGCTCGAATACTCGGCCCAAGAGGCCTCATTTTCAATCTTCGAGTCATTGAAGGTCAAGTGATGGGATATGTTGAGATCTGGGTGAATAGTGACGTTGTTTAATCGAGTAGTAACTTCTTGCATCCGCGAAATCAAATATTCTCGCTATGAACGACGTTAGCCAGGGCATAAGCAGTCTTGAGAAATATTATTTCTTACATCAGCATCAGAGATCTGCGAAGCTGGGTTGGACATCACAAGAAACTGGCGCATTTCTTCGGAGGCGCCTCCCAATACTCGGTCATACTCATCTTTCAAACGCGAATCCAGGGGCAGCGTAATGGCAAACTCGGATGGCCCAAGGCAGACTGATCCGGGTGGAACTTCCTCGGCGTTCCCGACGCTCAGGGCGCTAGGGTGAATAGTCTGCATGGGGCTCTGGAGGTCGTAGTGGGACGCATGTAGTAATGAGTCGGAATGAGTGTGATGAATAGAGGTGTGAGCATGTGCGATTGAATCCGTGTCAGGTCTAACACTGAGTGGTATTGTTCGCTCAGGAATTTGGGACACCGAAGGTTCAATGTCGCCCACAGAAGATGGAGTGTCGACGAAAGGTTTGTTTTGTTTGTCATCCATGGCGTCGGCTAGATGAGAAAGAAGTAAACCCTGACCGTATGATGGATAATTTGCTTGATGTTGAATATCTTTCAATCTGACTATGCGGGAATAGGTATTCCAGTCGAATCCAGGAAACGCTTCCCAGCCTGAATGTTCGAGAAATCGACAGACAAGGCCAGTTTGTAGGATACCACTGAATGATTGTCAAATGCTCGATCCAGCTGGGCAGCCTGGTCAACTATAGAGCAAACGGCTGGATGAAAGAAAACAGCGCAGTCACTACCAGGCGTGGAGTTCCTGTAGACTCGGCTTGGATTTGTTCAAGTGACCAAGGTACTAATCCCAAGCCTTGGTCAATGAAGAGCCAGTCTGAAAATAAATGCAGTTAAATTTAGAGGCCTGTATTTTATGTTATTATCTGAACTCTTGAAGTGGAACATAAAATATAGGGGAAAGCGGAGTGGCCATGGTTATCGGGAGTATGCATCAGGACAACGGGATGGCATGGCAGGAGCATTTGCACGATGCTCAATCAAGGGATGATCATACCTTCGGATAGTGAATCCAAAACTTCAGTGGATTCTTCTTTAGTTTCTCTGGCGAAAGAGTCGAATCATGGACGAGTGTGGGTGGTGGAGGAAAGAGAGGATTATCGCCGCGGCGACGTGCGGCCAAGCGCATCATGCACGCCCCTTCACGTGATCTGGATCTGCAGTCAATGGGCGATCGCGCGCTCGGGATTAACTCGGCTTCTTCAATGAAGATGCTTAATACATGAAATGAGAAAAAAAAAAACCTATATGTTCTATTTTTCTTTATATCTATCTAATCCACATCCACAAATCTATCATATCGACTGTCCCCCCTGCTCCTCCTGCTCGCGTTTCCATTGGTCAAAGTCGAATCCAACCTCTGCCAAAGTCTTAATTTCGCTTCGCTGAGCACCTTTTTGAACAAAGGCTCTTCTAATGTCAGGGAAATGCGCTCGCATCCACCTCTCTCGCTCGCCCCAATATGTTCCAATCTTTCCTTGTCCGTCATGATCTAGTCCTGGACGTTGCTCTGCCTCGGCCGCCCAATTGTAGAGGAAGTTGACGTAGTCAGCATCCATCGGAAACGGCATCAAGTGGAATGTTTTCCCATCTCCTTTGGTCTTCACCTCCAAATATTCCGCTGTATGCATATCGTCTTTCGATGGAAGCTGCAGCCTTGCTGACCAGACACGAGCAAAAACAGCCGCCTGGTTTTCGGCTATCGGGAATGGAATCACTCTTTGTGCGAGAACTGGGAAGGCCAATGTGGGGTGATCTATATAAAATAGTTGCTGATAAACGTTTCTGGTTCGCCAGCCATGGGTTACGACCGGGGGGGGTGAGGGACGAGAGAAATGGGTATGAGTAGAAATAGCCAGTGCAAAACACCACGGCATCGACTTCATCTTCCACTCGGCCATCGGCGAATCTGATGGCTCGGTTGTGAGTACCCGGAGATAGAAACTCGACAATCTCCGGACATATAATCTTGTCCCCTGGCGCGGAAGCTGCCATGTATGATTCCGAGCGCTGAGAGACAAGTATGCTGCCTTTACTAACTTCGTTGATTTGAGCACCGATGTCAAGTCCCGAGGCAGAATTTCCAACCACTACCACCTTTTTGTCCCGGAAGGTCTCGGGCGTATCATAAAACTTGGAGTGGGAAATAATTCCTGGATATGCTTTATCCCAAGGGTCAATCCCTTGAATATCCGGGAGGTATGGGACCGTGAAATGCCCACTGGCTACCACAATTGCGTCATATGTGCGAGTGGTTTCAATACCGGTGTGAAGATTCGCTGTTGTTAAATCCCACGTACTCAATTTTGGATCTCTCAACTTCACATCGACGACCTGGGTTTCGAATTGAATGAGGCTCTTGACTTCCTCGGCATACTCCTCCAAGTATTGTTTGACCGACTTGTGCTTGGGGAAAAGCTGAGCTTCAGCTGGGAATGGTTTGTCCGCAAAGCGCATGAGTTCCTTCGGAATATTGGTCTCAAGTCTATCGTATAGTGGAGACACGAACACAGCCTCTGGGTTGCCTCCCGGTTGTTGAGTCCATGTTGGCTTCTCGACCGGCTCATGAGGATTGAGATGTGGAACGGTTGTTGTCAATCCAACTTTGGCTGAACTTGGACTATAGTTCCAGGCACCACCCACAGAGCTCCTCTGTTCAAAAACATCGATTTGTTCGAAATGTCTTTCCTCGAGCAGATACCTATTACAGCTGTTAGCGCGACGCCCGGTACCCGAGGTATCAATCATCTTATGCAAACTGGGGATCTAGCATGTGAGCATACTTTACAGCTGCAAGACCTGAAGGTCCAGCTCCAATGACCGCCACTCGACGCACAGAATTTGCAAGAGCCATGGCTAATTTCTCAGGCTCAGGCTCAGGCTCAAGCTCAAGCTTAGGCACGAGGGGTTGTTGGAGAGAAGAGGGGGGAGCCAAGCGCATTCGCCATAGTGGACCGGTGCCTGAGCTTATCGGAGCATGAAATGAGACAAACCTTGACTGAGCCTCAGAAAACTGCTGTAAATATAGAGCAGGAAATTCGCTAAGCTATCTTTTTAGATAGAATTCTTTGATTTTGCTTAAACAGTCAATTCTAGTTCTGTCAAACCCAGTAGATAGACCTGCGCAAGTTGTGTAACTGCAGTACCTATGTTACCACGCTAGATCCATTCATTACCAGTATTAATACCACTTCGATACAACACAAAGCTCCAAAAGCGCGGCGTTTGCTCAGCCTGCAGCTCGCAACCTTCCTCGCCCTCAGCTGTCAACTCGCATCTCCTCCGATATTATTTCCATCCCGCATCCGCACTATTACTCTTTCGCTCACATACCACTGCGGCATGATTATGTTTATCACAGTCACCAAAACGCGGGCGCAATGATGGACGCGACCGACGAATCTCCGGCACCGAATGCGCGGCCGCCTTGGACGAAAGTTCCGATCGCACAGCTGTCACCGACTCTCGAACAACCGGAGGAGAAATGCATACATGCGACCGTTACCCTAGTATGGCCATACTCGTCTTCAACGAAATCCCTTGCCCTGCTTCTCGCCGAACCGGACTTCCGTCTACGCCGGCTAAATGGACAAGTGAAAGCGGTCTTCCATGGACGCATCGCAGAGAAAGTCGCCGGGTCGCTAGTTGGGATCGGTGATACTGTTCGCCTTGCGCTGAAAGGCGTGAACTTTGCGGAAAATGGCGCCGTGGGTCAGACACCTGGGAGATCTATTGCGTGGGATGTACATTTCGACAATAACGTGTCACTTGAGGTATGTCCGGCGGGTTGTGCAAATTGTCAATGGGCCATGCGCTAAGCTAATGGGTTTAATTACAGATCGAATCCTCGAAGGGCCAGTCGACAGTCCACATAGACGAAACCCCGCTTGCGACGCATGAGGCCGAATTGCTGCCACCCTCGACTCCGCGTATGGTTTCGATAGACCCAGACAATGCTTTCGTCGCAAATGGAACAGGTGCTTGGGGATCGCCCGCTTTCTTACGCTCATCGCGATCCTCGTATGGCGAGACTCTCGATTCTGCTTACGACCCTTTTACTGAGGAAGATGGTTTTGTTCGTGGCAAAAGGGAGGAAGCGCCCGAGGTACAGCTTGCGCCGAGAGAAATGGCGGGTTTTAGATGAACCTGAGAGTCCACGTGAACGTGAACAGACTGTTGATTGGGACCAGGCTCTTGATGAAGACATGGATTTGGAACAAGATACAGCCTCAGTCGCCGATGTTGAACCGAGCGAGGAACCCTCAGATCATGTGGTTTCAATGCCCGAGAAAATAGTCACTGATGATGACCCATTTATTGAAAGTTCGGATGGTTTTGTCAAGCCTTCTCTCGCGCTGGCCGGAGGACTGTTCGGCAGAAGAGCATCACCTTCAAATAATGTATTCGAAAATGCCTCTACCTCTCCTACGCCAGCCGCCCACTTGCCTACTGATACACCTCAACTACGGCCCATCCCATCTCCCGGATTGCCGATTCCGTCTCCTATCGTTTCCGATCAAAATAATAGCCAAGGGTACTTTTCTCCTTTCCACGTCGTCCCGCAAGCCGAAGACGCTCAATCCCTATCTGTCGATGTCAACATTGACGCTACCAACCTGGGACTGCCCCACGACTCGGCAATTCCCATGGTAATGGAGAATGCAGAAAATAATGAATTGCCTTTCAGTCAAGGCGAATTCACAATTAATCAAACTGTCACCAGTCTGCAAGAACAAAACCAACACTTGCAGAACAACGCCGATATATCGATATCGACAAACCCGGTGGAGTTACTTGACTCTATCGCTCCACAACTTGCCGATATCTCTGAGAGGGCCATGTTCGATGTCGAGGCGGGAAATATTGAGGAAGTCGATGGAACGACTGTTACGGGAGAACTGCAGGGCCATACCATGCGCCACCCGGAAGTGGAAGAGGACATTGGGGCAGTTCCCACATATGAAAAAGAATACAACAGTCCCAGATCCGTACCAATGGCTGATGCAATGTTCAAAGGCATTGGCTTACGAGATGAAGCCGTTATTGAATTGACGGGTGAACGAGGGGTGCATACCCTTCTCGGTGTTGAGACCCCAGATCAAATCTCCAGTGTAACATCTCCCGAGCGGTATGATCGGTATGAGCCACAGCTCGACGCCGATGGAGGGAAAGGCGAATTGCAATCGGATGCAGAATCGGATGCAGAATCGGATGCAGAGGGTGGAAATTTTGCCGAGGGTGAGGACGACGATGATGATAATGACGGGTCACGCGATGCTTATTATGGGGACGAATACGAAGATTTCTCTGAGGAGCATTATGACGAGGAGGATGAAGAAGAGGAGTTCGAAACGGACAACCTTCCTCGACCGCACCCCCCTCATGAAGTAATAGTGTTAGATAGTGACAGCGATGACGAACTTGCTTCAGATCAAGTCCATGCGCCGCCGCCACCGTCACGTCCAGTGGACCAAGGACGAAGACCTGACATTTCATCGCCGGCAGAACGAACCCTCTCATCGTTGGCCGGGCTGGATAACGAAGAAGAATGGTCTGGGATTGAAGAGGAGGCAGCCTATGATGAGATGGAAAGCGCAGAATCGGAAGGCGACGAAGACCAAAATTTCGACGAAGATGATCGAGTCCATGACAGCGATCTGAATGACGAGTCGTCGGTTGACGTATTGGCCAGAACAGACTCCGTGTTTCAGCAGTCTACAGCCGAGCCTTCTGTCGAGTCAGAGCATGATTACCACGAAGTTGATGAGGAAGACTCAGAGGTAGAGGCGGCAGAAGAAATAGAGGATTACTCGGAAGCTGAGGGTGAAAATGAACCTGACGAGCGTTTTGAAAGGGTCGAAAGGCCACAACAGATCATCGATCTTGATTCGAGTTCGGACGAGGGTGAAGAGGCCGAGGAGCAAGTCGAGCAGCAATTCGAGGAGCAAGTCGAGGAGCAATTCGAGGAGCAAGTCGAGGAGCAAGTCGAGGAGCAAGTCGAGGAGCAAGTCGAGGAGCAAGTCGAGGAGCAAGTCGAGGAGCAAGTCGGGGAGCAAGTCGAGGAGCAAATCGCAGAGATTGATGAGCAAGCCAAAGAGATTGAAGAAAAGGCCGAGGACGAGGCCGGGCGATTCTCCGTCGACCCTGAAGCTCTTTCCCAACCCAACCATGGAGAATCCCATCACGGCATGGATGGGACAGACGATCAGCACACGCCGCCATCCTCTCATCTTCAACCGGTCCGTCAAACAATCGATAATGACCAGCCATCCTCGGAAGTTCAGGCTGGGGAGTTTCAGCGAGAATTGGAGGATAAGGATTCAATTGATGGAAATCTTGAATCAGTCTTAAATACGGCGGGCCAAGAGCTCCCAACTCCAGCACCTACCCAGGAATCACTGCCAGTGCCGCTGGGATCCTACAACACAAGCATTCCACCCAATGCTATACTAGATTCCTCCGAGCACCAGATCACATTACCACCGCCTACTCCAGGTCGCTCTTTGCGGTCTAGGCATCTTAGAGAGGATGAGCAAGTCGCACCCGATACCCACCCTGACACGGAAAGAGATGGCTTAGGGATTGAGCCACAGACTCCCGAACCCCCAAAGGTCCTCATTACAGCACCTCGGGCACCTGACCGCCACGCCCTTGGATTGCGCAGCAAACTCTCCTACTTCGCTCCCCTGGCTACACTCATCGATCATTACAATGCGCTCGTGGATACAATCTCGATTGTCCACGAGGCGACTCCAATCGCCAAAGCCGCCTCCGCCTCAAAGGACTTCTTCATAACCATCCAGCTCACCGACCCATCCATGGCAGGAACAACTCTCCAAGCCCAAATATTCCGTCGACGAAAGTCCGTCATGCCCTCAATCGTCCCAGGGAACGCGATCCTATTGCGCGATTTCAAAGTTCGTACTTACGATCACTCCATCATGCTTGTCAGCGTCGAGTCGAGTTCCTGGGCTGTATTCGATGGCACTGGCCCTAATGCACAGATAAATGGGCCACCCGTTGAGTATGGTGCTGAAGAAAGAGCTTGCGCATCTGACTTGCGGACGTGGTACAGCGATATCGGTATAGGCATGCTAGCAGACAGTGAGCTGCAGGCGGCAATCGAGAGGGATAGCATGGGGCGGGAGCTCAGTCCTGGCAGCGCGGGGCCGAGTGAAACAGGGAGCTTTGAATCGGGCTCTCGTGGCTTGCGCAGGTCACGGAATAGCCACCGGCGCGTAACTATCCATGAACTTCGAGACGGTACTCGCTATACCGAAGTGGGTTCCCCCAGCACTAAGGATAGTATCCATGAACTGCGTGACGGGACCGTCTACGCTACTCGGTGAGGTAAACTGATTCAACCAGGCTTGCCTTGTGATTTACAAGAACCATAAACAACATAAGAAGCAAATGAACGATTCTCTTTGATATGTACCTCTAGGTCCCTATACTCTGTATTCTGACCTCGCCACATCTACCCTCTATTCTATCTCCACCTATGTCCAATATGGATAATATGTACGTGAACCAAAAGGAACCAACGCATCCATCCAGATCTGATCTAAAGCGAGCACTTCTCACCACGGAAATACTCCGCATCAACCGCAGACCGAATCAACTGATTAGCAATAGCAGTAGGAGGCGGCAACTTCAAACCACCCTTATACTCCGCCCCAGTCTCAGCACTCAAATCACTAGCCCCAATCCGCAAAGCCTCCTCAACCTCTTCAACATCAAACCACTTCGCATCTTCCAACTCGGGATCATGCTCCAGATTAATCTTCTCATGAGCCGGCTCACTAACCTGCGCAATCGCACCAATCATCAAATTCGCCGGATACGGCCAAGGCTGCGAAGAATGAATAACGACTCGAGAAAGCGTCACGCCAGCTTCCTCCCACACCTCACGCCGAACAGCGTCCTCGATCGACTCTGCCGGCTCAATGAAGCCCGCTAGCGTGGAGTACCATTTTGGCGGGAATCGCTTCGACCGGCCGAGGAGTATTCGCTTGCCGTCGTGAGAGACTACGGCTACGATGATCGTTGGGTCGGTGCGTGGGAAGGAGAGGTTGGAGATTGTTGTGCGTGTGCTGCAGGGTGGTCGCTCTGTTGGGAGTCCTTCTGCGGACCTTGCTGCGTCACTGGGTGGACAGGCGCGCTTTGTTCCGGCGTTCACGGATAATGTGGGATTGCCGCAGGTGCCGCAAAAGGTATTTCTGTTGTTCCAGTCCATCAGGGCACGGGCTTGGGCGTAGATGGCAGCTGATATAGAGAAGGGTGTTAGCCTTAGGGTGATCTCTAGGTTCTTGAGCAGTCACCAAAAGCGATTGAGGTGTTGGTGTACTACCAATTGCAATTTACATACCTTCCTCCGGGGTAAAGGTTGAGATAACCCGGGCCTGCAAGAAGGACAAACCCTGTTCTTCCAAGGCACTGATGACATCTTTTGCGGCGGTTTGTTGCGCTTCAGAGCCGCGGGGTGTTACATCTAGTGCGAAGAATGGTGTACCGGTGTAGATCTTCCATGCCATGCCACTGTCCTTGTTACTTTCGTCCAGACCGAGGAAGATTAGATTGGGGTTTGTCTTGCGCGAGTCGAAGTTCTTGATCATCTCTTCCTCGGGGTGATCGAAGAAATCGGGGGCGACGAGTTTGCGCACTTCATTGTATTTGGCAGTGTACAGTTCGGCCGGAGAGCGGGTTAGCGGGGCGAGGTTGTTCAGCAAGACGAATTTGGTGGAAGGGTGCTTCAGGGCCGAGGAGAGGAATGAGTGCTCGGTTCGTAGGAAGGATAGTCGATTGATGGGGGAGCCTGTTATGGATCGGATGATTAGTTATTCTGTTTTCCAGTGCTTTCGGCTTTGCCGGATCAATCATACTGGAGAAATAGTTCACAGTCTCTTTGCCGAAGTGCCGCGACAACATGGAATCGGCGAGCGTGTGGGCCGGAGTAGGTAGTTGGGAGGAAGCGCTCATGCTGGTCAATCAATCTGTACCGTCGACGACTTCGACGAATTTACTATGCAGGAGGAATGCAGGAGGAGTGCAAGAGGGATGCAAGGGAGATAAAGGCGACTTCGGATTGCCGGATCTCCGCTGTTGCCCCCAATGCTTGCGACATCGCGGGGATTAATCAGCTCGGCATTTGTGATTGCCTGTATGTGAATAACCAATCTTTCTTCGGACTTAAGCCGATATAGCTTGTAGAGTGGTAAAATACTGGTTGTGATACGGTATTACAATAACCAGGGCCGGGAAACCCCCACACATGTGACCCAGGACACCGTAGGATTATTCTATCAAAGACCTCGTGGAACTCGACTAGTATACAAAAACTTGGATAATCAGTATAATACCATGTAATTGAACTCAGCCCTGGGTCAGAGCACAAGTTTGGAAGTTTTAGTCGGTTTTCAAGTTCAACTTGAAGTTAAGATCAGTGACCTCAGGCTCGGGACTGCAGCCGGACCAGATATATAGTATGCCTGGCTACTACCATTTATCCCCACCATTCAAGTTCAACTTGAAGGTTCACTCCTGGGTTGCTACTAGTGGCACCTTTAAGGTTACTATGCAGTAGCAGAACCAAACAAGTTTCAAATTAAAAATTGAATAAAGACAGGAATATACTACTATCTCCTACCTGAGGTACTACCCCGCTAGTACTAGTCCCTCATTTATTGCCCAGGTGTGTTTGATGTCCATCTTCCACAGCAGCACCACCCAACACCGCAATACCCTCACCTAGCAAGTTTTCAATAACAAAAAACTTGAAGAGGAGCCGATAAAAACCCTTTTCCTCCTTCTACCCAATCCAAAATAAAAAGCAAAAAGAGAGGTCGTGCCCGGAATCGAACCGGGATCGGCGGAATCAGAATCCGCAGTGATAACCAATTACACTACACAACCAATTGTTGGAGAAGGGCTAAGATTTTTGGCTTCATGACTCTAGGCCCATTAATATTGCCCAGATTTGGTTTCTTTTGGCACAGAGGACGGAGGTTCACGTGGAAATCCCACTATCCTTAGTTGACCATCTAGATGACTGGAAATCTCCTTGTGTATGCAGTTGCGAGTGATGAAGAACACTACAAATCTCGATATCTCTTCCAAATAGTCAGTCAACATAAGGTAATTTTTGTTAAATGAGCTCGCGGAGTGGTTCCGTCGTAAAGAAGCCGTGTTATCCTATTTTGGGACCGCGCACGGGTAAGCACGTTGATTAGTTCCCTTTATCTAAGGTATCTACGTTTGTCTTAGGGCACCAATATTCAGAGTTTGAATAATATAGCTTCTGAAACTGGAGTTCTGCGAGCAGAGCTAACCTCGTTCCTGAAAGTCTTCTAATTGGAAACTAAGGTGTCAGAGCAAGCCGATACAGTATGGCATTGTATGCAAGAATTTGGGTCTCTGGAGTAGTTAAATTTTCAAGGAGAAGAGTGGATTTGTTGAAATAGAGATCCATGGATTGAATCACGAATCGAAGAAGAGAAAATAATACATGAGGTGATATGTAAAGACAGTGTGTGAGTAGTTGGAAGGATCGTACTTGTAGTTTCGAGACTTTTGCAGGCTCAAGACTCAAGAGCTTTGCAATATGTCTCGCTTAGTGATCACGAGTCTCGCAAGGGTTGACATTTGTTAATCGAATGTTCGCTCTATTTGGCATTCCCGCCAATCCGAGAGATAACGTGCGCAAAAGCCGAGCTTTGTACCGTTTCAGTGAGTCCGTAAGAGAGATGGCCAACGGGCAGCCGACAGAAGAACTCTGATTGGATGGCAAGTGCAGTTACAAATGAAAGTGGTTGAATTGCAATAGATACAACAAGTATATGCATAAAAGATAGAGGTCATGACAGAAGAGCCCAAACGGCAACGCCAAATAATACAAAAAGAAACAAAAAGGAGAAAAAGTTCGCTGATGAGCTGCTAAAATTCGTGGTTCAAATCATCTGCCAGGTCGGCTCAATTTAGATGTTTTCGTGCATCATAAAACTATAAGGGAAACGAAGACGAAGACTTCTTAGTCCTTCCAGAACCAGCCACCCTTTGACTGATTTCCTGGCCCACCAGAACCCTCATCATTCGAGCGTGGATGAGTAACCTCAACCGATTCGTCTGTTTCTTCACGGCCATCGGCAAAGCGCTTGGTCTTCACAATTTTAGTTTCAACAGAGCCATCGGCCAAGCGTGTTCGTTCGGTCCGAGACATGGTCGATATAACGCGAGAAGGTGTGGTTTCTTGCGAAATATCCGCCTGCTTCGTCTCAGTCAAGTTGGGCGGAGTTTCGGGGACGGATTTTCGATTTCCGCCAGATACAAGATCCAGCCAGCTTTCGGTATCCTCAGTGCCCTGGTCATCATCGTATTGTTGTCGGCGAGACTGTTCCTGCTCTCGACGGCGCTCTTCGAGGAGGAAGCGAACAAGGGGACTTCCAACTTCTCCCCGCAGGACTTGTTGCTCTCGTTCCTCGATGTCGTGTAGGAAACGTTCGTACATATCCAATTCCGTGTCAGCATCTTGATTTTCCGACTCGAGCTGCTTTCTGTTTTCGATCTCGGCGTCGGTCTCGGGGCGCGGTTCAGGCAAGGCACGGTTGTCATCACTGTGGCTCGTACCCGTGAAAGTGATACCAGACCAAGGAGAGATATCCGAGCCCCCGGATGAGTATTTCCAACGATCGCCCAGACTCCCGCGTTTCACGAGGCCATGCAGCCATTCTGTTCCATTTTCGGTCTTGCCGGCTTGCAGCGTATCATTGTCGAGCATCGGCTTGCCGTTTTCTAAGCGGAGCAGATCCTCGAATGCCTCACGCCATTGCGGCTCATTTGGATCGCGGTCCGATTCTGGTTGGAAAGAAGACATTATAGAGGAGAAGACGCCCTGGTCCCGTTGTGCGCGATAATGAGCTTGATGTTCGAGGTGGAGAGGCGAGTAGGGGCTAAACGCGATGTATGTGAGGGGCCAGGTCGGGGAGCTGCTTTCTTCAAACATATCGGGAAAGAAGTATCGATTGCTGGGGTGGAGAAATGATGGTGAGAAGGGGAAGAATCGATCCTCGAACCGGTCGACAACGGACTCGATGCCGAAGAAGTCGGAGTGCGCGTTGCGGGTATTGTGGTTTCTTTCTTGATGGGTATTCCGGGGATGTTGATTGTTGGGATTCCCAGGTTGCGATGGCCCGGATGTGTTGCCTCCGTTGTTATTGTCCTGGCCACTTGAGGAAGATCCTTCTGCGCCTTGGTCACGCGCGTAATTGCGATGTCCAGGATTGTCGCCACCAGAGCGTTCCCGGTATTTTCTTTCCTCGTAGCCGTTGTCCTCGTTAAATATAGTCCATCTGTCTGATTGAGGGCGCGATATGTTCGATGGGAGTCCAGTGACGGACTGGAGTAGTGAAGAGACCTGTTCATCAGCGAAGCGCCGGAAGACGACGAATGGGTTGCTCTCGCCGTCCCAGTCTTGATCACGAGGCATGTTTGTATTTTTATCTCGATTGTCGGTATTATTGTCTTTGGAGTTGTCTTGTTTCTCTGGGTCGCGATCGTTCGGCATAATGATGATGAAATGGAAGGGGAGAAAGTAAGAAAGTTCAAGTTGGGTCGATGAGAAGCTGTTGGGGGGGGCCCCACTCACGTGGCGAGGTGAGCCCCACTGCCATCTGCTTTTCCTATTCTTTTTCGCTGCTTTTTCGTCCTGCAGTTGAGAATATCTTATGATATTCTTGTCATTTACTTGCTTCAATGCTACTTTGTATCCTCAGGCCTCTTCCTTTTATTGATTTATCATCAACCAGTTCCCTTTTTTATGTACCCTTTGTTTGGTTGAGATCACCTGCGTCATAGTTCGACCCACTGCAGCTTTTAGGGCGGAATCCCATACTTCCAAGCGGGCCCGATCCAACAGTTGCGGGCCTCGCCGGCCGAGCCAAGATATTGAATGGTCGGCGAATATCTCTGAATTGACAATTTGAATCTACAGACAAAAGTGATTTATAGTTTGAATATTGCTTCAGGTCACCCGCTTACAACCAATTAATCAATCGATTGGTTACACTCAAATGATGTAATGGCATTCTGAGGTATTCAGTACACAAGATGAATTAAATAATTACAACCCCGAAATAAGTAATGTTCAATTTACCAAAAGGCAAACTTTGCTTCTCACAGACGAGATCTTCCAGCCAGATTCGTCCACGCCTCATCGAACCCAGTTGACCGGATCCACATCGCCCCCTGATCAAGTCCATCAACAGTGGAGTCAACAGCTGCAACAAGCAAAGTTAGAAACAGTGGACATGACATTTCACACGGAAAGATTGAACTCACCCATATTACCGATTCTCAGCCACATATCTCCGGAGACGGGCATCTCCGAGTCTTTATCCGCTACCCGACAAACCTCCTCCCCATGCGCCAGCGCTCTGACAAGTTTGACCAAATGCCCATCATCACCGGGATGCTTGACACAGCGCGAAAATAAAGTCGGCCAATCATTCGTTATGGGGTACTCTGTGACCTCGTTTAGGCGTAGCTCAGGCGAGCCGCGTGAAACGTACATCACGAGATCCATACGACCCTTCCATTCCAATAGACGGAGCTTGGCCTGTGTGTCTAGGAAAGGGAGCTGGGCAATTTTGGAGAAAAATATCGACGAGTTGACGCAGTGGATGAAGAAAAAGTCTATCTTGACTTTCTTGTCGGGTCTCTGCGCGGCACTTGTGTAGTACACTATGTAGTCACATAGGTTAGTTATCTTGTCAGTCGCGGCTTCAAAGCTGCAAAATTGCACATGCAAAAAGGCAACAGCCAAAATACTCGAAACAAAGCAAAGCAAAACTCACCAACGGTATTAATCATATCAGCGATCCGCTCCTGAATCTGATCCTCAGAAACGGTATACTGAGCCGCATATTTCAACATCTCATCGCCAGCCCGACTCAACGGCCCCTCACGAATCTTATTCCCATCAGTCCATTTAGTACTATGCGCCAATTTCTCGTCGGCCCGAATCTCGTTCAAAAGCTGTAATAGAGACTTTTCACCCCGCTTCCCGATCCCACCTGCTAGTTTCTCCGCTGGCAGGAAGTACTCACGTCCTATCCAGTCATCGTGAACGGCAGCTTGCGCAAGCGCCTGGGCCACAATGGCTGGCTGGTTAAATTCCAGTCCGAACCCGAGATGGATTAGAGGGTGAATGAGGCCTGCTCGATTCTTGGTGAGTTTTATGTCTGCAAAAGTGGGGGTTGGACTCTGATGTCTATACGCCCCCCCCCCCCCCCCCCACCGACTAGATTGCATCAAATGAACTCACCTCCAAATAATCTCGACAGCATACTCTCCGCTCGCTGGTCACCAGCAAAAACGTATTCCTTCAGCACAGCATCCACACCCTTCGCATCAATCTCCTCCTGGAAGAAGATCAAGTAATTAGGATAGTTCTCCTCCTTATGAAATCCCTCCTGGAATTTGATCGGGTCATGAAACCCCTCGACAACATCTCTGTCAATAGGCTGAGCCGGTCTCTGATAATTTCTATTCCGAACATAATTCTTTCGAATATCATCCGGTGATGCTCCGAGAGAAAAAATGCTCAGAACCCCGTGTACTATGTGGTCTTTATTTCACCATTAGACGCGTTAGCCCAGTCAAAAAGACAAGACGAAGGGAACTTGAATTCACGCACTATGAAATCCTTCATCGTTAAAGAAGACATGGTGATTTTCCATATCCTCTTGCAAGACTTCGCTCGCCGCGCGCGCCGCTTCTTCCGTGGCCCCGGCCGTGAAGACCCCCCGAGTCCGTAGCGGGCGATAAATGGATCTCCGTCGCTGTCGCCATATTTGAAAAGTAGCCGCGATGGTTCCAAGAGTTGTATGAAACGGGCCGAAATCGAGGAGTCGAATAGCCGGCTAGAGGCGGCAAAGATGGTGGGATCGAGAAACTTGGAATAGTACTAGTAGCCTGGTAGCTAGAACACCTTCGGAGTAATATTGAGAGAGAAGTTCGTGAACAGATCATTCCTCCATGTCTGATTTTCAGGTCCCCAGAATGGGACTTCGGGAGGAGGGACAAGGGGGGGACTTTATAGCGAAATGATCGCAGCATGACACATTACTAAGTCGGCGGGTAAAACGCGAAAAGCCCGTTCTGGAGCCCATGGAAAGACTCTGGGGAAAGCTCTTCAGACCTCAACCCCCCATTCTCGTAGACCTATCAGCATGCGGGGATTAGTGGGAATATACTGGACCCTTTCGGACCTCGCACGCTTCGGGGGGAGGCGTCGGTGTTTGGGCGCTCCGACATGACGAACCACACGTCATAGGAACAACAAGCTAGACCGGGCTTGCTGACTGATGGGGTTGCAGAGCTCGTATTCAAAAGAACTTATTAGCAAACTTCTTGAACTGTTTCTGGGCTAGGTTAGGCTTGATTGGAAATAGCTATATTAACTCGAATATTAGGAATATTGAATTTGGGTATATTTTCATTCTGGGGAACTAAAAAGGACAAAGCTTGCATGATCCACGTAGCAGAATGGCAAAATAAGCAACGCTCGGCCCAGCCCAGCCCTCTCTTCCCCGGTCTGTACTACTATTAACAATTTGAGTCAAAATCTAGACAAATTATCTCAGCAATCAAGCTCTAGAATGCATGCGAGGCAGCCTTCATCTTTTTTGCACCCGCATCTCTAACTATCTTATGCCTCCTCTCGTGCTTTCCGCGCCCGCTCGCGGTCTCGTTGCATCTTCTTGAACAATGGATGATGAGTACCCTTGTCCTTGAGTTGCTTATTTCTGCTCTTGTTGTATTCAATATATGCCATATCATCACCGCCGGCCAGACCACTAAGGGTAGCTGCGCTGCGCTTGGCCGTTGACTTCTTGCCCGGGCGACCCTTAGCAGAGCGCATTGAGAATAAGTCATCCGTGACCTGTTCCACGTCTGCTGATGATTCGTTCTGCAGCATGACTTCCTGGAGCAATTCTCGACGCTCGGCGGGAGTGGCATACGATAAACCTTCGTAGTTGTCAATGCCCTGTAGATGGGTGATGACTTTGAATGCGTAACCCTGGTCAATCAGGAATGCCTGTCGCTTGGCCGAGTAAACCATCTCATGAGTATCTTTGGACACAAGTGAGTAGAAGAAGGCATTGAAGCCCTCGTCATTACGACGCTTGGCCCGGAGAATACGACCCAGACGCTGTGCCTCCTGACGGCGAGAACCGTAGTGGGAGGAGATCTGGATCAAGCAGGTAGCCTCTGGCAAATCGAGCGAGGTGTCTCCAATCTTTGATAAGAAAATGGTATTCACCTGCTCGTTGTGCTGGAAGTTCTCCAGAATGCGCATTCGCTCGTTCTGCGGGGTTCCACCGTAAATGTATGCCTTGTTCAACTTCAGTGCATATCGCTCCAAGGCATAGACGTTATCGGAGAACACGATAATCTTGTCGCCTCGCTTCTCGTGGAAGTCGATCAAGAATTGACACGCTTGGAATTTGCGAGGGTTCATGATGTAGAGCAAAGCCTGCTTCCTAGAACTCTCGCGTAGGTATTCGGAGTAAAACTCCGTTGTCATTGGGCACCACACCTCGGCACACTGGACCTTTGCAATGTGACCCTGTGCGGCCAGTTCCATCCAGTTCGCTTCGTAAAGCTTTGGACCGATAAGGAAATTCAGATCCTTAATCTTGTCATCCTCACGCAGAAGAGTGGCTGTGAGACCAAGCTTGCTCTGAGCAGCGATCGCAGATGTGACCTTTCGGAACATGGAGGCCGGCACAACGTGCACCTCGTCAAGAATCATCATACCCCATTCCCGAGACTGAAGCCAGTCCATCATCTTCTGGGCATCGTAGGAACGCGCTCGCGTTTGCGACACCATGGAGTAGGTGGAAACGATGATACCGGTTGACCGCTTGAATTTCTCTTTGTGGTCCGAAGTGAAAATGGCAATGTCACTTGGGTCGATCGTTGTCCAGCGTAAGAACTCATTTCGCCACTGAACGACCGACATGGAACTAGTGCAGAGCACGATCGTGCCTTTTTTGATTGTCGCTGCCGCTGTAATGCCGACTAGGGTCTTGCCGGCACCACAAGGAAGAACAATGATACCACTCTTTGCTCGTCCATTACCAAACATCTTACTCAGACTCTTCTCCTGGTATGAACGAATCCGAGCAGCGGGCTTCAGGTCCATATCAAGATTGGGGTTGACCGTGTCTCCTTGGAAATCGTATTCTTCCAAGGCGGGACATCCAATTGCTTGACAACGAGCCTTGACCACTTCGACACCAGTTGCAGGAATCTCAAAGCTGTATGTGGTGGCTTCTTCATTGTCATCCTCACCAACGTCATCAATTCCATAGTCCATTGCAACCTCTGCGTTCTCCTCCCTAGGGGCAGCAGGGGCTTCTTGTTGAGTGCCAGTTTCTCTCACACCAGCTGCATCCTTTGTTCCGGGAATGACAAGGCCTCCCATTTTCGGGGCAGCTCGCTCGATAATTCCTTCTGTGCTTTCAATTCGCTGGGGCCCAATCACTTCATCCTTGAGCAACCGCTGCAGCATTTCCGGATCCGTTGTTTCCACGTAGTAATGATTGTGTCGGAGAACCATCTTAATCTTCCCGTACGATTTGGTGAATTCGATAATGAAAGTCCGGATAGTTTCCGGCAACGGCGTTTTCGAGAGACGGTCCAAGAAGGCAACAATATCCTGCGGTTTCAAACCAACGGAAACCGCCGCATACAAACTATGACCCGTCAAGCGGTATTCGTGCAGGTGGGTCGGACGCGATAAGGGCTCCGCGATGGTTGTGAGGAAATCCTGGGCCTGGGGTGCCAGCGGGGAGAAACTTTCGAGAGTGATCGTGCCTTTTACCGGCTCGATCCATAACGGGCGGTTGTAGTGGTCGCGTTTGAGAGGGAGGGCAGACAGGTCCTTGTAGCCAAATCTAGGATCGGTCCTGTTGTTGACTTGAGATCGCTTGCTGAATGACTCCAAGGAAAACTTGCTGACGACCTCTTTATCATCCATTTAGCATTCCGGGTTCACTCGGCGTGGGCGGATTGCCACACTGTACCTTTCAAGTTATCCTTCCCCTCTGGCACGTCTTCCGGATCCGAGTATTCATCGCTGCTGGATATTTCCGTAAGGTCTGGAACTGGCGTGGGGCGTTTCGAGGTACTGCTAGACCGACCACCTATTTCAAGTAAGTTATTGATCGTTTGCCGTGGGTGTTGGAGAAACCTACTGTCAGTCGCCTTGCGCTTGGGAGGCATCGCGCGAGGTGTTTTGTGGAGTCGAAGGGCCGGGTTTGAGTTCCAGGATAAGGATATTGGTGGGAAATGCTATAGGATGAGACAGGAGCTGCCTCTTAGCAAAAGGTTCAAGCCTGCATGCCACGAGAGTGCTGGGTCGCAGAAGACAGGCGGCGTCCGCCGACTGAAGATGCGACCAAACAGGGACTTCGTTGATGGGACTAATAACGGGTTTGATGAGATTTAGAAGGAGCTAGAGATCAGAGAGATGGTGGTAGAGAATGAGGGTATCGGTGGTGGGATGTGAAAGAAGTGCAAACCAAAAGGTGATGATGACCAGTCTTCAATCTTGACGGTTGATAAGCCGCCTTAGGCAGAAACTGCCGATTAGAGCCGCCTGGAGACATCCCTAGGGTATCATAGGGTAGACTTACTGAACCAATCGTGACAAACGCCGTTGGATAACATAACTGATCGAAACTATTTTGATATAATTTTGTTTCCTTTCTAAAGATATACACCTTCAAGTAAGCAAATTAGTCTAGACTTTTGCTATAAACTGTTGTTATTGCCCAAATCTTCATAGACGGTGATCTCCACACCGCCTTGCGCAGCCGAGTTTCGGCCGCGGAGCCTGGACTGACGTAGAAGAACAGCACCTTCATTCTCCTCCCTGTCCAACTCGACCACTTTGCAACAATGAATACAGTATGTCTGACATCCCTCGGAAGAAAACAGTCAAAGCTAATCGCAATGCATCTTTAGATCCGTTCTACTTGGTGAGAACCCCACCGCCCAGCCATGAATTGAAGCTGTCGGAACCCCGATTGGACATTGGCATACTGATAGAAGATGTTTCTGGAACAGGCTTGGCTGGGGCACCCTTTGTGTCGGTAAGTACTTGAAGAAGCTCGCCTGGGATTCAAAGATCCCGCCAATTCTAACCTTCCCCCTTCTCAGCTGGCGGCGGTGCCTACTACTTCGCCAAACAGTCCGTCAATGCCGATCGGCAAGCTCGGTTTGAAGCCGATATGAAGCGCAAGGCGCAACTGAAAGCGATGGAAAACGATCACAAGCGGCAGGCCGCCATGACTGCACCCGCACCGGATCCGACCGACGACGCCAGCTTGAAACGAGCCAATATGACACGATTCCAAAACGCGGCGGACGATGTCGCCTCGCCGAGTGCCGAAGCTTCGCACGACCCGGCACCGACCCGCCATGAACCTATGACGGAGAACGATCGAGTGCTGGAAAAGGGAAAATATGAGGCGGCCCAGCCGTACCGTCCTCCTAGCGGGAACCGGTTCAGTTGAGGATATGGCTTTGGCTCTCCTTGTACATTCTTGGTTGTGTAAATTATTTACCCTGTGGGCACATTAGAGATGATTTCTATTTCATTGGATGGCCCGAGATGGCCCGTATTTTCTGTCATATGGAGCTTTGTCCTGAGACGAGGGTACTGCCGTGTCGAACAATCTCGATCTATGTATGGCTTATGATCCCTCTTTATACTATGCCCCTGTCTGTCATTTACTCGTGCTTCAGATGTCGCCAGTTGGATGGATATGCGTCTGGATTGAGAGGACTGTGTAGCTAGACACTATATCTAACTCCCGACAAGCGTTGCCCGGATCTGCTATCTGACAACGACGCCATAACTCATCTCATCACTGGTGATTAAAGATGATACCCAGTGGACACGACATGTCTCGCCCAGGAGAGAAAGACAAAAGTAGTAAAAAATAAGACACAGAATAAAAGAACGCCGTTCCCAAACACCCGTGACCTCATGCATCATATCAAAAGTCCCATGCTGGCGCCCGCACCGAACAGCGGAACCCGTATCGACGGAAATAAAAGCAAAAAAAGAACATCGTGGCTGCACTCGATGGCGATCGGTCTAGCGTGCATGGAAGCAGAGCGGGGGGTGGGGCCTATCGAGCCGTCAGTCAGTATTGTTACTCCGCGTGTGCATGCATCGTGTGGCATGCAGGACTCTACTGGTGGATCCTTAACTCACTTATTGCCTTCAGGGAACCCAGAGCTTTTCTGACGCGAGCTTTCCAGAGCTGGTGGAATAAAAGGCAGCGCCACAGCGGCGGCCAGACATGAAGTAGTCACGGCGCGAGCTGCGCGGCTATCGGGACGTGGACGGTGGGCAGAAAAGTGCCGGATAGTAGGGCGAGCGAGTTGTACGGCGACGACAGCGGCCATTGTGGGCGGGAAGAAAATGGTTGAGGGGGAAAAAAAGAGGGCGTGGAGTGGTTGTGTTGTGTTATTGTTGGGTGGGTGGCGTGATGTCCAGTATTTATACAAGTTACTAGCAGTAGTTATGTAGTATGTAGCCGGGAGGAACCTCAGTTGGATCACGCGAGTACCAGTAACTTGAATGTAATAGGGCTTGCAAGGTTTTGGGGAGGAACGACAGGGGGCCAAGGCTTTTTATAGATTGCGCGATCTCGTAGAAGCATTCCATCACACACAGAGAGAGACAGTCAGGCCATGCGAGTGCGCAAGTGACCCGTGTGTGGGGGGGAGCTGCGGGGACTGCAGCTGCAAATGGGCTGATTCTCCTCTAGGGGACCCAGCTGGAAGCCTTCATCCGGGGTGATCAGACAGATCTGCGACAACTGCGTCGGGTGGTCGGCAGGCAATGCGCGCAAATCGCGGCGAACTCACGCCATCGCGGGGTCCCAAATAGAAATCACATTAAAGACGCAGTGGGCAGTGGGCAGTGGGGCCGGAATTTGCCCCTCCCCAGGGCTAATAGCACAAGGCAGAAGAGACAAAAGAGGGGCGTCAGGCGTCACCGCGTGGAGGGAGGATCGTCAAGGCAGAAAGGAGCTCCCCCTTCTATTCAAATTGTAGACTGAGGGCGGAGCACGAATAGCCGGTCTGCTTTACCGGTGGGTAAATCTTATCATCTGGGTCCAGCAACAGGAGATCGTCGGATAGACGCCAGGCAGATTTGCCGGGGTGGGGGAGGGGGAGGGGGAGGCAGATGGAGAGGCAAAGTAATATGGATGGATGTAACATGATTTCTCAAATATGAACTCCCTTGACCTTGGAACCGTCTGACCATTTACAGGGCGCATGACTGAATTATATCGACCAGAACTAGTTACTAGCTACTACTATACGAAGGACCCTTCAACTGGAAAACCACGCATAGTTCGGGTTCCATTTTCCCTTTACTCGATATTCTGGTGGTACCTCAACTTCAAAGGCTAGAGTACATTGTCTTTCACATTGCTCAGTGTTTACTACTTGGTACTAGTTCTCTAGTAGTTCAAGTTAGTTCATATTGACTATGGTAGCTAACTATGCGGGGAATGTGTACTAACTGGATGGATATATGCCATATTTGAGAGATATCATGGACTTAAGTCCACTCCGCAATAAACTGGTGAGCCTGCTTGATTTAAATAGATACACAGGAATAATTCCGAAACTCCGTTTTTTATACTTACTAAAAAAAAAAAAGGCCAATCGTAGATGTGGACTCGATAGTAGGTCATTATATCTGGGCCCACGTGACCACCTGGGAGGAGCTCCGCCCGACGAAGGTCACGTGTGATAACTGTATTGTCGCTGGTCCAGCGCAGGGCAATTCGAGCTCTATCTCCCCCAAGCTTGGAGCTCAATTCGCCTTGACGTACCCTTCTGGCGATGGCGTCCCATCAACTCGCCATTGCAAAGGCATCCTTCTCAGCTGGCCTTTTGCGGCCCGATCCCACCAGTGTGCCGCGTGACGACATCGCCGCCTTTCACTCTGCCCTCGACCGGGCGCTGTCGCGTTGCTCCTCAGCAAACATCCAGGTCTGATCCGTTGCAACTTCTTGCTATCCCTCCGTTACTAAACCCATCCGACAAATTCAGACCTGCAAAGAATGGCTCCTCCAATATGTAGCCTCGTCGGCCAACCGGCTGGCAGGCCTGGCTAAATATCTGGTGACACTGGCCGGCTCCTTCGCTGAAGACCCAACAGGCGCTCGGCCAAAACCCTCGCCGAAGCGCCGGAGACTCCACATTCTATACCTCCTCAACGATCTGTTCCACCACAGCAAGTATCACCTGGATACCACGGCTATCTTCTCCACGGTGAGCGGGTCCCTGCAGCCATATGTCGTGGACCTGCTTGGGCACGCGGCAGCCTATGATCGACAGAAATATCCCCGACACCATCGGCGGCTAGATGATCTACTAGATATCTGGTCCGAGCACGGATACTTCAGTCCCGACCTGATCCACAAGTTACGAGAGGTGGTGAAGAACTCGGCCTTGACAGGTGCCGCCCCACCCTCATCGACTGATGTCTTGGCTGGCGAGGGAGATACCACGAAGAAGTTGCCCGGGAAAGACACACCTTTTGTCATGCCATCGACACATGGTGACCCCTCGACTCCATACTATGACCTTCCGGCAGGTAACATGATCCCGCATATCATTCCTAATTCGACCATTCCCCTGCGCGCCGAGAGCATCAAACCACTACAATTCATGGCTGGCCCTGCCGACGAAACACTCGTTCAGGCCCTCAAAGGCTTTTTGAAGGATGTCGATCAGATTTATGGCATAGAGGAGCTTGTGAAAGACAACGGAAACACGGATGTAGATGAAATGGGTCAAAGGGTCGTTCGAGACGAGATAACGGGTGATATCCTCGACGGTGAAACCTACTATGGCTGGTCTCGTGCGTTTTGCCAGCAGATGAAGAAAAGGCCAGATGACTCCCGTAGCCGCAGTCGAAGCCGCAGTGGGACTCGGCATGATTCCAAGCGACGACGTTACAGTGACAGCTCTATGAGTGATGACAGCCGACGGTCTCGGAGTCGGTCTCGGACTCGTGCAGATAGGCGTGAGCCTAATCGCTATGGGTCTAAGTCTCGATCTCCAAGCCCATACTCGCCAAGAGGACCATCACCGCCCCGATTCCCGCCCCCTCATCAACCCTCTCACCCTCTTCCTCCTCATCCTCCACCACAACATGCCAATCACCCTCCCCATCCGTCACATCAAAACCACCCTTACAATGCACAATATGGTCATTACAATGCCAACTTCCCTCCTCCACCTCCACCTTCCTACCCTGGCGCCTGGCCACCTGCCCCACCCCCACACATGCCGGGAATGCCCTTCCCCCCCACCGGGGCCGGGTATCAATCATAACCCTCCAGCATTCCCTCCTGCTTTCTCTGGCTACCCTCCCCATATGCCTGTACCGCCTGAACAACCTCTTCCTCGCGGGCAGTATCACTTCCCTCCTCCACACTCTGGTGGTCAGCATGGAGGGTCCTGGGGTCCTCCAGGTGGACAAAACTGGCGATGAGAACTCTATGTACCACTACATTTATGATATGATATCCAAAATGCCAAAAATATTGCAAAAATTACCTCATGCTTACTACTAGTAGTGCTACTAACAAATTACTCAATTGCCTCATTTACATACGGCGCTCTAACTTGGTAACACCGAGGAGCCATTCAATACCACGCATGCATGCTTGTCTAGCTCTGAACTTAAAGCCATGGGGTTTCAAGATTATTCTCTCTGTAGCCACACCTGGTGACTTTGCATATATCTACTAATAGTCCTGGACCACATGTATAGCAAGATCGAAACCAACCAGACCGGAACCCTGCCCCGAACCCCCACGGAAGTTTTGTCCTTGTGAGATATACTCCCTTATACCCTAAACCTGGGTACCTTTATCCAATAAGCTAAAAACAAATCAGATTACAAAGATTTCCGTAATTGGCAGGAGCGGCTGTTATGGCTGCTCTCCCAGGGAAGGCGCGGAAAATAGCCGCCCACCGCGCGCCTCATGAGTTCATTCTTTCCTTTAGTTCTCTTGATCTTCTTCCTCCTCGCCATCTCCAGATCCATCTATCTCTCATCTCTCACCTTTCATCAGTTTACTGTTGCGATAGTCAGATCAAGCATTTGTATCTCTTTCGGCTGTACCAACTCACAGGCCCGCCCTGTGATGGGCTTCATCTTGTCCGCACCAGATCCGTGAGTAAAGGATGAATCTTGTTGTGACCACCCTCTGAGTTGACCTGCAGCGATCCAGCAATGCCTCCCGTGCTGTCAAAGATGGACTCACCCACCTCGTTTGGGCTGAGTCCCGTGCAAAAGACCGAGATGATGACCTGCATACATACGGCCATCGAAGACCTGCGAATGGAAGTGATGCCATCAAAGGCCAACCAAAAGAAGAATCCGAGATTGATCCCGCAAATCAATATTACCCCTCCCTCTACTACTGCTACTGCTACTCCTCCTGTTACATCGACCGCCCCAATTTTCGACGCTGGGAAGGCTAGCAATTGGGTAAATTCTGAGATCGGATATTTCTTTCCCGACCCAACTCGTGACGAGCATGTACGGATGGTGGAGGGCGCCCTTTTCTTTAGCAATGCCCTTGCTTTTGTCAACCATCTCCGGGCCCTGTCTGCCTTCAAGAACGAAAACACTATCCGTCTGAACATCTACTCTTGCCTGCGAGGCGAGGCACTGGAATGGTTCATCTCCGAGCTTTCGCAGTCCGAGAGAGAGAAGCTCCGAAGCTCGTCTCTGGAGGAAGGATGGATTGAAACTCTAATGAAGCGATTCAAGACTCCCCCATCTCACGCCCTGAAGACTCTGAAGAGGTCCAAGTACAACTGGGGAGATGTTCGATGCCAGCGCTCTCTGGTCATGTGGGCTCACAATATGTTGCGTTTGGCCCAGGAATCGAACGAATACCCAGTAGCCTGGCAACAGATACACGCAGTATGGGACCAGATTGAGATCCCGATCCGAGGAAATGTCAACGAGCCATCGTCAGGGACTACTGTTGCGAGCTTCATGGAAGAATTAGACGGATGGTACAATCTGTGGCGCTAGGCAGCACCCAGTCTTGTCGCCATCAACACAGATACTTTTGATGACGATTTAGAAAACGGTTACCCGGGAAATGTATTTCATCGTTGGAGTCTGGAAAATTCTCATAAGAATCAGTGCAGCCAATTTTCTCCCTTCTCAATCCTGCCCCCCCCCCCCATTTCTTTCGTGTCTTCATCATTCAGTGACACCACAACCCCCCCCATTATCCGAACCGGTGGTTTCTCCGAGGCCAAATAGAGCTACATATCATTGCCCGCCAGCTTTTTGCTCATTGATATGCACTTCTTGGAAGACAGCCATGGTCGGCAGTTCACGGACGTGGTGGTTGTTTTACTTTCCTTGTTCTTTCATCCCCACTTCTGATTCACAGTTACAATACTCTACTCAGTCATCCATACTCTAGCTTTCAAAGGTACATCGGAAGAATAAATTATCAAACTTCTACATCTATCCTGCATTATTCATTCACGTCTCTGGATTCATGCCTTCAGTACTAGTACTCCTTATGTGCAAACATCCATCATTTCATTACTCTGATTGAGAGAGTAATGGTATCCATTATTTTATTCGCTTGTTCTCGAATCATCCATCAGTTCTTGCAAAAGCCACTCATCACTGCTGACCATACTGGACAACTTGAACTGAAACAAATTGCCCGCCCAAGACACTGATCGAGGGAATCAACAGGTCTAACACTACCTTCCTTTAATCTACCCATATATCCAGCCCATCTAATGAAGCCCATACAACGGATAACCCACCGACATACAAAACTTGGAAACCATTGAGGTACCGGCATAATTGAGTCGGATGACTTGGAAAGCTTTCTCGCTGCTTGGGAGTCGATGGGGCCAAAGTCTCAATGAGCAGCGAAAGCGACAGTGCGAAAGGTTGCTCCGTAGTACAATGGTAGAAGAACCTTGGTGATTCTGTGTTAGTGAGTAATGGCTTTGAATTGAGGCACATGGTAGATATAAAATCCGGCAGGTGAATAGATCCACGGGGCTCGAAACTTGCTAGTTAGTAGTTAGTACTTGAGGAGCTTCACACTAATACTTCTCGACAAGACCTTGATTTAGAGCCTGAAAATTCGGATATCTCGGAAAATACTTGCAATACCGTGATAAATGACATTTTTGAGTTCGTAGAAGAGAAAATATTCTATGAAGGCCAAAGGTAGGTGTCCTTAAACTACATACGCAGACGCAGCCGTCGAAATCCGTATCGAGATCTAAGGGGAACTAAAAGTTGGGCCGAGGAGCCTAACAGAAGAGAATTGTTGCTTGAAGTGATAGTAATGTTACCGTCATGGATATTAGACAGAAAAAGAAAAAATACAACGATATCTAAGGCAATATACCAATGTCGTGACAAGTGAAGAAAAAATTGAAACCCAGAGATGCATCCATCTTTCCCCCGCAATTCATCCTCAACATAAGATTTCCAAATTTGATCTGATAGGTCCATGGCCGCCAGTGCGGCAGATCTTACTCATCTATGAGAAAACGTCATTGATCACGTCGACCGTGTCCTCCTCCCCAAATCCGAAGGAGCGGTAGTATTCTTCCTTTGCTTTCTCGAATGATTTGCACGAGTTGACGGCTCCCTTTCAGGTAAACACGGTGTGTTAGTTTCGACTCCTCTTCTGCCATTAAAAGTATTCGTTGACATACCGTGTTCTCAGCAGAGCAGCACATGGGGCTGTATTCGGGTTCATTGCACTCTCCCGGCGGCTCGTTTGGTCGCATATCCCGGCCTATTAGGTAAATATGATATGATTAATGATTCATCTCAATCTGGCACTCCCCCTGCATCAAAGTGCTAAGAATGGTGACATACATTGAAATGACACTGCCGAACTTATCTGGATGCCTCCAACAATAGGCACAAGTCCACCTAATGGTTTGAGGATATCGTGCGAGGTCTGCGCCAAGGACTGGCAGCACTGTTTGTACTGATTCTGTGGGCAGGAGTAGGGGCCCACAGGAACCACTGGCGCAGAAGTCGATGCTGAAGGGGATGAATGGGCTGCCGAAGGGGATGAATGGGCTGCCGAAGAAGATGCGATAACAGGCATAGTGGGCGTAGGCATTGGGACTGCAGGAGATTCCTGCAAGACAGGCACGCCGGAGGCGACAGCTAAGCTTGCGAAGATAGAGAAGAAGGCTTCGAGATGCATTTTGAGGTATTGAACTTTCGCTTTTCTTCTTTTATCCTTGTATGCGTCTTCGTGTGCGTTGGCGTTGGCGTGAGGCGAAAGAGTGTGGTTCGAAAGATTCAACTTGGCATCTATAGTTATGTGGCTCTCTATCTGAAAGGCTGCTGGGCAGTCGTTCTATCAATGTAAAAGAGTGAAAAATAGTCGTTATATGGAGGAAAAGAAAGAAAAGACAGGAGCTGGGCGATATTAGGCCGTCATCGGTGTCGACAGTGTTGCTTGGTGTCGACGGGATTGCAGTGTGAAAGAAGAAGGGAAAAGAGCCCTTTGTTGACAAAGGGTGCGTGAGCTGAAGGGAAATTGCGTTGTAGCAAATCCGACAGCTTTCGCCTAAGGCTTCCGGGTCTCGCGTTCCTGCGTCCTTTTCTCCTCCCTTGTCTTGCCACTGGCCCTTGTTTACTTCGTTTGGCCAGCCTAGGATTCCAGGGGTTTCACCTCAGTCGAGAGGGGCAACAGTGCCTGCATTGACCAGCCATAGGACTTTCTGAATCATTCGGAATGCGGAAGACTGGGAAATCGGATTATATTTCCGATCATCTCGTTTGTGCTTGACATACCGCTATGGCCCTTTTCACTTCGGCGAGGTTTGCTGGACACATGTTTCTCATGAGATCCGATTCTCTCAGCCAAACTGGTTCACGTATTCATAGAGCAGCTCTTGTGTTTATTACATGTTGAATTGTTATCTATGTTATCCTATTTCCAAGGTTCTTAATCCATTCCTACGAGGCAAAAGCCTGCGAGATAGGAACACCACGATTCTGGCTATGCAAGGGGTAAGTAAATGCTCGAGGAATGCTCAGCCCTTCACTCAACTGGCCTACGTAATAAAGGGATAAATTCTCTTGATTTACAACACGGGTTCCCTTTTCACCTCGGGCTTTGTTGAGCTTCAAACACCGATTGACTTCCGTGGTAGTTAGGTTGGTAGTTAAGATCTCGGGACCGACATCGAAGACGAAGATTTTAGACAAATTAATTAGATAATTACAACTAGAATATGAGGACCTGTGAAATCGACGCCGAAAATGGCCGCTTTTCTATTTTGCACCCACCCAGCACCCATAATCAACCCTCTGGCAACGAAATTGGCTCCCGTTCGACTGTCCATTCCCTCCTGTTTCCTGAGATAAGTAACGGCTTTCGTACCCAGCAAAAGTGTAGATGGTCACTCAAACTCCGGTTCCTAGAGTGAGCCATGGACCTCAAACTTAGTGACGATCCCTACGATGTAGACCGTCGCCTGATAACATTTTTTCTCAATGAGGAAAAGGGCCTTATTACGTCTAGCCATCACCCTATATCAATCAGGATACTCCACCACAGTTTCTCTCCTTCTCCGAGCACCCGAATAATCAGGTCTATCTTAGAACGCATCATATGTTTCATCTCATCAGACTGTCCTGGGCAATAGTAGAAAGTTTTCAAGGAGGTCTTCCTAAGTCCATTCTGTATCTGATCACTGTATTCAAAACGAGAAAATCCTCTAACCAGCTGTTTGTTTATATGTCACGATGACAAACACGCACGACTGTAGAGTCACAGTTTTTCGTGGAAGGTTCTTCTGTATAATCATCATCATCACTACAGGGCAGACTGAAATCGTCGCACTCCACGGTGTCACTGTCACTGTCATACTTGCAGTCCTTGAAATCTCCACCATCAATGTCAAGATCTGGTGGACTGTCTCCAAAATCGGTATCCGACCCAATAACTTTAAGATCACAAATGTAGGGGTCGTAATATTCACTGCTGTAAACTTCATAACCAGGCGGTCCACCTGAGTCAAGGCCTAAACCAGTGTTTGATATCTGGGAAATGAAAACATAGCTACTCGGGGTAGCAGCAGCGGCTGATGCTGACGCTGATGCTGCCGACGCCGCTGATGCACTCGATGCACTCGCTTTCGAAGCACTAACACTGGATCGCGATGCGGATGCTTCCGATTCCAGGGAGGCAGTGTATGCCGTATATATGGAGGTAATCTGAGTAATAGATTCCATCGAAGTCACACAGGACTTGGCTTTTCCGACATTATTGTCAAGGTAGCGAGAGTCGTCACAGGAGTAGACGATGCCATCTTCGGCTGTCGTAGTAAAGGAACCCTTATTATCTGGCTTCCATGACAGATTCGGGTCTGAAGGAGGTTGAGAGTAGGGACATAATTTCCAGTCCTTCTGACCGGATGTGGAACTGGCAGTCACATATGTACCGCTATAGTCTGAGCAGTCGAAAACACAATACTCCTCGCTGGCCTTTTGATTAACAATATGATTCATTCTGCATTTAGGTCCTGTGGTGGTGGTGGCGGAGCTGTCAGAAGCCCTTGTTGTTTTGGTTGATGATCTTGGAGATGTCATAGGCGCCGTTAGAGTTGAAGCTGTAGAGCCACCAGCGCCAGGTGTCGCGGTATCACCGTCACCAGTGGCTGTGGTTGAGGGCTTAGATGTGTTTCTAGGACGACGAGTACATGCTTTCAACGTGGATGTTGTTTCAAATGTGGTCGGGGTAGCTTCACAGGCAGTTCTTGTTGTGCATGACTCGGTACTGGTAATTACACTAATTGTAGTAGTATCTGAGTGAGGCACTTGACTGACAACTGTGTCCCAGGTACAATCGGAGTATGTAGTACTTGACGTACAAGTAGCTGTCGTTGATTCAGATGTTGAGGAATCAGATTGAGATTCCGATGTATGTCGATCGCTGTCCTTTTCCTTCATATTCTCCACGATATTACCGATTTCATCAAGATACTCAGTGCCTTTCTTGACCTGATCCTCAATTTCAGGGGTTATACCGTCGACATCGTCAGGAATCACATCTTTTATGTCATGAATAATCGGCGCCACACAGCTGAGCGCAGAATTAGCGATATCCTCAGCAGTATCCACGGTAGCATCGACAGCTTCCTTTGCGATATTGGCAACAGCATCAAAAAGACCTCTTTTTGCCAAAGATCTTTTTTTGGAGCTTGAGCAGGGGGTTTTGCTTGTATCGAAATTTGTTTTGGAGAGATATTCAGAAGTCTTATCGTCAATCTCTTTGATGTGGTCTTTATATTTTTTTGAGTCCTTCTTGAGATCATCGATATTGTTATAAGGATTGCTCAGAAGAATGGCAATGGGGGTATCAGAGCTAGTGGTAGCTGCGCTTCCAGTTTCAGTGGTAGTCGGAATAGTAGCCCATTCTTCCCGAGACGGCGATGCTGTTGGTGCAAAAACGGCGATAGCTGAATCGCTGCCTGTGGCCTCTGTTATAGCGGATTCGGATGCCAAATCCACCGAGGAAACCTGATCAGATGGATTCACAAACGGTATTGAGCTGGGACGGCCTGTCGTGGTGGAATCTGGGTCTCCACTTGAAGGAGTCTGCCCAGAGGTGGTTTTCTGCCGACTAGAGGATGTTCCATCGGTTGTTGATGTGTCATCTAAAAGAGGTGTTGAAGTTGTTGATGCTGAGTTACTTGCAGAGATTTCCGGGGTAGAGCTTGAGGTTCCAGCTACAGAGCCTGATGGCGTAGATCCACTAGGGATGAGTGGCTTGGAGCTTGACGCATTAGAGCCAGTTGAATCCGGACCATTAGGCCGAGAACTGGATGACTCGTTTGAGGAGTCTGAAGTTGTGCTTCCACCAGAAGGTCCAGGATGAGTGGAGCTTGAGGCAGCTGAACCTGAAGCAGCCGAGCCTACGCCATCTGGCTTTGTACTTATAGGCCTATTTGGGGAGTCTGAAGTCGTAGAGCCATGTGGTATGAGTGGCTTGGAGCTTGTGCGTCCATTAGGAGGGGAGCTTGCTGCATTTGATCCGGTTGAGTCTGGGATAGTTAGTCCAGAGCTTGACGTTCTACCTGCAGAGCCTCGTGTAGTAGTTCCACCAGGGATGAGTGGCTTGGAGATTGTGTAGCTAGCAGGAGAGGAGCCTGGGGCATTTGGTCCAGTTGAGTCTGTAAGGGCAGGTGTTGGGCCTGAGTATGTGGTATCAGAGGATCCCTCGGTCTCTGAGCCTCCGCCTGCCCCGGCGGGTTGAGTCGATGAAGTGACGGATGGGTCAACGGCCCTAGTGTTGGTAGACGAGGTGATGAGACTGAAATGAATAGTGGGAATTTGGCCGTTAGGCACAGTGACGACGGAGGTGAGCTTCAGCTTATGGCTCTTTTCATGGTCAAACGTAAATGGCAATGGGGTTCGAGTTGACGATGAGGGCGTTGATATTGCCGGCGGAGGTGTCACAAAGTCAACGACAGGAGTAACGGTGTTGGGGACAACAAGCGTGGTATGGACTGTCGTGGTCCAATCCGCGCTAGCTCCATACAAGAAGGGAAGCACCAACAAGAGACTGTCCTTGATAGCCATGTTCGGGAGAATTGGGTCGCTGACGGGGCTTCATTGATGGGGGAGCCCGGAGGACCAAGTGCAAGTCATTTATACAAAATGTCCCGGTTGGGGCCAAATCATGAGATACGATGAATACTACCATGAAACAGGGCCTCAAGACGGAGTGGGGCCACTGTATAGGAATGACTACATATAAAAAGTACGAAGGATTGTTTCCGTCGCGCAGATCTCTTCGCCAAGTGCCGAGTGATACTGCCAAGTGATGACAAGATTGAAGGCCCCTCACTATTATATTGAAGAGGGCCAAAGCTGCTGTGAAGGATTAAGCTATACTCTGTAGACCAAGTCCAGCCCCCTGTCATGACCCCCCAAATCTGCAATAGTGGCAGCCCCAGCCTGGCCCCTGGCCCCTGGCCCCCCAGGGGTCAATTCTCAAGGGTTTCTTGAGGACAGGTGAAGAATCAATGTAGGATGGATCCTGCATCGCCTCGTCTAGTAGATACCAAGTCGTATCATGAGCTAGAATACCAACTGTTGAGAGTGATTCTTATCCACAGCGTACCCACAGCACCGGAGCGGTTGGTAAACATGGCTACGGATAGTTACCACAGGGTCTCAAATCTTCCGATAAGTGACTGTCTACTGCTGTTGCCTGTTGATCTTATTCCCAAGGAGGAATCTATACTTCGTAAGCATGTAACAGTAGATTTGCATACATAGCTACTCCGTAGTACTGATGTTGTTCCTGGGGCCAAGACTTGGGGCCTTGGGCCAAATACAAACTACCTGTTGTTCCTTCACATGAAGGTAGGATTGATGCAAATTGCCCCCATGGGATCGTCCCGGAAGCGAGGGGCCAAATAGTAAATGCCTGTCGATCCTTCACTTGAAGGTAGAATTGATGCAAATGGCCCCCATGGGATCGTCCCGGAGGTGAATCTGGCCAAGGAAAAACCTAGAGTATTGATCGTACGAGTGGTCTCAATGCACAATTATAAGAGAGCCAGCTATTCTTATCTAGGCCAATAGAACAGCTGATAATGTTTACTCATCTCTTAGAGAGAGATTTGTAGCCCTCCCAAGCTTACATCACAAAATAAAGCTTTCCATGCTAGGCCTTCTTCTAGCAAGCACGACTTGGCAGGCGTTCATTATCGACGAATCGTACAAGACAGACTCAGAATAAAAAAATACCGTAAAAGAAGCAAAGTTGGCTCTTACAAATACAGCTAAAGTTACAGATAGATGTCAATTCGATTATACGCAGGAAGAGGGTAGCAAACAGCTTTCGTCGGATACGAAGCAATAGTATACTGATAATAGTGATCTTCAGCGACAGAAAGGAAGTAACAGCCTAGTTGTAAAATTTCTGGGGAAGAATCAACGCATTTATACAACAAAATCTATTATAAGTCTTCTTCAGACCCACTTCACTCATTTCTGCCCAGGTGACTAGCCAGCTAACAGTTCCTAGCGGCCACAAGCAAAGCAAAATATATTCTTGCTAGCTCTACCAATCAGTCCAACAATACAAAAGTCTATCATGGCGACTCGTCTTTCATTAGAGAAGCCGGTCAATAGCAGGACAAAAGCGATAAATACAAGAACATTTCTTAGGATACCGATAGAGGTTCCTCTCAAAGTTCATACAAAAAGCCTCTAATCAGCCTCACCATCCAAAAAAAAAAAAATCCAACTCAGAAGGGAATCCTTATCTGCAATTACAAAGACCTTCTCAGTGACGACACCAGCCCTAATATTGCAGGATCTTGCTTCAGTACTAACAATCTAGTACCGAATATTAACTCATTGCCTATTGATATTCTTAGGTCACAACTCAGCTCAGCATTGTTGCAGAAGATGATTCATTTAGGAGACATAGGCCAATGTAAGATTTTTCAGAGTCACATAAACGCCTATGTTGATAAGAACTAACCATAACCCACGTTTTACAGTTTCTTTATAATTGACAAAAGTCTAGGAAACATAAGTAATGCGGTTATTCTCAATATAGTACCTAGGTAAGAAACTGGCGGGCCAGGATAAAAGCTAGCATAATTGTGATACATTCGCAATAATCACACAAGGTGTATATCTTTCTCTTCTTTTTCCTTTTACTTTTACTTTTACTTTTTTTTGCTATTTAAATAGATACTACAGGGAAGTGAGTAGCTCCAGCCCTCTTAACATTAACATATAAACACCTACTACAGAAATAACAAACTACTGAAGAGGCTTCCGGATAATTAACAACCACCTACAACTAAGGTCAACGCCCCCGGCGGCTTTAAGATAAATAATTAAATACAAAAACTCTGACACAGGTACCAAACATTGTATTTCACTAAAAAGAAAGCTCACTTAATTTTTCCAATTTACCTTTTTGGAAGATTTAGGCTGGATGAGCGTTCGTATCCAATGGGTGTATAGAGAGATCCAAATTTGAATCAAATAATGAAAGCCTTCCCCCAATAGCCTTGTACCTGTCTCGTTTCAAATGAATGAGAAGAGTAGAATCGCGATCACCCTGAGAAGGAGTATCCATAAAAAAGATAAAGATAAAAATAAAAATAAAAGACAAGGATACATACGTAGCTATTTACTTTGGGCTTGATTCGCCCCTATTCATGGCGATTTATGAAACTGGCCCCGCCCCCACTCCCCCATTCCAAGATCCACAGTCGCCCATCTGTTCGACATTCATTTCCTTTCCCTCGTTCCCCTCTTTGAACCGCACTCACTCTAGGTTTGACCCGCGCTGTCTTTGCACACATAGTCTCTAACGCTGTTCTTACGATTTTCCATTATGAGTGTCCTTGAGAAAGAACTCAAGCTAGTACTTGGCGATGCACATGTTGGCAAGGTAAGATCATAATTTCTGGGTCATAAAAAGATGATTGACCCTAAATTTTGCAGTCAAACTGGGTATCCTACCTGTTAGATGGCTTCTATCAGTCTGCATATACCCCGACAAATGGCTACAAAAGTGAGAGAATCAACTTCCCAACTGTAAGTTTCATTTCCCTCTTATACTCCACCACCACCAACATCTTCTGAAATACATCGGTCATAGAATATCGGGGATGCCAAATTCAATATTTGGGATCTCTCTGGGTCTCATAGTACAGCTCAAGTTAGGGCTAAATGGATGGAAGATTGCGATGCTGCCATTATCATGATTGATCCAGCAGACCAGGCGAGTATAAACAATGCAGTCTCTTGGTATAGTGAGTTCTTTCAGTTCGTTTTACCATCGGACCCTTTCAGGCAACTAATGTCTGGTTATATAGAAGATATTATGTCTTCGGCAGCATTTCCAGCACTCAGCTTCGCTACCAGTCGTAATCTATTCCTGGAAGGCCTATGAAAAGGCTGATAAGCGGGCAATGGACCCGACAAAGATCTCTTAGTCTGGTGAACTGGGCTCCACACCGTTTTTCCACACTACACATCTAGATCTCAATGAAAAATCAAATAGAATGATTGCGGGTCAGTCTAACAGAAAGCCTATTGGATGGATCTTGTGACAACTGACGGGTCAGGTCGATGTGGTATGTTTTTTTGAATTTCTTTACTTCCCACCACTACCCTTTCATCGCAACATGCATTTACCTTTTCTTTAGGAATTTCCATCGTTTACTCCCCAGATGAATCCGATTTTTTGGGGGTTGACCCTGAGTTGCGTAAACAAATTGCACCTGACACATTCTCGATGATTCTCGACGACGACGACACGGACTTGTGTTTAAAACAACACATCTAGAGGTACAACGGGCAAATGATGCTGTTCCTGACTTTGGAGTGGGGCTTCAGATACCTGAATGCACCTGCCAGCACATGCATCACCTGGCTACTGTAGGGTCTCGCCCTGTTGGTGTTCTAAGACTCAAAGCTTTTTTTTTCTTAACCTAATGTCTGCCAAAGTAATATCGCAACAAATGGCTGGCTATACACTTATGTATCATATCGTGCAAGAACATGCAAACTTGCGGAAGTACATGACTGAAAAACTGTTCAAGAGCAGCCCTTAGAAGCCGCTCTCATCTGTATCATACTCCCTATCAGTCTTGAGAGGTGTCAGCGTGCCCGAATCTTTTTTCACAGCCTGAAGGTCAGACCTTGGCCGAATTTTCACCTAAAAATGATTCCCATTTGAACCTGCAGTCGATTGTCTCGGGACGATTCGAAGACTTTCTGGTTGGCGCAGCTTGCAATTTGGGTAACTTTGTGCTGTGCTGCTAAGTATGATATCTGAGAGCTGTGGAGTTGGAGGATCTTGGTTAAGAGGTTATAGTTACTATTTTCTAATAAGGAAATGAATGGGAAGAGCTCGAGAATATAAAGGCTTTGAAGGTTTGGTGCTGTTGGTGTTGTATTTTTACTAGTGAAACGAAAACAATCCTATTTGTTGTCATCTGAGTTAAATGGTTTATTAAACCCTGTTGCGAAATTCTGTCATGATCGCTGGATTGGAAGCTTGGCTTCGGCTGCGATATCAACTGGTTTTTTTTAACGCTTTTCAGTACAAAACAGGCTATGCTGTGACTCTGAAGAGAGGCCGCCTGTATAAGAGAGCATTCTCTGGACTACATCTCGAATCTTGTCTTTAAAAGTGTTGCGTTCAACATCTGGATCGATCGAGAGAATACTTATTTTCCTGGAAACCGGGTGCTGGGAGCCGTGGCGTCAATCGTCAGTCTCATGGAGACCAACAACCAGAGGATCAGCCGTAAGCCTCTTGAGTATTGAAACTCTTTTCGTATTTTTCTTTCTCTTTAGCTTCGGGGTGTCTGTCGGAGCGTCTGTCGGGGTGGTCTTGAAGTGCTAGGTGGTGTTAAAGACTGTTCTGGTAAGCTTGTTTGATTTCATATCTTGCTTTCTCTATGCCGTCCTATCTTCATATCTAATATTATGCTATACTTTACTTTGATCCTAAGCGTTCTATTATAGCTTGGTTTGACAGTCCTAGCTGGGTTGGGAGCGCGGGTATAGGGCCTTAGCTCTGGGATTTTTTCGGT